ACAGCCATATAACGTCAGATGTGGGAGAGATCTACTCCAAGTGGATTGACGAAATTCAGGAGACTTCAATCGTCCAGAAGCTTGCAGCGTTTGTGAGTAGAATTGTGGAGCTGGTTAACAGTAGCCAGGCCAAGTCGAAGGAGTGGTTTAGCCAACTTGTGCCATCTAAGGAGGAAAGTCTTGTAGAGGAATGCAAGAAAGCGAGCGTGCTTAAAGTTTTCGTTTGCTCGGACACTCTGTTCGAGGTTCACGACGGGTCTGTTCAGCTCGTGGACATCAGTAACCAAACCTGCAGCTGTTACGGGTGGAAGCCAACGGGACTTCCTTGCCAGCACGCGATCGCTGTGCTCAACACAAAAGGCAGGAATCTATATGAGTACTGTTCAGGTTTCTTCACGGTTGAAAGTTATCGTTCGACTTATTCAGAACCTCTGGGACCAGTTGTGATTGACTTGGCTTCCGCGGAGAGTGAAGGTAGCAGCAAGGAAGAGGATGAACAAGTACTTCCTCCTCTGTTTTCTCGGGTACAGGGAGTGGACAAGAGGATCAAAGACAGGAAAAGAGGACGATCCGTGTGCTGTACAAAGTGTGGAGGAGTAGGACATAACAAGGCTACTTGTAAGGAGGATGATTGATCGTCTCTCTTGTTTTGGACTGCTTCTGGTCATTTACTTTTGTACAGAGGTTTGCATCGTTCTTCATAGATTTTGTTGGAACCGCAAGAACCACCAGTAAGAGGGTTTCTCTCTTAGTGTAGAATTAATAATAAACTGAGGAAAGTGTTATGCTTTGTGGTTAAGTATTACTTTTGGATACAATATTTCTGGTGTTTCTAACAGCTTTTTTTTTAACTGCCTGATAGATCATTTCTGGTGCCAAACTTCAAATATGGTCCGTAACTAGCTTATGTTATCTATAATATAACATACATCATACTAAACAAGTTAATTCACATTTTCATCAACAAGAGAGTATTTATACATATATTCAATTTGATTAGTTGATTATTTTGATGAGACATGTTAAGTTCCAACAAAACCAACACCGGAGACGAGAAAAGCAGCGGCTTGTAAGAAGAGATATAGATACAAAAATGCATTCCCAAAAGCAAGGTCGTAGCATGCACAACACAATAAGTATATCCCCATCATCATCTCCTTTGCGTTTACTCTGCAAACAAAACAAATTCTCTCACTCATTAGTATCCACAAATATGTTTCTTTATCGACACCAAGTTGTATTTAGATAGTACAAAAAGTACAAACCAATATCTATACTTTCATTTGATTTTGATTAGTTTACCTGTCGAGAAATCCATTGCGAGGCTTCCTCAACTCGGGAAGTAGCTCAGTCTTAAGAGCATCTCCTAATTTCTCAGTGACAACCCATTCATTGACTCTTCCTCCTTCAAATAAGCCGATGAAAGTTCCCTTGGTCCGGTGCATAGCCATTACATTTTCGAAGACGACCCAAAAGACCACGAGGTAGAATGATCTACGCATATAAATATATACCGATAGTTCATAGGTAAGAATAAGATTGTAACTAAAGTAATGTATTGAATCTATATTAATGTGTTGGTTGTACTTGTACAGGAAGTAGTACTAACCTTAGAGTGGCAATGGCATTTAAGAGGGTGATAATAGAAGGAACGTATAAAGTTGACCAAATCGGAATTTTGACTTCGGGAAAGAAGACACTCGTAGGAAGAATGACACAGTAGAAGAAGAAAGTGAAAAGGTGGACTACGATCTTCCTTAGGAAAAAGAAGCTGTAGATCACATAAAACTTCTTCCAAATCTTCACTCGCTGTTTATCATAAGTTTTTTGGTTAGCTTAAGGTTATTATAAATCATACGTACCGCTCTTATTTTAATGCCGAAACAAAAGTAAATCTCAATGTTTATCATCTATAATGGATATGAGTTTTTTTAGAAGTTTATCATGAATGAGTTATTTATTTGGTAAATGGCGAAATGAAATTTGTAAAAAAAAAAAATAGATGAAATTTAACATGCTATTGTATAGAGTGTACTTTAAAGTTTAAACTAATACTGCTAAATGGATTGACTATTATTTCATATGATAAATATATAAAACCTAAAAAGATAATGGATCACATTTATATGATGGAAACAGAAGTTTATTTGATAAATTATATGTTTAGCTAGATAGGAAAACAACATGGAAACAAAAGTTCGGATGAGCAATGGATAAAGCAACTCCATTTTTCATCTCTTAATTTTCATATTATCTAGTGGAAATACTCAAAACATATTATAGATCACATTATCCTTAATTATATGTCAAATAGGTTTTAAAAAATTATTTTAAACCCTAAAGTGTATGAACTCTTTTGTTAGTTTATCGCATGCCGTGTGCAACCTTACACTTACCTAATACCAGCCAAACACTATTAGATAATCATCACTCAAACTATACAAAACTGAATAAACTCAACTTGGAGCTAAAACTAAGAAGTAAGAAACGTGCCCCCACTGATAGTGAGGTGACCATTCATTTTTAAGTTTCTATCTTAATTTGTTGGATTTCCAGTGGATAGAAACTTGTCGCCTTTAAAGTTGTCGCTAATGATGAGCCAACAAAAAGGTAGTTGGCACGTGCGCAATTTGAGACTGAAGATGGAATAAAGTAAGTGGTAAAAAGACCTTATTGTGAATGATTTCCATCGTCATTTTCCGGAAGAGATTGGCTGGACCACAAGACCACCGATGTTGCTGGAATCTAAAGGCCTTAAATTTGCTTGGTAGCTCGCTTTTCACCTACAGCCACAATTATTATTTTTGTTTTGCAACGATTAGATAGAGACGTGCAAATGGACACAAATATATAGATATATGTACATTCATGCACATGCATTTTGTTTGTGATCAGCATTTGCATTTACATTTTGGAGAATAAGTTAATAGAAAGGAAATACATTACCTCGAGGTCATTGATAAAGACAAATTTCCAATTGAGAAGACCAACACGAACGGCCAAGTCCATGTCCTCTACGGTTGTCCGGTCTTTCCATCCTCCGGCTTCTTCCATCGCCGCTAGTCTCCATACTCCCGCCGTTCCTGCATATATAAATCTCATTATAATGTAATTTTTATTTACCACAGTAACTTCTACATTTATAACATTTTTTACCGTTAAAGCCAAAGAATGCATGTCTTGTGGATCCAGATTGTTGCTCTGCCATGAAATGGTAGTTGAGAGACATCTCTTGCATTCTCGTCAACAAGCATGTGTTCGCGTTCACTGCATGCCAAAATCATATATCTCACAAACCACATTCACATTAAGTTTTTTTTTCTTAATTTCATGTTTTTTTTTTTTTAATCCCGTCCGAAAGTTAACTAGTCTTCAAAATATATATGTAAAACGTAACACACTCATTGTTTTTCTAGTTTATAAAATTTGACCATCATAATTAAAAATCACAGTGGGATGACTCGAACCTTAGTGATCTTCAAATCCTAACATGAATTCTTCAACAACCAGACTTGAGACTACCATATTCTATATGTGTATAATTGATTATGTACCAATTTTTTCCATTATCAAATTTCCGAAACTAGACACGTTTGAACTACATATGAGTTCGTTGATGTTGTTATATATGTACATACCAAATCTCCATCGGGCTTGGACTAGAGCGAGCTCAGGGTTGTGGATAAGAAAAGGGATAGCACGTTGGAGGTAATCGGGCTCAGGCTGGAAATCAGCATCGAAGATGGCCAGATAATCGCATTGTGCGACATACTTGTGCTTCATGCCGTGTTTAAGAGCTCCCGCTTTGTAGCCATTTCTGTTGTCTCGCCTCTCATACTTTATGTTTATGCCTTTTGATGCCCATTTTGCACATTCCATGCTCACCATTTCCTGAATTTTAATTAGTTTTCTGTAATGTTTAATATGTATGTATACAATCGACTCAATAATATTCAACAAAAATGTTATTAATTAGTAAGGTTCGATGTTTTAAAATATAAGTTGTTCGTATATATTGTCATATATTTGAGTGCATTAGGTAATTATAACTAGCAAGAGATGCAAATGTAATTAAGAGAATAGTAATGATGCGACTTATTGGCATCAAATAGTGATTTATTTATTTATCTTTAGATGAAGTTGAGAACATACCATGATGGCTGGATCCGTGGAATCATCTAAAACTTGAACGATTAGGCGGTCCAATGGCCATGTTAGTCTGCATGCAGCACCTATAGATAATTCAAAGACCTGCAGATTCAAAAACTACTTTTGTCACGTACTATTCCGGTCCACAAAAAATAGCAATACTAGATTTTAATTAAAGTATTGTTGCAAAAAAAAAAAAAAAAAAAAAAAAAAGGCGAACGCAAGTTGACATATAAGGTCAGTATCTAGTTTGGATGTATTTTGAAAAGATAAAGAGGGCAACAAGTGAAGTCAGTGTTATTTGCAGAAAAAGACTGGAAAACAGTAGAGAAGAAACATGATGATGGCGTAAATACGTGTGAGTTTTTTAATTTTTATTTTGTGTGGTTCATGCTGGATCTAAATAGTAACGACAAACATATTTTGGTACATAATTAGTGATATGATTGCTGTCCAAAATTAAAAAAAAAATTAAAAATAAATTAATGATATGATTTTTATAAGAAATTTGATAAGAAATTTGAAACATGGTGCAATAACATATAAATTCACTGCTTACCAAAAAAAAACATATAAATTCACTAATTAGCAGAATATATAGTAATCTTTTGCTTTTCATCTCGTTGAGAAAATCTTGAAACAAGTGAAATTAGTTGTGGACCGGAATAGTGTGGATTCTACTAATTTACAAAGTGTCGTTAGTTTACCTAGAAACATGAACACAGTCATGCTTTAGCCTTTGATACATTGGCCTAAGGCCTAATTTAAAATATAAACATTTGAAGACACTATATATATATATATTTAAATACATTTATTAATTTATATCAAGGGCATATTTTTTTTCAAATGCCAACAACTAAACTTTTTCCTTATAAATCTATTAATATAGGCACGATTGACGATTCTAACTTCGAAAAGACTCTAGTTAACTTGGAAAAGCACAAAACACAAAGCTTATAGGTCACATTATCGAGTTACATTTAAAATGAGATCACATAAAATGCTCTGGTCCCAAGTTTAAACGAGATATATGGGATTCGACCAAGGTCCTCTTATTCACCACAAAAATAAAATAATAAATTCTGATAGTCTACTGAAATAGCGCAGACAACATTTTGACAATGATTTTTTTGTTTTTATCTTAATTTTTCACCCTTAATGGTTCTCCTATAAGTAAATGGTTTACTAATACTCATATATATTATTCGAGATATTGAAATTAAATTGGACCTCTCGTTCGTTGTACATCGGGATTTGAACAAGGACCATTGGGTAGTTTTGATGAGCGAGCTCCATATCTTCCTGGATTGCCTCCCATTTGTAGACTTTCTCCGGTTTGCGGTTAAACAACTTGACGTAGAGTATTACGAGGTTTATGTAGACACTCTCTATGAAGATTAAGAGCGAGATGATCAAACTAATAGCCACCAAAAATTCGAACACTGGAACTATGACTACACTCCTCGTCGAATTCCACATAGTGTTCATCCATATGCCCACACCATCACGGATGCTTTAAGACTCTCCTCATGAAACTTCTCATAATTGACAATAGAACAAAATTTAGTTAAACACTAGGGTTGTTTCAATAATTTCTGCAATCATTTACATGAGGAAAAGAAAATCTAATATTTTTCTTTTTGAAAGAGAAAACATTTACAAATTTTCAAAAATGTGTTTTGTAAAGTGCAAACGTTATATACAAGTAAACACAAAATGCAAACAAACAATCGATGCCTATATCGGCTATTCTAAGAGAATGCTAAATTAAGAAGAACAAAAATGTACAAAAATATATATGCATCGTACAAACAAGAACAAAGAGCGAGAGAGATAGAGAAAGAGAAACGATGACTTACCATTCTCGAGTGGAGGGCAAGAGATAAATCGTGTACGAAAATGAGAGGCTTTAAAAGCAGAAACATGTTTGATGTCTTTTCCTTTTCCCTCACTCGTGACTCAGTTTTTAATTGTATTGCCTTCTTTGTTTTTTATGGTAAAGAACTGCATTTCTTTGTTTTATAACCTTTCTTTTTCTTTCTACACGAATATTAAAACGTGGGAATAATTTAATACCTAAAATACCTAACACATATGCAGACGAAAAAAACACAAGGAATGTGTATGTACATAGATTGTCAAGACATGGTGGTGATGACCTGATCATGCTCGCATAGTTTAGTTTCATACGAAAAAATAAACTAAAGTCCCCGAAATTATACAATCAAAGAAATCTAATAAACGCATTCTTACAAGATTAATTGCTTGTTTTTTTATTAAAGCTAAAACCTAACTTTCTGTAGAGCAACACTGGAAAAGTAAAACATTGAAATTAGAGCTCCAAGTCATTGTTCTTCTGTACGGTGGTCTTTTTACGACTTGCTTCGTCAAGCTCCCATCTCTCTCCACCACAAACCAGTTTTAATCAAATTCTCCATCTCCTCCGCCGCAGCATCCACCACTCACGCCTTTCACCGATCTTCACCGTTGATTATTTACTCCAGCGAGGCAGCCACCATGATTGATACATTTCAGGCCAATCATCACTGGAATCTAATGGAGGCAGGCGTGAGAAGGGTCACGTTGGTGCATGGGCAACAGTAGAGCGTCACACAGTCGGCGAACCACCAAGACCGGCACGGCATATCGACAACCAAAAAAAAAAGAAGGAAAATGATTATATTCAAGTGAGAGTAATTTTGTCCAAAATACATATTACACCAGCAATATTGTAGCCAAACAAACACTATGGTCATCCTCTTAATTATTAATTTTGTTTTGTCATCCACTCCAATTTCCCTTTAATAAACCAACTCTAAAGATATCCGGCCCCATAATTGCTTTTAACAAACATACTGATTAAACATTTGCAAATAATCTAACTGACTTTTTTCAACATATATCTAACTACCTAGTAAACATGAATCATTGAAAAAGTGTTATAAAGTTCAAGTATAACACTGAAAAAAGGTTCTCTCAAAAATTGGAAAAGATTGTTTTCAAAATTACGATTTGAGTGTATTCTAAAATTTGAGTATAACACCGAAAAATGTTTTTTTTTTACAACAGCATATACTCCTAAATCAGTTTGGAAATCCAAACTGGTGGAGTATGTTTACATACATACACATTGTAAAGTAGATTTTGAGCAGTCCGTGCTAGCTTATCCGCATTTGTGTTGTTTATCTGTGTTAAAACGAGACAATACGAGCTAGACATAATTTTTCAAAAAACAAGCGATTATAATTAAAATGGTATTATCGAAAAGATACAACCGTATAATACATTTATGGGATATTTAACAAAATACAAAATTATAAACAAAAATATACATAACGGAAAATACAATGTCGCAAGCATTTATTTGGTTTGTTATTACAAATAGATATTTTGTTTCTATATAAAACGTGGGAACTGTATAATATCAGTAGTAACTAACAAAAATGCAGATGAGAAATTGAAGCATCATGTGTACACATATGACTTAAAATTATAACAGATGCTGTTTTAATATAAATAAAAAATAAAAAATTTGTCGAAGAGCAACCAAAAATAGAGTACTATCAAATATTGTTAATGGTTTCTGTCTTTCACTGCATAATATATGGCCCACTTAAGTCGTAACTTACGAAAAAAGAAAACAGAGTCGTAAATGGAAATGTCAACGTTTAACACCTCTTGGATGAATTTCACAGCCGAGACAAGTGTGTTGCTGTTTTCAGTTGAAACCACACGAAATGGCAGAGAATAAAAATATAATCTCATAAAAAACTAAAATTAAAATAAACTTTACACACTAGTGTAACACCATTCCATCAGTTTGCATTATTCTTTTCCAAAGTAAAAATAATTAAGGCCCCCGAAGACATACCATACCTTCGTGATATTCGAAAAAGTGAACATAGGTCTAAGATATATATTATGACAAATATGTTTGAAAGAAAATATGTTTTTCTTTATCGACACTGGGTTGTATTTAGATCGTACAGACCAATATATATGCTTTCAAAGCTCATGCTGGAGCTGTACACTGACGAAACTTTACAAAAAGAAGAGAGTTGTCAAAAAAAATTCTTTACAAAACTAAGTATAACATATGCAAATTATAAGTAAAATATATGCAAAACTAAAGTAAACTTTAACAAAAAAAAATATATGCTTTCATTTGTTTTCGATTAGTTTACCCACCCAAATGATCATACAAATCAAAATGGGCACTTATCTAGTTACATTACATGTAATGTCAAAAGATTCATCTAACCTAAAAGATGATATTTATCTCTAATAATTTATCTCTAAATGATATTTACTAGTATGTAAACACATTTTATAATAATATTTTTTCTGTGCTAATGTTAAAACTTGCAGGCTATCTAAAAAAAAAAGTCTTACATTTTACAAAAAAAGACAGACTGAAACGTCATTATTTCTCATTTTTGCGTGCCATTTATGCTCTCATCCCATTTAAACTTGCTGTGATCGTATTTCGTTAATTATTTTTTCTTTTACCGAAAAGTACTCTTTATATTATTAGGCTGGTTCGGAAAGAAATTGTTTGGGTAATACAAACCAAATACATCTACCTAACTACATACTATATCATTTTGGGGGAAAAAACAAATATCTTCTGCAACCGAAAGATATAACCACCACTAATTGACATGATTAGTTGATGCACTTTACAAGAATCCAAAATTGAATATTCATTGAATGGCAAAACCTCCAACCTACTCTAGGAGTTAAATTGTGTTTCTTTGCAAATTATAGCAAAATTCATTTCTGTAAAGAGAACTAACCAAATAAATTGCTGATCAGCATAAGTTACTTATGAACTTGATGTTGGAACTCATTTTTGACAAGCGGTTCCAAATAAATTTTCAGTGGATTTTCTGAAGAAGTTCTTTGTTCAAATCCCTGGATTTTGGAAGCAATAGATTCGTCAAAATTGGAGTTCATTTGAAGTAAAAATGGAGGTCCAAATTAGTTTGGTTGAAAAACTTTGAAAAGCTTAAATTTTGGCTACATGTCAAATGCCTACATAAAACACTTGGATTGCAACCGAAAGATATTTTCAAGTGAACCACCACTAGTTGACCTCATAAGTTATTGCACTTTACAAGAATCCAAAACCATAGCTTATAACATTTTTGGGATTTTTTCTTTATATAGTGGTGTTTGCATTCTTACAACAAATCATTCCTGTAACAAGAATTAACAAAGAAAATGTCCCAGAATGAGCTTCCTATGCACGACAACCTAACTGAAGAAACAAAGAATTTGATGTCTTCACTTCCTAAACACAAAGATTCTCAAGGGAATCTCTGCAAGTATCAAGGATGTTGGTATTACTACAATACTCTCCAAGCAGTGATCAATTTCCAGAAGAATTTCCAGCCACATGACACCGATATAATTCTCGCTTCTTTCCCCAAATCCGGTACAACTTGGCTCAAGGCACTCTCAATAGCACTCTTGGAGAGATCTAAGCAGCCTTCTGGTAATGATCTAAGAATATTAGTTTCTGTTGTCATGTTCATTTGATGTATAATTAATGATATAGGTGAGATCAGTAAGATCAATCATATAGAGATTATGAAAATTAAGATAGACTATAAATAAAATTACTACGTAGGAAACAAAAACGAAAAAAAAAAACATAGTAAAAACTCAAAACATAATATTTAAAAAAGGTCATCGAGCAGCTGGCAAACAACTCCTTTGTGGAAGGATCATATTCTTGTAAATGCAAGAAGGTGGTACGAAATTAATAATCTCAATTACATTTACACTCATATTTTAAGATGTTCGCGTATAACGTGACTACGTGAGAGACTAGTATATAAAGTTATAAACGTATGGAATAACATTGTGCCAACAGCTAAGCATTATATAAATTTTGTTACTGTTAATAATAACTAGGGCTGTGACTATTACAATATTTTGTCATTTATATCTGAAATTTTAGATTAATTTCCAAATATTTTTACGTAAATTTTTATATTGTTTTTTATTTTGTCTAAAACCAAATATTCAAAAATTGTTTAATTTCTTTTAAATTTTAATATTGCGATAAATTCATGTAGGGCTTCCCATTCTTCCTAGCAATTTCTTCAACATAGTTAAGGAGCTCTTGAACTTGCTTAGCTTTCTGACTCTCATGAACATTAACTTTGTTCCTAAACAACACCTTGCGGTCATTGCATGCCTCAAGAATTTCCTAAAACCATACAAACAATTCAATAAGAAACACAAAAGAAGGTGGTAAGATAAATCTTCAGCTTCAAGGTTTCAAGAATGCACTAACATTGAAATCAGGGCAGTTTTTCAAATATCCATCCAATGTACCACCGCCTTCCTCAAATGCATCTTCATTTTTGAAAAAGACAATCATGTAGTCTACAATTTCGCTTCCAAAAAGGATCTTCAAAGCAAAGAGCGAAGATCTCTCTTCTTGGGTTAGCATGTTCCTCAAGGAATATACTACAAGAACCACATCAATCCCTTCTTTGGACAGTCGCAAGCAATTCAAAATCTCTTTACAAGTAAACTCGGTTGATGGAGACAGACTAAACAGCCCTGCAGCACCAATCAAGAAAAGTTTAATAGCGTATGAAATATCATAAATGACTCTCTAGCTCAATAGTTTTTAAGGATCACACTAACCAGGAATATCAATAACATTGAGGATCTGGCCATTTGGTAGCGTTGAAACCTGTAGCTAACAGGATGTAGTTACACCTGACGCACACGGCACATCTGTAGCTAACAGGATGTCTTTAAACTCGAAGGCTTGTCTACCTAAAATGCAATTCCTTGTCGTGCTTTTACCGTTCCCTGAACGCCCGACCAGAAGCCGTATATGAATGAGAAATCGTACATTGTACATTGCTAAATGCTTTTTATAAGAAATAAAAATCACAAAATTATAACAAATTTTCAGAAAGAAACATATATTTGGGATTTAACGGAAATCTAAAAAGCAAACCCAATTACTCTTACTCTTCTTCACCATCCTCTGTGAAACAAAAAAAATCCAAACTTTTCCGGCCATGGATCCCGACGTCCGAATGCAACCAAACATAGAATTTTATAGAAGGTTGGTTTTGGTCTCTAAAAAATTAGTAATTGAAAGTTTGTTCATAGTAATCACACAATATGTTTATTTATTTTGGACCCGCAGAGAATTGAAATACATACTCAAGTAGCGTGAGAACGCAAAAGGTTTATTTATTTCACCTCAAACTTGAGTTTCTCCATTTCGTACATCACATGCAAAGTGAGACATGGAATATAGATTATTAAGTCAAAATTATATTCATTATTGAGTTGCTGATGGTTATATAATTACAACTTAATTTATGTCTTACTAATATACTCCTTTTTCCCAAAATATACTTCTTTTTATATTTCAACTAATTTCGATTCTCTGTTAGAGAGTGAAGTACACGTGCACGAAGTATATCACCGACCGGCCATCCCGAGATTACATGACGCCCTACAAAGAAAACTCGTGTGTGCCTGTGTCACACGGAAGGTTCCTTTATTAATCAATTTCAGTTTACAACAAATGAGTTAAACTTCCAAACAATATACAGTTTGATAAAATTATTTGTGGATGACAATCACAATTTCATTCTTGTAGTTGTAGAGGACAAGGCGACAAAATATGAACATAGGTTTTTGTACCTAACGGCCTTTCCAAGCAGTATTGGGCTTACTGAATTGAATCACTCAAAGCAAAATGGGCCCATAAATGGTCCAAACCGGGAGCGATCGAGTTTTACCCATTTTGCTCTTCGTTCTTCTTGGCTTCGATCTGAGTGAGAACAATGACGATCGAGATCTGTCCAAAATGATAAATCGAGATCTGTCCAAGTGTTTTCAATCACAACAAAATTGATGGGCTTTCTACTGACAATTTCATTTCTTTAATGTTTTTTTCCTGTGAGAAGGCGGCGAAACCGATTGCGAGTCCGATTCCGGTGGCGATGTACCTGACCTTATCGGTGTTCACTCTGGCGAAGTCGACTCTCAGTCTCAGCTCAATTAGTTTTCGAATTCGATCAGTAATCGAAACTTTTGATTGCAGATTGGAGAAGAGCAGATTGAATCCATGAAACGATGAAGAGAGATGTGATCGTTACCTTGCCGGGATGTGAGAAACGGAGCTCTTCGCCATGACGGATATAAGGTATGGTTGGGTAAACACCTTCACCTTGCCCTCTCCACGTCCCTAACAGATACGACAGCCATGCGACGGAAGGGGGCGCCGGCGGAGCCGCCGTTGGCCGTTGATTTTGATGATCGTGCATCCAATTCATTCACCACCGGGCGTCTACGGTTAGGGTTGGTGGAGGAGGCGGAAGCGTTGGTGGAGATGAGGCGGTTTGTGTGTTAGGGAAGACAAAACGATTTTAGTCTAAATTCAATACGATTGTTAATTTTTTTTTTAATAGAATAAATGCCACGTGGCAAGTGTAGAAACAAAGAAAATTGCTGAGGTGTCAGTCATAGTCATAGGATCATAGTCATAGGAAGAGAGTTATAATATAATTCTTTCAACACACAAACGAGTTTTACTCTCATTAGTAAATCATTATTGGATGGTTTTTCTTTGTTTTAATTTGTTAATTACGTAGGAAAAACGAAAACTATATGCAAAAGGTCAACGTACGACAACTCCTAGTTGGATGTACACATGCTTGTAAATGCAAGAATGTGGTAGGAAATTGACAATTCCATTTACACTCATATTTTAAGATTTTTGTGTAGAGCGTGAGGAATTAAAAAATATAGAGAGGGGTATTAGATTAATTAAGTGAACCGATCCACTAATTTAGTAAAATATATACTATAAAAATATAGGCATTGAATGAAGCAAAACACAAACTGAATAATTTTTTTCCTCTTTGAAGATCAACGAGCTAATTCATGGCGATATCTCACGCCCTGCCTCTGCTTCTTCTCCTCTTCTTCTTACCTGCTTTGAGCGCTATCAATTTCAAATACTGCAACGGTACGTGTCGATCGTTTTTGTCTTAAATTAACTTTTGTAAAATTATGCTTCTTTGAATTAGTATTATAACAAGATATTAAACCTATTATTTGATTAATCAATTCAAGTTTGTGCCCCGATTTCAAAGACTATGGTTTGTTTCTATCTTTTCTCTTTTAGTTGTTACTGGAAACATTCTGGACCAGAACACATACTAATTCCAAATACTCCTACTATTCTGAGTTCTATGAGTACACATTCCTAGTGTTTTGACGTAACAAGTCAATGATATTTTTGTAGAAAAAAAATGAATAGATCAAGGGGTTTATATATGTATATATATAGAAAAGAGTTTTTAAGATCCAATTTTTTATTTTTATTTTGGTAAAAGATCCAAAATTTTAATTTACCATGACTCACAATTCCATAATTATTCTTTGTGATTGTTGAAGAAAGTGGATATGATTATGGTATCGTCAGTCGTGTGGAGATCTCTCCTAACCCGGTTCGGCCTGAAGACGATGACAGTCCTTCATTTATGGTATTCGGAACTGCAAGTAAAGCAAGTAATATTTTAATAATCTCCCCACAGTATTTATTTTAGTTTCCTACACATTTTTAAGAATTTTGTTTTTGTGTGTACAGGCAAAACCATCAGCGACGGAGCTGTACAAGTAGCAGTGTCTCTCAAATCTGAGGATAATCGTAGGATAATTTTAACAACATACGACCTCTGTGATGATCTGCTTGCATGTCCTATTGAGCCTGGCAAGAACTTTGTGCTTAATATTTCCGAGGTTATTTATAGTCCTCGCTATGAGGTAATTACTCTTACAATCTTTGTGTAGAAAAATAAGAAACCGGTATGCTTGTGATTGATTGTTCCTTAACCCTAGGATATTGTTTATAAAAAAAAACCTAGGATATTGGTTTTTTTTATTAAAACTAGGACATGTTGATTCATAAAACAATTTCTGTCTTCGGAAGAAATCGTTCAATCTTCTGATTAATTACTGTCTCTATCCAGTTTAACATTTTTTGCTAAGTACAAATCTAACAAACTCTATTTTTGTTGAGCCGAAGAAACAGTTACCAAACACCTCCACTTGGTTATCTTGGTCTTTCATAGTCGATCCTTTTTTTTTTTTTTTTTTTTTTTTCAATAATACGTGAAGAAGGAAGGACTATTTTCAGTAACTTTACTGGATGATTCTGGAGAGTCTGATGACATCGAAGAAGAGTCAGTAACAAGAATGTGTGTCGACTTCTATCTGCCAACTGTAGCTTCCACATTTGTCTCTTCTGCATAGTCAAGTTGGCTGGCGAAAATGTATTCAAGTCTTTGTGTCATGAAATTTACGAAATTTAACTATGCAGAAGATGACACTATTTCGGGGGTCCTTTATTTATTTTGCTCTGTCGATAGTTTGTTCTTATCAACCATTCTAATATTCGACCATACGTATTCCAAAATTTATTGAATTAAAAGAACTATAAATAAAATTCCAAACAATTGAATTCTAATTTTCACTGGATTCTAATTGTTCCAATAGTTTTTAATTTTGTTCAGAATAGTTGTAACTCAAGGTACCAATGCATGACTCATTTCGAAATTGAGTAATACATGCTATAAAACAAAGATAAAAACTTGACTTTTAGTTTTAAAGATGTTCTTTATGTTGCAATTGTAAACTATTATATCTTCTAGTTACAGAACTCTATAAACTCTTAACCACCGAAACATTAGAAAATGAATAAATAAAGCATAGTAACAAACAATATATAAAATAAAGTGATCTGAGTCGTACGTCTTGATGGAATGAAATATGTGGTTAAAAACTTTAATTGTTTTGGAAACAAATTAATTTCAACGCGCGAGGTCAAGTGGATGTTCATTTGCGGTGAACTAAAATGACAAGACAAAGGCTCGACAACACATAAACAATTTGTAATGGTTTAGCATGAATAGAAAAAGGTGTGTAGAAAATTTCGAAAATTCGTTTGTAAGAGTCATTTTGTTGGATTTGTAATGTAATAATGATGCATCTTGATGAGGATGGATTCAGCCAATTGGTGAAGAGGACGGATGATCTAGTCTTCCGTGTAGTTTCGGTCCTCATCGCCTTTATGGCATTGATGTCTTCCGTGGAGACGCTATCCAGTACAATGGAGTTCGAGGAAGAATTTATGGACGCTTCATACTATGTTGTGGGTCACGTAATTATATGCGTTTTCAATGAGTTCCAAATAATCTCAGCATTTGCCTTGTTTGTAAAAAAAATTCTTTACAAAAATAAGTATAACATATGCAAATTATAAGCAAAATATATGCAAAACTAAAGTAAAATATAATAAATATGAAAATTTTATCATGTTTTGTTAATTAATATTTCCTTTTAAAAATCATATGATTAAGATTGAGAGTCCCGTATAATTACTTTCAAAATTTAACATTAAAAATAGCATTATTTCTTTATTTAAAGAAATAGATATTAGGTATATGCAAAAATATATTATGTAAGTTGCATTGGATGATATAGAAGTCAATATTTACGTACATCATTGCAAAAGAGAATACCTCGACTTCAAATTGTAGATTAGAATTTGTAGACTTGTAGTGGCCCAGTTTGAACATTAATAAAGAATTTGTAGATCTGTTTGGTTACTTAGATTCCTGAATTAACGATTTTCCAATTTGAACATCGTGCTAGAGTTATCTATGATTGTGAAACAAGATACTATGGTGATGAACTGTTTTTTTCTTCTTTATTTTTTTTGTAATAATAAGACAAGCAATCATTTTGGTTTTATTTCATTTTTTTCTTTTTCTAATCGCTTATGAGTTATGAGAATATTGTCATCCCATCTAACTACTCTCATTTTAACGGTATAGATGCATAATATCAGGTTCGATGCTAAATATAAGCGCATTTCTTCTGAGTAAACATATCTTCAGTTATTGTGTTTGCATTAACAACATAAATTTTAGTGTTTTGTCAAATTTTGAAATTTATAAACTGTACTACTAATTTGTAAACGACCTCGGACTAAAACGGCTGGTCGACTCTTTTCCAGAGTCAACTGGTCAAGCCAATTATATTGTTGCCTCTGTAGATTAATCGTATTAAACAAAAATTGCATTATTGAGGGTTAATTATTTATTATCATTATTTAAGGGTGACAGTATATGATATATTATCCCTTATTTGATTTGTCAATTTTACTGATTCAATGGTTTATTAGTTCGTACCAATTATATATTCCCATTCTCTACATACGTGTTTCGACGGTACTATCTTCAGAATTTCAATTCATAAGGAATACATTGACTGAAACAGTCATTATTATTTGAATATAATATACTTGAGAAACATAAAAATAAATAAATATGTTATTTGGAATCTCTTCGTGCAAAGTGCAAAGTGCAAACCCCTCTTCCTTTTGTTTTTCGAATTACCAAAGTTTTTACATTTTCATAGGCCCTCAACTACATCATGTAATATTGATTATGTCCCAAGCATTCGATCATGTGACCGCTGAGCTTTGTCTAGAGTCCTTTCAAACAGTTTCAATAATAAAAATATAAAAAATTACAAGGGAGTGATGGTATTTAGAAAGAAAAAATATATCACAACACATATTAATGGTAACTTCATTACTTAAAAATAAATTTAAAGAAATTATGCAAATTAACAAACCAAGCGTTGCCTAGACATGGTCACATGTCCACACTTTCATTTGGGTCACAATGAACATAAATCACACGTACGTATTGTATATTAATCACACAAACAAACAAACAAAAAGACGAATAAGAGAATCTTATAGCTCATAAGTCATGCCAACCTTAAGAAGCTTCGACCTTGGAATTGCAAGTGCTTTGTCACCTTCGCGACAATTCTTCTTCAAGAAATTGTAAGCATGGTTCACTATAAACTTTTTAAACAAAGAAGAATCTTTCTCCGCCATGATCTCCGTCTCTCCCATTAGATAAACCATTCCTTTCTCTCTCGCTTTCTCCACAACCTCCGTCTGATCCTCTACGGATTGCACCTGCGCAACTCTTCCCGACCTAATCTTGTTCGACGAAGAGTGAGTGGACCCGATACGCCCGGACGAAGGGACAGAGTTAGACAAAGTCACAAGTGTAGATTCAACGTTTGGTTCCTCTTCTTTCTCCGTCTCTTCCACGTCTTCTCCTCCTCCTCCGGAAATGATGTACTCATGATGTATGAACTCCTTTAAGTAATGAACAAACTGACGCTCAAACTCGTCAGACTCTTCGATGTCTTCTTTGTAACCATACCTCACAACACACCGAAACATTCCAAAATCCTTTGGCTCCACATAACGGAAAAAGAATCGTTCTGATGCGGTTACGCGGTTCACAGGAAGTGTCTTGATCGATATCAAGACGAAAACCGAGTGGACCGAAGAAAGATTGGAGATATAATGAGAGAACAATGGAGTTATACCGTGTACAAGCTCAGTGTAGAAGAGACCGATCCCTGGTACCCGGTTTACGTCGGGTCTTGTGGCCATTTGTATAGCGGTTTCACCAGAAATCTTCTCTTTCAACTCGTACCGGTACTTGAGAACATGAACGTATTGCCAAATCGCCATCATCGTCATCAAAACTATCGTTATCGCAAGCGGTAGATACCCACCGCTCGTGAACTTGTACATAACCGACGAAAGATACAACATCTCTATAGAGCCAAAGATTATCAAAAACATAGCGATCCACACTATGTTGGTCTTCCAAATAACAAGCATTATGAGAGTCACCATAAAGGTCGTTATGACCATGACGGTTACGACAGCTATTCCATAAGCATGACCTATCTTTTCGGTTGTCCTAAAGGCCAGGGTAACCGCGACGCATGCAAGCATGAGGAAGTAGTTGATCTCGGGGATGTAGACTTGTCCCTCGTACTTAGCCGAGGTGTGAACTACTTTCACTCGAGGGAAACAACCCATACGTAGAGACTGTGAGATGACTGAGAAGGCGCCGGATATCATAGCTTGGCTCGCGATGATCGATGCTGCGACCGCCACCACAAATGTCGGCCAGTAAAAAGGATCTGTTAAGTTGCATCCAATGTAATATTGTTAGAAACACATGTGGTGGGTCATTCATTTACTAATAGCTTTGAGTTGGAAGCTTAAAAACATGTGAAATATATACATATATATATATATATTTAATTATATATACACATTCATTAAAAACAGTAATTGTAAGCATTTATATAGTTTGAGTTAAAGTAATTACCTGGGATTGAGTCGTAGAAAGTGTTTGAAACGTTGGAAGTATGTTTAGTGAGGTAAGCAGCCTGCCCGCAATAAATTGTTACTAGCGCCGGATATGCGACACATGAGAAACTAATCTGCAACATTTTTAATTTTGGAAAAATTAGATCAGAGAATTAAAAAAAAGGTATATATGTTTATATGTTGAATGGCCTCAAATGGAATATTGAAAATCACCTGTACGGCTCGAACAGTGAAATGACCTAGATCAGCAAACATGGCCTCCGTCCCTAATTGAACATAGTTACATTAGGATTAAGACAGAAAAGGCTTAATTGCTAGATAATCAAGTTTTGTAGCAAAATCAGTAACACAAGCGTGGTGGCAAAACTATAAATTTTCCATGTGATTTATATAAATAGTAAAAAAAGGGTCGTATCATGTAAAAACACGTAAATCTATGTTCCCTTTATAAAACACAGGCGATAAATGAACTGGCTAATTTATGGTTTTGTCATTGGTCAATTTTTCAGTAGTTTTATTTTATATGGAATCTCACCAGTGATGCAGAGGAAAACACCTCCGAGAGAAATCCAACCCTTTTTACCGTTTCTTCGAAAGTAGTGAATAATATAGAGTGGATTAAGTGCCTTTAGGACGGTAATGTCATGCTTGAACAGATTAAAGAGACCAATTCCGGTCAGAAATGAGAACCATACGAGGATGATCGGAGCGAATGAGAATCCGACTTTATCGGTTCCAAACCGCTGAAATGCGAATAGCAGAATCAAGATTGCAACCGAAACACCGACGACCGTGTCTGCAAATTAGCATCAAATACCATTAGATCACATTTACGTAGGTTACATTATAAAGACACAAGATAGAGGTACAAAAAAAAACGATAATAAATAAGAAGATGAATTTGTTGAGTTTACTTTGCCCAAGCGATTTGATTCCACTTACTGCTGAAAGTACTAGAGTGAAATAAAATAAAACGCATGAAAGTTGTTAGTTCAAAGGTTGTTAAATTACATAAAATTAACTGAAAATTTTTGGACCTCAAGTCAGTCCATAGTTTTGTACCTGAGATAGAAGGAGTAAGTATACCATCACCAATGACCATCGAAGTGCCCATAATAGTGACGAGGAAGAGTGTGATCTTAGCGAATTTGAAGTTTTCGAGCTTCTCTTTGATCTTATGGGCTCTTCTGTGTTGTGTGTTTGGAAGTTCAAGTCTATAGTTTGAGAGCTCACTATCTTCTGGTTCTTGGTTTGGGACTAGTCCCGTTTTTGCATAACGACATATCAATGAGTACAATGCAAATGTTCCTCCTGCATTCACCAACTTTTGTCATATGATTTTCGGCATGTATAACTTTTTCTTATATTATAATTACTTAGTTGCATGTATATCTAATCTATAACACATTGTCTCAATAGTTCAAAATACGAACGTTATGTTAACATACTGTAAAAGTAAAACTGGTTATAAGTGAAAGTTTATTAGTATAACATTATCAATAAAAAATAACAACAATCTTTACATATATAAGTCAACGTCGTACTCGTACGAACTCTAGACGCGCGAATCGCGTCACTTGATACGAGTATTATATAAAATGGTCAACATGCGACATCGTACAAAAAAATATGTATGTAAAATGGCGGACGTGCGTCACACGAGAAAAAGTCTATAGTAATAATTGCGTTTATTATACATTTTCTTTGAAAAAAAAAGAAGGAAATTTTTGATTATTGATTAACTCATTATATATAGATCTACTGAATTAATATTAATGTGGATCCAATAAAAGCGCGACCAGCGTGTGTATACTTCCTTTGGTACCTTAAATTATAACATTACGATAGCATATTCTCATCTATTCGATCATATAGCTAATTAGCACCATGCTTGTGCGAACTACAGAATACTTTTATCGACTATCCATCATATATAATTGACTCATTATTTAGAGTGTAAGTGAAGTTGTACGTTACATTTGTACAAACCTTAACATATTAATAATTTATTTATTTATCCTTCCTAAACTTAGCCTATCCGATGGAGCCGGTGAAAAAAAGGCGATCCAATGAATTGTCCTTTCCTTTTACATGATAAAGATTGTTCTATGTTTTTATGCTTATTTAGCGAAGAATTTCATTTAGTATTTCTAATGCAAAGTTTTATACAAATCATAATTTTATTTTTATTAATTCATTTTTGTTAGTTAGAAAGAAAGTTATATTAACACGATAGTAAAGTATGATAATTGCTTAATATGGTGAAGAAAAACGACACTACGTACTTATAATGAAAGATTAACCGTTTAGAAAAGAAGAAAGAGTACCTTCTCCGTTGTCGTTAGCCTGAAGGACAATGAAGACATACTTGAGAAGCGCGACGAGCGTAAGTGTGTAGATGATGAGCGAGAGAACACCGATGACATCGTCTTTATCATTGATGCCTTCTGTGAAAGTACTTGCGTACACATATAATGGTGATGTCCCGATGTCTCCATACACCACTCCTAGGCTCTGAAATGCCAAACTCATCGTCGTTCTCCAGCTCATCTATTTCATTAAATCAATCACCAATCACCAAAGTTACATATATTTTATGTACATGATCATTGATCTCCATCAAACATAGTATTTAGATACTAACCAATGAGGGAAGATCAGTATTTGTTGGAGTTTTTCCGGCCTCTAGGCTGAAAGAATCCGGCCGAAACAGTTTTCCCCATGATTTCTGATAAATAACCAAATAATAAACACAAGAACTTATATCAATATATACATGGTTGAGCTCTGATAAAAAGTTTCTAATCAAGTATTACTACGATAATTACTCAAGCCATTTCTGTTTTAACTATCACAACATATATAAGTATTCCAAATCGGCTTCTGATCACTTTTTATTGGAAAACCAGATGCTTGTATCAATTCAAACAATACTAGAGATTTGAATTATAAATCTACTTATTTATATATAAAACTTTTAAAAAAAAAGCAGATATCAATGTAGATATAGAGAAAACATTTATAGATAGATGGACAGAAGCGTTAAATAATACCTTTTTTTCTTTCAACATGTTCTCATGGTTATGAATTTCACCATCTATCTGCTGTTCCTCACCATCCATTTTTGTTTTTGTGTTTTAGTATTGTGTGGCAATTGGGAGAGATGAGTTTCTAATTAGATGCGTTTAATAGGTTCGTTGTCCAGTGACCTTTATAGGCGAGTAATGTGCTGACTTCTGATTAAAACAAACACTCAAAAGACACAAGCAGTGTAGGAGTTAAGAGTTAATTTATGTTGTAGGGAGTACGCGTCTCGTACACGGATTGCCGGCGTTTATACTTTATAGTTAAACTTTTAAACTATTTAAATTTACATTATTAACTTTTTCTTTGGAAAGAATCTACATTATTTTATGATGTAAAATGTTTTGGAAGTGAGCTAGAGAGTCGGGTAATTTTGTAGTATCTTTTTGTATGTTAAAACTAAGTTGGTTTTGATCCGAGTTGATATATAAATATAAATACCAGGCCGGTGTAGGATTAGTCCGATCTAGCACCGTTGGTAGATGACACTATCTTGGAGATAGTAAGACAAACAAAAACAAACACTGTCTTTGAATTTAGTACATGATAATAAGACATACAAAAGCAAACACTTATCTTTGAAATTTACAAATTAACTACTACTAATCTATAAACAACCTCGGACTAAACGGCTGCGTCGACTATATATTTTCCAGAGTCAACTGGCCAAGCCAATTAGATTGTTGCCTATCTAAATTAATCTTATAAAACAAAAATTGCATTATTGAGGGTTAATTATTTATTGTCATTATTTAAGGGTGACAGTACATGATATATTCTCACTTATTCAATTTGTCAGCTTTACTGATTCAATGGCTTCTTACCAATTATATTCCCATTCTCTACATATTTGTTTCAACGGTGCTACTTCAGAATTTAAAATCCTTAGGAATACATTGACTTAAATATTCATTATAATTTGAATATAATACACCATGAGAAACATTAAAATAAAAAAGGTTATTTGGAATCATTTTGACACGTCTAGTAACAATTTCGAACCTCAAAATACATTTATCGCATGGAATACATACATTATAGTTCACAATGCACATCTCATCATTAAACGATGTTTCCCTCTTTACAAGCTCGAAAGAGACTAAAATAACACTTGAATCCAAAGTAACTGGTTACTGATTGATCAATATGTCTCTGGATGTGCAAGGAATTGCAAACATTCCTGGATCTTTGGCTTTTGAAATCAATTCTAACCTTTCAAGTGTTGTCGTCGTCCTTCTCTCCTAGATCATCCATTCTCTCTTCTCAATGGTTGTGAAAAGATTAGTAATCTCGTCCTTGAATTCTTGGTATATCTTGAATAAGAGTTTATTCATTTCAATTCTTCTTTGCCTTTTGCATTCTTTGAACCAAACATATTGCAAAACGCATAAGAATTACCTTTGGATATCCCATAAACTGTTCACGTTTGAACCTTGGTAGTTGCAGCATTTCTTGCTAATTGTATTTCAATATTGTGGACATGAGAAGCCAAGCTAGTTATATTTTCATCAAGCTCATTGTAGACTCCATATATCTTGTTGTGAACTTCCGCAAATTATTTCTCAATCTCCGAAATTTTATTTTCTTGTCCATCAATGATATTCTGCATCATAAGCTCCAATTTACTTTCTTGAGGCGGATTGGTCGTTGAGCTAGGTTGTTCTTGGAAGTTTTGATGAATTGCCTTTGTTGATAGCCTTGGCTCACATAATTGTTGAATTGCTTTTATGGGAAGTCATGTTTTCATAGCTGTTGAACTAATTTATTTGGTACGCTAAAGGATCAACAACACATAAACAATTTGTAATGGTTTAACAAGAATAAAAAACGTTTCCAAAATTTGTTTGTAAGAGTCGTTTTCTTTGGTTTTGTAAATGTAATGATGCATCTACAACCTTAATAATTTCTCCACCAAATCCAATCAAAAAATGAAACTTTAAAACCGTTAACCCTTTAAAAAAATAAAAATAGTTAAAACCGTGTCATGTTTACAACACGAAATATATAAACCGTGTCATGTTTTCATTATGTATAACAAACATTACTCTAAATTCTAAGTTCGAAATTCTCAACACACGCTTGATTTCTTAATTTTTCCGCTCTCTCAATATCACCATGGTTAACTTGTATACAAAGTTGATTTTTAGTTTAAAATATGTTCATTATGTTGAAATTGTAAACTCTCAACCACCATACGTAACATTAAATATGGATAAAGCATAGTAACAAACTCCTATAATTAATGTAAAAGTAAGGATGAAACCAACCGTCATTCTGGAATAAGATAATTTTATTTGCGGTGAACTAAAATGACAAGACCAAGGCTCGACAACACATAAACAATTTGTAATGGTTTAACAAGGATAGATTATTTGTTTATACATAATATTAAGATTCGTAGAAAGTTTTACATAAAAATACATAATATAAGATTAAACAATCAGAGAATAAGAATTATATGAATCAATGTAAATATTACAATAACCAATAGAATTGAATACTTAATAACTATAATTAAAACAATAAGCTTAGTATTTAGAATTGAAATTAAACAAATTTGATTAGATATAAACAATTAAATTATACATAAAAAGAAGAGAATTGTTAAAAAAATATTTTACATTAAAAATATAAACAAATTATAAGCAAAATATATGCAAAACATAAGTAAAATATACTAAATATGACAATCTTTATCATGTTTTGCTAATATATACTTTCTTTTTAAAATCATATGCAAATATATTAAGAATAGAGATAACACTAAAATATTATACTCCCTCCGTTTCAAATTAGTTGTCGTTTTGGCAAAATGTATCTGCAAATATTTGGACGTATCTGGACGTATTTTGCATAGTAAATACATCCAAATAATTGCAGATACATTTTCCCAAAACGATAACTAATTTAAAACGGATGGAGTAGTAAATAATTTTATGTATATACTCTATATATGTCGCTTCTCTTATTGGCTTAGTTTTTACCAATTACATATTCCCATTCGTTACATGTATATGTTTCAACGGTACTATCTTCAGAATTTAAATTCATAAGGAATACATTGACTTAAAAAGACATTTATCTGAATATAATATACTTGAGAAACATAAAAAAGAAAAATGTTATTTGGAATCTTTTTGACACGTCGTAAGAAATGGCGTCGTGGATCTTCGGCAGCGGCCAGCGAGTAGGGTTTCAACCCACCGAAAACTGAGGGAGAAAGAGCCACTAAAATGACAAGACCAAGGCTCGACAACACAAAAACAATTAACAAGAATAGAAAAAGGTGTGTAGAAAATTTCGAAAATTCGTTTGTAAGAGTCATTTTCGTTGGTTTTTCTAAATGTAATAATGATGCATCTCCACCAAATGAAATTAAAAAACAAATAGTAAAAATGAAAAAATGTAAAACCGTGTCATGTTTACAAACACACGACGTACGTAGTATATAAACGGTGCATGTGGTTCATTATGTGTATCACAACCATTACTAATTGAAGATCAGCTTCTAAAAAATCCTTTATCAGAAAAAAAAATATATATATATATATCAAAAACACGTTTATTTCTTTTATTTCTCACTTTCTATCACAATGGTTAACTTGATGAAGATTGATGAGGAAGGCTTCAACCAGATGGTGAAGAGGACCGATGACATGGTCTTCCGTGTAGTTTCGGTCCTCGTATTATGGCATTGAGGTCATCCGCTATCCGATACAATGGAGTTGGAAGACTTCATAGACGCTTCATACTATGAACAACTATAAAAATTAAATAATCAGAAAATAAGAATTATATGAACAATGTAAATACTACAATGATCAATAGAATTGAAATACTTAATAACTATAATTAAAACAATTAGTTTAGTAACTATAATAATTAAATTATTGTTAACTAGATGTAAACAATTAATTTATATATAAAAAGAAGAGAGATGTTAAAAATAAAACTTTTACAAAAAAATAAGTAAATATAAGCAAAATATATGCAAATCATAAGTAAAACATAAGAAATATATAAAAAATTATCATATTTTGGTAAAATTATGATATTTTGGTAATATATATATATATATATATATATATATTCTTCTAAAAATCATATGCTTAAAACTGAGAGTTCCACAAGATTTCTTTCAATATTTAACATTTAAAAAAAATGAGTTAATGATGAGTTGCCATGATTAACGAATGCGATGTAGAAAAAAAAAAGAAAGTGAATATGATTTCTTTATTTAAAAATAAAAAAATGTTGGATATATACAAATATGTTATGTTAGTTGAATTAAGAAGATGACATGTCATAAAATGTAAAAAATAACACATTTCAGTTTTATAAGAGATTGTGAATAGAAGTAACCTTAAAATATTAGAGTGGATAATTTGATGTACTGTCTCTTAGTTTTCAGTTTTCACCAATTATATTCCCATTCTATACATTCTATACATGTATTCTTGAGAATTTAAATTCATAAGGAATACATTCACTTAAAAAGACATTATTATTTGACTTTAATATACTTGAGAAGTTGAGAAACATTAAAATAAAAATGTTATTTGGAATCTTTTTGAAACATTAAAATCGACTTTGCATGATTTTTCACTAAAATAAGTTTAACTTTGCAAGCAAATCACTAAAATGAGACATTAACTTTGCAAACAAATATATATTTCTCTCTTTTTATTCTTTCAAACTCAAACATCAAAGTCTGACATAATACATGAAGTTGAAACTATCAAGTTCACAATGCACATCTCATCATTACTGCAAGAACTCCCTTGGATCAGTGACACGGCCGGTCAAAGCCGAGGCTGCAGCTGTGTAAGGAGAAGCCAAGTAGATCTGCCCTTCTTTGTGTCCCATCCTACCAGGGAAGTTCCTGTTCGTCGTCGAAACACAGACCTGTAACACGTTTACTCTGTCAGTTTCTCCACATATACAAATCTCGTCTGTGTTTGAGCATTTATAGAGTTAACGATGATTTACTCATTTTCAAGTATAGGCGCAGGGTAAAATAATTGGATAAGGTAAGGTAAGAAACAGATGCATACTTGAGGTTCGTTCAAACGGGCGTAGGTGTCTGCTGGGCCACCAAGGCAAGCACCACAGCTAGGACTGGCTGGTGTGTCACAGCCAGCCTCTTCGAAAATCTGCGCACATGTCTTTCCGCCAGCTCCTGGCACCGGGAGAGCATACACGTCCATCCAAACCTGAAGAGATGACCAGATAGATACAATGCATTTGATATTTGTATTATGTGATCAACCACAAGCAAATTCACTTGAGATGGTAACAGTGTCGAGATTGAAGAAGTGCTAACCTTTTGAGTAGCCGGGACAAGGAACGTTGGGACTTTGACCTGCTTTCCCTGCAATTACACAAGTAGATTATCCATGAGGCTAAACGGCAATCAAATAAACATATCAATCTGATGAGTCTTTGCTTTAGATCAAAAACGATTACAAGATGATGTATTGTTAAGCAAAGCATGTCAAACAAAGAGACGGAGAACAAGTGGAACTTACTGCTGCGTGTAAAAGTTTAGCTGCAGCCATAAAGTCTTCCGTCTTCCCACCAGTACAAGAGCCGATGTATACTCTGTCAATTTTCACATCTTTGCATTCTCTTGCTAGAGCGCGGTTGTCAGGAGAATGAGGCTGAAAAATAAAACATTGACCATAGCGAATCAATTATAACTACCGGAAGCGGCAAAAATAACTCAAAATGTAAAAGGTTACAATGATAAACCCACCTTAGCCACCACAGGCTCTAGCTTTGACACATCAAATCTGTAATCTGCGACAAAGCTGTGGAAGAAAACCAAGGAAAAATATGATTACAGAAGAAAAGGTTAAACAACAAAGAGATAACAATAAAGGGAAATCCCAAACCAAAACATAATAACATTATTTGATGATAGACAATTCTATCAAGTATCAAGTTGCGTTACTCATATGAACATTGGTTTGAAACATGTTTGTTACATATCCAGAGCATTGAGGTATTCTGCACTAGCAATTCAACTATAGGGACCAGAAATGGTTTGAAGACTGTACCTTGCATTTCCATCACTATATACTGACTCAAAGGGTACAGATGTCCTATTCTGCAAAGATATAAGAAAAAGGAGTATACATGCCTCAGCAAAATATTCATTGACAAAAAAATGATTTAAAAGAAAACAAGACAGCATACATACCTCAACGTAATTTAATGTCGTCGCATCAGGGGGGATGACACCATTCTTTCCCCCAGCTTCTACAACCATGTTGCACAATGTCATTCTTTCTTCCATCTAGCAGCCAAACAGATGGAAGCAAGGATTAGTAAATCAGTGAAGTCATTATAGGCCAAAACTTATTGTATGTAGTCTCATAGGAAAAGGGTGCAAAAAAACAAAACAATTTCTTACAGTAAGACTTTCAATAGTTGTGCCACTGAACTCCATAGTCTTGTAAGTTGCACCAGCAACAGAGATTTCACCAATGATCTACAAAGTTCGAAGCAAGTTCAATATCCAGAATGAAATGCCAGACAGAATGCGGAAACTGAAAACTTAAAAATAGCTTTGAACTATCAATTTAGAATGATCTCAGATGCTGGAAAAATATATAAATGCTGTCAGACATATAACACTCACTTGTAAGATCAGATCCTTTGCTTGTAAATAACTGGGCATTTCACCATCCAAAATAAACCTCATTGTTGGTGGAACCTGAGAAATCAGGATACGAGCTTCAGAAACTATCGTTGGGGTCATAGAAGTTGGACCAGGGGAAACTATTCTAACAAGCCTTTTGTCAAGTTGCAATAGGCATCAGTGGTTTACATTAAACAGACTGAACAAGACTATAGCATAGATAAGCAAAGGAATCAACTATTAAACAAACCTTAAGGAGGATTTTTCCAGTGCCCAACACAAAACCTGCATCAGTGTTTCCAATCCCTGTAGCAAACTGACCAAATGCTCCAGCAGTGCATGTGTGTGAGTCTGTTCCTAACAAAACCTACATAATAAGGTAAAATGTCAATTAGAGCAGAAACAAACAAAGCAAAGATCAATCAGAAAAGAAAAAAAGCAACGCCAATTGTTACCTCTCCAGGCCTGCAATGACCTTCTTGTGCAAGTGCGACATGGCAAACACCTTTGTAGTCAGGATTTGCCTACAGATGAGAGTAAAAGAAAACCACCAAAACGTCATACAAATGCAAGAAAGATAGAAATTTACACAACACCCAGTAATGTTCAAAACCATCATACCCGGAAATCTCCAAGGTCGGTGATATCATAGAAATACTTAATGTTCTGTTCCCTGCAATGCTCTCGCATAATGTCCACGTTCCGGTTTGCTCGCTTATCAGCTGTGAATATGTAATGGTCTGGTATAACAACAATCTTCTCCGAGTCCCAAACCTATAACAAGTAAGCAAGCAACAATCACATTAGGTGAAGATGCAACAGTGATCAAACGTACTTACAACAACCAATGAGAATCACTCAAGCTTCTCAAGTAATTGACAACAATACAACAAAGCAAGATAATCATAGCAAGATTCAAAACCTATCAAAAGTTCTAACTTTGGATAGTAAATATCAGCAAGAACGCAACTTCAGAAGAAAACAGATGACATGGAGACATTACCTTAGCCTTTTCACCGAACTCTTTCTTGAAGATACCAAAAGCACCAGGGCCACAAACATCATGAGTCATAAGAACATCAACGTTAACCCAAATGTTATCACCAGGTACCACTTGTGATCTCTCTGATGCCTTTGCCAGAATCTTCTCCGTCATTGTCATCCCAGTTTTCACCTGTAAACGAAAAAAAATCGAAAATCCCAAACAAAATCATGTAAGCAAACTGACGCAAGAAATGAATTAAAAAAACAAAAAAAAAAAAAAAAAAAAAAAAAAACGAGAGAAGAAGAAGAAGAAGCTCAAACCGATCCTGTGGTGCTTGGTGACCGCAGCGGAGCCATCACGGAGACGATCTGCCGCGAAATCGATTTCTTCTGACATCTGTGAATCGATATCTGCGATGATTTCGGAAACGAAGAAAACCCCAAATCCTTCTGCGCGGAAATTAAGAAATGGTAAGCTAAGATTCCAGAGAAAATGCGAAATCGAGAAATCAAGGATGATGAATGATGATTAAACCTTGGTGGATTTGCAGACGAAGGGAGAGGAAGAGATTACAGAGGAAGCCATGGTTTCTTCTTCAGGGTGTGTGCGCTGCGATGTTTTGGCGAAGATTTGAGGCGCGTGTTAAACCTAAGGTTATAAATTCGACTTTTTTGTTTTTTTTTCAATTACAAGTGTTTGTATGACACAAAAGTATGCGTTGACTGATTGAGAAAGAAAATTAAAAGAGTCTTTAGGTTGGTGACAAAAAAATTTCTTAATCACGTGATAAGTGTAACATTTTTCTCTTCTTGTTTTTTGCTAAATTTGTTGTCCCGACAAATAATATGTTTATGCATATTAAATTTTAAAAGGAGTTTACATAATCAGAAAACAACGACAGGTTGATATAAGAATTTGGTCCGACATTGCAGAAAAGGGAGAGAAAAAAAAACTATAAGCACTTACGAAAATTACTAAACCAATGATAATCCAATACCTCTTATATGTGAGCTTACAATTAGGCTTTTCCAACAACGAACGAACAGTCTACATGACTACATCTACTTCTCCAAGTCCAGCTTCTTCACCATGGACCTAATACGAAATACTGGGCCTAGAATACACATTCTTATATTTGTTTTATTTAATTTTCAGGCTTTAATTGTATATCACATGGAACAAGTTGTGTTTTACGCACTAAACTAAGCAAAAGTTTAGTTGTATCACGTTCTAAGTACAATTCTAGACATTGACATTTGACCTAACCAAAAGTCTCCTCCTCAACACACATACAACAAACAAATAAACAAGATATTCCTCTTTTGTCTATCTTTTCAGAGATCTCATCGATAATGGATGAGCTCCACGAAGTGGCGACTGCTTATTACAACAACGGTTCCATGGAGCAACAAAATTTGGCGTGGCTGTTTTTCCGGGCAATGGACGTTGACGGTAACGGCCGAGTAAGTATTCAAGAGTATACCGAATATTACTCATTCAACAAAATATTACTAATCTAACACCCACTAAAAAATGTTAACATATTTTTTTCCCTTCACAAGTCACAACGACAAAATTATGTGTTAGTTTTCTCAGAAACTTGAACAACCCATGGTGGTAGTCTGGTCGAGTCAAGTGTGTTAGTGTTGGGTTTAACCCCAAACCTAGTTCACTGTGGAAGCCCACGTAGATTGACAAATTGATCATTACAAAGCCCAAGCTGCGTCAAAAAACGAGTAATTTGAAGTCTATTCTCTCATAAACAGCCATTCGAAAGAGAATGTCTCTCTTCTCATTAATTTCTCATTTTGAATCATTGTAGACAATTTCTTCTATAGTTTTTCTTTTTCTTCTTCTTTTGGGTGTATTACATGCATGATTACATCTTTTAGTACATTGTCGTCACTCGTCTACAACACCTATATTATGGACTACACCAGTTTAGAGGTTATATATTCTTAATTGTTAATGTTCTGCGTCGAAGTCACGTAAAAAATATTAGAATATTACGACATTATTATATGCAAGCTTAAACGTTGTGATGATACTAGTTCAGCAATATAAATAAATACAAAGTAGTGAGGATGTTAAATCAACTTTTGTGCTAATTAAGAAATGGAAATGATTATAATCTCGTTGTGCCTAACAACCCTCTTAGCCTTTCTCTTCCTAAAATCAGTTCTGAAACGAACTGCCAACAACAACCTAAACTTACCACCATCTCCATGGCGACTTCCGTTGATCGGAAACCTCCATCAGCTCAGCCTCCACCCTCACCGCTCCATCCGTTCCCTCAGCCTTCGTTATGGGCCACTCATGCTCATTCATTTCGGCCGTGTCCCCATCCTCGTAGTCTCCTCTGCCGATGCAGCTCATGAAGTCATGAAAATACAGGATCTTAAGTTTGCCAACCGCCCGAAATCACAAGTTATCAAGAAAATTCTAAATGGTGGTAGAAATTTGGCCTTTTCTCCCTACGGAGAATATTGGAAGCAGATCAAGGTATTTTGTTTTGTATGTCCACATATATGACTAGTTTCATTTGCAGCTTATTAATTAAGAGTATGGTATTTACATGTATATTCCAGATCTGAATGACTACTATACTGTATCTTCCTTATAAAACAAAACTAAAAATAAAAAATAAAAAATCTAAAAGCATCATTCTGAATATGAAGTAATTGTACTGAACTAGTTCCAAACGTTTGTGTTTTTCATTTATGAACATGTTCCAAATTTTATTGGGCTGCCTGCAGAGTGTCTGCGTTTTAAATCTTCTAAGCAACAAAATGGTTCGGTCTTTTGAGGAAGTAAGGGAAGAAGAGATAAATTTAATAATGGAGAAATTGGAGAAAGCGAGTTCTTGTTCTTCACAGGTAAATCTAAGCGAACTTCTTGGGACTTTGACGGTGGATGTGATATGTAGACTTGCCTTGGGAGGAAAATATAGCGGCTGTGACGAGAGAGGGGAAATTAATTTCAGGCACATAATAAGGACGTACATGGAGCTCTTGGGCACGTTTCCTGTCGGCGAATACATTCCTAGTTTGGCATGGATAGATAGAATCTGCAATCTAGATGGTAAAGTGAAAGACGCAATCAACAAGTCTGACAGTTTTTTGGAAAGAGTGGTGCAAGAACATGAAGTAGATGATGGTGCACACAAAGAGAGATCAGATTTCGTTGATATTTTGCTATCTGTTCAAAAAGATAAGACTATGGGATTCGAGTTTAACAGAAGCGACTTAAAAATCATCCTCCTTGTAAGAAAAGCAACTTTTCCTTTGCCTTCATTTTTATTTTATTAAATTAACACTATATATTCATGTTTAATCAGGATATGTTTATTGGGGGAACATCAACAACTTTCACACTAATGGAGTGGACGATGACAGAACTTATGAGACATCCTGAGTGTATGAGTAAACTCCAAGAAGAGATTCGTTCAAATTCGCCGCATAATTTATACGTAAAGGAGGAAGAAGTGGAGAAGATGACATATTTAAATGCTGTGGTCAAGGAGGCTCTCCGGTTGCATCCTCCGGCTCCGTTACTTCCCCGACTATTAACTGAAGATGTTAAATTAAAGGGATACGACATTGCTGCTGGAACACATGTAATATCTTTTTTTTTTTTAATCTCATATGACTCAGCCTAAGTAGTGACAAAGATGATTTTAAACTTACTTGGAATTTGTTTTGGAACATAGGTATTTATCAATGCTTGGGCAATTCAACGAGACACGTCTTCTTGGGGACTAGATGCTGAAGAGTTTAGACCAGAGAGGCATCTAAATTCCCCTTTGGATTTCCAAGGACAGGATTTGAAGTTCATTCCATTTGGGTCAGGGAGAAGGATTTGTCCTGGAATCCGGACTTCGTTAGCCTTGGCAGAGGTGACACTTGTCAACCTTGTGAAGCGTTTCAACTGGAGAGTCGAGGTCGGACCACTGGGAGATGGTATTCCTGATTTAGTCGAAGCAGTTGGTATTGATGTTTGCCGCAAGTTCCCTCTTATTGTTTTTCCATCTTCAGCTTTTTCGTTCACGTAAAACTCTGTTTACTTTTTCTTTTCGGTCTTTTTGTTTTTATTTTGTGTGTTTCCAAACCGTACTTATTAATAAGATACCTTTGTAGTGCAATCTGATGGGCGTTCAAGAACCACATTGTAGAACATCAAACCGAACATGTTGTCCTTGTGGTTTTGCAGAAGATAAGATTGTTTGTCCAAAAGAAAAAGTGTGATTTGGGAAGACATTTTCAATGGATTGATGGGCTGCCTCGTTTAGTTGTTTTCCACCGCCTGTCGTCCAAAGTTTCTCATTTTATACAACTTTCTCATCTTTCGCGATTTGTTACTTCTATAAGTTCATTGCATTCCTAAACACGTTCCCAAATCCAATGTAAGTGAACGTAACCTCGTATTTGTGAGCGCATTTTGGCGAGATTTTGAATCCTTGCTCTGTTTTTCTCCAAGTCCACACTTCTTTAAACTTATTTTACTGTGGATAATAGAGTTCGGCTTGATGTTTCACCAAAATAAGCCTTAAAATCGTTTTTGGTGGGAATATTCATAGAAAAAAACTGAAAACTCTTAATTGTTTTTTTTTTTTTTTCTTTTTGTAAATCTTGCTTGGATTATACTTTTGCATATGCTAGAACTTGTTCTGATACCAATTTGCCATAAACATATAATAAATGTATAAGAATACGATACAAATTTAAGTAGTGGTGCACTACCGATGATTTATATAGAAGGGAGAACTTTCATAATACAAGAATGATTAGGATTTAGGAATAACAAGAATATTACTCCAGAGATGGTTTTGAGCTAGCTCGTTTAGGTCTAAACAGAGAACTTGAGCCCAAAAATCTGATTTTGTAATTTTTGAGTTAACCAGTAAGTCAATCTGTTTGTACTCTGATAGATACAAAGACAAAACAAATTGTGTTTACTCACTGTCTCACTCTTCCAAAACATATAAAATATATTCAAGGCAAAAATGGTAAGTATTATATTATGATGGCGATTAATTAACGGTGATGGTGTTATAGTGATGATGTCATGATCATGACGATATCACGATATGTCATTGAATCTAAATAAGATACTAAAGACTTTTATTATAGTTTGACAGAAAAAAAAAAAAGTTGAGTTTATATTCTATAAAAAAATATATTTAATGGTCGACCCATAATAACTTGAGAAATACCTAAAATAAACTTAAAAACTTAGATGAACAAAATAGAATCATAAGATTTTTATTCTAAAGTGGACAAAATAATTTTGTTAAAAATATTTTTTTACACTAAATAAGTTTCATATAATATTAAAACCTTATGGTTTTTTGGGTTTACCATCTTTCTCGAAAAAAAATCTAATTTATGAATTATTTGTTTACCCTAAATAATTTTTATATAATATTAAAACTCTAATAATTCATAAATTAGAGTTTATATTTTTGGATTGTTTACAGTTAAAAAAAATTGGGGGAGGGGGGGGTTCAAAATTAAAACAAAAAAATTATTATACTAGAAAAAAAAACATTATTAAAAAAATCTAAATCTACAAATTTTTTTGTAGTAAAAACTAATCTTATAAAGAAACTATTAAATTTCGTCTAGTATGTAAATGACAAAATTTGAAGATAGAAACGAATATCAAGTGTCATAGTTTATTTGTTTACTACAGAATGTAAAGAACATATATATAAAAACAATTGGTATATTAGTTATTTAAGATATAACTTAGAAACAAATCCCTAATATATTAAAAGAGAAAACACTTTAAAAATAACCTTTAGTTGATGTGTTATTAACAAGAATGCCATGCTGATGTGTCATCATTAGGGAGCTTCTCATGTTATTTATAAAATAAGGATTAGTTTACTAGACTAATTACAAACATTGTCATTCATATTTTTGGTTAGAGAATCAAATATGTATAGTTAGATTAATCATATATGAAATTATTAATAAAAGAATCATCATTCTCTTTCCTTAATTGGCAATTACGAAAATTAGTAAATAAGGAAAAATATGAGATTCAATTTAATGCTATCATTATATTTTTTTTAAATCATTCTATATCTCCTTTCATCTTTGTTTAACTTTATTTTATAAAATAAAAAATTGACACAATACAAAAAATCTAATAAATAAAATCTAAAACTTTTTCTATATATGCTATGATTTGAATTTTTAAAAACAAAATAATCACTAAAACTATTAAAATTCCCAATATGTTGTTGTGTGTAGGTGTAAAAATATATTATAAAAAATAGATGATATGCAACCATGTAAGTAGGAGAGTAGGTATCTAAATGTAATTTTTTTTAAAATATTTTATATGATTTTTTAGTTAAACTGTATAATGAAATCAAATAAAATAATATTTTTTATAAATGTATTTAATTTTGATCAAAAATTTGAATATTGCTCCATTTGTTTCAATTTTTCAGTACAAAATTACTTATACTTTTGTTATTTTGACAATTTGGATTTTGCAAGATTGATCTTTTATTGGTTGGATTGTTTTGGAATTATAATAAAACATGTTTTAGTTTTAAAAGAAATAAAAAAAGTTAGTTCTAATCCGTGTAAACACCTAAAACTTTTATCTTCTTATCTTATAAAATATACTCATTTGAGTTTTATGTATTTTGCTGAAGTCTAGCATATTTAATCTATAGTCTAGCATATTTAATCTATGTCTATGATCAATGTTTTAATTTTTAAAATGTTTAATTTCCACATTATAAACGAAGATAAAAACCTTAACAAGGTAAAAAAATCTGTCACATAAAATTTTGAAATAGTTAAATATACATTTTTAATTAAAAAATACAAATTCAGAAACCATCTCCCCGTGCAGGGCGCGGGTCAAACTCTAGTCTTGTAAGTAAACTAAAAAAAAAAAGAAATTTCAAACAATGTGAGTCTCAGGGAATCTAATCACATGTTACAATTCAAAATCAATTGTTGTAAAGTGGCCACTAGTGGCGATGAAAGTCATAGATATTTTATTTTTATTCTTTTTAATAATAAACTAGGGAACGTGTGGCTTTTATCTTAGTTTTTTATTTGCTTTCATATGGAATTTAACTTATATAAGAAAGACTGAGAATTAAAGAAAGAATAGTAGTCTAGAAGACCAAAAAAAAGTCTTATTTTATCATATACTAAGCTGGCAGGTCACAATTGCTGTTTATTGTATATTTTCTTAAGTGAGCCACTCTTTATTTCAGGAAAATACGAAATACACTGTATCCCATATAAGCGTGCATGTTGTGACGAATCAAAATCAATTCATGTAAATGTGGTTATTTTCTGACTGGGACTTATGTACAAATGTAGATATAATCCAAAAACACGCATATTCCGATGCTGCCACAAAAGGTCATGTGACTGTGTCCCTTGTTCCTTTTGTAAACAGCAATAATCTTCCCACTTTCTTTATCAAAAATAACCTTTCGAATGTAACTGAAAGTTCGAAATTTCGAATAGTTAGAAACAACTGTTTTGTATAAACCAAGTCACCTTGGTCTAATGGTAAAGGAACTTTAGCTGGAGTGCCCGTCTTGGGTTCGAGTTGTCTTGGCCACAACGGATTTAACATCCCTTCCGTTGGGGTCCTGGACCCCTTTCGAGGGGATAGTCGGTTCCTGTTCGGGTTTGATCTTTGAATAACTGGATACAGCTGGACAAAGCTCGAACCATCGGTTCGGGCCCCAGGACTGGTCGGTGACCGTTCGGTCGATTCCTCATATCCGGATACCAGAGATACCAAAAAAAAAAAAAAACTGTTTTGTATAATTCTTTTTTCTGTTACGACCAATTTTGCCATGCACGAAAGGGAAAACTGTTTCTTTTTTTCTTTGTGGTAAAAATCACGATTTATTCTTTTCAAATTCAGATTTTGCATGTGAAGCTTAAAAAAAAACCAAGGCTAACGATCCTGATGAATAAAAACCAAGAAGGCCAAATGATCCAAAATCACATACTTTAACATTTCATCCCTTTTACCCTTGTTAAACATAGCATTCTATACTTTGAATCTTTGATTAGTTATTAACCTCTTAATTTACAACGCCGCAAATTTCATCAGATTAATGGCTTCTACTCATAATCCATAAATAATTTAGCATAAACATGCAATATTCAAACAGGCTCAAAAGCTAAGAACATGAATAAGGTTGTTCGAATACGGACGAACATCCTTCGAATACCAAAGAAGGAAACAGGGGCGAATCTACCTTACAAGCAGGAGGGGCAGCTGCCCACCATGGACATGTAAGAGAGAATTTGAAGACATTGTGTTGCCACAAGTTCCATCGTCCCCTTAGCCGACCTAACATATTTCATGGCTCTCATAACATATTTCATATCTAGTTATGTAACTTTTGTTGGATTTATATATTTTGAATGCAACAGAAATAAAGGTGTAAGTAATCATGGGTTGATCTTATGCATAAAAAACAACCACGATCGCATTTTTACGTATTCATAGGCACCAATCAATATCATAACAACAAACCCAAAAGCTTGTTGTTTACATGGTGTAATAAAAGATATTCCAAATAAAAGCTACAGACGTGAATATAATAATAATTATAAATAAAAAAGGACATTCTGGCCCAGTCGACTACATAGACCCTCCCTCAGACATGGATCTCATCGACGAACAAGGAAGTAATATACTCGTAGATTTTTACTTCGGGAAAGGTGTATCCTTCGTTTACATTGTAGGTGACGTTGATCATGCGTGCAAGGTTGATGACTGTCTTGAGAACCTGCCGTGGAACTTCACATTTCTTCAACATCTCCTCGTTTAATGTCTTATCGGCTTCTGCAACCATTTTATGAAGCTCCATATAGGCTTTCTTTTCTGTAACTCCATATTGGTTCATATAGCAGTTGACTCCAGTAGTGAAATTTCCTCTGCTCATATCATCCTAATCATTATGTGTGTAAGTTAGTAAACAATTAAGGATGTCATATTGAAAACAATTTAATTGTAAACGTCACACACTTTTCTGCTGTTATTTTAATATGCCAAATAGCTTACAATTTGCATATGTCATTTTAACAGAACCTCATGTCCAAAAATGTATAAATATAAGGCAATTGACCAAATGGGACTAACAAAATATAGCTTCATAATTTTTGTTTTTTTGACAAAATGGACTAACTTTAACATTTAAATGATTCAAAACTTCTCCTTAAACCCAAAAAAACTAAATCCGAAATCCTAATTTGGGAAAAACAAACTCAAACACAATGATTTAATTTATATGATATTTATTTAGGGTAAACACCTGTTTTTCATAAAATTATTTAGTCAATTTTTTTTTTCAAAAAAAACTTATGAGTTCATTTTGGTCACACATCCTATTTTAAAATGTATTATAGCTAGAGTATTTCTCAAAAGTATATGTCCTTCAGAAGAAAATATGATATGTCAATACGTACATATATATGCTTATATAGTGTATTTTGACATATCAAAACAGAAATGAAAATTAAATAAAGTCAACTACAGTCTACAGACATCATTTCCAATTAGTTTTAGGATTGAGAATATCTACAGAACGCAAGACACAAAACACAGGCGCATCATAAATTGTCTAAAAGAAAAGAAAAAAACGATTTATGTATGTGTACCTCGAAACCAGCCATGTCATTCCTAAGACGTCCTTTAGTAGATAAAATCTGGGTGATCTTGGGTCTGGATTTGAGCCACTCATGCGCTTCTTTTGAAGCGATATGTCCCATAACCATCAAAGTCCCTGCCAATGTCACATACACTGTGACCTCAACCTCACCAACTTCCATGTAATCTTCAAAGCTAGGCACGTGACCTGCTAGCGCCCATTTGGTGAAATCAAGGTTGGCTTTCACGAGTGTCTTGAACTGCATGTTGAAAAGTAAAAAATCCGTATTGAGATAGTATTTTTTTTGTCTGAATCGTTTTATAGGTAAGAGCATCTTCATTTGTGGGGGAAACTCCTTCTGAGGTTTTCAACTACTATATAACTTATGCCTTCATTTAGCAAAAAAAAAAAAAAAAAAATATATATATATATATATATATATAACTTATGCCTTTTTTCAAAAATAGAAAAATCTACTATATAACACTAATATTTTAATATAATGAATTTACATGATTAAATTTGAATTTAACATAAGAGAACTAAACCAATGAAAAAGAAACAAGTGTAAAATAAGGTTTTTATGGCTATCGCAAAAAAATCTCATTAGAGAACCTCTTCTTAAGTTCTTTCTCTTAGTTTTTTTTATTTTTTTTATTTATTCTTTTCATACCCTTTGAAAAACTCCCTGATGGGATGTTCTAAGCTAATGGTAATTTTTTTTTTCCGGTATAAGAAATGCGAGTTTTGAAAGGCTAAGTTCTTAATTAGACTTCCAAAGGCATAGAATAATATAACACAAAGAAGAATGTTTCATTGGTTACCTCTTCTATTGTGGCTTCCACATCATAAGATCTTCCCTCAGGCCTCAGTTCTCTTTCAAACTCTTCGAAGGCATTCAATATAAAATTAAACACAAATTTCAAAAACTCTGGTTGTCTACCCATGGCATCATCCGAAGCCCATCTGCACATGGTTGTCATAATTATCAACAACAACGTCTACACCATTTGTGTATATCTCGAATTATAACTAGTGTACCTTTCCAGGCTATTGACGAGACTTTTGGCTTCAGCAAGAGAAGCATATCTATCACACGTGTCATCTAGAATTGTTAAAACCTTGAAGAACTTAGTCAGCATAATCCTTGCACTTGAGAATTTTGGCTCGAAGTACATAGCTAGCACAAAGAAGTGCAGTTCAACAATTCTATCTCTATAGAACGGCTGCAAATTAGATGCAAAGTCGTGGTCCTTATACCATCTTGCATCCAAACACATGATGAAAATAACGTAATGTTAAGAGGGTTATTATTATTTGAATTAAAAAAACTAAAACAAATAGAGGGTTATTAGCCAAAGCTTAAAAGGTATATATATTTAAATACTAGTATTTGCAATTATATCATACTTTGTAACGATTTTGAGTTCTTGACGGTAATGGAGCTGCAGTAACTTTAAATTTAGCTTTGAGAACTTGAGTATCATCTCGTCATGATCTACTTCGTTCTCGTAGAACGGGATGTGCTCAAGTGCTACTAATATTTCCATGTTCCAGTGCTGAGATAGAGCTAGAGCATTTCGGATACGCGTTGCGAGGTGAGGTGGGCACGTTCCTCCTGCAACCAACGACTCCAAGTGGATCGAAGTGAAGCTCAATGCTTCGTCCAGTATATAGTCTGTCGTTGTTCTCAAGTTTGCAGCTTCGTACAAGCTCAAGATACCCTTGGCATCGTCGACAAGACATTCCTTAAACTTCACATCGTCCCCTTGGAATCTCTTGAAGACATCTATATATTGGCAGATAAATAAACCTTGTTATTCTAATACGTTTATAAAATATTGCTTTTGAAAAGCCTAGCTAAAGAGTCCTTACCGGAAGACATGTTGTGACCATATGTCCTGAACACCCAGAAGAGAATGGAAACTGTGTATAAATCCTTTTCACCAGCAACCATATCCTCTATCTTTTTAAAACTCTGTAGAAGATTCCCATTGATCTCGTCCTCAAAGTGATAAGCCAGACCCAAGCTTACCAGCAAATAAATCAAAAGAACTTTGTTCTTCTCATCGTCCATGGTTTGGGGTTCGGACATGAGGACTTCCTTCACATTCAGCTTTAGCATCTCGATCTCCTTCTCAACTGCACTCATTTCCTATTGAAAAAAAAAAAATATGGATGTATACTAATTATATACATGCATTGATCTCTCAACAATATAAACACTCAACTATATATACTCCCCTCCGTTTTATAAGAACATGAACTTTCATTTGAGGTTTTCCAAACGAATTAAGAATACAAATTAGAATTTCCTAAATACCTTAATATACTATACCATTTCGTTCTCTAATTATAACACTAAATTAATAAAGATAAAAACTGAAATTTGTTTAAAATTATGCTTTTAAAATCTAAAACGACACTTATAGACTCACCGAGACATCATCGTTAACAGAGTGGAAGAAATGAGTCCATTGAGAAGGTGGCAACTTCTTGAAATTACGAATGTTAGTTGCTTCAGCATCGACGTACAAAGGAGGGAAAGTCGGAGGAGAGGCCTTCAAACGCAATTGCTTTGCTGGCTTACCAAGAACTGATGTCGGAAATAAGTTGGTCCGAGAAGGAAGAGAGAGTTGCGATCCAAAAGCTGTTATGGTTTTCATCTTCTCCACTATATTGAATAATTTGAATCCATTTCATCAACACCAAATTTATAGGAATAGTATCCCATGTGTTTTTTGTTTTTTTTTGGTCGACTTTACTTATTTACACCTAATGCATATTTTTCCACAATCAAATATTAAATTAAAACTTCCTCAATAGTAAGCCAATTGGGAGGACAGAGTTTACAAACATGTTTTTTTTTTTGGTCGTGGAGTTTACAAACATGTTTAAGCGGGTGTCCGGTCGACCCATGCAGTCGAGTTTTTCATGGATCGTAAGTAAATCAGGATTGGGTCGAGCGAGGTGAGACAGGTCCAGCTATTAGATCAGTCTTCGCCTAAACCACTTTGCCAAATTACTTGAAAGTTAAAAAAAAAAAAAAAAAAAAAAAAAAACTTGAAAGTACTTTTATTGCGCATATGTCATTGCTTATTTAACCCTTTAATTTACCAAAAAAAAAGGTCATTGCTTCTATTTATTGCTTCAGCCACGAGCGTGGGTTAGTTAAAAATTACTATTTCGAGTTTTGGATGACACTTAAGTGTCTCTAAAAATAAAACTATGAATTGTGTACTGTAGCCCATCAATCCCTATGAATTTCCCAAATATCCAACGTTTTAACCATATTGCCTCTAGGAAGTAAAATATGAGTTTTGGTCAAAAAAAAAAAAGTAAAATATGAGTATTCTAGAACCCATAAGGATTTTTAGGTTGTTCACTGCATAAAATTTTCTATAATAAACTAGACGTAAAAAACAAAAACTATTTTGGAAAAAAATCACAAATTATGTCACAGGTAGATTAAAAGCCTGTGTCCGAAAATTATTTACATGACCTCAATTTTATTTTCTCATTTAAAATTTTATTTATTATTTTGAAACTGCTAACCAAATATTTAGATTTTAAGACTTCTTTCAAAAATATATTGGTGCTCTAAAACTATATTCAAATGTATTTTAGATATTATAAGATGCCAAAGCACCTAAATAAGCATATTTGATAAGGCTGGCGATGAGTGATAGGCTTCTACGTACATAAGCATGAACGTCATGCGTCAAACGTCATGTGTCATGTGCGTCATGTGTATATCTAATTTATTCTTCATACTTCCACCTACTATTCGAATATCTTAAAAAAAAAGAAAAAAAATATGGATATAGTTAGAAAATGAACACTAAAAAATATATATCATTGTTATTATACTACTTTTCAAAGTATCATTGTTTACATTGCATGCTTTATTAAAAAAAACTTTTATCGCCTGGCACAGCAATTGATTTAAATAATAAGATGTGAGTAGGTTCCGAAAGACAAACACAGTTATCTTCCATCGTATATTTATAATTATTAGATATTTTATTTTATTTTTGTTCTGAAAATTAGATCGAAGTTTTTCGAATTTTTATTAGTAGTTATTATATTTGTTTTCTTAATTTTTCGAAGTGTCCTTTTTTTTGTCGAATCGTAATTCTTTAACAGAAAAAAACACTTCATAATTTCCACGAATAAGAGTGCTGTATTTTTTTTGTTTAAAGGAAACGGCGATTGCGATCAGGTGTATATTAAAATAATGGTGCATAAGTACACTCGGACACCAAGATTACTAATATTTAATTGTCAGTCTTTCTTATATAAGCTAAATTCTTGTATTGTTAGTCGTTCTTATATAATCCAAATTCTTTAATTATCAGTCTTTCTTATATATGCTAAATTACATATGAAAGCAAAAAAAAAAAGTTTCATTATCAAATGTCACTTAAACCGATAAAAGCCAAACGTGCCCCGTACCTCTGTCTCATATTCCGTTAATTTGTTCTACATTGAATCATATACTCCCTCCATTTCATAATAAGTATCGTTTAAGTTTTTTCACACATATTAAAAAATCATGTTAAAATTTCTATTTAATACATTACAGAATTTATTTTCTTTGTTAATTCAATAAATGAATGGAGTTTCTGAAAATTATATTAAAATTCTGCATTGAAAATGTAAAACGACACTTATAATAAAACAAAAATTAAACTCTAAAACATTTATTGTGAAATGGAGGGAGTATATAAAAAGAGGCCAACTCTCTTCATAGTTTAGATATATATACACACTAGCAATTGACATGTGTCATGACTTTTCATTTCCTTTTAATTAATTACTTTAAATCTAAATTAACATCTTTTCATTTTCCTTTCCTTTCAATTAAAAACTTTTCATTTTCTTTTCAATTAACAACTTTAAATATTTTAATTTATTATAATAAAACCAATGTATTACTTTAAAACTATTATCCTTCAGCTTCTATTTTGAATCACTATTAAACATCTAAATTCTCCTAATTATTAATTATGAAAAACGGACGAAGAACAATGACGGGAAACATAGTCCGTTCCATGTAGCAGTGAATAAACAAAGAATTTGATGGCATAGAGACATGTGCTATAATGCAAAAATATATATTTGAAAGCACTCACTAATTATACAAGTTGGAATTAAAATGTCAGTGTTATTTGGATAATATTTTATAATATTAACACAAACTATAATGGTTTTCAAATATTGTTTTAAAACTATAACAATTAAAAAACCTGCACGTACACGCGGATATTGGTCTAGTACTTTATTAAAATTGAGAAACATATACAGTAGTTACTTACAACAATTGATTCGAACTGTAAAATGTGATTAGATTCCCTAAGACTCACATTGTTATCATCAATCGTATATTTATTTTTGAGAAAGAATCATATATTTTCAATTTTATATGTGTAATTATTGATACTTTTTCTTAATTTATCATCATAATCTTAATCATCAAAAATAAAACTTAAGTAATATTTTATAAAAACGAGGTTTGAATGGTTATTGTGTTTGTTAAAAAAAAGGTCATTGTGTGAAGGAATTAAAACAACATCTTTGACGTACATCATTATATTATTAATTGAAAAGTAAATGAAAATTTTCTGACCAAAAAACCAATCTAATTATAAAGAGAAAGTATTTAGCAACACGTTTAATGATGGTCAATTTAGTACATTATAATGTTTGGATACAAGAATAAGAGAAAAAGCTATTTGAATTGAAGAACAAATAGAAAAAAATTGTTTGGATACAATAATAATAACTTAAAACAAACCGATAGTCTAAAAAACTTCCATTTTCCACCTTTTAAAAATCTGCAAAAAAAAAACTTAACATAATCTATTGATAATAACAAATCAATATAATATGATTTTGGATTTTTGGGTTTAAAGTTTTTTTTTAACTCGGGTTCAATTGAGGTTTCTTTTAAAGTTTTTTTTTGTTTTGTTTTGGGGTTTAGTGATATAAAAACCGTTCAAATTCTTTTAAATTTCTGATTCTGGTTTGGTTTGGGGTTTCTAGACAAGTTCAGGTTCAGTGAAAATCTCATACCTAATTTTATAGAGATATAAAGATATAGAAATTGTTCGGGGTTTTTATGAAAATTTCTGGTCGTTTTGGATTCGAGTTTATTTGGGTTCAGTTCAGGGTTTTCCGGATTTTTTGAATTTTGGGTTTTCGGGTTTAGACATATTAAAAAAGTTTGGGTATTTTAAACTTTTCATTAGGGATTTTAGGTAGGGTTCGGGTTTTGGTTCAAAAAAATTAGAGTTTTTTTTTATTCGGTTCAGGGTTTTCGGGATTTTTTGGATTTCAGATTTTCGGGTTTAGACATATTAAAAAATTTTGGATTTTAAAATTTTTGATTAGGGTTTTTGAGTCGGGCTCGGGTTTAGAATTCATATTTTCTTCACAAAACTGCAACGTCACACCGCGCGTTTGCGCGGATCCTCTACTAGTAGAATACTACTTAGCTGCTTTTAGTAAAGTTATCTTTAAAATTTTGTAGTTTACTTACAAAATATGTTAGTAAAGTTATGTATTAAATAATTAATAACAATTTTCTATATGCTTTATAATAAATAGATAATTATGACAACAGTGTTCGTTCTTTTCTTCAAAATTTGAAGTTAGATATTAGATGAAGTATCATTTTGATTTGTTTCCCGCAAACACTTGTGGAAAAGAGTTTCTCATCTAAATGATCAAAAGCTGTGTGAAACGGTATAAAGCATTTGCTTACGATTGGACTTTCATCACGATCGTTTAGAGTAACCCGGCCCATCATGTGAACAAAATTCAATGGTTCTATACTTCTATGGTTTCGAATATATTTCACAACAATTCCCATTATACAAAAAAACTACCTTTGGAGCAAGTTTCCCATTATACAATATTACAATGGACCAAAACTGACTTGTTCACATTTAAATAGTGGAGAAACCCGTTACTAGTCTTTTTTTATTTCCATAAATTTGAATGATGACAGCTAATCCAGTTATCCTGAGGAGTTCAACTTTAATAACTGATATTGCTTATACTTATGACATCGTGGATTGTTACAAAAGTCATTATATATTATTTGTTCACTCATAGCCACGAAGATACTTACAAGTTTTTTGCAGGTCAACCCTCTATATAGTCTAAAGTTTTTTATTCTAGTTGCAATTTTCTATGTTTTTTTTTAGATAATTTATAAGAACTGCTGTGCATGTTGATGGGCAAGATTCCGTTGCTCTCTTCCTCTCGCATCGTTGCCCTAAAATATGTGCCTGCCTCCGTTCGAATTGTCACTAGCCTTCGCTTAAACCTTCGTCTATCTTCGTCTCTGATCCCGTGAGTTAATCCCTTCTTTAGCTTTTAAACTTTTCGACTCTTTCATACGTTAAAATTGAGACTAGAACTGAGTTTAATGCAGTAATAGGCAACACAACTAGTCATGCTTCAAAAAAATAATTGTTTTCCAAAAATAATATGTTGATGTCCACTGCTTTCAAGTAACTATAGCTTTTGTTTAATATCAGTTCCTTTTTTTGGGTCACGTCCGAACATGATTTTTACTTTGAAAATATGCAAAGTGATCAATTCGTTCTCCTGTCTATCGCTTGTAGTATTCCAAAACTCAGAGTCGGCTGGCACAGCGACCGGAATCAAGGCAAAGACAAACTTAGAGAGTTCCTAATGGCTTTCGAAACTACCAACCAATCTCAGTCTCATCTTCACTTTGTTCTCTTCCCTTTCATGGCTCCAGGCCACATGATCCCCATGGTTGATATTGCAAGGCTCTTGGCCCAACGCGGTGTGACCATAACCATTGTTACTACGCCTCACAACGCAGATAGGTTCAAGAACGTCCTAAGCCGAGCCATCCAGTCCGGCTTGCCCATTAGGCTGGAGCATGTTAAGTTTCCATACCAAGAAGCTGGTTTGCCAGAAGGACAAGAAAATGCAGATTTGCTTGACTCAATGGAGTTGATAGTACCATTCTTTAAGGCGGTTAACATGTTCGACGAGCCAGTCATGAAGCTCATGGAAGAGATGAAACCTAGACCAAGCTGTCTAATATCTGATTTTTGTTTGCCTTATACAAGCAAAATCGCTAAGAAGTTCAATATCCCAAAGATCATTTTTCATGGCGTGTCTTGCTTTTCGCTTTTGTGTATGCATATTCTACACCAAAACCTCGAGATGTTAGAGGCTTTAAAGTCTGACAAAGAGTATTTTTTGGTCCCTGGATTTCCTGATAGAGTTGAACTTACGAAACCTCAAATTCCTCTGCAAACTAATGCTAGTGGAGACTGGAAAGTGTTCTTGGACGAACAAGTAGAAGCCGATGAGACATCCTATGGTGTAATCGTCAACACATTTCAGGATCTGGAGTTTGCTTATCTGAATGACTACAAGGAGGCTAGGGCTGGTAGAGTTTGGTCCATCGGACCAGTTTCCTTGTGCAACAAGATGGGAGCAGACATAGCTGAAAGAGGAAACAAGGCGGCCATTGGTCAAGACGAGTGTCTTAAATGGCTTGATTCTAAAGACAAAAGGTCAGTGCTATATGTTTGCCTTGGAAGTATATGCAATCTTCCTCTTGCTCAGCTTAAAGAGCTCGGATTAGGCCTCGAGGAATCTCAAAGACCTTTCATTTGGGTAATAAGAGGTTCAGAGAAGTACAATGAGCTAGCTGCGTGGATCTTGGAAAGCGATTTTGAAGAAAGAACCAAAGAGAGAGGGCTACTCATTAAAGGATGGTCGCCTCAAATCCTTATCCTTTCACACCCTGCTGTTGGAGGATTTTTGACACATTGTGGATGGAACTCGACTCTTGAAGGAATCACCTTGGGTGTTCCACAGCTGACTTGGCCATTGTTTGGAGACCAGTTCTGCAACCAGAAACTGGTCATGCAAGTTCTAAAAGCGGGTGTAAGAGCCGGAGTTGAAGAGGCAATGAAATGGGGAGAAGAGGAGGAGATAGGAGTGTTAGTGGATAAAGAAGGAGTGAAGAAGGCAGTGGAGGAGTTAATGGGTGAGAGTGATGATGCAAAAGAGAGAAGGAAAAGTGTGAAAGAGCTTGGGAAATTAGCTCACAAAGCTGTGGAGGAAGGAGGCTCTTCTCACTCTAACATCACGTTCTTCTTACAAGAAATAGTGACACACACACAATCCCAAAAATGATTGTATCGTTGCATCATTGGTCTTGTGATATTTTGATGCGAGAGACGAGAAACCAAACTCTAAGTATGTTGTTTAAGTCATTTTGACAAAGTCTTTCATTTAGTTTATTTAATTGTTTCCTGCATAATAAGAAGACTCTACTGCTCTGAAATGTAGGAGCATGACTCTTAATGGCTTTCCCATTTTCTTAGTTGTTTCCGTAATTGTAGGAACCAAAGAGTTCCAGTCTCTGTTATAAGAACATAAAATCAAAGTAATATTGAATTTGCCTGAAAATTAAGTGTTCTTAGTGTAAATGTCTTTGCTTTGATTGGGACCTATTATATTTTATTACTTATTTAAGTTTTCATTATTGGATTCCTGTTATTTTTTCTTTTAAGATCATGAAACGAGTTTTGCATGTGTAGTTTGGCAACCAATTTGAGATGGATTTGTGAGGAATAGTTGTTTTCAACAAACTTTCAAGTCATACAAATTGTGCTCTATCAACGGTGAACTGATGACTCCGTTCAACAACGTTTAAGGCTTACACATTTTGGATCTGATACCGATTATATAATTGGGCCTAGATGTAATTAATACACATTCTTATATTTTTTTTATACTGCAGGCTTTAATTGTATATCACATGGGACAAGTTGTGTTTTACGCACTAAACTAAGCAAAAGTTTAGTTGTATCACGTTCTACGTACAATTCTAGACATTGACATTTGACCTAAGCAAAAGTCTCCTCCTCTTCATAACACACATATACAACAAACAAACAAACCAGAGATTTCTCTTTTATCTATCTTTTCAGAGATCTCATCGATAATGGATGAGCTCCACGAAGTCGCGACTGCTTATTACAACAACGGCTCCATGGAGCAACAGAATTTGGCGTGGCAGTTTTTCCGTGCAATGGACGTTGATGGTAACGGCCGAGTAAGTATTCAAGAGTATACCGACTTCTTGCGTCGAACCGCAGGTTTAGCTTGGGTCCATCCTGACATGTTCCGGGAGCTAGACCGGAACGGAGACGGTCAGCTCGACTTCTGGGAGGTCTTGACGCTTTACTATGTGGCTCGGACCCGGACCATTAGCTGCCGATCGTGCCTCCGGCCTCTCAACGCTCTATACTTCACGTGCGTCACGTGCTTTGATTCGCCGTGTGGCGGGGACACGTTTGATCTATGCGTCAAGTGTTATATGCGACGGACGTATTGCCATCCGCATTGTATGTTCTTGGATAGTTATGTCTTATTACGAGCTAAGCGTAGCCATTATCCTCTGGTACGTTTTCTTTATCAATCGTTTAATTATATAAGCGTTTGCAATTGCAATAATGATGGTTCTTGAGAAAATGGCGTTTGCTTCTGTGTGGCGGTTAATAAATTGATTAATAGTTTAGGATTAAATTGGTTAGAGTTGACGTGATTATACGAACGAGGCCTAGTTGCCTAACTAGTTCTTGATTAATTAAAAGATTGGTAGATGTGTGCATTAGTTTGAAAAGTTGAATAAATTTTTTAATATGGTGGAAAGTATTACAAACGTTATACCGATTTTTGTCTTCTAAATTCTAGAGTCTTCTGTTGACACTTGACACGTACATAATGATAAGTATAACTTTTGTTTTGGGTTCAAAATGATGAGTATAACTATGTAAAGTGTATTTGTAACAAACTTTGATACCAATTTCCTTAGAGATTATGGTCACACGATATTAAATATAGGACGTGTATGTTGCGAAGGACTTAGCAGAACAGATCATTAGAAGTAAGCCTTCAAATAGTCAATGCCATTGCAACATGCAATATGAGAAATATAAAAATAATTGTGGGGGTTCATACACTAACACACGAGTAAGTAATGATAATGGTTCTACCCTAAATGGTGCAGCAGCCACCTGGTGATCACAACCTAGCCCAGCAACACCCTACGAGGGTAAGCCTTTCTGACATCTCTTTTTGCTTTTTGTTAGTTTTTTACATCCATATCATTTTATTATGGGTCATTTTGCCTAATGGCTATATTGGACTCAGTATATATAGAAGAATATAGCCATGACATATGAATATAAACCTAGTTGCACCCCAAAAAAATATAAACCTAGTTACCAGAGAAAAGGTTTTTGGTCGAATATAATGCCACATCATCATCTCTTTTCTGTTACTGTATTGCTTTGTACTGTTTTATGCAAAACAAGTGTAAACCTCATTTCATTTTATCTATTGCATAATATGCATTGATCTCAAATTAGCAAATTATTAAAGTTCTCAAGCTTACTTAAAAATCAGAAATTCTTTCCGTATCTAACATGTTCTGGATTTAAAAAAACGGATATGAATTTTCTTGTTTTAAAAAACGGTCAGAAATATATAGAATCTAACATTTTAGGTTCGATTTTACTTTTTTTATTCAGCTGAATTTCGGTAAAATATTCAGTGGTAGCATACCTTTGCATCCATCTCATATGGAGTTCAACTCCACCTTTCCCCATATGGGGTTAATTTCCTCATTGGGAGGATTATTGGTCCGTAGACCGGCCTGTTGTGGCCCACAAACGATGACAAAACAAAAATTCAGTTGAATTTTGGTAAAATATATATCAAAACAAAAATAAATTAAGAATTAATTTCGATAAATTTTACATAATTCTTTTTACTAACGTATTTCTTATATATATTTCTAGTAGTATAATACTAATGAGGAAGTGTGTGTGGGTTGCAGATGAGGTGGTGGCATGCGTTTAGAGCAATGGAGGTGGCGCTTGCTGTCGGAAGTCTCACAGGCTTTTGCACCATTATGTGAAAGCTCACTTTCTATCTCCAATTTTTTTTCATTTTCATTTTGATATGTATTTCATTTATTTATATATAAAAATAAATAAAAAAATCTGAAATGTAAATTTCTTTGCATTTGTTTAAAGCAACATATTTATTCAGTGTGGGAATTTCTGGTAATTGTAGAGAATTAGTATTAGACTCACTACAAATTTGTATTTCCCTTTGATTCCAAGATTCGTCTGGAAAACTTTGGTAAATCTCTAAACCCATGTATCATTCAGTTAATAACCATGGTACATATTATAGGTACATTGACATCCACATAAGGAGGTGGTTTGATGATAAAGTAAAGTTGCATGCATAAATATCTGGCCCAATTCTCCATATCTAATGCACTTACTAGGGAGCCAAGAGTATTCTACATCAGATATAGAGATCATATCTTTTGTATAACCACATCAATTACTAGGGAAATGACTTGTCTAGCTCAACTTTAACCATATCATAAGATCTCCCATGACTGTAGTCTGTAGGTATCAAGTCTTAGCTTATTTGTAGCCATTGGAGCACATGGACAAGAGGCGAAATAGCATATTTCAGTTATTGAGTAAAGTTGGTTAGGGGTGTTTTTGAGAGTGACTCAAACCAAAACAGTCGGGATCCCAAGCATAGATAAAATGGCTATAAGACTCTAAAAATCAACAAACATTAGGCAATCATTTACATGCCAAATGTATAGGAGATGGTATGTATGATAGGAGAAGTTTTCAATATCCAACTAGAAGGGCACACGGACGATGAACTTTAAACCAGCATGTTTCTTTTCTTGAGTGCATTACATATCCTAAGGTTCTAGATACTGGCTAAGACTAATCAAAAGCTCTCATTGCTCTTTACAAAAATGATGAATATATTATTCTCTCATCTTTTTCAAATTAGAGGTATCTTATTTGTAGATATTCCGATATTCGCATTGGTGTAACCTGATCGTGTGTTAGATATTTACAGCCTTTACCCACATTTCGTGGTCAAATGAAAGGAGAATAGAAACGATATAAAAAAAACACTTCATTTCAAGAATTTAGAGATCAAGAAAGAAACATGCAAGTGATCATGATGATTGGTACCGTTTTTCTTATTAATTACTTTTGTCACATCATTTTTCTTTTAGCTACTCGAAAGCAAATTAAAACTGACTAGAAGCAATGCGTATGATCATGCCAAGAGCCAGAAGTTCTTATGGGTCTTGGTGTTTAGAACATAGCCTCCATTTTGACCTTTCTTCGTTACGCCAACACAAGTGCACTTACTATTCTCGATTAGATATTCCGCTGTGTCTACTCCTTTTGCTCCTCTTAAAGACCCTCCAGGCCGCCTAGTTCTGTCAAAATCCAAACCATCCTCATATCATTCTATGTTTTACGTTTTCTAAAGAGAGAGAGAGAGAGAGAGACAAAACACGATACCCTAGAAGAGAGGATGAGATTGTCCGGCGTTGGCCTATGATGATAACATCGATACCAAGTTTTTCTCCATGAAGAAGAATAGCTGTAGCTTTGACACCATCCATGGATATATACTCGGTGTGGACACGCACTTTTGGTTGAGCGATTTCGCATATCCGTTTCATCTGTTCCAAGAAATTACCATCTCCTTGACCAATCTCAGAGGCTAAGGGGGAAGCAGCGTTTGCGGCGGCAGAAGCGGTTGCGTTAGCATAATTAGCACCACCGGGAGAGGAGCCACTGCTAGAGGAGGAGGAGGATATAGAACTTGGTAATCTCAAGAAACTTGAGAAAGCATTTTTCCAGGAGGCACCATTGTTTTCAACATGGACAAGGATAAGCTCGTCTTGCTCGAGGACGGCGTGTGAAAGAGCGTATTGAAGAGCGGCTGCAGATTCACGGGTCGGATCAGCGATCACCATGATCTTGCGTGATTGTGATGTTGAAGAAGATCCTCTACGACCGTCTTCCATGCCCTTTACCTCTTCTTCTGCCTTATTCTTCTTCTTCTTCTTTTCTTCTTTCCTTTGCCTATATCATCATCATTTTTGATGGCATTGTCATGGTTTTTTTTTCTTTCTTCCAAATGGTAACTTTTTTTTTTATCTATTGATCAGAGAAAGTTAGGGAATCCAAAATTCACGATTTGTTGTCACGGTTTGTGTTCATGCTTATCTTCGAAAAATAAACAGTTAGGAAAGAATAAAGACACTTAACCGTTTTTTGTGTGTGTTGTTCTTTCTTAGGGAGGCTCTACGTTTAGAAAAAAGGTGGGAGAGAGAGAAAGATAATTGTGGTGGTGGTAGTTAGTGTTGCTATTTTTGAGGAATGCGTCACTTTTGTTTTGGTTAATTTTAGGAGTTACCAACTTCCAAGTTCCAACATAACACACACATAAAAATATTTCCCACCCATTTCCTTCTTTTAATCGGAATATTTGCTTCGTTTAAAAAAATAAATAATGATGCATCTCTAAATTCAACTGTGATGTAGATTGACATAAGTACATAACCAATGGATTCAATCGTGATGCTGTATGGTTATGACTAGTATAAATTGTGGTTGTAGAGAATTTTGCTATACTTACTGAAATCCTTACTTACTTTAAATTTACTTATATGAAAGCACAATGGTACTTTCTAGGTTTTGACACGACAACACCTGAAAATAGACACTTCGCAGAATATTTTATTTCAGAACAAATGAGAAAGCTATGCATTATGCATGTAGAATCTGCAATGGAGTAGGAACAACAAACTTCCCAAGATCTTCTACCTTATCCAACTGCTTCACTGACGGAGGCGTACTCCTTGATTTGATAAAGGGAGCTGTCTCCTCTAAGCTCCTTTAACAACTTCCAAAACCTCCTTGCTTTGGTACAATCTCTATCTCACCATGAATCATAATCGCATTACAATGTTCTATGGGGTTTGTTTCAACTTTTCTTGGAAGATTTCTGGTTGTCGCTTAATATCCCTTGCAGTATGAGCTACCCGTGTGTCAAGTTTCTTCAGAAGGACTCAAACTTGTTGTTGAGATCATCATACATGCCATATACCTTGACATTAATCTCATTTGCAGGTTTCTGTTAATTCATCGTTAAATGTTGCATAAGAGATTCTAGCTTGGACTCTTGGGATGTTGGAATATAAGTTTATGGTGCTTGAAAAACAGTTGGGTCGCTCATATGGAAGTTGTTTAACTTTTTTTTTCTGCTGAAAGCCATCCTGATTCTGAAATTTGTAATGTCTTTGATTCTGATCAATATTGTGTTGGTTAAGATAATTCATATTTATATTGTTTGTTGTTTTCAGAAATGAATATGCATGTATTTAATTCAAAACCACATTGTTTAAATGCATTGCATATAAAACGACAACTAATATAAAACGGAAGTAATATAAAAAGGAAAAATAACTTTATGCATGTGCACTTCTAACTTTTTCCCAACATTCAATGCATATGGCAAAAAGTAATATCCACATAGCAGATTCTGATTCGTTTTGAATATGTGGCCAAAATTCATTTTCTATAATTTATAGTTTAATATATTCTCTCCATTTCATATTAGTTGTCATTCTAGAGATGTATTTAACTCAAAATATATATTCATATATATATATATATATATATTTATTTAAAATAACAAACTAATATAAAACGGAGAGAATATTAAAAATAAAAATAAAACAAAAAGTTCTTTTAAACATAAGAAAAATAAATATTTGTAAAATACATAAAATATTACATATATATTTAACTTAACATACTTCCTCTGTCCCATATTATATGCAGTTTTGGAATAATGTATCTGAATGTATTTGGATGTATTTTGAGTCATTTACATGAGAAAGACTAATAATATAAAAAATAAAAATAATAAATATGATTATAAATATTTATGGTGTGTTTGGCTTGGATTCACCAAACCAACACACCATTATTCAAAGCAAAGGCTAAAACCTAGAAAGCTCTTTTCCTTGGCAAAGAGATCTTGGATTTTATTCCAAAATCAGGTATGATTTTTGGGTTTTAGGTTTTGTTTTCCCAGAATTTAGTTTTGGAGTATTAATCATTTGAATCTATGAAGATTAGATTTTTTTCTTTTTTTTTTTTTTGCTATTTTGGTTAAGCAATTTTTTGAGTAAATTCTCAATGAATCATGTAGGAGGGAGTTCGAGTAGAAAGAGACTGACGCAAAGCTTCTTCTTTCCGCCATGGATGCAGCTTGAAATCAAAAACCCATTTCTTCGATTTCGCTCGTTAAACCCATTTTCCCTCTTTTACCCATCTCTAGATTTCGATGACTTCTCACATTCCGTCACCAGGATCGACTTCGATTCTGATCCCAAAGCTCGAACCAGGCACCGAATCAAACCCACAAGCCCTGATTTCATCATCCTCCACCTTCAATCTCAACAACCCACAAGTCGAAGAAACCTTCACCTATCCTTTCTTCGACCCTAACTTGAGCACAGAATACAACAACATCAGAGAAACCTTCTGCTCCGCGTTCGCTCAATCCCTCAAACGCCACGAGGAGGAGGACGTCACGCCGCTCGATTCTCAAACCGGCGCAATCGTACCGGTGGAAGAAGAGCAACCGCCGCTTCTGGTTTATTACCCAACCGACGACGTTTCACCTTCCGTCGTCACGCGAAAGCCGCCGAAGCCAAATCAACGATCGTCTGAGCTCGTGAGGATCACCGACGTTGGGCCAGAAGGAGAGAGACAGTTCCGTGAACACCTGAGGAAGACGAGGATGATCTACGATTCTCTCCGGATCTACTTGATAATGAAAGGTAAGCTTGAAGGAGCGGAGAGAGGAAGGAGAGGCAGTCCTGATAGTAGCAAAGCCGCATCGATGATGAAAGATTGTGGCTTGTGGATGAATCGTGACAAACGAATCGTCGGCTCGATCCCCGGCGTTCAAGTCGGTGATATCTTCTTCTTCAGGCTTGAGCTTTGCGTTGTTGGTTTACATGGACAGACACAAGCCGGGATTGATTTTCTCACAGGGAGTTTGAGCTCTAACGGTGAGCCAATTGCTACAAGTGTGATTGTTTCAGGTGGGTATGAGGACGACGATGATCAAGGAGATGTGATTCTCTACACAGGACATGGTGGGCAAGATAAGCTCGGAAGGCAATGTGAGCATCAGAAGCTAGAAGGTGGGAATCTCGCATTGGAGAGGAGTATGTATTATGGGATTGAAGTGAGAGTGATTAGAGGGTTTAAGTACGAGAACTCGGTTTCAAGCAAAGTTTACGTCTATGATGGATTGTTTAGGATTGTTGATTCTTGGTTTGATGTTGGGAAGTCAGGTTTCGGTGTGTTTAAGTTTAGGCTTGAGAGGATTGAAGGGCAGGTGGAGATGGGAAGCTCGGTGCTGAAGCTTGCCAAGACGCTTAAACTCGATCCCAACTCTGTGAGGCCGAGGGGTTACATGAGCTTTGATATCTCGAATAGGAAAGAGAACGTTCCTGTGTACTTGTTTAACGACATTGACAGAGATCAAGAGCCTTTGTTTTACGATTACCTTGTCAAGACTTCGTTTCCTCCTGGTTTGATGTATCAGCAGAGTGGTAACAACGCAAGTGGATGCGGCTGTGTCTCGGGATGTAGCAGCGGCTGCATCTGTGCGGTCAAGAACGGAGGCGAGTTTGCTTATGACTACAGTGGGAATTTGGTGAGGCAGAGGCAGATGATACACGAGTGTGGACCTGCGTGTCAGTGCCCTCCGACTTGCAGAAACCGTGTGACTCAGAAAGGTTTAAGGAACAGGCTTGAGGTGTTTAGGTCGAGGGAAACAGGTTGGGGAGTGAGGTGTTTGGATATATTGCACGCTGGTGCTTTCATCTGCGAGTATGTTGGTGTTGCTTTGACAAGGGAACAAGCTAACATTTTTACAATGAATGGTGATAAGTTGGTGTACCCTGCGAGGTTTTCTTCTGCGAGATGGGAAGGTTGGGGAGATGTGTCTCAGGTCATTCCTGATTACGAGAGGCCTTCGTATCCTCGGATCCCTCCTGTTGATTTCGCAATGGACGTGTCCAAGATGAGGAATGTTGCTTGTTACATAAGCCACAGTACGTATCCGAATGTCATTGTCCAGTTAGTGCTGCATGACCACAACAATCTGATGTTCCCGCGTGTTATGCTTTTCGCTGCTGAGAATATCCCTCCCATGACTGAGCTCAGCCTTGATTATGGAGTAGATGATGATTGGAGCCCCAAGCTTGCCATTTGTAACTAAAAATTTGCAGCCATATTTTTTCCAGGTAAAACTAAGTGAATGGTTTCTATAAGTTTCACAAAAGAAGCCTATAGTGTGTTATGCTTTGGTAGCTACAAAACAAATGGGTCTTGGATATTTAAACTAAAGTATAGGTTTGCATTCTTGGGTCGAAGAAAAGATCATAGCTTGAAACATGTTGCAGGTTGTATTGCATTAGAAAAGGTGAAACTTGGTGTTTGTTTGAGAGAGTTTCATTTACTGTGAGCTTTCTTCTCTTTTGGCTGTGATGGCTCCTGAACCAAAGCTGTTCTTTGATGTTAGGAGTAACTTTGTTCGTTTCGTTCATCATCTGAATGCGATGTATATATTGGTTTGGTGCAGATTGTAATCAAGTCGAAGTCGCGGTTGAGTCTTTTGCTCTTTTTTTTTTTGGTGGTTGGTGACATGAACATGAAGTAAGAAGAAAAGCAATTGTGCAGAATCAAGGATTTAGAGACCCCATTTCTCCCAGTGTGTAGACCTCATTTCAATTGCTTTCAAGTTTTTGACTTTTGGGTATCTTTGCACAATTTGGGGAGTCTTTTAAGGTTTTTCCGGGGTAATAGACTAATAGTGTACAAAACTCCAAAGATGTTTTGTTTGTTCTGTTCCGGTTGGCTCTTGATATGTCTATGAAGTTAAACAGCTCTCTCTCTCTCTCAAAATTAACTTGTTTTAGATGGAGTTATCAGCAAATATTTGATTCACGGTGATTAATAGCTTGGTGGATCATGGATGGTTTTAAGAGTGGAGAAGAAGAGATGTTTTGGCTGGTTAGGTCAGCATATATTTTCAATAAATCTGTGAGTTATTGAAAATTGAAGGATGTAACCTGATTACTCGAAAGAACCTTGCAAGAATTGAAACTTGCGAGTAACTAACCAAAAAATACCATCCAAGATTAAAGAATTTGCGAGTAAGTAACCTAAAAACATCAAACAGGAACTAAAAGACTAACAAGGTAATAAATAATAAGAAGAATAAAAGCAAGCAACAACAAGACAAATCGAGTAAGTAAAGGATTGGACCAGGGTAATAAATTATACTAGTAAGAATGAATTAGCAAATTATAGGCATGATCCTATAACATGGAAGACCACAGAAATTAGTACAATCGTCTCACGTGGCAATAATGAACTTGATTAATCATCTTAAAGCACATACAGTTCAATAATTTCCTTGATATCAATTCTTAGTTTAAAGGTGACTGGGAATCTTGTTTTGTCAAACATTCTTAAGAAAACGGGTAAGAGTTATTTGTTAAACAAATATCTCATCAGTTTACCATTTATATAAAACGTTTAAACGGTAAAGATCCCATTATCAAAAATGTATCTTTCCCGCAAACTATATCTAAATCCGCAAATTCACATGTGAAATGTAACAATTCTAAAGCGGAAGCTCCAAACCAGCAATTATATAAATCCATAAAGTTTGGAACACTTGTATAAAAGAACGCCATCCTATTTTCAAACGTTACACTAAATATCTTGATTACATAAGATAAACATACAACATTCAATATTAATTAAACATGTTATGTTCTTATTGGAAAAAAATGGACAAGATCTCAAAAAAAAAAAAAAAAAAAAAAAAAAAAACATCGTGAGTGAGAGGGAGCAAGTTGTCAGAAAATTAGAGTCATATAAAGACTTTGTGTTTTTATTGATTAGCCAATATGCTTATCTCTTCTGATTTATTATCTAAACTCTATGATGAAATTTACTTTGTTAATTTGTTTTTGTAATTGTTACTTATAGGAACTAAACCTATTTTCAATGCTATATTATGAGTTGCAGCCCCGTCAACTTGTACGTTGGTGTCAAGAGTTATGGGTTTCTCGCTTGCGTACTAGATTGGTTATGATTGTTTAGGCAATTTCTGTATAATTCATTATTGATAATGTGTTCATTTTTTAATTGCAAACTGGATTTTGTCCGTGTTTAACAATTGAAATATGGTTTTAATAATCAGCTAGAATCTTAAGTAATATATACAATTTAATTAAAAGAATGATCAATATTTCTTATGTGGTAATCCATGATGTCATTCAAAACTATATATATAATTTTTCGTAATTTAGTGTGTGATCTTGACACTAAGTACAATATTGTTTACGTCAAAAATAAAGTACAATAGTTTTAGAGTCAAATCATATATTCTTATTATTTTGAAGCTGAGTAGATTCCATTAAGGCAATTTAGGTCTAATAGCCGAAAAAATGGTTGAAACTTGAAACTGACAAGAGTTATTATTCTATGTGTTTTCTAAAATATTTATCATTGATACTGATCACATCGATACAACGATAAATATTTTGTACCCGGTGAAACGCAAAGAGGTATAAAACGCATCCGAAGTGAAAGGTAGAAATCGACGTCATACGACGAACTCAGACCAGGCCGGACTAAACAACAAAGTCAAACTAAGCCTTCAAACGAACAATGTAATGTCTTAACTAAAAATGGCCGAATCTACATAAATAAATGCGATTAATAGCGAGTCAAGCTGAATAAATAAAAATGTCAAACACACACTCAAGTTATAAAACAAGAAGAAGAGCATAAGAGAAAGGGATCCAACCTTTCAGGCCTGCAACCTTTGTACAACGTTTTTGTCTTTTTTAGCTGAAATACTAAACTCATGTACTCTTATTTTCTTATCTAATTAGTTTTTGCTAAATTCTTCCATCTCGTTCTTGACCTTAACTTTCGTTTATTTGCCAAACAAAGTCATTCCATTTTTTGTTCAGAAAGTATAAACCCAATTTTCAAGTTATTTTTATAATTTGATTTTAATAAATTTTGACAATTACAATTTCGATTACAACATTATGACACATACACATTTGTTTATTATAAAAATGAAAAATATAATAAGTACTGTGGATGCTTTTGAAACTTTCGCTAAAGACATCATCAGTTGTTGTGACAATAATAAGTTTTTCCCATGTCTCGTGTGAACTGAAACTCATAGAATCAAAATGAATAATATATCGTTGGGTCCCACTATGCACAATAATCTTCTTTTTCAAAATTAAGTGGGAAAGTAGAAAACCCAAGATGCAGATTCATTGGTCAACATTTGCTTACTAATAACAAGACATGTTTGAATCAATCAACTTTATTTCATTACTAACATAAACATAGTATTTCGTTATGATTCTAATTGCGTATGCTTTATGGAGAACTACTACATCTCATGTACATGAAAATTTAATATTTAATAATATGAACAAAAAAATCGAAAGCAAAATTAAAAAAAAAAATTGTGAAAATCAATATTTTTTTTTTCTGTTTGTAAAATGTTACATAAAATACTATATAAAATATTTGTATATTTATTAATCTAAAAGCTAATGATCTAAAAGCTAGTGATCAGAAGGTAATCCGTTCGTTGTTGGAAATAAGTTTCTAAGACATACTGTAGTTTAATTGTAAAACGAATTAAAAGGAAGTACGACCGTAATTTAAATACTTCAATGTAAAACTTATGAAAACCAAATAATATCTGGTCAAACTGGAACTTTCTATGTTCATACGAAAATTCAATCTCTTTTGACCTAACACCCAAAGACATTTCATCAATAAACTGAAAAAGAAGGAGAAAAAAAAAAAATCAACCCAAAATGTTAATGATAAAATCCAAACCGTACCGATTCTAAGGTAGGGAGAAATTTTAATGTGATTTTGGATGTGACAGAATATATTTTTCCGAACACACAGATCTTATCTGTACCGATTTATCAGATGAGAATTTAGATTCCAATTTATCACTATTTTTTTTTTATGTTTTATTCACACTAGCAAACAAAACTTATAGACTTTACAATTTGCATAAAATTTCGTCAAGCTGTAATTTGAAAAGTCAACCCTAAAACCTTCCTTTATTATATATAAACAGAGCTCCTCTGCTCTCTCCTCTCTGTTTCCTATCTCTCTCTCTCACCCACTCTCTCAACATGTCGGGAGCTCCATCTTGCTCAGCGACAGATCTCGCCCTCCTCCTAGGCCCTAATGCCACGGCGGCGGCCAATTACATCTGCGGCCAGCTTACCACTGTTGACCACAAATTCACCGACGTTGCTCTCGCCGTAGACAACACATACCTTCTCTTCTCCGCTTACCTCGTCTTCTCTATGCAGCTTGGCTTCGCTATGCTCTGCGCCGGCTCCGTTAGAGCCAAGAACACGATGAACATCATGCTCACCAACGTCCTTGACGCTGCAGCCGGAGGTCTCTTTTACTATCTGTTCGGTTACGCCTTTGCCTTTGGATCTCCATCAAACGGCTTCATCGGAAAACAAAACTTCGGTCTCAAAGACTTCCCTACTGAAACAGCCGACTACTCTAACTTTCTTTACCAATGGGCTTTCGCTATCGCCGCCGCCGGAATCACTAGCGGCTCCATCGCTGAACGGACTCAGTTCGTTGCTTATCTAATCTACTCATCTTTCTTAACCGGTTTTGTTTACCCGGTCGTCTCTCACTGGTTCTGGTCCGTTGATGGGTGGGCTAGTCCGTTCCGTAGCGACGGAGATTTGCTCTTCAGCACCGGAGCGATCGACTTTGCCGGCTCCGGCGTTGTCCACATGGTCGGAGGTATCGCTGGTCTCTGGGGTGCGTTGATAGAAGGTCCAAGACTCGGGAGGTTCGATAACGGTGGACGAGCCATCGCTCTACGAGGCCACTCGGCGTCACTTGTTGTCCTTGGAACATTCCTTCTCTGGTTTGGATGGTACGGATTTAACCCTGGCTCGTTCAACAAGATCCTTATCACGTACGAGTCAGGCACGGTCAACGGCCAGTGGAGCGCGGTCGGACGGACGGCAGTCACGACCACGCTCGCTGGCTGCACCGCGGCGCTCACGACTCTCTTTGGGAAGCGTCTTCTCTCTGGACATTGGAACGTTAGCGACGTGTGTAACGGCCTTCTCGGAGGGTTTGCTGCTATTACCGGAGGTTGTTCGGTGGTGGAGCCGTGGGCTGCGATCATCTGCGGGTTCGTGGCTGCTCTTGTCCTCATCGGATGCAACAAGCTCGCTGAGAAGCTGAGATACGATGACCCGCTTGAGGCGGCGCAGCTACACGGCGGATGTGGTGCGTGGGGGCTTATATTCACGGCGCTTTTCGCTAGAGAGAAGTACTTGAACCAGATTTACGGCGTGAGGCCGGGGGGAAGGCCGTACGGTTTGTTCATGGGAGGAGGAGGAAAACTTCTTGGAGCTCAGCTGATTCAAATCATTGTGATCGCCGGTTGGGTGAGTGCGACCATGGGGACGCTTTTCTTCATCCTCAAGAAAATGAAACTGTTGCGGATATCGGCGGAGGATGAGATGGCAGGTATGGATATGACCAGGCACGGTGGTTTTGCTTACATGTACTTTGATGATGATGAGTCTCACAAAGCCATTCAGCTGAGGAAAGTTGAACCTAGATCTCCTTCTCCTTCTGGTGTTACTGTTTGATTTAAAAGATTTATTATTTTGTGGGTGTTAATGTTAACGGTGTTCTTGGATATTCTAAATTGTTTTGGATGGTTTTTTGCATTGCTTAATGTTTTAGATAATGTACAGTTTTATGGGTTGTGATGATTATTATCTATGTGTTCATTTGTGTTCTCTTTACAGTTTTTTTATTCCGTTATTTTCAAATTTTATACGGTATGTAGGAATTAGGCATGTGTGATATTTGCCCATGCCTTTCAGTAGCTAAAAGCGTAAAACCAAACTTGCATTGAAGCAATAGTTTGCGTCGAATGTTTATCCCTTTTCTAGAAACATTAACAATTTGATAAACTAACTTGAAAACTAAAAGCATTCCATGTGTGAGAGCCTTAACTACTCTCTTTTTTACCTTTACGTGTCTAACGCAAATAATTGGTTATTTATAGAAATAAATTGTATGGCTTACATCATTTGTTGGACTTTATAGAATGCTAGCAAGTTGCAGCGTAACAAGGTGTGTTTACAAAATTTGAACAACTAGATCACAGATTTCATTTGGCACTACATGCAATAATGTTTTGTTATTTTCAACACTATTTTATTATTTTTAAAATGATATTTCATGATCTCAACAACTTTGGAGATTCGTACCTGGTTGCCGGACCTCAAGATTCAGAGTATCATATTATTATACTATTAACAAACATGATTTAGACAACGAGATCACAAATCACTCGGAACCTTTGTGACTTTGTCTGTATCATTAAATGGTACTTCCGTACATATATGATAAAGGTAGGGGTTATTGGGTCTTTCAAAAAGAAGATGGAAGCATGACTCATGAGGTCCAATCTCGTACAAAGTGGAAAGAAGATATATTGTCTAACCATGATGACTCATGAGGTCCAATGCTACATTGCTACATATGAAAAGGTGAATAAGCCATTTTGTATATGTATAATTTTTTGTATTTTACAAGTTTTTGGAGTTTTACGTACTATTTGGAGCTCGAATTATACTATATGTAATGATTGATAATTTGATATATATGTGTTTATTTTTATTTTTGATAAACTATATATGTGTTTATTTGTGTCCACTTAAGAGTTTTGATCGGTTTTCTCAAATAAATGAATCATCACTTCACTCTAAATACAGTGTACATTGAAAGTTAGGAGTAACAAATGTATTAGTATCTGCCAATCTTCTCCCTTTCTGAAGAAACACATTAATAAACTAACAATGGTTTGATTCATGCGTGAGCGTCAAACTACTCGTTTTCCCTGCCTTTTCCCTTACATGTCTAAGGTTATTTATAGAAATAAATTCCATTGTCTTAGAGCATCCTTATCCTCATCAGTTGAGTATCTTAACTAGTGGTAATAAACAACAAAATACCATACTTTCATATACTTTTAATTAAAACAGTTAGATTTTAACATTTACAAGAAAATGAGCCAATTAAAAAATGACAACTATGGGAAAAGAATTCTCTTATGTAGGACTTTAGATGTTGGCAAGTTGAAAGCAGAAGCTTTTGAACAACTCGGCCATGAATCTCAAATTTCATTTGTCACCACATGCAGTGTTTTTTGTTTATCTAACCTTTGGAGACGCGTACCTTGTTGCCGCACTAAATAAAGATTCGGAGTATCTATTAACAAACATGATTCGCTCCTGCAAAGGGATAACAATTTACTTGGAACGGGTGATATTGTTGTCGGTATTATAAATGGCAAGTCCCGTACATATATGAAAAACTTGAGGGTAATTTAGGCTTGAATGATGGAAGAAGAGACTTTTTTTGTCTTCAAGCACAAGTTAAAAATTAGTATAAATTGAGAAGCTAATTATGAAAAGAGAAGCCAGTATATATCTATCAGCTATGATCAATGAGAACAAGTTCAAATCCATGTTTTAAATTTTGCTATATATTTTTGTGCTGGACACTTTGGTTAGTTATGACTTATGAGAAATGGTCTAACATGAAAAGCTGGTTCGTTTAAGAAATATGGTGTATTCATAATTTTTTTTTTGGGGATAAAATATGTGTATTTGCATCATCATTGACGTGTGTAAAGTGCATTTGGAGTTTTGTTTCCCTGATAAATAATAGAATAACTGATGTATCTAGAAGCAAAAAAACTCAGTCAATTCATGTTCAAAACTAGTGAAAGAAAATGAAACCTTTATACGCAAAGGCAAATATAAATCGGTCCGAATATTAAGATCACATTCGTTGTTGAAAAAATCTCATGAGTGATCCACTCCAACTATATACATATTCGATTTCTTTGTTGCTCTAGTTTTGGTGTAGAAGTAGCAGGGAAAACAATATTGAGGAATAAAAATACAGTCAAGATTAGGCCTGGGCGTTCGGGTTTCGGTTCGGGTTCGGGTCGGTTCTATTCGGGTTCGGGTCTTTTCGGGTTGCTAAATTTTAGACCCGTTCGGGTTTAGGAAAATTTCGGTTCGGTTTCGGTTCGGTTCCTGTCGGGTTCGGGTCGGTTCGGGGCTAAATTTTATGGACCCGTTCGGGTTTATACAAATTTTGGTTCTTATTGGGATCTCATTCGGTTCTGATTCGGGTCGGTTTTTATCGGTTTTTTTAACCGAATATCCAAAATCCTACAAAATAACCGATAAAATCTTGTTATAATCCATCTTCTACTAAATATTTTTGGACTTTTCGAATATTTTGGTTATTTTGTTCTAAATATAACTATTATATTAGATTTATAATTGTAATTTTAGTTATTTTTTAGTATTATAAGCTATTATAAGTCTAAAAAATAACTAATATTTTGGATATATAATTATATTTTGGATATTTCGGGTACCCATTCGGTTCTCGGTTCGGTTCGGGTTCGGGTTCGGTTTTTCGGGTATAAATTTTTTGGACCCATCGGGTATTTGTCTTGGTTCCGGTTCGGTTCGGTTCATCTTTTTCGGGTCGGGTTCGGTTCGGGTCTTTCGGGTCCGGGTAAAATGCCCAGGCCTAGTCAAGATTGGTGGCTATAATAAACTATCCAAGTAATAATTAGTACATTTATCGTACCCTGGCTTTCACGAAATCGAATTTTTTTCCTTGTTGATTTGACTTTTCTTTAAATCAATAAATTCAATGTATCTTACTTAGAAAAGCGACCGTTGCAATATTCAAATGATTAATGTGAAATCAATTCAGCCGTGGACTTCGTCGGATACTACATAACTATTTGGTTGAAAAAAAAAAAAAAACTATTTGGTTGAAGAAAAATGATTTTTACATTAATAAAATATGATTTTACCCTGAGTTATTAAAACAAAATAATTTTTAGAAAAGAAAAATGATTTGAGACTTTTATAAAAAAATAAAATAAAAAATAAGTACTTGTTTTGTTTTTATTACTACTTTTTCTTTGAGTAGTAATAATAAACGGTTTTCCAGCTTCTAAAAGTCTAAAATTTATAAAGTTTCTTCGGTGAGCCATAAATGTAGTCATGTGAATATGATATCACGATACAAAGTTACAAACACTATGATCCCACATAGTAAGTACATACATTAACTATTTCCAAGAAAAGCCAACACCATCATTTACACTGAAGTAACGTACTTCCACCATTTCACAAAGCGTACATGTGTTTTTGAAGATTTACTTTTGTTTAATGAAATATATATATCGTTTTGTTTTTCTAGTAGAGAATTTGAACAAAAATTATAGTTTTAATCCTATTATTTTAGTGTATTGATTAGAGAGAGACAGTGGCCGGTGTTATTATTCTAGAAGAGGTGGAAAAGTGTAGAAGGAAGTTTCAGAAATTCTGCTTAACCCACATCTCGAGGATAAAGAATACGAAGACAAATAAGCTAGTACGGAGTATTTTAAATTTGCCTTATAATTTGTATTATGTAAACTCTGTTTCCCATTTGGATTCTCGAATCGAGATAGGAACATAGACTTACGCTGTTGACAAAAAGAAAAAAAAATTGAGAGCAATTTCCAAAAAGGAAAAACTTTCTATCGTTGAACACAAAGAATGGTCGTTGCTGCGTTTGGCCGATGATGACGCAAGTGCAACATCAAAACAAACAACGTTTAGCTTTTAAACTAATGGGCCATATAATGGGCCTGTAGGATCCAAATTTACATAAATTGGGCCTAACAAAACGACATCAATATGTAATCTTCGACAGTCTTCGATAGATCAGATATTTCTACAGAAGAGAGAAGAACAAAACGCAGACGAAGAAGAAGAAGAGCAAAGAGAAATGAGGCCGATGCAACTGGATATGCTGTCGGAGATGGACGATGCAGGTTCGTCGATGGCTATGGACGTAGATGACATCGAAGCCATGGAGATTCTCAGCGAAGGAGGACTTATCTCTGAGAGCAAGCTCGTCGACGCCGATTTCTTCAACAAGTTCGAGGATGATTTCGACGACGCTGATATCAACTGATCTGGTTTCATTTTTCCTCCATTTTCGTACCTAAGGTTTCAGATTCCCCGTTCTTCTCTGTCGAATTTCTTATGTAATTTCTGGAAGGAATCGATTTTATGACTGTTTATGGGTTTTCTGGATTCGGATGTAATCGAAGTTCTTAACTCGTTAAGTTTCTTAGCTCAGCATTAAAGTATGGATTTTTTGGGCTTTCTTATTGGTTTTTTCAAATTTTGCCTTTGTTCGATTTTGTTTGCCTGCTAATGTTAGCTTGAGACCTCATTCTCAGTGTATTTTGATAATGGCTTGAATTAGAAAGTCCACTGCTTCTTTCCTCTGATTCATACAATGTCCGATTCAACATTTGTTTGCTTGTGATTTCACCATTCCTCACTCTCTCAAACATGTGTTTGGTCATGTTGTATGCAAGAAGATGATGTACATTCTTTCTCTGGATCTTGGCTTTATATCCTTTGTTTCATAGTGTGATTGATACTCTTTAAGGATAGCCATAAATTTTTGATAATGTCTTTAAAATTAGAAACTTTCTAAATTCCATGCCTCTTGTCTTCAAATGGTTCTCTAGTGGACATTGTGATGATGGGTTGCTTTGGAAAATGTTGTAGATTTTCACCATTTCCTCACCTTTCTCAAAACATGTGATGATGTGTTGGTTGCTTTGTGTTGTGATGAGAGACTACAATCTTTCTCTGTCCAAATTGGGTTTAGCTTTGTTTTACATTCATCTTGTTTGGTTGTTGTAAAGTGTAGCCAAAGCTTTTGCAGGGGGGTGGTTAGTCGTCCTTAATTGTCTCAAATATATGCAGATTCTTATTTCATATGCTCTGCTTTGCAGTCTTGTTTCTCGTAGCTTGGACTGTGACTATCTTTACGAAACTACATTCTGTCAATCCGAACATTGCAGTTCTTGACTCATAGCACATGAATGCATAGAAATTTCATAGAAAAGTTTCTGACTAAAACATACAACAAGATCCAATGCGGCGGCATTGCTGCAGAAAACAACAAGCTATGACATTTCTCTACTGTACTTCGCCAGTTAGACTAAGGACTTTGCCCTTTCGTGTTAGGTATTTTCCTCTTGGAAATTAATAAATTGTTCCATTCAGAAGAGCTCTAAAAAGAAGGACATGTCAGGAATTTTGGCAAAAATATTATTTCTCTAACTTTCTTTTTGTCCTCGAATAACAACTTTGGTTTTGTACTGCAAAGATACAAATTGTTTATCCACGATTGATACAACAGGCTAAACAAGCAAAGTAAATAGTAGATCTAGATGAGAAGGCTGTTTGCCCCAAACCATTTCCCATTTCCATTACTATCTCGAAGCACCTATCCTACAAAGCATTACACTTGAACGTTTCTTCTGAAGTGGGTCTCCAACACAATTTGAAGGACTTAAGGTCCAGTGTGGCTTTGGATGAGAAATTGTAATTCTTTTAACCGGTTCTTGTAACCTGGTTTTGTAATTCTTTTCTTAAATTCTAAATGGGTTTAACTCCTTCATACTCTTCGTCCAAGCCCGTTGTAGAGCCCGCTCTAGAAACTTGGTAATCATTTGTTCCGGTTTTGGAAGGGAGTAGCAAATGTTTTCTTGTCTTTTCTCTAAGGTAGTGACAGATAATCACTCATTTCCTTATCTTAAAACGTATTCCTAAATCATAGGCAATCAAGTTTTTATGAGATTGATTCTACTAGATCTTTGCTTCCTACCCAAGTCCACGAGAGGCTATAAATAACAGGTCCTCACCTCACGATTCGTAATGTTTTAAATATGGTATGTTGTCAATCATAGGATAAGATTTCTTTGGTTTGAGATAAACTCAACAGAAGCGGTTGATGTCAAAATGTTGAAAATCAAAATGATTTCTTTTATTTTGACGTGCCGTTAATGTTGACGTGCCAAGCGCACATACAGTGAAGCTCGGATCCTAAGATTTCCGCCGATCGAGACGAGAGCCTTGATACCATTGTCGCCGGATTTCTGCCCTTATCGCAGACGACAAGGATAGCAAAGGTCTCGTCATCGACTAGCAGCAATCATACCTAGGATCCGATCGCATGGTTTACAGCATGTGGGCTTGGCACGTCAACATTGACGGCAGGAGGAAGAGCTGGTGGGGACATGGGAGGAGAAGGAACACCATCCCAACGTGAAAAGCTTGGCGGTGAAGAAGACATGTCAGTATGTCGCAAGACAAGAGGGCCGAAGCTCATTTTTCTTGTAGTGGGGAGATCAAGAAGAGAACTTTAGAGAGAGATGAAATAACAACTTAAACGTAGAGAGAGACGTGAGAGAGGACTCTTGTGACTTTTGGGTGAATGAAGATTGTAATGAAGATTGGGAGGAAGCAAGGATCTAGAAGAATCAATCTCACAAAGACTTGATTGCCTATGAGAGAGTAATACCTTTTAGGATAAGGAAATGAGTGATTATCAAGGCAAGAAGACATTTACCACTCCCTTCCTAAAACGGAACGATGATCTGGGCTTGGAAGAAGAGTTACAAGAGTAAGGAGTTAAACCAATTTAGAATTTAAGAAATTACAAAACTAGGTTAATTAGAAGAACGGGTTTCACAAATTGTGTGGCAGTACATATCAACATACGTAGAAACCATCATGTAATGGTTGACATTTTAATAGTTTCCATCAATTTTTCCATTATCTCAAGTCCCAACCAACCAATTATATAAAATACTTTTCATTTTAATAGTCTCCACGAAACTCTTGTATGAAGCTTTGGTGTTACGTGGCGCTGAAGGGACTGGAAGGAACATGAGTGTGTGTATAGATAACATTATATACTTTTAAATAATTGAAATAAAACACCAAAGCTTCGTCAAGAGTTTTACATTGTAAACGGTACTAAAAACAGATAAAGCCACAAATTTGTGCGACAAACAAGATCTGTATGAGGCAAACAATGTATTAGCCTAGTAATTCCTAAAAAAATGTGTCAAACAACCTAAAAAAAAACAGACGTTGAGAGAAAACCGGGCTTCAACATCTCTCCATTTGAAGAACTATATAAAGCAGCAGATGGTTAGGTACAATCTCAGAAAACAAAAAACAAAAAAAAAAAACACAAAAACACACAAAAAAACAAAAATAAATAAAAATAAATATGGGTTCATATTTAGGAATTTCAACAATTCTTGTTCTATGTTTGCTGGGATTCTCAGCCAATGCTGAGATTTTCACAGTTCCTGGTGCTCCAGGGTCTGATATTACTGCGGTTAGTTCTATAGCTTTTCATTTCTTGCTCCCAAAGAAAAACCATTTTTGTCTTTTTATGGCTTACTCGTTGGGGTTCCACCGCAGGCACTTTTGAAAGCATTCACATCGGCATGCCAAGCTCCGGCACCGAGCAAAGTAGTGATCCCAAAAGGTGAGTTCAAGCTTGGTGAGATCGAGATGACGGGTCCATGCAAAGCTCCAATTGAGGTCACCCTGCAAGGCACTGTCAAGGCTGACGGAGGCTCTGTCGTCGGAAAGGACAGATGGGTTGTCTTTCAAAAAATTAATGGATTTAAGTTGAACGGAGGTGGAACCTTCGACGGTGAAGGCAATGCAGCTTGGAGGACCAACAACTGCCACAAGACTTTCGAGTGCAAGAAACTTCCCATGGTACGTGTTTCTGTCTTTGATAAACCCTAATCCGAGCTAGGGTTGCTAACAAAACAATATATTGATGCTATTGTTAATTTATGTTTTGTTGCAGAGTGTAAGGTTTGATTTCGTAGACAACGCTGATATCAGAGACATAACCTCGATCGACGCCAAGAACTTCCACATTAACGTTATCAGCGGCAAGAACATGACCTTCGATAACATCAAGATCAACGCTCCAGCAGAGAGCCCCAACACCGACGGTATCCATTTGGGAAGATGTACCGATGTCAAGATCCTTAACACCAAGATCGCCACCGGAGATGACTGCATCTCCGTCGGAGATGAAATGACCAATCTTCTCATCGAGGGAGTCACTTGCGGTCCAGGACACGGAATCAGTATCGGAAGTCTTGGAAGGTACAACTGGGAGAAAAACGTCAACGGCGTTACCGTCAAGAAATGTACTCTCATCGGAACTGACAACGGAGTGAGGATCAAGACATGGCCGTCCGCTGCTTGCACCACCACCGCCTCCGGTATTCATTTCGAGGACATCACCCTTGACAACGTTCTGAACCCAGTCATCATCGACCAGGAGTACTGCCCACACAACCAATGCAACAAGGCCGTAAGTAAAGCTTACATATAATCCCATGCTTGCCACTATATATATATATATATATAGACGTTGCAAATGGCACCAAAAATGAAAATTGTTCCCTTGTTTATATGCGCAGAAACCATCAACGATTAAGCTTGTGGACGTCAGCTTCAAGAACATTAAAGGAACATCAAAGACTAAGGAAGCAGTGAAGCTATTGTGCAGCAAGGGATTCCCATGCCAGAACGTCGAGATTGGAAACATTGACATTAAGTACACTGGAGCCGATGGTCCAGCTGTTTTCCAGTGCTCAAACGTTGTGCCTAAGCTGACTGGAGTCCAGAACCCGAAGGCTTGTACCGGACCCGTGACCATGCCACCAGGACAAGACTAAAGTGTGTAGACGCTCAGATCAACATCTAGGGCTCTCACATCCAATTTTCTTCAATTTTGATTTTCCTTCTTTTGAACTTTTGTTTTTCTTGAAAAGTCTCATACGGGAGACATTAAAAATCTGTACAAATAAACAATGATGCCAACACATATATAGATGTGTGTGTGTGTGTGCATAGTATAATGTAATAAAAAAATTTATATATCTTTTCCTCATATGCGTGTCTTTTTAAATCTTATAATATGTGAACTAATTAAATGCGTAGCCGCACTACAAGCAAGTTTTTTTTCCAGCCTCGCTGATTTTCTTTCTAATTCAGTTGGACTAATATTCTAGTAATCATATTGACAAATTGAATTAACAATCTAACCATTAGTTTTGTATGATTAGAATCTGTGTTCAAAACATCGGAAGGTTTAGATTTTGAGTTTGGAGTTTATGTTTTTATTGAGGTTTAGTTTATAGATTTAGTGTTTGTATATGTATTTAGATTTTGGGTTTAGGATTTAGAATTTGGGTTTAGGATTTAGGTTTTTGGATTTTGGGTTTAGTGTTGATTTCTTTTATTTTGGGTTTAGAGTTTAGTTTTTTTGAATTTAGAGTTTTGATTTTGAATTTAGAGTTTGCAATGTAGTGTTTAAGATTTATAGTACATTTTACTCTAAATTATTGTACATTTATATAGTATAGTTCTTTTCATGCTTAAGAAATTAAAGGGCCAATGCTATAACTTTAGATTCTACTTTATACAAGAACGTAACTATTTTTTTTTTCTTATAGCTATAAGCTTAATTATGTGTTCCAATATGAATATTAAGCAAATTCACCCAATATTCTATCTATACTATTAAAAAAATCACATTCTCTGGGGGAGTTATAAATATACTTATAGGTATACTAATATCAAAATTATATATTTCATATATGTTAGGTACTGACTAGAGGATATAAATATTGTTCTTATTATGACAATACTATGTTTAAGATGAATCGAGAAGAATATTCTTTCTCAAACATGTTCTTTAACTAAATTTTATTTCAATCATAACCTTGATTTAGTTATTCGATTTTAGGAAAATGTACATATTAAAAAAACAATTTGATTTCTAGTGATGCAATTTTCTAATTTACTTATTTTTAAAATCGATGAAGTTTTGTTTTTTTATTTTTCCGTAGTTTCTTCTACAATATGTAAAACACTAAATTATAAATTTTGATACAGAGGATCTTATCTAGTATATATAAACTAGAACCAAACATTATAAACATTATGTTAGTATATAGTTATAAACCATAAACTATATAGATGTTTCAATCACGTGGGAGCTTTCAGAACTTTGATCCATTTGGTTAAAGATGGTATGATCTCGATCTTTTGAGCTAGAAGATTATCCCCACATCAAAATAATTGTGAGAGCCGAATCGCACACCAAAGTATTTAATATTGGATTGAAGGGAATCAAGGTTTTAATTTATGTTAAGTCTAAGATAAGAATGAGACTAACCTTGACGAATTGGATTTGTTACTTATTAAACAAGATCAAATGATGAATCATGGAAAGAGGTTAACCCTTTCTATATTTTTGACATGTGAATACAACAGAAAATGACATATGGCAATAAGTTTTTCATTTACATATAATTGACATGTGGACATTCATTAGATTGACACATAGCAAAGTTTATACAGAATAGCTTTTTTCACATTCTTAATCGTTGCAGTTAGTATACTTAGGCTTTCCAAAATCGTTGATTGTTTCACCTTCCATGTTGTATCCGTCCTCCATTAATTGACACATGACATGACATGACTTTTCGTATTCCTTCCAATTGATAACTCTAAATCTTATTTATTTGCTAAATATTTTAACTTGTAAACAATGACGGAAAATCAGAGTTCGTTCTACATGGTAGTAAGTAAATAAAAAGAGTTAATGGCAAACAGACGTATGTATAATGCAAAATACATCTGAAAGTCGGTTGCTAATCAGATATGTTGAAATTAAAATGTGGATGTTATTTAGATTATAGTTTATAATATTAATAATCGCAAATCTAAAATTATTTGAATATTTTTTTTATAACTATAACAACTGGAAAAACCCATGTGTACGCGCAAGCATTAGTCTAGAATTATAAAATGATCTCGAATGAAATGTGTTTAAGTAAAAAGTAAGAAGATGAGCGCAGCTGGCAGTACTAGGTAGGATTACAAGTACTGATGAGATGCCTATCAAATAAAGCAGTCGTTTCCTTTTATTTATGCGCCTCATCAGCCTGCGGTGGTGATGCATGTGGTGGCTGATATTTATGATCTAAAATATAAAAGATGCATCTTATATATTTAGCGATTCGTCATGAAATTCAATAAGATAATCATTAATCTGAAAGGTAATGTAATTTGCTTTCTCATTTTCTTTTAATTTTTCATATATTTAAGGAAAGAGGAACTTTCTTTTTTTCTGTTGAGAGGAATTTTTATTACATTTTTTAATTTATTAAATAATTTTATATAAAAGATAAAAACAATTAATATAAAAATTATATATTTTAATATTAGTTAAACATTTTTCAAGTTTTGGAGGACAAAACTCTTACTATTAGTAACAAAATTTCTTGTTTAGATTTATAAATCCCCAAATCTATTTTTTCTTGTGTAATTGTTATCAATTATATTCTTGTTTTAGATAAAACAAAATTAAATAAAATAGGTATTCTTTAGTTAGACCCCATTTTCGAAATAATTTACAATTGAGTCAAAAAAAATATTCAGAAACTAAATATTTGGCGCATCTCATTTTTAAAAATTTTCAAACGATTTTTCTTATTAGTCGGATTTTAGAAAGTCGCCATGTTTTCACCTTGAGACCGATTATAAATCTCGTATCAAACCTTTGCCCCAAACCACTTCCCATTTCCATTACTATCTCTAAGCACCAATCCTACACAGCATATCTCAGAACCGTGGATCTATGAGGCGTCCACATTACACTTGAACATTACTTCTGAAGGGGGGTCTCTAACTAGCTTTAAGAAAGTTGACAGCAGAATATATTTTGGATAAGCGATGCGATGCCTACACAATTTGAAGAACTCCAAGTCCAATGTGACTTTGGATGAGAAATTGTGTGGCAGTACATATCAACATACGTATAAGCCATCATGTAGCGGTTGACATTTGAATAGTTTCTATCAATGTTTTCATTATCTCAAGTCTCAACCAACCAATTATATATATAAAATACTTTTCATTTTAATAGTTTCCACAAAAATCTTGTACGAAGGTTTGGTGTTTTGTGGCGCTTAAGGGACTGAAAGGAACATGAGTTTATAGATAACATTATATCCTTTTAAATAATTGAAATAAAACACCAAAGCTTCGTCAAGAGTTTTCCATTGTAAACGGTACTAAAAACAGATAAAGCCACAAAATTGTGAGACAAACAATGTATCAGCCTAGTAATTCCTAAGAACTGGGTCAAACAACCTAAAAAAAACAGACGTTGAGAGAAAACCGGGCTTCAACATCTCTCCATTTCAAGAAATATATAAAGCAGCAGATGGTTATGTAATCTCTCAGAAAAACAAAAAACAAAAAAAAAACACAAAATCACACAAAAAAAACAAAAATAAATAAAAATAAATATGGGTTCATATTTAGGAATTTCAACAATTCTAGTTCTATGTTTGCTGGGATTTTCAGCCAATGCTGAGATTTTCACAGTTCCTGGTGCTCCAGGGTCTGATATTACTGCGGTTAGTTCTATAGCTTTTCATTTCTTGCTCCCAAAGAAAAACCATTTTTGTCTTTTTTGGCTTACTCGTTGGGGTTCCACCGCAGGCACTTTTGAAAGCATTCACATCGGCATGCCAAGCTCCGGCACCGAGCAAAGTAGTGATCCCAAAAGGTGAGTTCAAGCTTGGTGAGATCGAGATGACGGGTCCATGCAAAGCTCCAATTGAGGTCACCCTGCAAGGCACTGTCAAGGCTGACGGAGGCTCTGTCGTCGGAAAGGACAGATGGGTTGTCTTTCAAAAAATTAATGGATTTAAGTTGAACGGAGGTGGAACCTTCGACGGTGAAGGCAATGCAGCTTGGAGGACCAACAACTGCCACAAGACTTTCGAGTGCAAGAAACTTCCCATGGTACGTGTTTCTGTCTTTGATAAACCCTAATCCGAGCTAGGGTTGCTAACAAAACAATATATTGATGCTATTGTTAATTTATGTTTTGTTGCAGAGTGTAAGGTTTGATTTCGTAGACAACGCTGATATCAGAGACATAACCTCGATCGACGCCAAGAACTTCCACATTAACGTTATCAGCGGCAAGAACATGACCTTCGATAACATCAAGATCAACGCTCCAGCAGAGAGCCCCAACACCGACGGTATCCATTTGGGAAGATGTACCGATGTCAAGATCCTTAACACCAAGATCGCCACCGGAGATGACTGCATCTCCGTCGGAGATGAAATGACCAATCTTCTCATCGAGGGAGTCACTTGCGGTCCAGGACACGGAATCAGTATCGGAAGTCTTGGAAGGTACAACTGGGAGAAAAACGTCAACGGCGTTACCGTCAAGAAATGTACTCTCATCGGAACTGACAACGGAGTGAGGATCAAGACATGGCCGTCCGCTGCTTGCACCACCACCGCCTCCGGTATTCATTTCGAGGACATCACCCTTGACAACGTTCTGAACCCAGTCATCATCGACCAGGAGTACTGCCCACACAACCAATGCAACAAGGCCGTAAGTAAAGCTTACATATAATCCCATGCTTGCCACTATATATATATATATATATAGACGTTGCAAATGGCACCAAAAATGAAAATTGTTCCCTTGTTTATATGCGCAGAAACCATCAACGATTAAGCTTGTGGACGTCAGCTTCAAGAACATTAAAGGAACATCAAAGACTAAGGAAGCAGTGAAGCTATTGTGCAGCAAGGGATTCCCATGCCAGAACGTCGAGATTGGAAACATTGACATTAAGTACACTGGAGCCGATGGTCCAGCTGTTTTCCAGTGCTCAAACGTTGTGCCTAAGCTGACTGGAGTCCAGAACCCGAAGGCTTGTACCGGACCCGTGACCATGCCACCAGGACAAGACTAAAGTGTGTAGACGCTCAGATCAACATCTAGGGCTCTCTCACATCCAATTTTCTTCAATTTTGATTTTCCTTCTTTTCTTGAAAAGTCTCATACGGGAGACATTAAAAACCTGTACAAATAAACAATGATGCCAACACATATATAGATGTGTTTGTGCATAGTATAATGTAATAAAACTAAAAGATTTATATATCTTTTCTGCATATGGGTGTCTTTTTAATTTTTAATATGTGAACATGTGTAGCCAAGTTATTTTTTCCAGCCTTGCCGTTTTTCCCTAACTCGGTTAGACTAATATTATATCTATAATATTATTAGAATCACATTAATTCTGTGGTGGAATTCTAAATATTTTTATTTGGGGTATACTAATATCAAAATTACATATTTAGTATATGTTAGGTACTGTTAAAAGTTTTTTATTTATTTATATACTGTATATATGTAAATAAACCAGAACAAAAAATAATGTTAGTATATTGTTATAAACCATAAACTATATAGATGTTTTTAAATCTTGTGGGAGCTTTCAGAACTTTGATCCATTTGGTTTAAGATGGTATGATCTTGGTCTTTTGAGCTTGAAGAAGAACTATAGATATCGCCACAGACGGGGCCAATTGTGAGAGCTGAATCTCACACCAAAGTATTTGATATTGGATTTGTTATTAAACAAGATCAAATTATCGAATCTTATAAAATGATCTCTAATGAGATGTGTTCAAAGTAAAAACTAAAATGTAAGAAGATGAGCGAAGCTCGCAGTATTAGGTTTACAAACACTGATAAAATGCCCATCATGTATGCTCATCAGTCATCAGCTCCTTAGGTGGTGATGCACGTGGTGGCTGATAATTCTAGTCAGTAATCTGGGAAATAAAATATGCCTCTTATATATTTAGCGATAAGTCATGAATAATCAGTAATCTGAAAAGTAATGTGGTTTGCTCTCTAATTATTTATTTTATTTTTCATATATTGAGGAAAGATAATTTTCATTTTGTCTATTTTTATGACTAAAAGAAAAGAGAGATATTTCATTTTGTCTATTTTTATGACTAAAAGAAAAAGTAAAACAAGAAGAAAGAGAGTTATGCACACAAAAATTAAAAGAGAAAGAGTCAAAACTGATGGGGATGTTACAAAACACAAATGGCTACCCACAATTCTCTCAACACCGACACCAATCAATCCACACACACAAGAAAATGTTTTATCATCACTTAAAACTCCAAATAAAAAAAAACTACTATAAATATAGCTCGTATCAAACCAGCTCAATCAATCAAAGCTTAAGGAAATCACATATACTTCAAAAATCCTCTTCATACCTTTTTTTATTACTTTGAATCATCAATCATGTCGCAGCAATCATTCAACGCTGGCCAAACCAGGGGCCAAGCTCAAGTCCGTTCTCCATACCATATTCTTCTCAACTTCAAACCGTAGAGAGTATAATATATTTTACCAAATCTTAAGTATGTTTGATGTAAATATGTTTCAATGGATATTGTAGGAGAAAGCCGAGCAATGGACTGAGTCTGCCAAGCAGACCGCACAATCAGCATGTGACAAGACCGCAGATGCGGCACAGTCAGCACGTGACAAAGCTGCCGATCTGACACAATCAGCACAAAACAAATCTGCACAAAAATCTCATTCCACCCAAGCATCAGCCCAACATGGCCAGGAACAAGCTGCTGGCTTTCTCGGCCAGGTACATTTACATAATTATAATCAAATATATTTTTATAAAACTTGGTTAACTATTAATTGATATTTCAATCTGTGTAATTGGAGAGCAGACCGGTGAGAATGTGAAGAACATGGCTCAGGGTGCTTTGGACGGTGTTAAGAACAGTCTTGGCATGAACGAGAAGAAATGAGGAAATGATTAACGAACACTACTCAACTATTTACTTATATTTATGGATAAAATTTTCTGGTGTTTGTTTTCTCTAAGTTATGTTTGTAATAAGTATTTTTTTGATAGATTTTGTGATCATAAGATCTGAGATCTAAGATGTAATAATAAGGTGGTGTAACATCACACCCTGCATTTTTCTATTTTAAAGGAATGTACCAAATGAACAACACTCTTGTTTACTTGGCCGATTGCACCGATTTTATTTATGTGACCCATATAGATGAAACGTGGGACCCACATTTTTTATGTTGAACTGGTGACCACTACAATATGTGGGTCCCATGTTTTCTACTTAAAAAAACTGTTAAATGTTGAATTTTTAGAAGAAAACAGCATAATCATCGATTCTACTAAACATTGACTCCGATTGGTGACGTAGTGAATAGTAGTGTATTACAGAATTTGCAATGGTACGAAAGATAACAGTATGAAAAACAGTGGTACGAAATATAGCAGTACAAATAAAGATTATACAAAATGATAGTACATAACTAAATTCCGATTGGTAACATTATAACAGTACAAATAGTGTATTTTTAAATAGAAATAGAAATCAGTTCATTTTAAAAAATTTAAATAGTTTCTAAAACTATAACACAATTTTTTTTGTTATAAAATTACCAACACCTTCATTTAGCAAAAAAATATTACATATCAATTAAAATTATTTAAAGACATAAGGTTTACATTTTGAAGAAAATCTAATAACTAATATTGTTTGAAAACCATCACATATTAAGGCCTTGATTATTTACAGATTCTACTTTAGATTTTGGTTTTTTTTTTTGAAAAAACCATTTTTCCCCAATCATGATTTTAACTAAATAAATTCCCTATTTTTCAGGAAAACTGGTTATTCCACAGATTTCTCATTTTCTTCACAAAAACTAGAATCCCATTTTTTCTAGTTTTTCCCCCACAAGTAGCGAGATATTTATAATCAAGGCTATATATTTCTTTTCTGAAATTATATTCTTTACATCACATCTTCTATCTAAGAAAGAACAAAAATCTCTCATCTACTAAACACATACAAAAAATCAAAAAAATAGTGAACATTTTACAAATCAAACTTGTTATTCCAAACATTCAAAATATGTTTTAGTTTTGGTTTTAAATTATTTTTTGGTAGTTTTTGATTGTACAATGTAAATTAATATTTTAGATGTGGTGCGTCATAAATATACTACATAAGTAGCATATCATACATAGGGGTGTTCAATCCGGATATCGGTTCGGTTTCGGTTCGGTTTTTTCGGTATTTGGTTTTTCGGTTAATAAAAAATAGCTACCATAGTAGATCCATACTTACTTCGGTTTGGTTCGGTTTGGATTCGGTTTTTGCGGTTTGGATATTTTCGGGTCGAATAATCTCGGTTTTCGGTTAATTTGTATTTTTTGTTTTATGATTATTTTATTAATTAGGGTTTTCGATTTTTCTCATAATCAAAATGATCAAATTCAAATAAAAAATGCAAACTCAATTCAAATAAAAAATGCAAACTCATGTCTTATTCCTTTTGCTCATCTACAAGTGAATAAGTATTAAAAGAAAATCAGTTAACTTATGAAACAAAAAGTAGAACAAACGGAGAAAACTTGTTTAAGGCATACGATACCTTTAGTTCACGTCTAGGGTAAGAGAAAAGATTAACGAAGAAGAAGACAATTGCTATAATAATATTGTTGTATGAGAAGAGGAAGATCGCTTTATCTAGGTTTTTTATTTAGTGTTTCTTAATTGTTAAATTTTAGTTAATTAATGATTTATTACTCTAAACTTATATTATTATATGAGTAATTTAATATATATAAAGTTATTCGGTTTTTTGCGGTTTTTGCGGTTCGGTCGGTTAATATCCAAACCATATCAATATCCACGGTTTATATAAAATTGCATCCATACGGTTTATACAGTGTATCCAAATCCAAACCATATGACTTATTTCGGTTCGGTTCGGTTCGGGTCGGTTCGGTTTTACCAAATTGAACACCCCTAATCATACATTAACATTGACATGTTGCTTTATTACTACATATAATATTTTCTTATTAACAAATTCATAGTTTTATTTTTATGAGAAAAAAAAATATAAACAAAAACCAAAAACTAAAATGAGCCACCATTCAAGTTTCCAAAAATTCAAAATCTACAGCAAAATCAAAATCAAAAACCAAAATCTAAAATCAGAAATCAAAATCTAAAAACCAAAATCCAAAATCTAAAAACCAGCTAAACATTCATGGCTTAATTCAGTTGTTAATATATATATATATATATATATATTTAAAGGTAATACAAAATTTATATGTCTAAAAATCATAAATTAGACATACATAGCATTTTAAATGCATCCAGCTGAAAGAATAATGAAATTAAGAAATATTAAATTCAACATTGTAAAATAATGTGTGTATATATTTGATGTTAACAAATTCACTATTCAAAAATTATCATTAAATCATCCATCATTTAAATGATTATTGCACATTATTAATAACATCAACTCTAAAAATATAGTCACTTTACCATTAAAATTAACATTCAAACAAAATTGAACATAGCTAATAAAAAAGAGTTATGTTTTATATTTTTAACAATTTTCAGTGATATGTTAAATATTTCTTGTTAGTTATAAAAATATAATTATTAACAACATTCAACCAGTTTTGATTATAATTTTAGCCAAAAGAAAAATCAACTCACACTATTTCAAAGACATCATGGATTTGACTTATTTTAACTAACATTTTTTACTCCTTTTAATTATTTGTACCATCACTTCTTTTTGTACTACTGCATGAAAGTATCATTACAGTTGAACCACTCTTTTACCATTTGTACCATCAGTTTTTGGTTGTAATGCTCTTTTTTTTGTAAAACACATTTTGTACCATCACAATTGTAATGTTCAAATGATTGGTTACACTACATGTATTACATTTTGTAATACCCTTCTTTTTGGTTACCAATCAAACCCATTGTTTCTCAATTATTCCAACCATTTGCACCTTATATTGATGAAAAATTCAAAACAAAACCTTATACAGTTATACATTTGCATCTTTTTCTTCATGTTATTAAAATATTAATATAAGGAAATTCTTTGTATAATATATCAAATTATTAATTCCACTCACTATCAAGAGAAAAGGAAACCGTTATCAATTTGGACAACAAGAGTGAAGAGACTATCTTCTTCCTCTTTCTTCTTTCTTCTTCTCCTAATTTCTGGAATTCCTCTGGTTTGAACACCTTTTCCACTTTCTACCGATGAATTCTCTGCAATTACACTGCTCCCTTCACTTCCTCCGTCCAAAACACCGTCTTCGTTCCTCTACCACCTTCACTTCCCGCACGTGCCACTTTCCCGGTAAAATCAATCTCCGTGAAAATTCCAGAGTCGGAGCCAAGTCTATCTCCTTCAATTGCTTCGCCCAATCCGATACAAAGGAATCAAGTTTCAGAAACGGAGAAATTTCAGCTGAGAGAGAAGAACCGGAACGTCCTCCGTTCGATATCAATCTCGCCGTCATACTCGCTGGTTTCGCTTTCGAATCCTACGCTACCCCTCCGGTAACTCCTTAATCACTCTTCTGAAGATAATTTTAAGGAAATTTTAAACCTTGCAATGATTTTGATTTTTTTTTTTTTTTTCTATCCGATTCTCAGGAAAAGATCGGGAAACGAGAGGTTAATGCAGCTGGGTGTATTACTCTCTACCTTTCTGAGTATGTCTCTCCTTTTTAGCTTTTTTTTGTTTGCCAAAGAGTGTTTGTAGATACTGAAAAGCTTGGGTTATACTTGTTTTAGGTCATTTGTAAGGGAAGTATACGATGGACAATTGTTTATAAAGCTCAAAAGAGGATTTGATTTTCCTGCCTTGGATCCATGGGTGTGTTGAAAAAGCTTCCTTTATAGTAATGTTTGTCTTCTTTGACTCATTGGCTTCAAGTCTTTCTTTATTGAACTTTTCCTTTCAGGGAACGAGTGACCCTTACGTGGTCATGGACTTGGATGGTCAGGTTGCTAGAAGCAAAACCAAATGGGGGTAAAAGTTTGCTTATGCTTTCTTGAATTTTTTTGCATTTCTTAGCTAGATGTTACTCGGTTATTTAGATATATAGAAAAATTATGCATTGTCTAGCCTAATCATAGTAGATATGATATATTGGTATAAGTGAGAAAACTTTGTTCTTAAGTGTGTTGTTATTGGTAGGACAAGAGAGCCAAAATGGAATGAAGACTTTGTTTTGAATATCAAGCTACCTCCTGCAAAAAAGATACAGGTATAATGTTGGTTTCTAAGTATTATGTTACTTGATGTGGAAGACCGCTGTCTAATATAGAGCCTTGCTTGACCACTTTCAGATTGCAGCTTGGGATGCAAATCTTGTAACCCCACCTAAACGGATGGGGAATTCCGAAGTCGACGTGGAATGCATTTGTGATGGTGAGAATATTGTTCACTCATTCATTACCACTTGTACTTAGTTTATAATTTCGAGTTAAACATAAGGAGAAAAGGTCTGTTTTGTTGTTTGGTATAACTTCTTTAAACATTAGGGTATGCATCCACTTTCTCCGTGAGCCTTCTTGAGATCCCACAACTTTAATATACACTAACAAACATTAAGATTAGGAGATGAATAGAATCTAGAGATATATTCAACCACATAAAGGGATTTTGGTATAAACTCTGCCAAACCGAAAACTTATACGCTGGCAAATATTATGGTTTTTTACTGGAAATGCTTCATGTTTCCTATGCTATGAGTATCTGCATATTGTCTGACTAGATAATCAAGCATGGATAATTTTTATACACAAGTAGTGATACATCTGATGAACCTGCTGCACGTTTTACTTTCGGCTTCTGTCTCTTAATTTGTACTTGTTCGTTTGTCGCTTCTCAAGGAACCTTGCACGAGGTGCTAATAGAACTAGACGGAATTGGAGGTGGTGGAAAAATTGAACTTGAGGTCAGTTTATGCTGTCAAGGATTTTTCTCTCCACGATTGTTGTTTATTTATGTATTAGGCCCCGCGTATACGCGGGTTTATTATACAATTTTTGAAATAAATCATAAAAAATATTAATTAAATTTCACTCTTTAAAAGTAAAAGTAAGTAGATTAATATTAAAACCCCGATAAAAGACTTCTAAATAATTTTAGATTGGTAATTTTTTTACATTTTTATTATTTGATGAAATCTTTTTTTCAAATATTTTTTTACCTGACAAAAAATTAAACTATTAAAATCAGAATATCAGTTCATTATAATTTTTTTCTGTTAATATTAGTTAGTTGCTCGATAATTATTTTATTATTTTTCTATTTATATTGTTTTTTCAGCTTTGTTTTTGACTCAGGTCATTATAAAATTTTCTTTGCATTATTAGTTAGTTGTTTTATAATTATTTTGATTTTTTTTTTCTTTTTTCTTTTTTCTTTTTCTTTTCTTAATGAGAGTTATTTTTCCTCCTTATCTTAATAAGGTATATATCAATATAATATGTTACCAGACTGCAGATTAAAATTACAAATTTCGATGATCTTTCCTTCGGCCATCTGATCTCAAAAATTTTAAAGTAGTGAATGATGCACAAAATCTTGAATTGTGTTTTCCTGTTTCAAACAAAAGTAAAACTTTAATGTTAATCAATGTTATAATAAGATTATCTATATCAATATAATAAGATGTTATACTAACATTTTCATCAAGTAATAGAAGCTCAACTCCCAAAAGAATAGTACGACGATAACTTTCGATTTCGATCCAATTGACGTAGAGTCAAATAATCTCCACTGTTCTCTTGAACTTTCAAAACATGATTTTAAAATTAGAGAAAAAGAATCAAAAAGATTTGCTGAATTTGCTTTGATGAGTTTGTGAATGAGAAAAAGAGAATACATTAGCTCTCTTTTTATAGGGGGTTCATGTAACCAATTTCATATAGTTTTATGATATTTAGTTTACATACCTATTTCATGTACTAATAGGATTTTTTAAAATAGGAGTTTAAATAACCTATATTCCATACAGTTTTAGGATATTTAGTTTACATACCTATTTCATGTACTAATAAGTAATTTTTATTACTTTATTTTTCATTTATTATATAAATTTTCGTTTTTATTATAAAAGATTAAAATTTTTCCTTAGTTTTTTTTTCCTTTTTCTCAATACATGTGTCACGATCTTAACGGACATAACATTAAAAGTGATACACGTCGCAATCCTATATTTTATAAAAATCCTACGTGTCGCAACCACGTTGTGCGCATCCAGTTTTATATAATAAGATATGATCAGTTTATCTTATAGTATAATCCTGCTACTTCACTCCTACATTAAAAAGAAAAAGCACAAGATATTATGACAGAGATTAGTACCTTGCATAGCAGTGGGAATGATTGACATTAGTACCTTTTCTAGTTTGGTATTTTTCTTAACCGTATTTAGACTTTCAGATCAGGTACAAAGGATTTGAGGAGATTGAAGATGAAAAGAAGTGGTGGAGGTTCCCGTTTATCTCGGAGTTCCTTCAAAGAAAGGAAATTGAGTCGGTTTTGAAAAATATCGTCGACTCTGAAGCTGTGCCAGCACGTCAGTTTGTAGAGTATGCCTTTGGACAGTTAAAGTCACTCAGTGATGATGCTCCTCTTAAGAATATTAAACTTCGAAACAACAATGTGGATGGCTCTGAAAGTGACAATAACTCTCCAGAGGTAGATATGCTCTCTGATGGTGCTAGTTCAGAGGATTCATTGGATCCGAATCATCACGATAGCGAAGGTAAAAATGGTGAAGGTGATGGTGGTGCCAGCAGCAACAATGTGTCAGTAAGTAATTTCTGGGGTAACTTCCCAGACATAGTTAGTCAAAATATCGTCCAGAAACTTGGCCTTCCTTCACCTGAGAAATTGAAGTGGGATGGAATGGATATACTTGAAAAATTTGGTATACAATCACGGAAAACTGCTGAAGCAGGTTACATTGAATCAGGGCTTGCCACAGCTGATTCTAGAGATGTTGATGACGATGAAAAGGAGGATGGTAACGCACCGCCCAAGACTTCCCTTGTTGACATGAAGAGTGCGACACAAGAATTGCTGAAGCAGGCTGATAATGTCTTTGGTGCGTTAATGGTTTTAAAAGCTGTAGTGCCTCAGTTAAGTAAGGACGACGCTGGTACAGAGAAGGTCATAGAAAAAGATGATGTCTCTGGTTTCTCGAAAAGTGAAAAACTCTCTGGTCTAGTGAATGTTGAGAGAGCGGATGAGAAGAACGCTGAGGAAATGAAAACACTGTTTTCTAGTGCAGAAAGTGCCATGGAGGCATGGGCGATGCTTGCCACTGCCCTGGGGCATCCAAGCTTTATCAAATCTGAGTTTGAAAAGCTGTGTTTTCTAGACAACGACGGCACTGACACACAGGTGGAAAACACTTGTCTTGTCCATGACCTGATTTTAGTTGTTTGGTAGTGATAGACTTTTCTGTTTTTTCAAGCTTTAGGTAGCTATTTGGCGTGATGCAAGGAGGAAAAGAGTAGTTATCGCTTTCAGAGGAACTGAACAGGTAGGTATTTATTTATGTATAATCTTCTTCATAAATGTGGTCGATTCTTCTCTGACTGTCAGTATTTCAATGTTTTGTCAGACAAAGTGGAAAGATTTGCAGACTGATTTGATGGTAGTTCCTGTTGGGTTAGTAATATGATTCAGCTTCTTCTCTGCATTGATTCAAGAAACTACTATTCATCTATCTTCTAAATATGTGGCAGTCTGAATCCTGAACGAATTGGTGGGGACTTCAAGGAAGAAGTACAGGTATGCTTTGGAACTCTAGGGATTGGTCAAATGTATCTTTTATTCGAGTGATCTCTAAATGCTGCTTACAGGTTCATAGTGGATTTCTGAGTGCATATGATTCAGTACGGATAAGGATCATTTCGCTACTCAAAATGGCAATCGGTTATATGTAGGTTGCTTCTTGTGTTTCAAATGGCTGCATCTTTCATTGTTGGAAGGGCCATTACAGTCTTGTCTTCTTGGTGTGTGATTAGACATCTTTTCTGATGCAGAGACGATGCTGCGGAGTGTGAAGATAAATGGCATGTTTATGTGACTGGCCATAGCTTGGGTGGTGCATTAGCTACACTCTTGGCTATTGAACTTGCGTCAAGCCAATTAGCTAAGTAAGTGGTTTTGACAACTCCCTACCTCTACATCATATGCAGCTTGATGGGCATTTTATCAATATGATTTTTGTATGCTTGTTAGACGTGGAGCGATCACTGTAACCATGTACAATTTTGGATCTCCAAGAGTAGGCAACAAAAAATTCTCTGAAGTTTATAATCAGGTAACAAGTTTTCATTGACAAGTGGGAGTGATATAGCACGTTGTCATATAATCTCATTCGTTTATATGTTTTGAAATCTGTACTTTTGCAGAAAGTAAAAGACAGCTGGAGAGTTGTAAACCACAGAGACATAATTCCCACAGTCCCTCGCTTAATGGGCTATTGTCATGTTGCCCATCCTGTTTATCTTGCTGCTGGAGACGTGGTAGGGTCACACCATTTGATCGCACATTTTTATCTATCTGTTTGTTTTCTTGGAGGTGTCATAAGATTTTATGAGGAGTGATATAATGTTGCAGGAGAGTTTGGAGTTTCAGAAAGATGGTTATCATGGTGAGGTGATTGGGGAAGCAACACCTGATATTCTTGTTAGTAGATTTGTAAGTTCTCTCTACCACGAAACTATTTTTCTTTTTCTTTATGGTTTCTTCTTTTAACCATCATTTTTAGTGAGAGTAAACGTGTGATGCAGATGAAAGGTGAGAAGGAACTCGTTGAGCAGATACTTCAAACAGAGATCAAAATATTTAACGCAATTCGTGATGGGAGTGCCCTTATGCAGCACATGGAGGATTTCTATTACATCACACTCTTAGAGGTATGTTATTGGGTCTCCACTTAAGCAATTTCTCATAGGTAGTCAGAGTATAACGCGCCAAGTGGAGCCTGTATTGATTGAGGACTATAAATCGTTACCATTGCTCATTGGAACCAATCTTTTGTTTCCAGAGTGTGAAATTGTATTACAAAGATGTTGAAGATCCGAAAGGCGTTGACAAGACTAGTCTCTGAACCATGTAGTGGCTTGCTCCAGCTATATATCATTTACACTGTACACTGTTTATACTGTATACTATATATCATGCATCACTGGGTTGCATGACTCTCTCATTGGACTATGAAGTATGAAAGAAAGCGACCGGTTTAGTCCTGTAAATGTGAACATATACATGATATCAATTTATTTGAAATGTGTAGTGTCAATGATCTGTTTTTCAAGTTCCTTGAACTATATTATAGTAGCATCTGGAATTATAAACATTTTACGCTCCTGTAAACATTACAACGAATGTTATTTTTGGCTTACAGTTATCAAAATTAATAGCCATCTCTCGGCTCTGAAGGTAGCGGCCTAGCATGAATCTGCATCTGTGAGCTTTTCTGCAGAGTAGCTGCAAGAGAAATTATGTTATCTCAATCCTTAAGTTTCACTTTGTTTTCGTTTGTTGTGGAAGTCATATGCAGTTATCATCTTGATCATTCACCGTGTTTTTTTTACCATTGGATTTTCTCGATGCTAGATAGATTATTACTTGTGAAGTATATACATCTTTCTTTAACACCATAAGACAAGAAAGAAATGGCGTACAGTGTCTTGGGCCTATATTGTGAAAGTAGCCCATTTGGAAGAAGGGCCTGTTAACGAAACGGGTCTGAAGATAATTAAACGGGTTACCCGTTTAGACCCGATTTCTGCAATCAAACCAAACCTAGCTTCGACTTTTCTCATCTCTTCACCGACTCACCGTCTTCTCTCCTCGCCACCACCCTCCTCTCCTCTCCACCACCGTTCCCGTTCCCGTCCAAATCCGTCTCTCCAGTTCGATTCTTAAACTCCTCTCCACCACCGTTCCCATAACTCTGTAAGCTCTTCTCTCTCTCTCTCTCTCTCTTTTTGACACCGAAGCTTTTCTCTCTCTCTCTCTCAGTTGTGGGTTTTGTGGATTTTCGGATTCTGATTTCTGGGTTTCATTGGATTTGCGGATTAGTGCCTTTAAGATGTTGATTTCTGTCTGATTTTTGTGGGTTTTCTGATTCTTCTTTCCTGCAACCTTCACACTCGATTTTGGTTTTGCGATTTAGCACTATCACTGTTCTTTCTGATACTCATTGTCGTCCACTGTCTTAGAGCTTGATTATGCGATTGTCTTGCTATACCAATACATACATGCATTGTACACTAATAAACTAAGTGATAGTTTGGAATATGAAGGTTTTTAGTGGAGGATTCACTGTTCTACATGCATTTTGTTGTGGCTGAAAGGTGATAATAAACGCAATGAAAACTCAAGACAAGATTTTGCAATTATCTTAAGAAGAATTAACACCAACTAACCAAATAGTATAACTTTTTTGATAATGTTTCGTGTTCTGTAATGGTAGACTTGTAAGACTTGTAAGAGGCTTGATTCACTGTTTGTTATTTGATGATTTATTGTCGTGTCCTGCCACTGAATCTCTGGAATTAGTCTGAGCTTGCCGTTGTTAAGCTTATGGCTTTTTTTGCTGTGTTTACGCTGTACAGGAAAATGCAAAGGGGCTCGCTCCAACACACCCTATCCGTCTTGGTCTGGCATTGAACTTCTCCGTGTTGTATTACGAGATCCTCAATTCTCCTGACCTTGCTAAAACGGTAAGCTAATGAGTTTTTGTAGTGTCCTGCCAATGAATCTCTGGAATTAGCTCGTGAGCTTTCGTTTCCAGCTTAAACTTCAACATTTTCTGCAAAGTTGAACGGTTATTTTTTGTAATGTTTAGTCTTTTCTCTTTGAGGTTTTGGACAGACTTAGGTTTTTAAGGTTTTTAACCTTTTTTTTAGTCTTTCCTTTGTTATAGTTTGCTTTAGAGTTATATTTATAACTCGCCTTTGAGAGATTTGAGGACTTTGTTTGTGTATTTCATCTAAATAGCTTCTTCTTGCGTTTTTGCAGCGGTGTGCCAAAGACTTTAAAGCTCTCGAATAGTCTTCTGGTTTCGGCCATGGAGAAGGACGAACTTAAGAAACTGAATCATCTCTCTCTCGTCTCCAATGTGTGTAACGAATTGGAAACGCATCTAGGGGCTACGGAAAAAGTTTTGGCCGAATTCATCATCGACCTTGGCCGCAACTCCGAGACTGTCGATGAATTCGATAAGAAGCTGAAGAAGGAAGGCGCGGAGATGCCGGATTATTTCGTCCGCTCGCTGTTAACTGTAATCCACGGGATTTACCCTCCGAAGCCCAAGTCGGAGAGGAAGAAGGACGACGGAGAGGATCGAGGTAATGAGAAATACAAAGGCTTGGCTATTAAGGATACTAAGGATAAAGTGAAGGAGCTTGAGAAGGAGATTGAATTGGAAGCTCGGGAGCGACAGAGAGAAGAGGATCGGAATAGAGATAGAGACCGAGGTCGGGATCGGAGAGATTCCGGAAGTAGATGAGTAGAGGATCGACACAGAGACAGACCTCGTGGAGATGAAGATGGAGAAGATAGAAGAAGCGGTAGGCATAGAGAAAGAAACCGTGGAGATGATGGTGAAGATAGAAGAAGTGATAGGCATAGAGAAAGAGGCCGTGGAATGAGAGTGAGTAAGGATCGTAGAGATAGGAAGGACGAGTACACGGAGGGCGGTGGTGCGAATGAGCCGGAGCTGTATCAGGTATACAAAGGTAGAGTAACGAGGGTAATGGACGCTGGATGTTTCGTTCAATTCGATAGATTTAGAGGGAAAGAAGGTCTAGTCCATGTTTCTCAGATGGCTACTAGAAGAGTTGACAAGGCAAAAGATTTTGTGAAGCGTGATATGGAGGTTTACGTCAAAGTGATATCTATTTCGAATGATAAGTATAGCCTTTCTATGAGAGATGTTGATCAGAATGGCACAGATTTGATCCCTCTGAAGAAGCCTACAGAGGATGATTCATCCAGGAGTAATCCGTCGTATAGAACAAGGGATGGACAAGTCACCAAGACTGGGATTTCGGGGATCCGTATCGTGGAGGAGAGTGATGTTGCCGTTCACGTAGGCCATTGAAGAAGATGAGCTCCCCTGAGAGATGGGAAGCGAAGCAGTTGATTGCCTCTGGTGCCTTGAAGCAGAGTGAGTTTCCAAATTATGATGAGGACGAAGGTGGGATGCTTTATCAAGAGGAAGGTGCTGAAGAAGAAGAACTTGAGATTGAGATGAACGAAGACGAACCTGCTTCTTGCAAGGGCAGACCAGGTACTCTGTTGACATGTCTCCGGTGAAGATCTTCAAGAATCCTGAAGGTTCCTTGAGTCGTGCCGCTGCACTTCAGTCCGCCCTCACCAAGGAGAGGAGAGAAATGAGAGGAACAGCAGCAAAGAACAATGCTTGACTCGATCCCAAGGATCTGAATCGTCCTTGGGAAGATCCAATGCCTGAAAATGGTGAAAGGCATCTTGCTCAGGAGCTTAGGGGTGTCGGGTTATCAGCTTATGACATGCCGGAATGGAAGAAGGATGCTTTCGGGAAAACTCCGACTTTTGGACAGAGATCAAAGCTCTCTATGCAGGAGCAAAGGGAGAGCCTTCCTATATACAAGCTGAAAAAGGAGTTGATACAGGCTGTGCATGATAACCAAGTTCTGGTGGTCATTGGTGAGACTGGGTCTGGTAAGACGACACAGATGACTCAGTATCTTGCCGAATCAGGTTACACCACAAAAGGAAAGATTGGGTGTACTCAGCCTCGTAGGGTCGCCGCGATGTCTGTTGCCAAGAGAGTAGCTGAGGAGTTTGGTTGTCGTTTGGGAGAGGAGGTAGGGTATGCGATTCGGTTTGAGGATTGTACTGGACCAGAACGGTGATCAAGTACATGACTGATGGTATGCTTCTTAGGGAGATTCTGACTGACGAAAACCTCTCTCAATACTCTGTTATCATGCTTGATGAAGCTCACGAGCGGACAATTCACACTGATGTGCTGTTTGGTCTTCTGAAGAAGCTGTTGAAACGCAGGCTTGACCTTCGTTTGATAGTCACGTCTGCCACATTGGATGCAGAGAAGTTCTCTGGGTATTTCTTCAACTGCAACATTTTCACAATCCCTGGAAGAACCTTCCCTGTTGAGAAACTCTACACCAAACAGCCAGAAACCGATTACTTGGATGCAGCTCTCATCACAGTTCTTCAGATCCACTTGACTGAACCAGAGGGTGACATTCTTGTTTTTTGACGGGACAGGAAGAAATCGATTCTGCTTGCCAGTCTCTGTACGAGAGAATGAAGAAGCTTGGTAAAAACGTTCCTGAACTCATCATTCTTCCTGTTTACAGTGCCCTTCCTAGTGAAATGCAGTCTAGAATCTTCGATCCTCCCTCCTGGTACACGGAAAGTGGTTGTGGCTACAAACATTGCAGAAGCTTCTTTGACGATAGATGGGATTTATATGTTGTTGATCCCGGGTTTGCGAAGCAGAACGTGTATAACCCAAAGCAAGGGCTAGAGTCGCTAGTCATAACTCCAATCTCACAGGCGTCGGCGGAGCAGAGAGCTGGACGTGCTGGTCGTACTGGTCCTGGTAAATGTTACCGTCTCTACACTGAGAGCGCATTCCGTAACGAGATGCCTCCTACATCAATCCCTGAAATCCAGAGGATTAATCTCGGAATGACAACGCTGACCATGAAAGCAATGGGGATCAACGACCTGTTATCGTTTGACTTCATGGATCCACCGCAGCCGCAAGCTTTGATCTCTGCTATGGAACAGCTGTACAGCCTGGGAGCGTTGGATGAGGAAGGATTGCTGACAAAGCTAGGTAGGAAAATGGCGGAGTTTCCTCTTGAACCGCCGCTCTCTAAAATGTTGCTGGCTAGTGTGGATCTCGGGTGCAGCGATGAGATATTGACGATGATTGCGATGATCCAAACGGCAACATATTCTACAGACCGAGGGAGAAGCAAGCTCAAGCAGACCAAAAGAGGGCCAAGTTTTTCCAGCCTGAAGGTGACCACTTGACATTGCTAGCTGTATATGAAGCTTGGAAGGCTAAGAACTTCTCAGGTCCATGGTGTTTCGAGAACTTCATACAGTCACGATCTCTACGGCGTGCTCAAGACGTGAGGAAACAACTTGTCAGCATTATGGACAAGTATAAGCTAGATGTGGTGAGTGCTGGGAAGAATTTCACCAAGATAAGGAAAGCAATCACAGCAGGATTCTTCTTCCACGGAGCAAGGAAAGATCCACAGGAAGGTTACAGGACGCTGGTGGAGAATCAAGCGGTTTACATACATCCGAGCAGTGCTCTTTTTCAAAGGCAGCCCGACTGGGTGATCTATCACGATCTTGTGATGACGACCAAAGAGTATATGAGGGAAGTGACTGTGATTGACCCAAAGTGGCTTGTTGAGCTAGCTCCAAGGTTCTTCAAAGTCTCTGATCCAACCAAGATGAGTAAGCGTAAGCGCCAAGAACGCATTGAGCCTCTGTATGATCGTTATCATGAGCCTAACTCATGGCGTCTCAGCAAAAGACGTGCTTGAGTGAGAGGTGGCTTCAATTTTATTCTTCCTTTCGTTTATGTAAACTCATCAAAATGTACTCTTTGTTAACTTTCTTATGTATTCAATGCTATAAAACGAAACTAACAGAATGATGGATGAGCCAAAGATTGCATCTATTTTCTTTTAACCATGTATGCGAGTTGCTTCATCTATTTCCTGAGAGTTTTGAAGATGATTCATATTCCTCATGCTAAAAGTAGATTATATATCTGTTTACAACATGTAATTGTATCTGTTCTCTATTCACTGTCACAGGTTATAGATCAAAGTTTAATCTCTAGTTTGCATTTCCTTGATGCATATGAAATTGTACGCACCTGCGTTGTTCCGAACCGAGATTTGGGCCAATTGTAGTCTTAATTATGTGATACTCACTCTACTTACATGGCAATATCTACGGGAAATTAACTTTGACATGACTGAAAAAAACTAACTACAACTGATGAATTTTGTTTTGAATATTGGCAGGTTTCTGGTAGCAGAAGACGGTGCCTTGTTCTTCCCATTGACATTGCCGAGTATACGAAGACTCTGTCTCAGTAAGCCAATCTCTCTTTCCTTCTCATTTCGTTGTTTATCCATCAAAGCTATTCTTCCCTTGAGTGTTTCAATCGTTTCTTCCCTAACTTTCACTTGTTTCCTGAGTTCTTGCACTGTCTTTAAACCTTCTTCTTGTGGTTTCTGCCTCAGTGTCTCTCCTACAAAAAAACAAACAGAAACAAAGTCGTTACTTTCTTTTCCTCAAAAACCAAAAACAATGATGAGATTAGTTTGTTTTGTTTTGTTTGGACCATATGTTGTGTGGATGAGATCATCAAGCTCATTCTTGATAGCGAAATAAAGCTGTTTCCATCTCTCAACGGCTTCTTCCCTCACGGCTCTCTCTAAACACATCTGTTCCACGACCCATTCCCATTCGTTTTGTTTCGCTTTTCCTTCTTCTTTCTCTTCCACTTTCTTCCTTAGTCTCTTCACTTCCTCTCTCAGTCTCTTCCTCTCCTTCCTCCACTCTGTTTCTGCCATCTTCATAGCCAAAACTACTCTCTCTATCTCATCGACTTCTCTTCTTCCTGGTCTCCTTTTCTCTTCTTTTGATCTCCCCTTGATGCGTCTCCTTGTATTGTTTCTCTCCTCCTTACTTGTAGAGCCACCCATGTATCGGATCTTCTTCTTTCTCTCTTTTCTTCTATCTGCCTGAGGAACTTTTTGTTGTTCTGACTTGTGAATGTCTTTGTTTACTTTTATTTATTTGCAGAGAGGCTATCTTTTCACTAAATGGAGATAAATTATTATTTTCACTAAATGAAGAGAAATTATTATTTGTGAGTGAAGAAGCTCCACATTGCGGCCTTACAGTGTACACTCAAAGGTCATATATATAATGCGGTCCAAAAACATGTTTATAATTCATAGATAAATCAGATAATCAGGAGAAGTTATGGAATTTCTGTTTTTCAAAAAATGATAAGTATCTACACTTAATTATTCTCATGTGGCCTGTAAGGCTGTGACTAGAGTACTGCGGAAACTGAGATTAAAAAAAGACAAAAAAAAAAAGTTATGGGCAATCTCTCAGGACAGAGTAGAGTACAGAATAGGTAATGAAAGAAAGAAATGTGGTTTTCAGAGTTATGAGAAGAATCAATTCTTTTTCAGTCTCATCTCATTAATGGTGTGGGCTTTGATTGTTTGTCACATGCATAATAAACATGGACCCATGCCTCTTTACTCTTTCAAATTCTTATTACTCGTTTAATCCACTCCACATTGAGTTTTATAGGTCTACTATTTGGTTCTAAAATAGTCTCTATAGCTTCTTGCCTTCTTCTCTCATGGAGAAAGAGTTTTGAGTTTGATAATGCAAAGACAAAAGACTCGAATTTGATTCGTTTATAAACTTTGTATATGTCGGCTACGGCTTGGATCTTACTATTGACGTTTTGTGATTGATTAATGATCAAATGGTCAACCAAGAAATAATGGAGAAGAAAAAGGACAAAATAAAAAGTAAATTTGAGACATATGTCTAATCACAATTGATAACGTAGAAGTTGAATATCTTAGCTATGAAGTGAAAGGATAGACAATAGACTCCAACAGCAATCAGATTAATGTGTGTCTTCTGTCCTTCCCGTGAACTTCCTTGTATAACTTGGGTTTTTGTCTCAATCCTAACTGTACCTTTTCAATAAATACGTGACTCAAAACAAATCACATCTTCTCAGTTAATAATAATCAAAATTCCGTTTGTGTACAAGCTATTTGCTATTTTGTAAAATCAAATTCGAAAATGAAACTTATATTCGTACCGTTACTTTTCACAACATTGTTTCGCAACCACCAAACCTACACTGTGATTCTGATCCAATTTGTACACCAAACAAGTAAACCATTCTTATATATACACACATACACACACACACACACACGCAGTACAAACTTACAAGCATATTTTGTATGTTTTGTAACATTTTGAGCATGTCATATAACATAACCATATGATATACATACCAACCACAACAATCATTTATCTCACATATATGCATCATGCCCTTATTTTCTTTCACCTCAAACTCATCATGGACCACTGGTTCATACCCACCGATGATGGTAGTGCTGGCCTGATTATCGGCACACGTTTCATTACCGAGATCGCATCGTTCAGCCGAGCACTATAATTCACCACCTTCTGCAACAAAAAAAAAGAAAGAAAAAACATTTCACAAAAGAATGATCAGATGGGTTGTTTCGTCATCCATAACTTTTGTTCTTTATTTCAGTAAGTGAGAGATGAGTAAAGTAAAGTCAAGCAAGAACATGAATTTTAAGAAGCAAAAGATAAACATAATCCGCCATGTTATCTGCAATAGTCCTTATTCCTACAAAAGGCTTTTTCCTCAAAGAAACATATTTATGTAAAACCCAAATATTTAGCAACTTCCATCTCTGACTACCAAAGTCTAAAGTACCAAGCAAGAAAATGTTACAAAGAAGAACCACACAGATGAATCAAAAGCAGATAATAAACCACAGAGAGATGGATAACAACATCACTCAGGTGGATTTCTAACAAATATTACCAATGCTCTCATCAACACCAATTACACTTAACCAGTAGCAACCATCAAAGAAGTAATAATAATGAAGTAATAACTAAAAAACTTGAACTCTGCACCAGTTGTCAGCCTCATGAATTTTAACAGACTTCACATAGACAATCAAATAAACGAAGCTAGTTACCTTATCATCAAGTAGAACCTTAAGCTGCAAGGTAGGGCTCTTCTTCTTCTTCTTCAAATTGTACAATCTCCGCCCTAACATAACAAATCCCACCACTGCTGCAGCCATGGAGAACGACCAAACCGGATTAGCTCTGAATACACAATACTTCAACATCTCTATTGGCATTTTCCACCACACAAATCCCTTTCCTTCTCCCTCACCAGCACCACCACCACCACCAGATCTCACAAACGGATCAATCGAAATTGGAGACTCGACTACTCTCTCCGTATCAGAGCTCACCAAATCAATTTCTCCACTTGAATCATCTAAACCCAACTCGTTACTCAATTCATCATCAAGCCGATCGCTGCTCGAATCGGACCATAGCTCGCTAAAATGCTTGGGGCCATAAAAAGCATCGGAGCGAGGTTCGATCCATCCTGGACTACCTGATTGAACAGACCCTTCTTCATCGATCTCCTCCACACGACGCAGATCGATATTGTTCTCGAGGGAGAAGTAATCGAAGGTAATTAGACCTGGCGTGCCATCACCATCATCATCATTTTCAATCGAATGGTTATCCTCATGACTAGATGTAGATCCTGAGTTCTGAGCCACCACTTCCCAATCTTCTTGAAGCTCTCCTTCCATGGCAGGAGAATTAGGGTTTCTTCAATCTAAAGGACAAAGCTTTTGTGTTTGGAGGAGGAAAACCACGAGAAGGAAATTCGCGATACACACAAGACAAGAGGAAGAAACATTTATTTTCGGTCTTGGGTGATATTGACGTGGCGTGGTGTAATTGGATAACGGATAAAGTCTTCAGTCTTTGGACGAGAGGTTCATGATATCGCACATTCACCCGAAGCTGCCACGTGAGCCAATTTGATATCCACGTCATCCGTTTGATACTGAGTTTTTATGTTTGATGTTTCTAAGTAGGATGATGGATTGTTAAATTAAATATCAAAACAAAGGTTTTTCCTTGAGGAATCGGTAATGTGGGTTTTCAAAGTTGCTTAAATAATCAGGACACCTCAGCTGCTAGAATAACCTCTGATTAAATTGATGCTTGGGGTAGTTTCTTCTACTGAAAAGTTACTAGACTTTTGATGAGTATGTATTTGTTTTATGGGCCTTTTTGTGTACTACATGTTGTTGTGCTGAAAAAACAACATACTATTGATAACAAAGCTTACTTATTTCATTTATGCAATCGAAAAAGCTAGTTAAAAAAATGTCTACAAACAATTTGATAAACAATTAAAACCAAAAAAAAAAAAAAAAATTGATAAACAACTCGAATATATATGATGAACAAGATACAATCATGTATATTTGACAAATAAGTCTACAATCGCATATATTTTACAAAACGAGTCTACAACCACCTATATTTTATACAACAACAGTTTTTTTTGTTTTTCACTGAATTTGAATTGATATTGAGCTTATTAAGAGCAAACAATAGAGAACATAAAGTTCTAGAGTCGGAAAAACAGAGAGATAGATAACAAATCCATCAACCAAACAAGCCAAACAAACTGAAACATAACGTTAAAGAGAAACACAGCAAAGCTTCGTCATGCAAACAAACTCCAAACGCACACTATTTAGAGCATATGCAATGCATAGCCTGGACTAGGCTCTCTAAATGTTTTTTAATAAAACAAAAATTCATTTTCTAAAAAAAAAAATGGTTTATCAAAAAAAAAAGATCAATCAAACTATAACATGTAGTCAGCTTGTGTCAGAAAGACGATTCCAAAATCTCTTCTGGAAAAAACATATATAAGCTTTGAATTCGCAACCTGAGTAATTTTTTTTTTTTTTGCTGAAAAACCTATGATGAACTGTGCATTACACATACTTTTAAGCCCTGCGACCATGTTTCTCATTCTCAAACAAAACTATCATGCATGCTCTGAACGAATATGGTTCTCCATGTGCCACAACAGATATATTACAAACAAGTTTATAACTGCACAACCTACCTATATTCATGTAAAAAGTCTACAATATATTTTATCACTAAAAATATGCAACCATTGTGTATTTGATAAACAAATCTATGCTCATTCATATGTAAAATGTTAGTGTAAGAAAATAAATATACAATTTCATTGCACACCATAAATCTACAAAAAAAAAAAAAAAAAAAAAAAAAAGTTACAAATCTATTGTTTGAATAATCACAGACAAGTTACAAAAACTTTAACATAGTTATGATTAAATCTAACATCCATATAAATATACTAGCATGTCAAATATATCTACCATAACACAAATATATCTGATCTCGTTCATTAAACCTACCGTTGAAACAATCAATTCTAGAACCATATCTATAACTTTACAATAATATAAAATATACATCTACCATGACATAAACATTTTTTTCATTTAATACATTTAAAATAAACAACTCTACAACCCCATTGTAAATCTTCTACAACATACAATTAATCTACAACATTCTACAAAATAACTCCATGAAACTGACATTGAGTGTAACAAATCATATGCCATTAATATCAAGTCTACAAAAATAAATTTACCAGCCAAAATAATTGTACAAAATATATTTTAGTCTACAACAACTAAAAATAAATCTATAAAATAACTCTTGGTATCTAAAGTTGAGTGTAATCTGTTGTCATTAATATTCAGTTTACAAAAATAAATATACCAACTGAAGTAACTCTGCAAAATATATTTTAATCTACAACAACTAATAATAAATCTACAAAAGAAATCTACGAATATTAAAAAAAAAAATCAACTACCTGGTATCTACAATCCAAATAGTTAATCTACAAGAATCATAAATTCATAATAAACCTACCATCACATATTTGAAGAGTTATTTTGTTGGATATATTTTGTAGATTTATTTGTCACATGTGGCACGATTCATGAAAACATTTTGTAAATATATATTTTGTCACTATTGACTCGAAAAAGACACATTAGAACTTATAAACATGCCCTCTGCATGTATAGAACGAATGAATGAAATGGTTGTCTGCTAGTATCGAAGTTCCGACTTTTCTACAAACGCCCACAAATTGGATATTTTCAAGAAGCTGCCGAAAAAGTCTGATCATACAAACGCAGTCTTTGCTTTGCCACACGCTGCCGAAAAAGTTTACAGTTAATTGTAAGCTCATAGTGCCTATCATTGTGGCAGCTACAACCAGATTTACCCTGGTTTTCTATAACCAATCATTTTAGGTGTTTACAGGACTTGATCGAGTGTCTATGATATAACTCTTGAAGTAGTTTTGATATTTGTGGTCATTGTGTTGGAATGTCAGCATTTTATAAGCTACACTGAAAAACTTTTGAGACCAAACATTTTATGAATGGTTTGGGTAATACAAAGACTATAATTGGGCCAATTTTTTCTCTAGGTCGGGATTCGGAGAAAACCATTTCCAGGATAGGGTTTGTTGTAGAGGAAAACTAAAAAACATAAAACGATATCGTAGAACAATTATAAAAGTCTGAAGACCCAAAACTCACAACTAATGTATAACCAAACAGTAGTTTAAAACATGAAATCATGGACCAAAACCTAATAATCACCGGACCGGAAAAACTTATAGCTTCCATTATCATCAAGCATTTTGTATCAAAGTGGCTACAAATTTAACAACAACACATGTAGACATCCATGTCCCCTGTTAATAACACAACAACAACGTCGTCTTATCGAGTACAAACCTCAAACTGAGGTAAGTCCTTATGATGACACTAATTTTTATCAGTTGGTGAAGAAATCTAGTAGATTAGAGAATACGAACCTAACATTATAATACAAATTCACGGGCCCTAATATAATGGCTAGAAAACAGTTGTATCTAGATATAATAGTGATCTAATTAGCAACAAACCTAATGAAGGACATATAATGGTTAGAGGCTCACAATTACAAGCACCAACCAATGCCAAAGAGAGAAATGGTTAGAGGTTTCACCTTATCTTCGTTTAAAAGAACAATTTCCATTTTTATAACAATCCTTTTTCTCAACTTGTGGCATTTTAGCAATTAATGCGATCAAAAAGCTATAATAATTTAAAAAACCAATCACCACCGATTTCACGGGTCCGAGTCCGGGCATTATAACCCTAAAACATGTTCTTGGATCCATTAATTTAGAAGCGACGAAGATCTGTAAATCGAAGAAGACTTGTTTCCAAGGGTTTCCGAGAATCAAAGGGATAAGAAGAAGGGAAGAAAAAGGTGAGAGATCTGAAGGAAGAAGAAGAAGGGGGAAGCAGATAACATGTCTGCGATCGTTTGCGGGAAGAGATCTTTGTTCGAGGATTTGGTCGCCGCTTCTTCGCCTCCCGTCTCCAAGAAAATCCGTTGCTTCTCCTCGTCTTCTCCGGCTCGCTTTTCCCCTCCGATTCCTCCTTCCTCGTCAATTCTCCTCGATCACCTCGCCGCCATCTTCCCCGATATGGATAAGCAGGTCATTTCTCCATTCCTGCTTTTATCCGATTAATCAAACTCATGATTTGATCTCTGCGTAGATTCCGATTAGTTGCCTTATTGCCTTGATTTACCATTTTGTATGAGTTTAGATTCTTGAGAGGGCAATCGAGGGATGTGGAGATGATCTTGATTCAGCTATTAGGTGTTTGAATCAGCTTCGTTTAGAATCTGCCAATAACAACAATTCCGACTCTGCTGCTACCAACCAATCTCCTGTTATCCAGGAATCAAATGTTGAACCTCTGCAGCAAGGTTAGTTCTTGAGCATCAACTTGACTAGTTTCAGAGTATTTTAGATAAGTTCTGATTATAAAGACTGGTCCTTTGACTTTGCAAGGATCAAGAAACGAGGAAGTGGTACCGAATGGAGAACCAAATGTTATGAACATGGATGGAACGGAGTGGGTGGAGCTCTTTGTTAGGGAGATGATGAGTGCTTCTGACATGACGAATGCGAAAGCACGTGCTGCGAGAGCGTTGGAAGCTTTGGAGAAGTCCATCAATGCACGCTCTGGTGCTGAAGCAATGCAAAGTCTCCAACAGGTGTGTTTATCTATGATAATAAGTGTTGTTTGGTGGAGATGGATATGTAACTATGAACATTGATGATTGATCTGCTTTTGTTTGCAGGAAAACTTAATGCTGAAGCAGCAATTAGAAGCCATAGTCCAGGAGAACAGTTTACTTAAACGAGCGGTGGTGACGCAACAGAAGCGGCAGAAAGAAACTGAAGATCAAAGTCAGGAGTTGCAGCATTTGAGGCAGCTTGTCACTCAATACCAGGAACAATTGAGAACTCTGGAGGTCTGTTGTTTTGAACCTAACTTGTTACAAATGTTTTCAGATTATGATTCAATCTTGTGAATATGATTTGCTTTTTTTTACCAGGTGAACAACTATGCACTGACGCTTCATCTGAAACAAGCACAGCAGAACAGTTCCATCCCGGGGCGTTACCATCCAGACGTCTTCTAAATGGTTTATGAGAGCAAAGTGCGAGCTTACAAATATATCACTCATTTCGTTTTACAGTGTATGTGTTTCTGTTGATGTCACTATATTTATATATGTATGATGAAGTCTGGAATGATTGATGAATGACGATAGTTGGGGAACAAACTGTGTCTCCGAAGACGAAACTTTTGATTTCTGTATATACTTTCTTTCGAGTCAGGTGATGGATTTGATTACTCAAATAGAAAAGTTGTTGCAATCAGATAACAAACAGCGAATAAAATTTGTTGTGTGTATAAATTCATACAAGGGTAGTGGGAATGGGAATTTGGATTGAGTTGTTTGAATCTAAGAGTTGAAAGATTTATTAAATTTACCGATAGTTTTTGTTAGATTTGTACAGAGTTTGGCGTATTACAAAAACTTCTATCAAAATAAATAGTGTTGATGTTTTGTTGTGAGTAAAAAAAACTGGTTAATGTATTCTTTTTATATAGCTGGGATTTGTACATTGGAAAGTTTGACTTCGATTCAAACTAAATTTCAAGTTATTAAAAATTCTAAGAGTGTAAGAAGGGAAAAGTAGAGAAAGAAGATCAACTTGCCAATCTTAATAGAAAGATGGTCAAACCAAAAAAAAAGAAACAATTTGCCAACCGGTTCAATCGAAAATTCTCTTCTTAGATAGCGAACCGGTCGGTTCGATGATGATATAAATAAAGGTTTATGGTCAGTACTTTTTTTCTTTTCTTCAGCAGCATTCTCTAAGCGCAAACAATCAAATCTAGGGTATCATATCGTAAGTACGATTTCTCTTCTTCTTAGATATACCTTCTCTTGATTTAGGGTTTATTAATAATCCTCTTAGATTTTACCGATCTCGTTTCTGTTCGTTTGTAGAAAATCTCTGAAAGAATGGCGGCAGATCCAAAAACGGCGACTGAAGACGTGAAGATGGATTTGTTCGAGGACGACGATGAGTTCGAGGAGTTCGAAATCGAAGAAGGTTCGCTGTTTTGATTTTACAATTAATTTTGTTTTTTATGCGATAGGTTACTCAATCATCAGATTTGGTTTCTGTATATCCTGGTTTGTGGCTTTCGCAAAAAGTTAAGCTGCGATAGTGTTAATTCGCAAAAACATCATGATACAAATATTAGGGTACTCATATTATCACTGTGTCGTGTATATAGAGGATTACAGATTAAATTTTGAGTTGGTTGGAATTGAAAGCTTGATGATTTGTTCTTAGTAACTCAGAAGGCCTCTTCTAATTTGACTGATGTATGGTATATTGTTTAGGGAACTCAAATCTAGTCAATATGTCGTATAGAGAGGATTGTAAGAGTCATCTTTGAGATGCTTAGACTAATGTGTTAATCGGTTGAAATTGAAAGCTTGATGATTTGTTTATGGTAATTCAATGGACTTTATAATTTAAAAATGATGTATAAAGTGTGGTTGATAGAGTAGAGAACAACAGTTTCTGATGTATAGACTTTGGTCATCTCTTGAATGGTAGATATTTGACATTCGGTGTATTATATACTCATCTTAGCACCAAACTGTGTAATTTCTTGATTTGACGTATGAAAAATGACTTGTGGAATGGTAGTGTGTTCTTCTCTGAATGATTTCTAAGAGTGGTTTGCGTATGTGCAGATTGGGTTGAGAAAGAAGAAGTGAAGGAGGTGAGCCAGCAGTGGGAAGATGACTGGGATGATGATGATGTCAACGATGACTTCTCTCTTCAGCTACGAAAGGAACTAGACACCAATGATGAGAAGAAATGATGATCTGAGCTCTTCTTATTCTGTGTCCTCTCTTCTGTCGAACAGAAAGAAAAAAACAGTGTCTATTATTGTTTTTTCTTGTGTTGAAACCTTAAGTTGTGACGATCTTGATATGCATCTTTGTCTTAGCTTGTTATGGATTATGTGTTCCTACATTCGATTGTGAAGCAGAGGACCATATGTTTCTTTTACTTGTCTTGGCTTAAATCGTTAGCCGTATCTAAAGATATAGACATGAATTATGCTGACCTAAACAGTAGTTTGTTGCTAGTATCATCGTCCGCATCAATAAGGCAAATGTGTATTCATATTGTTGACTTGTTAGGATTCTAAAAGAGACAAGGGACACAGATGAAGCTTGAGGCGATTTACAAGTTTCTTTCCTAGGTCGATCAATTTGAAATTGAATTTTGATGTCATGAAATCTGAATTAGGCTTCTCACAGTACATATTTCGATTAAGGAAAAGGTGCTTTAATGGAAGACTGAGAAAGTGAACAAATCAGAACATAAAAACAAACACGACTTCTGATACTATTATCTTTGCTACTACTGCCTGAGAACAAGTAGATGATCAATGCTCATGCCCGACAACGTTGAAGACAAAGTAAGAGGCCAAAACTTCATCTACTAAGGCACTACTACTCTCACAACTTAGTCTGTAGAAAAAAAAAAGAAAAAAAAACAAGAAAAAGCAGACTCTCCAATGAAAACCAAACATTGAAAACGCTCTAAGCCTACCAAGTTCACCCCCTGAAAACCAAAGGTTGGTTTAGCAGGCAGGAGCAACTCCGTTTGCAGCAGGTTTTGGGGCAGCTGACTCGTTCTCATTCGCCACTTTCGTCACTTCAGTCACACAAACTAGAGCTGCTGCTGCGTCTTCAGAGGCTATAGAAGGCTCTTGGGTTTTGACAAGATTAGATTTTGTTGTTACACTGTTGATTCCCTTGTTCTCAGCCTGCTGGAAACAGTAACAAATTTTGTTAGTTAACTCCCTTTATCTTGATGGATATTAGATTCACCAACAAGGTCTCAGAGAGGATTGTTACCTGTTTTTTGAACTGCTGCTGTTTGCTTTTTCCCTCTTGGATAATCTTCTGACGAGTCTCGTAGAACACAAAATCATCAAGGATGGATGTCTTGCTTCCATGATCCTTGAAAATCTTGACGACTTTGTTGCCTTGCTCTAGCTTTACCTGCAGGTAACAAAAGAACGATGCTCACGGATTAAACAAAATGACAGATCAACCGTGACAATCCAAAAAGAGATAAATAACAAAGTTTGCAGAACAGACCTCCTGTGTGTCTCTGCTGTTTGTAACAGGCTTGTTCTCATTGTTCTCCAGAGTGATATGCCTCAACGCACCATTAGGAATATCTTTCACGATATGCCACTTCACAGGGAAGCAACCAATCCATTTGTCCTGTTGCCAGTATTCCACAGTCTTGTTAAAATCGACCGGGCCTACCATTTCAGCTAAACCCACAAACTGTCCACTCGTGTTTACCTGTCAAACATGCACCACACATAAGCACTCTTGCACTGAAATTCCAATATCAAGTAACAGTTGATGATATAATGTAAAGACAATTTCATTCACTCACCGAGAAGAGTAGAAACACAGGGCAGCTTTCAGAATTCTGTTTTGCCTCGTTATATGAAGCATCCAGCTTCTTGTTACCATTAGGAGTGCTGGACCAAACGTTGTATTTGATACTTTTGTGAATATCATCTTCGCTATACGACTTGATTACAAAAAACTTCGCTTCCGAGTAAGTTTCAGGGAAGTCTTCCTTGTTGTACTCTGAAACAGATCCATCTTCCTTAGGCTTCTCACTCTCAGTCACTACCTTCTCATTAGAAGACACAGCCGTCATCACCTTTGAACCTTCTTGGCTCTTGAAACCCTTTGCCCTTGGCCCTCTATTCAACTCGTTTAACCCCTCAATGTTCTCTTTGCCGTATCCGTTAAACCCATAACCTCTCGTCTTGTAGGTACTGTTGTTAACCGCGTACCAGTTAGGCATCTGTTTCCAAGCATCGTAACCGTAAGAGCCATATCCATAGCCTGTTCCTAAGCCGCTCATGTAAGGTGCATACATCCCATAGTTTGAGTAAATGCTGTCCAGGTATCCGTAAGATTGACCTGAACCAGCTGATCTTCCATGAGTCTGAGACTGAAAACAAGAAGATAACAAATTCATCAATCAACAAGTCAAGATTTACAAATGACCAGAGATGAATGATGATGAAAAAAAAAGAGAACTTACTAGGTACGGATACTGAAGATTGGTCTTGCCAGTAGCATAGCTCCCGTTGTAGCCATATCTTGGGTACTGATAAGCTTGAGGATAGTAGCCATAAGAGTAGGCACCCTTCCCATATGAGCCCTTTGCGTTGTAAGTTGAGTTTTGGTAACCGAGTTTCTTCGGCTTTGATACATTATCTTTGGCTAAAGCTCCATCTTTAGACAAAAGACCAGTCTTGGTAGCTTCCACTAACTCTTCACTGAGCAGGAACTCGTTACCGTTTCCGCCAAAAGCCCCCTGCAGCTAAATGAACAATAGGCTTTGTAAGTTATCAGAGAAATGTGATTGAGTCATTAAACAAAACTCTTAAGAGATATAAAGAAAAAATCTTAATCACAAAGCCAAATGATGACACAGTAACGCCAAAATGGAGAGGGAATGTGAACAAAATACCTTATTTTCAGAGTCAGGAGCAAAAGCCTTGGTTTTGGGGTCAACCGACAAATTGTGCTGCACATCTGAAGCATCTGGATTTGTAAACATAAACAATTAACACCAAATTAAGCGTCATTCTGAATCAAAAACATCAGATCTACATAAACCCTATAAGATCCACCTAAAGTCAACGTTTTTAACGAGAAATGAACATATATCATAAACCCTTGAAGATAAAGAACTCATTTTTCGTGTCAGAGAAGCCTTGACGAAACTCGTTTGCAAAAATACAATAGAACTTAAACCCTTTAGCAGCAAAGAGAAAACGAAAAGAAGCTTGGAACGAAAACAAGCAAGGGGAAAATGAAAAACATACCCAGATTCGGGAAGCTACGAAGAGCAGGTTCGGAATTTGCCATGGCTGCGTGCTGCGTGCTGCTTTTGCGGCGGAAACAGGTAGGAGAGAAGAGAAAATGTGAGAAGTCGAGTGAGCAAAGGGAGGGAGACCACAAAACCCTAGCAACTTTTGACTCTTTTATGTGAGGGAAGATACTATGGGCTTTAGGCCCGCGGGAGGTTTTTTTTATTAATTTGGGTTTTCTGTTAACCGGTTAATTTAATCGAACCGGAGAATTGATTTAAGTGTCTGGTTTAGATGGTGTTATTGGGTGAAAGTAAAATTTGCTCAAATGGCATAAAATGTGAATATTAGAGGATAGGGGGTTTGGCGGTTGTTCAAAAAAAAAAGAGGATAGGGGTTGGCGATGTTGTCAGTCATAACATAATTAGAGTCACCTAATTGATTCTTAACTTTTCCATAATTAATAGATACCAAAAATATAGTTTGACCGTCAGAAAAAATTGGAAAGTTAAAATTTTCCTCCTCGATAAATGAAGAAAGAATTGGTTAAAATGGAATACAACATCTCCTTCTGTCCTTTATAAATAAAGGGAGTTACAAAGTAAACTGAATACACCTCTCCATTCCTATCTAGCTTTTGGGTAATCGAAGAGGACAATCTCTCTTTCTTCTCCGCCTTTCGCAAAATGCACTAGGTATATAATTGTATTCCATTGCATGCAGTGGTGGAACTTAGCCAAAAATTTGACCGGGGTTATATCGATATTACTCATATGCTACAAAGGTCAATAAGCAAATAACTGGTTAATAGGATGTGAAGGTCTAGGCAATCATGTCGACTGCCGATACTCCCTTGGTCCGCCGTTATGCTAAGATGGGTCTTCACCGGTACAACATGTTAAACGGGACGAACCTGGAGTGTTCCATCACCTGATCAAGTTCAACTCGCTTATGAACCTCTTGTCGTCCTACTTCATAACCTTGGTTGTAAAAGAACGTGACGACGACACGCAACGGTTGTTTCAAGTTAGGGTTGACGAGAATGCTTACGGATGTTTGGATTGTGTAGTCTCTATTGCTAGGCTTAAAGGGTTTCAAGAAGAGGAGCACACACTTAGCCCTCGCCAAGATCCGAGTTTTGATGTTGGTGAGTTGCCTGATTGGCCAAGTGATGATGATATCAAAGATAGTCGACGATTCTACTTGGTGGAAGGACCAGAGCTGGTGAAGACTGAGTGGATTCAAACGTATCTTGAACTCGCAGTTTATACAAATGATAGGTTTGTTTTAGAAGCCGATCTGTGCAAGCTGGAGGTTGTGAAAGTGGCTATGGAAACAAGTAATGTGGAGTGGCCGATGGAAAGACTCAACGCCAGAGAAGCTACTGTCTACATATGGTTTAAGGGCTTGGCCATTCGTGGGGCTGGTCAGGATGTTGAGCGCAAAGCAATCGTGAGAAGAGTGCTTGATGAGAGTACGGGATACTTGTCTCTCAAGGGTGACTTGTGCAGCAGAGAAGAAGATTTGGATAATACTCGACTTTCATGGATATGATGCTTATAGAAAGCAGAACAAGATTAGGCGCCGGTTCGGGGAGTTCATAGAAATGTAATAGTGTTGGACTACATAAGTTGTTTTCTGCGTTTGGATTTGTTTTTTTTTTTGTTTAAACTATTAGTGTTTTCAATCTTACTGTTTGTGACGAATCTTCATATACAAGTGCGAGATAGACTTGGTGGCACGATTAAAATAGAGCTGATTGGTGGTGTGTGCTTCTAATTTTCAGGGGTATGATATATTAGATAATCAGTTATTTAATTAGAGGGAAGTTGATGAATATAACCTTGGAAATTTAGTTAATAATTATAATAACCCTTGTAAATTCAAGTAGTTTAAACAACATTTTTTTCCCAATTTTACCATTATTTCTTTGGTGACAAAAAACATATTTAGGAAAGTGCCATTAATGAACCGGGATAATAAGTCTACAAAATACGTTTTCCAAAATAAGTCTACAAACATAAGTCTACAAACGCATGACCCTAGAGTTATTATGAAAATTGTAGACTAATTTTTTGATTTATAGATTTATAACGTCTCGTAGAATTATCTTCTGATTCATAGACTTTTGTTTGTAGATTTATTTTTAGTTGTGGTAGACTTAATTAATTCAGTTTGTAGAGTTACTTCTATTCTTGTAGAATTATTTCTGTTGTTGTAAATTTATGTTTGTAGACTTAATTCATATAGCTGTAGATTTGTCAAAAATGTAAAATTCGAAGTGACATTTTGTAGATTTATTAAAAACTTTGTAGATTTATTGTTGTGTAGCCGTAGATTTATAATTTTTTTTGTAGACTTATTTGTTTTGGCGGTAGATTTGAAGAAGCAATGACGTATGTTAATGTTACGGTAGATTTATTTTACATTACTGTAGATTTATATATTGTCTTGTAGAGTTGTTTATTTGACTGTAGACTTAAGGAACAAACTAACTTCCCTTTATGTTATGGTAGATTTATTTTGTTTGATTGTAGATTTATTCTTTGTTGTGATAGACTTATTTATAACAATTGCAATTGTAGTAGATTTATTTTGTTTGATTGTAGATTTATTGATGCACGGTAGATTTATTCTTTGTTGTGATAGACTTATTTATAACAATTGCAATTGTAGTAGACTTTTATTTGTATATTTAAACAGATGTAGACTTGAACGTAATGGTTGTAGATTTTTGTTTGTATATTACAATAGTAGTAGACTTAATTTACTGACCATAGACTTATTTAAAACAATTGCAATAGCCGTAGCCTTTTATTTGTATATTACCACATAAGTAGACTTAATTCGTTGAGTGTAAACTTATTAATAACAATTGCAATGAAAATTATTATTTAATTATGAGAAATATTTAATAATTGAAAAAATGTTTTAATAATTATTGAGAATTATTAAGATTATTTATTTGCCTAGTATCTGCGTAATTGCCATGAGACAGAGTGATCTACTCACTAAATACTTACGTATCTCTTTCGCAATGTGATGCAGGTAAAAGAATTGTGTGATCGCAGAATCAAGGCCGAAAAAGAGGATGATATGATTTATTTGTTTTACATGGTTTGACTTTAAGCATGTGGTGTTTAAGTTGTTATATTTATTATTATTTTGTTTCCGCTGAATGTTATTGTTATTTAATGTTTTATTTATTTATGTTATTTTAAAGACTTCCACTAAAATTGTTTAGTATTTATTTATTTATATAAAAAAAAGTTTGGTTGTTTCACAGTTGATCGAATTACTATATACAATATACAAAGATAAAAATAATAATAATTTCAAAAATAATACATATATTTATCAAATCATCATCATCAATAAACGAGTCCAGAAAGGCCTATGTAGCAGGTTCCTTTTCACCTAATTTTACGATATTGCTAGTTATTATCACGCTATACCAAAGAGCAAATACTCCATCCAGAACCAGAGCAAAGACTGGCGAAATTTGGTAACAGACGACGTAGCAAACTGTTAAAACTCCAAACATTTGGCCCAAGCATCTTCCTATTATACGAACCTCCGATGATGGATTTCCAAATTCATAGAGAAGAAAATAAAAGATGACTAGGCAGGGTAAGAAATAGATTTCGAATTTAATATGGTAATGTGCAATCAATACAAGGTTGGCTCCCAAGATCAGCTCATACATTATTCGACCAAACTCATCCGACTCCCACCTGCATCCACATGTTAGAAAATTCCACCTTTTCAATACGTTATACTATTTCTTTAATTTTCTGTTGAAAAAAACAAAGCTTTCACATTACCAAGGGATCTCGGATATATATTCGGCATGATTATCATCAAGTAAAAGTTCAATGTCTTGGCCTGTTGTGGAATCAGCTACGTTGTTGTCCGTTTCCATTGGTCGAGGAAGCCCACAAAGAGATAGAAGTATAACAACCAGAAAACATAAGAAGAACAACAGGCCGATATATCGAACGAACACGTCATTACTCCAGCCAAAGATGAAAGTGAGGATAATATAACATCCAATCGCATGGCTGATGCGCCCCAATACCTTGCCACATCGACATGCGAGAAAGAGTTCACATATTCCGAAGACAAAGTAAGAGAGGAAGAGTGGTGACAGTATGTATTCGAAAACTGTATGGTTATATATTTGCACTGCCATAATAACCCCCATGAACATCTCATGCATGCTTCGAGAATAGTTGCCTGGTTCCTACCTAACAGTTACAAAATGGATTGTATTCTCTAAAATTACTCAAGGGTTTAATCAAATTTAATTCTATCAAATATAACAAAACCTCACGTACCATGAACGACTTTCGGGTGGGATGTTTTCATCAGACGTATCTCTAGCTTCACTGGCACCCATCTCTACTTTTTCCCTATTTCCTTCTTGATTTTTAATTTGTTTGCATAGTAAATGGAAATCCGCAGCTACATATTTATAGAGTATCTTCAACTAGTCCAGTATTCCTTTCCTTTTTCGTTTTTTTTGTTTTTAAATTTATATTCTTAAAACACACCTTTTAAATCATTGGTAACAGATTTGATGAAAGGTTTCTGAAAACATACTATGAATATTTTCTATATAAGTACATAATAGAATCTGAAAAAATTAAAATTAATAGACAAATTTATTTAACATATTTTGTATTTTTGTTTTTCCTAACACTTGTCTATCTTTTATATACATATTTATAGAGTATCATAACAAGTGTAGCTAGTTTTCTTTTCCTCTATTTAAGAAAACGATACGTGTATTTTCATTAGACACATATTTTTTCTTTTCTTTTTCCATAAAGAAAAAATACTATCAATCTTTGTCTTCCTCTTTTCTTTTCTTTCCTTAACATTTAGAGATTTGTCTCTTTTTTTTTTTAATATATAATCAAATGTTTCTAAAGTATCTTAAAACATTTATATATACATAATAAAATGGGTTAATTTGCTCAATAATCATATTGAACACCAAAATTAAGAATATAGCCATAGTGAGTTTATTCAAACAATGACGACGGATTAAAACTGATCACACGCACAACATGGATTAAATTTTAGTATTAATCAATAGATGTTTTATTGTATATGAATAAGAGGCTCTTCACAATTGCGGAGTCTAAATATCAAATGACATCTCAAAATCACAATTTTTCTGTAAAAAAGCCACAACAAGAGAATCATCGCAAAATGCAACACAAGCTCCATACGAAGCTCGTAAACATGAAATGCTAGACGAGACTTCCTACTATTCATAGCGATCGGAAGACTGAAATATGTGTGGCTCTTGATAAAAATGGCCACTCGGCAGTATATACACCAATCTCTTTCATTCATATAATTTGACTTACCGGTTGTTACTCCCATCCAAGAGCAAAGGAATGAATTTCTGCCCAGCTTGAAACTGTGTAAAGCGTGCCAGAGAGTCCCTTCCAGGTTGGGGACGATTCTTCTTCTTGACTGTGTTGTTTCTGTTTCTGGACGATTCCAGAGAACAAAGGCACGAACGAGACCCCGAAATGGCTTCCCACTCTCCTGAGGCTCGAGCTAGAGCCAACCACTATTCCTATGTCTGCTTCCAGGAGACAGAGCAAGTCCCCTACTGAATCTCCGATATAAACGGTGAGAAGGCTTTTCTTCTCATCTTCCTCCTTTTTGCTTTGTAGGATGCTTTTGAACTGTTGAGCCTTGTCGATCGGAGATTCCACCTTCCTTTCGATTTCTCCGGTCGAGATTGATTCCTCGAATGTGAATTCATTTGCATGTACTTCCACTGCATCTACTCCGCCTGTAAAAAAAAAGAGAACCTTTTCACCATAGTTTCTTAACTCCAAAAATGACAAAGTTGAAGAATTTGGCACATACCAGCAGAGAAGGCTGCTCTGATGAGATCACCACACCAACAATACGAGAGCACGTGAACTTTTGCTTTCAGATTCTCAGTCTTTAATATTTTCTTGAAGACATCCATGCAGCCATCTTGAAGAATCAACCTTTCCCCAGCTCGCTTAATGTCTTCGAGATTAAGTCCCTTGAGCACACCAGACTCGATCACTCGATTGTTTGCCTTTTTCTCAAAATCTGAGAGCTGCTCTAGTGCTTCACATAAACCCTCATAGTCAAACTTTTCCGCTGCACAGAACAAATTTCCAACATTAAAAGAAATTCTCACTCACTTTTGAAACTGCATCAACTAGAAAGGAAATGACTCTGACCTTTTTCCTTATTTAGAATACTCTCTATGCACTCTTCATAATGCTCTGTATACTGTTTAGAGAGTTGACTCCAGGTGTTCTTCAGGTCAGCCGACAGCATCCGATGATTCTGTTGCGCAGATCGACTCTGGTCATCTTTTGGGGCAGTGACGATTGCTATTTCCGCTAATATAGCAGAAGAATCCACAACAGTGCACGTAAGATCAAAATCAGAAAATATCACGAGGTCATCTTTTGAGTGGTTCTTGAGCAGTGGAACTACGGTAGGCTGAGAAAGAGGTTGGGCATGGAAGAACTCTACTTCAAGTTTCATTGCCTGCCGATACAACTTTTCAATAATGTCCAGTTCTTCACCAGTCATACAGACACTAAGCTTCTCGAGTAAGTCTTCAGTTTGCTTGGCTGATGCCTAGATTAAAAGAAAACAAACCATTCAGTTCACAAGATGCATCATCTTACATACAACTAAGAATAGAATTAGGCAGAAACATACAACTATTTACATACCTCGAAAGCATCACTTGAATAGCTATCGATCCATTTCTTGTAGGGGTGGTTTACTTCAGTAGGATCTAGAAGTGCTCCAAACTCCTTACCGAGAAAGGCATACAACCTCATGCAAGGTGTCACAGCGCCAAGCGTGTAGGCGGCAACTTTTGTTTTCTCAAATGGGGTATCAAGCATTCCGGGAGCTTTGAGTCCTTCTACTTTTCCTGATGCTGTAGCTAACAAGAACTGGGTGTATTTCGATGTTGCTGAGTTAACACCCACTTCTTTATTGATGTCTAAATCCCAATCCTACATGGATCAGGTAAACGTTCTACTGAGACATATCACTTGATTAAAACTGCACGCCACTATATGTCAACGAAACCAATATTATAAAGCTGACAGAACAAATTTGAGAACCAATTTTTCAATGTTTTCGCACCAAATTACATGAAAAACTCAGTATCTAGAATGAGGAAACCCAAGTAAAAGGCATAGCTTCAATAAATATCCAAGCATGACTCTTTCTCACTCTACTCCCTAAGTGCAGAACCAAAGGACTAAAAACATACTAATGCACTCAATTTGCTGATGTATACACATTATGTAAACATTCAGCCTCTATCTTAAGGATACAAAACCAACCATATTGTGACTGGTGTTGTGACATAATCAGACGCTATATTGAACCACAAAAATTCGAGAGTCAACTATCTATGTATAAAACCGTCCGATATAGTTAGATACATAACTTTCTCTTAGAAAAAGAGTTGGAGAGACTATGAACGTAAAGTAATGGCATATTTCTTTCCTGCCATGAAATATAAGATTTTTTCCCATTTGAAGCAACGATCAGGATATATCTATTTCACTACATGAAGTTAGGCTCCATCTTAGGGACTCATGACTCATGAGAACGGTGATGTTCTACTACCGGTTAATACAGAAACAAATGACCATGGAAAACAAGAAAGGCCTTGTGCTTACCTGTACAAATGAGTCGTGCATTTTTAATTCCTCCATCACACTTTTCCTCAAGTTGGAAATTGCCAGTTTGTCATCATCATCATCAGCACACTCTGCAGCCAATTCATACCTAAAAATCCAGGAAAACAAGAAAAATATGATAACCTTTCACTGTAAGATTGAACTTTCAGAATTAGAAGACTCAGATAAATAGCATTCCCAGAAATATACTATTCTTGAGATCATGGATGTACTTTCTTTCATATAGACTTTGTGATACATTCATACACGAAAACTGAATTTGAAATCCTTACCAATACTTAGGAGCCAACAACTTTGAAAACCCTAGAAGTAAGAGGACTGGATTCAATAGTATCGACATTTATCCACTGAATTTCTAGTTAACAAACGAATAATGGTTGACAAAAGCATCAATCGTATATCCAATATCTGATTTCTTCTCTTATATGTCACAGCTTTTGATTCTAAAACCCTACAATTTTGATCCAGATCCATTCTTATCTAGCCCTAATTTCAAACCTTCAATCATTATATGTGTTCATCTTCACTATAGCAACTTCTAAAGCAACTCAGGCATCTTTGTTCCACAATCCGTGCAAATGGAAGTAATTCAGTTCACAGAGAAACTAAGCATATAAGCGTAAAACAAGAGAGAACTCACGCGTGAGCAAACGCCTTAAGGAAATGAACATCCTGCGCAATATAATGGCGGAATGTCTCGATCTCGAGATTTCCGGCGGCCAAAGAGACGGCGAAGGGGCTGTAGATAGAGAAGAGGCACTCTCTGTTAAACTTGATCCACAGCTTCCCCGGTAGAGCTTCTTCCGAGTGATTAACGGATATGCTAGGAGGAATCGCCATCGGCGAAGAGAAGGCAGCCACCGCCGATCGGAAGACCGGAGACTTTCTGCCAAACAAGAGGGAACGGATCGGCGCGGCGGCGCGTGGAGATCGGAGAAGACCTGGCGAGTTGATGATCAGGCGTGTGGGGAAGAGGAAGCGCATATAAGGAGATAAAGAGGAGAGATTTGGCTGGGTTTTTTATTTGTGCAAAGCTCGATGGAAAAGTACTTGCCGATGGAGAAGACGAGAGAACTGACCTTTTTCGTTTTTTATAAAATTTGCATAAAACCCCAAATTTGAAAATCTGTTCTAAAAAGTGTCCACGAATTTCAAAAGCTTGCAAAATAATCACTTTAACTACATTATCGCTAACATTAAAACCAAAAAAAAACTACATTATCGTGTCCAATTGTCTTACCTTGAGTGTGTTCACAAATCACAATTCACATACTATATTGAGTCTTTACCGAGAAATTCAAAATGTGTGGTACTATAAACCTTTTTGTTCATGATTTATATACATGGTATTCACTTTCACTGTTATATTATTGTTACATAAAACCAACATAAAAACATTCATAATCAAGATTGATTACCTTTATTTTGTTTGTCCACATATCCAACTTTTAGTTTGCAACAATTAACGATCTCCTCGTCATTATCCTACAAATCCTTACAAAAATCAAAAGTTTTTCTTGGGTTAAATACTAAAATTTATTCTTAAGCATGCCCGTTCCAAGTTTTTTAAATGGCAACATATCATAGATTTTTACAAAAACAATAATTCATGGAAATAAGATTGAGAATGTGACCATCATAATTCACTAGTGATGATACTATCTGTAAATGAAGATTTTAAGAATGTTACCATCTTTACCGGCACATATTTATTCCCAACCAAAATGACAACTCTAGTACGAATAAGATTTCTTTCATCATCTATTCATCCGTATAGAAATATATATATCGAAACACTGTATACACACTAAGAAATCGAATGAGAGTGTGATAAAACTATTTGTAAATTAAAATTATAAGGATTTTACCACCTTTACCGGCACATATTTATTCCCAACCAAAATCACAACTATAGTACATTGATGATTGTCTGTCGCCTTTTAAAATCTTACACAAATTGGTAAAAGCTGGTGAAGACTTCCATAAATGCCTCCTTTTCCTGTTAATTACTGTTTACACATGCCACCTATATATACTCAGATAGAATCTTGTTTCCTTCTTCATCCTCATCTTCAAACAAACACCTAAACCGAGTTCAAAGCAACATATCATAGATTTTCGAAAATCTGAGTAAATCTACAATGACGAACTCGGTGGCTAGTTTGGCACTACTAGGGTTTTGCATACTTCAAGTGATGTCCTTACTTGTGCCGCAAGCCAACGCTAGGGCTTTCCTTGTGTTTGGAGATTCCCTCGTCGACAATGGTAACAACGACTTTCTAATCACCACCGCTCGTGCAGACAATTACCCTTACGGTATCGATTACCCGACTCACCTCCCCACCGGCCGTTTCTCCAATGGTCTCAACATTCCAGATATCATCAGTAAGCTTTCTTGTTCTCCAAGAATATTGAAAACACTCAACGTTTACCAAAACAAATTGATAATATATAATGTTCTTTATAGGTGAGCAATATTTGGGTCAACCGTCTCCATTGCCGTACTTGAGTCCTATGCTGAAGAAACACAAACTCTTAAATGGCGCCAACTTCGCTTCCGCCGGTATTGGGATCCTTAACGACACCGGAATCCAGTTTGTAAGTTATACCGGGATATTACAAACGACACCTTATAGTGCATTCTTGACATTTTGATGATGATGGGTGTTTTTTGTAATTTCAATGCAGCTGAACATAATTCGGATCCAGAAGCAGCTGTCGTACTTCCAGCAATACAAGCTCCGAGTGAGTGGGTTGATCGGAGAAGAAGAGATGACGCGGCTCGTTAATGGAGCTCTTGTTCTAATAACACTCGGAGGCAACGATTTCGTCAACAACTACTACTTGGTCCCTTTTTCTGCACGTTCTCGTCAATTCTCTCTCCCTGACTACGTTCGCTATATCATTTCTGAATACCGCAAAGTCTTACGGGTTAGTTCTTATTTATGAACTTAATTAAGACCCCATATTTTGTGTGTTTGGTCACATTTTGTGGATCAACTTTTGTTTTTGCTCACATTATGAACTTTTCACTATATTGAAAACAGAGAATTACGAAATTATTTCAAATTATCCTAGATAACATTCTTTAAAAAGTTTCAGATTAAAAGTTATATCTCACCAAATGGTAGCTAAATTTTTTTTTTAAAGTAAGATATGTTGAAAATTCGTTGTCTCTCATATACAAATTTTATATTGTTCTACAGAAAATGTATGATTTGGGAGCTCGACGTGTCCTGGTGACTGGGACAGGGCCGATGGGCTGCGTCCCGGCCGAGCTGGCTCAACGTAGCCGCAATGGAGATTGTTCTGCCGAACTACAACGAGCTGCGTCACTTTATAACCCACAACTTGTTCAAATGATCAACAGCCTTAACAATGAAGTTGGATCCTCCGCCTTCATTGCCGCTAATACTCAACAAATGCACATGGACTTCATCAGCGACCCACAAGCTTATGGTATATGTCGCAATTTTTTTCATTCTTAGTTATAGAATAACATTATTCTAAAACAGTGTTTAAGAAAATTAAAAAAAAAAAACAAAAAGATTCATGTAATTAACATTATAGATTTTTTTTCGAATATTGTACTAAGTTGGATTTCTGTTCGAATTGAATGTCCGGTCCTACAATTGACTATTAGTGGTTTGTACGACCTTAATCGTTTGCAGGGTTCGTAACGTCGAAAGTGGCTTGTTGTGGACAAGGACCCTACAATGGGATAGGACTATGCACACCGTTATCAAATCTCTGCCCAAACCGAGATCTCTATGCCTTTTGGGATCCTTTTCATCCATCAGAGAAAGCAAGTAGAATCATTGCTCGACAAATCCTCACTGGCTCTCCTGCCTACATGCATCCCATGAACCTCAGCACCATCCTCACTCTTGATTCCATGACCTAAGCTTCTATATATTCATATATCTCAAATCCACGCTATGTTCTCTTTTAGTTGTTTTGATTTTTCTCTTTGATTATGTATTTTTACATGGTTGCTTTATTTAGTTTCCATGAGTTGTGTTGTGAGTTTTGTTTGTGTTCTTCATCAATAATTAGTCACCAGTTGTGAGTTTGAACGGTCATATATATATATTTTTTTTGAATTGCAACAATCTTTGGAATATTCATTTTTCTTTCTCTTTGTCACCTTCTTCTTAGAGCTTAAATTTAACGGTAATAAGTTCACAATGGACTGGTGTTCATTAATCAAAAAGTATAAACTTATAAACAGTCACGGTGTCAGTTGTTGGTCCTAAATAAATCATAGATCACATGCGCATAAACTCGATCGTTGTCAATACGGACATTTTGACTTTTGGAAAAATAAAAATAAAAACAAAAACGGACATTTTAAATCGCCCACCAAACTAGAAGGCCAATAACTTGTTTGTGTCTTTGCCGTTTTAACAGAATGGTATGGTCTAAAATAAAATAAAATAAATTATATACATATATTTTTAGTTTTCTGCTCAATTTCTGGAATTAAGTGTCGTTACTATTTTTGGAAGTTTGTCAAAAAAAACCTTTATGAAATCGAATCTTATAGATTTGTTGTTAAATTTATTTGAGTAATTCACTATTTAATGGAAAGATATTTAAAAAATAAAATTGTAAATCCAATATTAAGTGAACAAATCTATATTTTATACCATATAAATATACAACCAGAGTTAATGGTAAAATCAGAACATATAATATTGATATTTTTACCTTTTCTATAAGATTAAAATTTGGACATGGAGCAGTTTCACAGTTTCAGGCAATAAAAAACAATGTATGCGGTTTTGGAAACTATGGAGATGATTGGTAGGGGCTGTGATTGCTCTCCAGAGCATTAAATCTCTGTACAGCAATCCAAAATCACCAATCAAGCTCTCATTCTATCTCTTTTCATTTTTGAAACTCATAGCAATTTTTTTTGTTTATGGAAATTCCGTGGCTTTGGAAAGCAATTTTTCTAGAGCACAAAATTAAGTGCTCTTAGAATTTTCTATTTTCTGTTTTCAACATTTATTTTTTAATCTATTATTTTTATATCTTATTTTTTTGTTCTAATGATGTATTTAATGCCACAGTCTACAATAAAAAATCTTAGAGCACTAAAATCTACAACCACAGCCAAAAATTCTACAGCATAAATTCTACAGCAAAAAATTCAAAGCTACAACAACAACCGATCAGACCCTATAATCCAGATATCACACAGCTATCTTCTTCTTTTTTTGGACAATACATTGTTTTAGACTTTAGGTCTCTTTATATATATCACTTCAAAAATCCAATATTTGTAAAACCGAATTTCTCCAACAAATGATCGGATGAGAATCAAAAGAAACAATTTATGAGGACCCGATTTTAAACCCAAAAGTTTCAAAATTATTACAAATTATGGAGTCAAGTTTTGGCGGTAACATTGTTTTCATTAGTCAGAAAAACTAGAATTCTTGATTTCTCTTCTCAGGTTAGTTTCCAATTCATAGGGAAAATTATACTTAAAATCGAAAGTAGATATGGACAAGAAAACATTTTCCGAAAAGAAGGTTTAAGTGAATTATAACATACGAAATTGTTCACAAAGAGAAATGTATTATAATAAAAACTGAAATTCAGTATAACAATTAGGCTAAATTGAAATCAGCCATTATTCTAAGTATAACATAAATTTGAAACGAGAAATTAGACGGTCAGAGCAGAACATCTACATCTTTGAACAATCCGCTGGTTTAAACGACACCTTTTTAGAAACGGTGTCGTATCCAACAAGAAAGTTCATTTGTGCCAAGTTCCCATAAATGGCCAAGTCCTCGCTCCCACGGAAGGAAAAGCAAACCAAATCTTCTGAGATTTGGACAAAGGAGTTGGAAGAGTCTAGCTTCACATCTGCTCCATCGAAATGCATCGTAATCACTGGAACTTTCAGATCCGTGGTTGCGCTGTAACACAGACCCAAACCGTTCTGTGGATCATCTTTCCTCTCAGCACCGATTGAGGACGCCACCACAGCCTCAAGCTCGGAGTAAAATGCGGTTGGTAAGATCGTCAAAGTTGTGCCCGAGTCGATGATGATATTTCCCTCGCTGCTTCCGGAATCTGTGCTTGGGAATTTGACATTCTTGCTTCCCACGCTAATGGATTCTAGGGTTAGGTAATAGAAGGTCGCCTGTGATTTTGTGATCAAAGGAGTAGAGACAACTCCTGTTCCCGACACAACGGCGTTGGTTCCGAAGTTGATCTTGCTCGTTAGATCGGTTTTGGAAGCTAGGGGCACCAAGCAGTACGAAAATTTACCGTCGATTGAGTCGCCGAGTTGCGAAACGAGCGAGATCGAACCGCCACCTAGTCCGACGATACCAGAGCCCTTTTTGTTAAACGTTCCGGCGTCGTTGTGACCACATCCGATGACAATGTTCTTGAGTTGCACGGGGCGGTTATTGGTCGAGCCGAGCGTCAAGGTGTCGGCAGCAACATTACCCTTTGTGAATGATTGATCCCCATAAGACATAGAGTAAGTGCAAGTGTTGTCGTTTGTAGAACAAGAGGCTTGATTCTCAAGGGCGGTACATTGACTTGAGGAGCAAGAAACATCTTTGTATGTAGAAGATGCTTTAGGGTCAAAGAGAGGATCGACCTGAGCGTAACAGTCCTCGCAAGGCTTGCACTGCGTCCAGAGGAGATCGCTTCCTGTGTCAGCAATCGCCATGATTGGGAACGGAGGTGTTCCTAGGGATACGTTCATGAGATATTCACCGCCATTGGAGGTGATCTCAGATTGGGGTGGGTCGGTTGATGCATCATCTTTGCCCGAGAAATGGAAAACGCGGTTTGATGATCGGTGGATAGCGTTTCTTGTACGCTGGAACGAGGTTTCCATTGGGTTGTAGAAAGGCGACTTAGGCGAATCGCGGTGGATGAGATCCGCGGTGAAGCCGAGTTTTGCATGGGCGTTTGCATTTGAGAGAAAGAGTGAAGAGAGTAAGCAAAGAGAAAAGAGAACTGAAGAGAATAGAGAAGTCATTGTGTTTTGTATTGAAGTGAATTGTGAGTTTTTACTTTGACAGTTTAATGTGTATTTATAAGGTCAATGAGATAGTGGTAAAGAAATGGTAATACGTGTTGGGATTTTGTGTTTTGAGCATGATATCTGCAATTGATGTCTCATTTGTGATCAGAAAATCTCACAGATACGTACGTATCTATAGAAGAGAAAAACAATTTCTCATGTATACAGATATTTATTATTTCTTTAGCAAAATTGTATCATTCATTTCATATGTATGTGTATCTGGATATGATGTTTTCTTTAAATGCTACCATATACAGTATCCCAGATTATTCTTCAAAACATTCAAGAAATATACCTTTTAACAAAAAGATTCAAGAAATATCAACGAAGATTCACATGAATTGATGATTTAGATCTCCTTCATATCATTCACCTAGATATTATGCACCATTTTCTTAATTTCATTTTATATGTGCAAAGATTCCTATGGTACCTCAAATATATTTTATAATAAAAATAAATTTGCATTGATTAACATTATTTTAAAGTTTAATTATGAAAATAAATTATTTTGTGAATGTTATTTTATTTATGTCTACCTAAAAAATTATCTTTTACGCTCGTACATATATTACTTTTTGGATATGTCATCAGTATGTTTCTTTTACTCTCACATCATAAATTAAAATTTAACCCTTAGTCGATTAGGATTTTACTTTTGGGCATTAAATCATTCGCAAACCCAAACCCAATTAGAAGCCCAACTGTTTGATTGCTATTCTTTTTCGACTTCCACCCATCTCCTTCGTCTTCCTCATTTTCTCGATTCCAGTTTCAACTCAGAAAACCAGTAAACGATACTGACATACATCGACATTGTCGTCAAATGTTTTCTCAGTTCTTCTGATTTCGTCTTCTAATTCCAACTCCGGAGCAAAAATCGAGACTCCACCTAAAACTCCACAGGTTTAATTCTAACTTTCAAAATTCCACTTTTTTTTGCCATCTAGGGTTTTGTCTCGTTACTCTCTGTGTGTGGCAATGTTTATGCTTCTTTGTTCTTACTGGTGTTTTCTTGTTTCCATTGTCGGATTTGTATAAAAAGGTATGGACAGAATCAGTGGATTATCCGATGAATTGCTGGTCAAAATACTCTCCTCACTCCCCACAAAAGCTTCTGTATCCACTAGCGTTTTATCCAAGCGATGGGAGTTTCTCTGGATGCACGTGGCCAAACTCGAGTTCGTGAACAATCATTACAACCCAGGCCCAGCAATTCAAGATTTCATCAACAAAAACCTACCACTCCTCAGAGCCTCCACCATAGAAATCTTCCGCCTTGAATCCAATCATTACAATCTTTGTTCATTTCAAGCGCAAGATGTTACTCGGTGGCTTGCAAGCACGGTCTCTCGCCGCGTTTGAAGCTATGTATACGTTTCGATAATTGGTCCAAGTTGCTTTTCAAGCTGCTCCATGATTCTCCTAAACTAAAAGTTCTCAATCTCAAAGTCTCTGTAAGTTTCTTCCGTTGTGTATGTTTTGCTATCTTGAAACAATTTAGTGGACGTAAGTTCTCAGTCTCTATCTCTTTCGTTTAATTTCAGTCTAGTGGACGTTTTAAGAAGTACGAGCCAGTTAACTGGAACGATGGACAGATCTCTGTGCCTAGCTGTTTGTTGGAGAGCCTTGAGACTTTGGAGTTTGCAGAGTACAGGGGAAGTCAAGAAGAGAGAGACTTTGTGAGTTTTATCGTAAAGAATGCTTGTCGGTTGAAGTCTTCCACGATCAAGCCTTGTACCTATATTGAAACCTTTTCCTCTTCGGAGAGTAACGATGATTAAGGAGCTGTCTCTTGTTCGATTCTGGCGGTGAACAGGAGATATGTCTGTGAAACTGAGATTTTTAGGTTTGTTTTAATGTCCAAGAACAGCTAGGTGGTTTAATTGAATGGTCCAACCTGTACTTTCTTCTCTTGCTTCTCGGATTATTGATTTCAGTTAAGAGTCTCGGATTGTTGCTTTCAGCTGGAATGTTTCCGGTCTGAGTTTAGATTGTTTTGAATGTTGTTGATTGAGACTTTGAGTTTAACACCGAGTCTCCTTTGTTCTCCTTTCACATTGTAAATGGCATATGTTATGAGACATGATCAAACAGGGTTCGTTTTCGACATCATTGAAACTCTATTGCTACAAAAATTCACATCAAAACAGGTATACGTGGCTCAGGTTGTGGAAAGTGCAGATGTTTGTAGCCAAGATTGTGACTTGTGAGGTTCGTAGAGCCATGAGGAGGTTTTTGGTCTCAAACTGTTTTGGACGAACCACAGAAACCGTTGGTCAAAGTGGAATGGAAAAAACGACAAATTCACCCACTACTAACATATAACCATAATAATTGTGTTGACTAGTGATTCTCGGAAAACCTGTAAAATCTTTTAAGAGTTTAACATTGTCTACACTACACACCGAAGAGAACAAACGACATCTACGAAAAATCTTAAGAGAAGCAATGAAAAACTTAGCAAGAGGTGAAACTTTTGAATAGCCCGCAAAAGAATCTATCTGAAAAACTTGAGCTCGACAATCCAACGTGATGGCATTAGGCATTAGCAGATAATTTCTCGAGTACAAGAAGAATCCCGCTAGAGCGATCCCGGTTCCTGCAGCAGAGCAACACTCATTGGTTTCTAAACCCTAAAACCAAACTAATCTCCTTCCAGCATCACTCAGGAATTCACTCTTAACCCAGACTACATTCATCAGACAGTAGCAGCAAGAGCACGCACCATATCATAAGCGGCAGGGACCGTAAGAACAGGGTCAATGCACTCGACCACTCCCCAAATCTCCTCACCACCGTTCCGTTTTTCAAGCACAATCACCGCACACCAAATCGTCTTCTCCTTATACCCATATCCATTAGCACGGAGACCACTTGCCCACAAAACAGCCAACTTCCCACCGTAATCCGCCACACCAAGAACACTATAAACATCAAACCTAGGCAATCCTCTCAAGCCCTTCATATTCATCCAATCTTGTCCCTCACTGTCGTACCATTTAACACCATCCGGATTTCTAAAACAACACAGCACGTTATCCACCACGCAGTAAGAACGCTGTGGCCATCCTATTTCCAAACGACTCGGCCCTTGTATAGCTTCCCAACTATCTTCTCTTGGCTTGTAAGCCACGCCACCATCTAAAAACATGTACAAGATTCTCCCTTCGATCACTGCGCTCTTGGATACACGACTCCTGCATCTCTCTGCAACAGGGCACACCACAAGCTCCCAAGTTTGGGTCTTTGGATCGAAAACTTCCATCCAATTTGAGGCATCGAACTCTTCGCATCCTCCAGCAACATATATCTTCCCGTCAACGACAACTGCTGCTGGTCCAATCCGCTTCACCAACATGCTTGGAGCCTTGCGCCAGAGGTGACGACGACGGCAATCTAAAACCCACACGGTGGAAGAAGGCGACCCGGTCCGCAGAGCCAACTGCAATCAGGCCTCGCGAATGAGTTTGAGGAGAATTGGGAGCATCGATTGGGACCAAAAGATTCCCGCTTGACTTGTCATTGGCGATGGCTCGATTAGGGTTCCGGCAGAGAGTGAACCAGCGATAGTTGGGAGTTATTCTCAAGCACACGTAGAGAAGACTCTCCGTGCTGCCTAGGAGGGCTCGGATGTCGTAAATCTCAGGCGAAGCGAGGAGAGACCGGAAGCTCTTGGAGACGACGGAGAGAGCCGGGTATTGTGATCTGGAGGTGCGTGCGATGCAGTTTATCAGCAAATCTTCGGGAAGTGACGGTATCGGAGTCGATTGCGGCGTCTGGGAAGAGCTGATTGCGGCGTCTGGGAAGAGCTAGGCGGCGGAGAAGACATCGGATATAAGATTCCGCGGTACGGACTCGCCGTTGATCAAAGTCCCTCCGATTCCGATTTCGGTTTCAAAGGGAAAGTTAAATTATACGGTAGTCAAAGGGAAAGTTAGGAATAATATTTATCTTATTTCTCCATCAATTTGATTTTTTTTATCCGCTTAAATAAAGTTTTATATTTTGACAAAAAAAACAAATCACGTTACATGTTAAATACAAATTGTCAGTCAAATGGAAAACTCATAACATAATATGCTAGATTTCTTTAAATCTCAACCATAGTTAAATGTGTATGGATTATAACCATGGTTTAGGAGTTTGTTTGTGGTTAAATGTACATAGACACTTTGATGGAACTTATACATTTTCAACTTTCTAGCTACTTGCTCTACACTTTTCTACTAGACACCAAATCTGTCGTCGAAACAATATCATCCCCCACTTATTTCTTTCACATCGAACTTGGCACATTCACATTCTTCACGTCGTTGTTTTGGACGAACCACTGAAACCGTTGGTCAAAGAGGAATGAAAAAAGCCGACAAATTCACCCACTACAAACATATAACCATAATTGTGTTGACCATTCTTGTAAAACTGTAAGAGACCTTTTTAAGAGTTTAACATTGTCTACACACCGAAAAAAAAAAAACAACCGACATCTATGAAAAATCTTAAGAGAAGCAATGAAAAACTTAGCAAAGGATAATGAAACTTGTGAAGAACCCGCAAAAGAATCTATCTGAAAACTTGAGCTCGAGAAAAATGTCTTATATTATGTAAAAATCCAACGTGATGGCATTAGGCATTAGCAGATAATTTCTTAAGCGGTCTTAGGCTTTGGCTTGATACCCTTCACTCTCGAGTACAAGAAGACTCCCGCTAGAGCGATCCCGGTTCCTGCAGCAGAGCAACAATTAAAACGACAAATGAGCTCCAAGAGATTGTGTAAAGATGTGATTATGGGTTCACTAGAACGAGAATATTTACCAAAAGCATTAACAGGCGAGACTGGTGTCTTGAAGAAGATGACAGAGCTAACAATAACCACCACACGCTTCACACAGTTTCCGACTGAATGTGTGACTGGTGATACTCTCGCCAGTATCATGTACGACACCTGTAGTTTCCACATTTTTACCAAAAATCAATTCAAAATCTGTATATGTATATATAAATGAAGCAACAAAAAACAGTTAGTAAGAGAGAAAAAAGGTTTTACCTGCTGGTAAGCGTGGAAGCAGAGTGCAGCAATAAGAGACTTTGTGTATATTTGTTGAACATTCACACCCTGAAACCGAGATTTGTTGTAAGGAACTGGAAACATTTGCCTGAAAGATACAAATACTAATTTTGCGATAAGTGAACTCACAACTGATTGGATGTATGAAGGAGTGAACTTGATGCCTTCCGAGAAGAAAGTCACAGGCGCCATCAGGAAGAGAGACATCAAGGTTATGATAGAGAAGAGGGTGATGTTGTCCAAAGAATCCTGCCAAGAAGAAACATCAAGTTTTGTTTTTGTTTTCTTCAATCCACAATATGTTGAGGAAGTTTCTGATCTATGCGCAGGAAACTTACATCTTTCTTGACCATCACTTTTTTACTCAACACGTTACGGGATTGGTTAGTCAAGTTTGAAGCCATTGCACTCAAAAAGCCAGCCCTGCCACATATAAAAGTAAACGTAGTAATTAAGTATCTGCAAGTTATCATAACAATAGATGAGATATAACCGACTCAAAATGTCACAATACTCAAAACAAACTTACCAGTTGAATGAGACCTCTGTTATTGAAGCAAGTGCAACTCCACCAACGATTGGTATAATGGCACCGATTACCCATGGAGTAGGCACCTAGGAAGAAAGTAGTAAATAAATTAAGAAAGTCATCGCAACCTAACGAAGAGAGGAGACAATAAATCAACTCCAAGATGTGAAGGAAAAACAATAAAATCAGAGAAGAGCTCACCTCTCCGAGAAACATAGCAGACAGGACAACAGAGAAGAAAGGCTCCATGGCTTTAATGGTGTGAGTGAACGAAACGGACACTTTTCCGAGACTCATGTTGGTAAATAGATTACCAAGAGTATGCACAACTGCAAGTGGCAAGATGGCCGCTAACTATCAAGGCAAAAATGAAAATAAAGAGTGAGATGACATATCTCATGAATAAGAAGCTTTTAAGCGATTCACAGCAGTTTGCAGGTAAAAAAAAAAACACACCTGAGCACCAGTGATCTTTGGCCTCTTGTACAGGTTCAGAGCCCACATGAAGGTAATGAGCACACTACCGACGGCGAACTGAACCAAAGTGACAGTCATTGGAGCGTGTAGAGCTTTCAAAACCTGCAGGAATAAGAAACAGTAAACTACTATTAGTTCTCTCAGAATCAAACAGTGAAACATATCAAGAACAAAATCAGCAATCAGCGTGGCGAATCTCTCCCATGTTTCCTATGACTGTTAAGATATAATCAAATATCTCAATTCTTCATCCTATACTTATCTCCATACCTCATCAATGGTGAGTCCAAATCTCAATATTTCACTTCAATCTATCACAACTGTTAACACTGAAATCGGCTTGCTAAACGAAACATGTACTTATACAACACCATTGAACACAAATCTGATTCTAAATCTTTTCACTATCAAAACTTTAATGGCCAAAACACTATGAACATAAGAAGCAAGAAATTAATAAAATCAGCAATCAACGGGACGAATCTCTTTCTAGTTTCCAATCACTGTAGAATACAAATCAAATTTCTGGATTCTCCGTTCCTAATCGAAACAGATCAAAACACTGAAATCTTCGGAAACTAAACTAAAACATGTAGAGAAATCGAAACATTGGACTAAGCGTACCTGCTTGTTGTAGATGTTGAAGTAGATATTGAAAAGGTACCAGAAAGCAAACAACAAGCCAAGCTCTAGAATCTTCCCCATTTTCCCTTTCTCTTCACCTTCGTCAGCACTTTCGGGAACTGCTGTAGCGGAAGTTTTGAAACGATTCGTGTCGAGCGAAGAGGAGATCGACGGAACACCGGACCAGGCACGAAGCGGCGAATCAGACGAGGCGAGACGCCAAGATCGACGAGACAAAGAAGGAATAGAGACGACATTTGGAGGAGAGACGTTGAGATCGTGAAAGCTCGAAGAGGAGGAAGCTGCTGCTGCCGCGACGGGATGGCGAAGCGAGAGACGCCGTGGTTTAAGGAGAGGAAGCGACGGGGAGAGAGAGAACACGGCGGAGCTCTGCATCATTTCGGCGTTTTGGAGATCTGAATCAGAGATTGGTGGAGGAAGGAGAAAATAAAGGCGTTGGAGACTCCGTCGAGTGTGGGTTGGTGAGGGCTTATACCAATACTCTCCACGAGCGATTCTGAAATAGGGAGGCGAGTAATGTATTTATTGGAAGCAAATGTGAGAAAGGTCTTTTGTATATTTTAACCTTACCATATACCACAACCATAATCTCTACCTTTGAAACTTGGTTGAAAAGTCCGCCTTTTGAAACTTCTTGCCTTTGCCAAAAACGAAAAAAATTAACTTTACCCTAAATGAGAACACATTCTACTCATAGCCTAAAGTCATTTTTTGGAGTAGAACCAAGAGAAATGTTATGAAGTTTGCGTCATTCAGAATTTCATTTGTTTTAGGGTAAATACATTTATATATAGTTTAGGATTTGGAGTTATACGTGGTGAAATGTGACTAAGTGAAACCCAAATACATACAGTGGCAATATGGTACCTTACCTGATCCCAAATCATGATCAAAAGCCAAAACATTTTGGAGATATTTTGTTGATGATTACATTTTGGACCATAGTCCATAGGGATAAACGTTTTACAGCAAGTCCGATCCATAGTGTTAGATTTTAGGCTTGAGCTAAAAAAGGTTAATATACAAAATTCAACTGCACATGATTCTAAAAAAATGAATTAATTATAGAATAAATAGAAGAATAAGAACCAAGAAAAGTAGAAAAAAAAACTAAAAAAAAATGAAGAAAAGCGAAAACAAAAATAGCAAAGAATGAAAAAAAAAACAAATTATATAACGCTAAACCTGGAAAGGTTAATATACAAAATTCAACTGCACATGATTCTACTTTTAAGATCATAAAACACCAACCATCATGATGTTCATGAATAATCTAATATTTCAATATCTAAAATAAAACTCTATTCTTGAATATTGGATTATATTTTACATAAAATGTCTAAAATATAAAAACTTTGAAAAAGATTTGAATATTGCGCAAGAGTCAAAAACCCTCCACCAAAATATTCAAATCTTTATCAAAGTTGTTTTTAGTTGTTTAATCAAAATCACATAAGTAAGGGATTGAGAGAAGAGGGTAGGTGGACAAGCATGGAACAAAACACATGCGTTGCACTAGGGGCCCACATTCCTACCTATTTTCAGAATCCAGGCCCTATTGGGTACACTATCAGTCGAAGTGTTAGCTTTATGTTACTCTCAGCAATTCGCTTTGGTCGAGATACACACACAAGCACTTTGTATAGTAATTCGTTGTTTATAGCATACGAGTTGCGGCTGCAGCCACCTACGACCCCATCATGATCCTCCGCTGTTGTGGGAAGAAGTCTTAAACATCACCATTTTTTAAAGCTTTCCGGTCTCTCTTTTATGTTAATCGTGGGCCTTCCTATGCTTTGCACTGGTTGTTGCTCTGCCTTTTCAACTCTTCACAATGGGTCTAAACAGTGTAAATATTTTCATTTTTGTTGGTTAATAAATTTAACATTTCAACAACAACATAAATTTCCAAGTTTTTATTGAACACAAAATTATCAATTCACTAAACTTGTTTAGTCCTAAAGAATACCCAACTTGGTATTGATTTGGTCGACCCCATCACCATGACCATTCCGGTCGAAAGTTGGATCTAAGGCCAAGACTACTGACCAGGCCCGGCCCAAATAGATTCTGGTCCCTATGCAAATTTTATAAAATTAGGGTTAAATATAGTGCTTTCAAAAATTCTGGACCTTTTTTGCAATATTTTAAAAATTCAAGGATTTTTTGTCCAAAAAATATAGATACAGTGCAAATGCCCTCTCAGCCCATACTAAGGGCCGGTGTTGCTACTGACATATATTTTCATTTTTCTTTTGGGATTAGGTCAAACCAGTTTTGTAAATAAAGCATACAACAAGTCAACAATAAAGCATACATACATGATACAACAATAAAAATGGTATTGATTTGGTCAACAATAAAGCAGCATGCATACATGATACAACAATAACCATGTAACTTGTATACGTGATTCGCTGCAATCGATATACATTCATATCAATCAATTAAACGCCACAGTTTCTTCTAAATGTTCTTGAGAGTTTCTTTCTCTCATTATAGTCTTCCGTATGGGCTCACATAAGGTTGATCAATCACAATTGATTAGAGCCAAACCGACCGAACCGATGCTTTTGGTTTTCAGTTTCCAATCGGTTATAAACTGTAAACCAATCAGCGAGTATTTAAATTGAATTCGGTCTTTGGTTTGATTCGGCTCGGTTCAGCTACTATCAACGGCATTGGCAGTCACTCAAGACTCTCTCTGAACGACACCGTTGTGAAAGAAATATTAACTCGACGTCGTTTTGTGATTCATCGCCTCCCAAGGGTTTTAAGATTGGGGAATTTTCTCTCATTCTCAATTTCTACACGAAGACTGTGACAACCACTGTTGCTGACTTCCTGATTCACACTTGTACCTCTCCGTCTCTGGTAAAACTTTCTCGACCTTCTTATTTCGTTTCTCCGCTGAATTTGTTCAGCCTGGTTTGGTTTGTTACAGAGTTGGCCTCTCTCGAGCGATTAGTGAACAGTGATGAACCTTTTAGGGTTTTTACTTTTTTCTCGGAATCCTTCTTTAGGTTGATTATTCTTTGTGAAAGAAGCCATTACTTCAGCTTGGTTTCGTTTCACGCTTCTCGCTACCCATGTTTGTGATTGCTTAGCTAGATCTTATTTTGGCTTTGCTGGTCTCTTTCTCCCCTCTAATTTTGCTTTTATATATCTTCTTCCTGAATGTGCTCTTCTGCTTGCTCTTATTGGGAATCAAAAAGTACTATCTTGCCTCAAAGAAAAATGACTGTGATTGAACAATTTCGTTCATATGTATGCAGGGATAAGTCATTACAATGTTGCGAAGTTGTCATCCGGTTTGCCGTCGAGCACTAGATGCCCTAGAAGACTTCGGTAACATATCAATCTAGAATCTTCAAAAATTTACTTTCTTTACATCATTAGAAGAGAAGAAACTGTGATTTGGTTTGAATCTGTTAGCTACTCTGGTTTATGAAACAACGCATCCTTTCTTTCTTCACAGATGAGTCTCAGAATGCGGCTATTGTAGCAGCTAATCTGATAAGCTCTGCGAGGTTTCTGCTTAAGCTCGACAGCGAGTTTACTGAGTTGTCAGCTCAGTTTTTGGTGGATAAGGCTTCTCCTGAGAATGAATCCGCGCAAGGACGCCGCAAGCTCACTGTCAAAGATTGTCTTGAGATTGCTTTCAAAGAAGGGATACCAAAACTTGAACACTGGGCGCATTTGGGATGTATCTTCAAGCCTCCCGGAATCTCTTCTTTCATAGCTCGCGTTCCAGTTAAAGGACTTGAAGTGGTCGAGGCAAAGAAACTTGAAGAAGGACTTGCGTTGATGAGGCAATTTGAGCAACCGGTAGGAGCGAGGCTGCATGTTTTCAGTCCACAGCTTGATCGTCTTGGAGATGTAAGTGTGCTGTTAGTCAAAGTTCGATTTTTTTTTTCAGAGACTAAGGATAGAAGTTTTTGTATCTAATCTTGTTGAATCTTTTGTTTGTTGTGCAGAAGGAAATTTACGATGGCCCTGCAGGTCCAGGTGGTGCTGAAACACGCTATGTTGGACTGAGAGATTGTATCGTATGCGATGTGAAGAAGTTCAAAGGAACCACTGTTGCGAAAGCTAAGATCACCTACAAGACGAAGACTTCGTTTATCTATGTGTCGTTGCAGCGGATGTTTCTTGCGATGCCTAAAAGTGGCGAAGAGTCTCAGGTGATAGAGCCGACGCATCTGCTTGTGGACTTCTGTCTCCCACGCCTGTCTAAGTAGACAAGACCTTGGATCTTGGTAAGTATCTAGAGAATAATGTGTTAGTTGTGGTCCTAACCTAAGAAGTTTCTGTAAGTTAACCGTATGCTATCTGTGGAACTCGTTTTTTTGTACGAGATTAAGATTGTTCTAGGAGACTTTTGTTTGTGAGTAAAGATGATCGTTGCTCTCTAATGGTAATGGTGAAATTTGGAATCGATCTGTTCTGTTATGTGTACTCACTAAAGTTGGCAATCCAAAAATTAATTGATTAGTACGGTCATATCTAAACCGGATCACTCCACGAGTAAGATTATAAAATCTGAAATTGTAACAATCTATAAAGTGTACACAAATGTGACAGGGGAACGAGAAACCAAGTTAAAAACTATGGAGATTGATTGACCATTATATAGCATAGAGATTAGAGACTCAGTTCAATGGTCAATCAATCTCTGTAGTTTTTTTACTTGGTTTTTCGGTTATTGAACGTGGATCATGGGCGCTCAAGCTTCAAGTTACATGTCGTTTCTTTTGCTATTCTTGTATTTTATATTAAGCTTAACGACTTTGATGTTCGATTATGTTGTACTAATCGAAATTTGTTTGGTAGTTTGTAATGTTCCTTTTCAAAATTTCAATTAGGGATATCTTCTTAACCATATGATACTGCTCCATCATTTATATGGAGCAAAAACCTGTGAAATGTAATATAATTAAAAAAAAGTTAATGCAAAAGAGTATACAAATGCTAAATGTGTTCAGACCTGAGATTTTAAATGTCTTATGACATTTTGATTCTGTCCGTCGATAATGGGATTTTGAGAATCAATTTGCATGTCTCATAAATGTTCTTTATAATGGTCTCAATAATGTGTTATTCTAACGATTTTTTTCTTTTCATATTCTAAATAAAAGACAAACTAATTAAAAAGATGTAAAATAAGGGAAGAACTTATACTTACCATATTATAATAGAAAAAACAGTATTTTTGCATGTCTCATATCTTCTAAGATAATCTATATTATATAAAAGTTGAGGCTATAAGCCTCTAAGGACGTCCACATAGGATTTTAAGACGCGATTTGATTGGTCTATCTAAGCATTATCAATATTAAGAAAGTTTCCAATTTTTAAACAACCAATTTTATCAGTCCACATCAGCATATAAAATTAAGAAAATTTCCAAAATTTTAAACAACCAATATAAGAGCGTCCACATAGGATTCTAGACTGTATTTGATTGGTCCACATAAACATCATCAAGATTAAGAAATTTTCTAAATTTTAAACAACCAATAGTATTATTCCACATCATTATATAAAATTTGGTAATTTCCTTTTTATTTTTCAAGAAACTTTCCTAATCTAATCTATACTATATAAAAGTTGAGGCTATAAGCCTCTAAGAGCGTCCACATTGGATTCTAGACTGTATTTGATTGGTCCACATAAACATCGTCAAGATTAAGAAATTTTCTAAATTTTAAACAACCAATAGTATTACTCCACATCATTATAAGCCTCTAAGGACGTCCACATAGGATTTTAAGATGCGATTTGATTGGTCCATCTAAGCATTATCAATATTAAGAAAGTTTCCAATTTTTAAACAACCAATTTTATCAGTCCACATTAGCATATAAAATTAAGAAAATTTCCAAAATTTTAAACAACCAATATGAGAGCGTCCACATAGGATTCTAGACTGTATTTGATTGGTCCACATAAACATCATCAAGATTAAGAAATTTTCTAAATTTTAAACAACCAATAGTATTATTCCACATCATTATATAAAATTTGGTAATTTCCTTTTTATTTTTCAAGAAACTTTCCTAATCTAATCTATACTATATAAAAGTTGAGGCTATAAGCCTCTAAGAGCGTCCACATTGGATTCTAGACTGTATTTGATTGGTCCACATAAACATCGTCAAGATTAAGAAATTTTCTAAATTTTAAACAACCAATAGTATTACTCCACATCATTATAAGCCTCTAAGGACGTCCACATAGGATTTTAAGATGCGATTTGATTGGTCCATCTAAGCATTATCAATATTAAGAAAGTTTCCAATTTTTAAACAACCAATTTTATCAGTCCACATTAGCATATAAAATTAAGAAAATTTCCAAAATTTTAAACAACCAATATGAGAGCGTCCACATAGGATTCTAGACTGTATTTGATTGGTCCACATAAACATCATCAAGATTAAGAAATTTTCTAAATTTTAAACAACCAATAGTATTATTCCACATCATTATATAAAATTTGGTAATTTCCTTTTTATTTTTCAAGAAACTTTCCTAATCTAATCTATACTATATAAAAGTTGAGGCTATAAGTCTCTAAGAGCGTCCACATAGGATTCTAGACTGTATTTGATTGGTCCACATAAACATCGTCAAGATTAAGAAATTTTCTAAATTTTAAACAACCAATAGTATTACTCCACATCATTATATAAATTTTGGATTTTTCCTTTTTATTTTTCAAGAAACTTTCCTAATCTAAATATATTATAAATGTTTTGCATTAAAGATTTTATAAAATATTTCTTTTTAATACCAACAAAAAAAACTAACTTAACATGTATAATATTATAGAGGTCAATACTAAACATATTTCCAAAAAATATAGTCGTGGAGAATTTTAAGCGAAGAACAACTAATACATAGAAGAAGAGGAAGCTGGAATAAACAAACTATTAGGAACCCTAGCATTTTCGATGAAACAAATAAATCATAGAAGAAATAGAAGAATAAGAACCATAAGAAAAGCATAAAAAAAAGTATTAAGAAAAGCGAAGACGTTTATAGCAAAGAACAAAATTATAAATAAAAAACCCCAACATAATATAAGATTAAACCAAAAAACAAATAAAAAGATGATACCAAAGAATATGAAATTGAAAGCTATTCTTAACTATATTTTTATGATCACATAAATTGAATTATTTGTATTATTGTTAGACATTGTTCAATATATGTGTGAATTTATATTTGTATATCTCTAACTTTATTTTATTTCTATGAATCCATTACATTTTTAAGTTTGGGTAAGTGTATCAAATAGTGTAAAATTTTATTTTACATAAAATTAAATTAAAGAGGACTACACAAAAAAAATATTTCTAAAAGGGATACAATGTGAAAAAAATTCCAGCAAAGAATAATATAGAAAAAAGGTAAAATTCTAGCAACTTCGACCGTCTGAACTAATCATAGAAGAAACAGAAGAATAATAAGGAATATATATATAAAAAAAGATAAGAATATCAAAGAACGAAAACAAAAAATAAACAAAAGATGAACAAAGATGAAGAAGCATGCCAAATAACGGAATAAGAAATCGCGAGGACGAAGAAACATAAAAGGAGAGTAAAAATGAAGAAGAAACCAAAGAAGAAAAAGAAACCAAATAAAGGAGAATAAACCGAAGAAAAATAAACAAAGAACGAAAAATAAAAACATCGGTTAAGAGTCATCATGAACATGCTACTAACCAGTAACTACAAAAGTTTATGAATAAAAAATATTTAATCAAACTAAAAAACAGATCCGCGCTTGCGCGGGTGAAAAACCTAGTAAATTAAAAAGGTTCCATATTATAACGGAAAAAGAAAAAAATATTCTGTATGTCTCATATTTAAAGATAAAAAAGATTCATATTCTAACAGAAAAAGAAGAAAAACTATCTTTACCAAACTCTATATAATAAGATATAACCTTATAAATTTGAGTGTGTCTTACCATCTCTTTTCTCCCTCTCTCTTAATGTGTGCTTTCATCTTTTTTTTGTTCTGCTCTATCTAATAAAAAATAATGTCTTCCAAAGTTCAAAAAAGTGATGAAGATTATTTGACACTAAATTTTAACTAGATCAAAATCAAAATTATCATTGTATTATAATATGTGTTATTTGAGAGTGGGAATAAATCATAAAATTTAGTAATAACTTATAAATATTATATTTATACTAAATTTTTATAAATAATATTTTACTTACTTTCAAGAGTAATCATATTTTATTGAATATTTTTCATAATTTGTTAACCTTATCTAGTTGAAATATAAGAAGAAATAGTTTATGCATTGTACTGGTCACATGCAACGACGCCAAAAATTTGATATGCTCAAGTAAACTCCAAAAATCTTATAAACCACGAAATAAGACGGGAGGTGCACAACAATCACTAGTACTAGGGGATTACCCACGCCTAATGCGTGGGATTGAGTTAACTTTAATATTTTTCGTATTTAAAATAAATTATTATCGAATGAATATGTCATTTTTTATATTATTTTTAGATTAATATCTACTTTATTTCTTTATCAATCTATATAAATATTTCTAATATAATAATAAACATATTGTCTCGATTACTAATATTGTAGTTTTTTTTCCGTTTTGGAATAATAGATAGATAATTGATTATTTATTTATACGTATTATTATATGTAAGTTGTTTCCTATTTTCAAAGTACATTAATTACGTGATTCTTTCAAAAGATTATAATTTAAATAAATTTAAAAGACCTTTAGAAATATTGCTAATAAAATATAGTTAAACTTTTTTAAAAATTTATATTAAGAAAGCAAATAGAGAGATCCACTACAAACTATTTCGCAATGTTCTCGTCAAACAAAATCCGATTAACAAATTTTCCGCCGTATTTGTGAGTCAATAAAATTTCTGCAATTAGTTTAATTGTGCAGTATAGAATCACAAATTTCTCAAAAATATTATTTTACGTCAGAAGTCTTGTTCTAAATATTTTCTCCAAAAATAGGATTCCTCAAATCTACCAAAATTACAAATTCACCAAATTTTGACCATAAATTTTAGTTTAAAATTTGATTTAAACAAAAAAAAAACAAACTATTCCACAAAGTTCACGCCAAATAAAATCCGATCCACAAATTTATAGATGTAGATATCAATGACTTTTTTGCAAGACTGATTTCAAATTATTCTTTTCTCAAAAATATGATTCCAAACATTTACGCAGAAATAGTATGATATTTTTGTGTAACCATATCTCAACATTTTTATAGAGAAGCAAAGAATGAAAGAAAACAACAACTAAATGCTATACTTTGCATCATCATCTCTAATACATTGACGTCAGCCAGTATCTTTTTCTACCATCTCGTTGATCACTTCCAGGTCACCAATAATTTCAGAAATTTTGTTACCTGTTAGATAAATTGCCAGAAAAATAAAATTGTGCTTCAAAAAATAAGGAACGAAAAGAAGACAAACCTGCGAACATTTATAAGATTGTGCTTCAAAAAGACACAAAGAAATATAGTACATATAGTACACAAAATACATATATATTGTACTGTTTCCGAAAATCTGAGCTTGAACCCTATTTCCTAATATACTTCTTCATCTTGATCTCTTCTACTTTCGTACATCTTGATATTATTTCTTATAATGAATGAATTCTGATTCATCTTTATTATATAATGTTTCATCAAATTATAATGAATGAATTCTGATTCATCTTTATTATATACTGTTTCATCAAATTATAATGAATGAATAAATCTATATTACGTACGTACACATCTTTCATCAAATTCTGATTCTATACGCAAAGGGATAAGACTTACATAATAAATGGGACACATCTTTCATCAAATTCATATTATAATATAAACTCGTATCATGTAAAAATGCGTATTGTTGACCTACTGCGGATATCGTGGTATCTCCTAATGCCTCTCAGTCAATGAATAATATTGAGACGGAAAAAAAAAGGTTAACCCGAGGCTCTGTTAACTGCCTAACTGGTCATGAATCGAGATACCCCAATTGTAGAAGTGATTATAAACACAAATGAATTGCCTGGATTAGGGAGGGATCTTAATAAACTAAGGAATTAGATTATATATTGTTAATTTAAGGAGCTTCTTTATCTACATAAACTGGTGCGAAGGGAACGGAAATGATCTTGTAAGGGAAACAAAACAAAAAAACCACAAAAAAGCAAACATGTAGAGTGAAAAAGGAATAAGAAATTGTTTAAGTAACCTGAGTAGAGCCAGTGTCATGATTATCAAGGAATGTGACGGCTTTTGAAGCCACCATCACATTATGCCTTGGATTAGCAATGATTGTTTAATCTCTGGAGTGCTAATTCTGTATACAATAATTAACATAAAAAAGGTTATTTTTGTGTGATAGTTAAAGCGAGTCAACGAAATGACTTACGGTTCGGGGATGGCAAAACAGTTGATAGGATTTAGATGAAATCCGTGTGTCTTCAGGGAATGTGTATTCGAAGCTAAGGATTCTCTGGCTTTTAGAATAATCAAAGAGTTTATAGATAACTAAGATAATAAAAGAAACAATCATGTTTAAGTTGTTACCTCTATTGTCTTAGATAGTCTCTTGGCTCTTCTGGATCTTCGTTTTGATCAGATCAAAGCAACATGATGTATAAGATTATTCTGCACGACCATATATCTGCAAACTGTTAATGTAACACTTTGATTATTGTATACCAATCCATGGAAAAAATCAGAAAACAATTGGATTTCTTTAAAAGACAATAAACAAAAGAATATATACTGAGAGATACCTTTCGTCGTTCAACTTTCCATCATCATTGCACAGCTCTGATTATGCAAAGAACATGACCCTTTGCATCTTAATTATTTCCAACCTGCAAAAAAAAAAAAGAGAAAAAAAAATCCATGAAACGTCACCAATGGAATAAACAATCATTGCCATTTCGCAAAAAGTTTTTGATAACCAAAATCTAAATGTCTCCGTGTGAAGGATGATGGGAGGAAACATGGAGAAGTTTTGCTTAAATAGAGAAATGAGGTGATGCGGTATACGTTTGTTCGGGGGTGGGGAGGTTAGCTTAAATACTGGGATGGTTATTCTATGGCTCTTTAGGTTTAGCCACTTTGAGAATATTTTAATGATCAGAGTTGGAAACATATAATTTATTCGGATTTCATTACTTTAGAAAGTAATATTCGCCAAATAATTTTGTAATTATTGAATACTATGCGAAAGGAATTTTAGTTTATTCGGAATGAAATTTAGGAAATAATTGATAAACTCTGATATGAGCATTGATTATATGTATCCCAGAAAAGAAGAACGTGACGAAATATAAAACATTCATGGAAGGTTTCATATACGTGGTCATGAAGATACGTTAATTCGGTTTTTCCGAATAAGGCAATCTGATGGGACTGAAATATTTACGCTGAACGATATCTACAATATATTAAAGACCATGCATTTTTGCTGATGTGGTGAGTCCATAATTTTTTGGAGTATTTTTGATTTATTTAAATAATTTCATTGTCATGAAATGGATAAACACGCGGATCCTTTAAAATACTTATTTAATCGATTGTTGGGCTTTTTAACTTCATCAAATGCTATTGCTGGGCTCGATAATATATATTTTTGTACTATGATCATTATTGGGCCGTTATGGACGTCCGATAATGGACTATGACTTTCTTAATGAGCATGTTGCCTTATTCGGTCACATAATATCCTACGCCACATTGTAATTTCTCGAGTCATTATGACAATATCTTTGTTTTCCTTCTTTGAAAAACACGATTGTATTCTTCTTCATCAAGTTCTTCATTTTTTTGTAAACATAACTAATGATCATATTAAAGTTTACATAAAATTGCCTAAAACTGCATTCTGTATTAAACTTAATTTCCTTACAAAACAATGCAATTATTAAATTTCTAGGCGAATATACTAATTTTAAAGAGGATGATAATCTTCTTCATCAAGTAAATTAAATGTTTCCAAATCTGCTGAGAAAAATATTGTATTGGTGGCGATACCTAACCACAGAAGCAGGATACCATTTCACTATTTAAACAACCCCTTCTACATCTTCGACTCTCATCATTTTTTGCACCAAAACAAAATAAGTTTATTGTTTCCGAAATATCTTGAGCAATGGCTTCGATTATTGAAGCATGACATCCTTTTTTTAAATCGTATATTCTTCCATATGATTAATTCATCGTCATAGTCTCTTACGTTTTCGTTAATGTTTTTCTTTTTTTTATAGAAGTTTTGGTTAATGTTGTTTTCATTTTCAGATGTTGTGGATCAGATTGTTAGTATCGGTGATGTCGAAATACTAAATGTGAGTAAGAAAAGAGAAAAGGCTCACAATAGTGCTTCGTAATGGAGAACTTTTGCCGAGCAGCTCGAAGGATACGCTAAAAACGTGAATGATTCTGTCATCGAAATTGTCATTGTGTACTGTAGATTGATTGAGTCTTTTCGAGAGGTATGTTATTCTTTTGACTCTGTTAGTAGTTATATATTATGTATCATGTTTTATCGTTTGATTTTTTATAAAGCATCTAATCATAATCAATTTTTTAATGAAGAACACATGTTATTTATAATTACTCTTGATTTCATTGAGTTTCAGGCTGCTGTTGAGGAAGGTATTGTGGGTTGTTGGTGGTTGCACTTTGCTTCGGCTTGCGTCCAGGGTCGATGCTCTTGAAAATGATAATAGAAAATATCCACTCACGTCCGTTTTTCATAAACAAAACTTTTTCTGTTTCCTTAGACATCTCATGATAAAGATCTCCATGGACATGAGTGGATTTCTGCGTTTTCAGGTTGTGAGATGTTACATGGAATATGCGGCCTCTGTTGCAAATACGTTCTTGATCTCTGGCTGTGTGGTTGTCGACATAAAGGAACCGGAGTCAGTTCCTGCCGGCAATCCAATGGACACTGAGTTTAGTCTAGATACTCTTTGATTCAAGGAAGCTTGGACAATAACACCAAAACTCATGTTTCCTCATCGCTGAATTTATTTGACTTTGTCCATTAATTAGGAATTTTCTTTTAAATATAAGTTCTATATGGAGAACAGCTGATGCGGAAGAAGCAAAATGCATATCAAAACCCCAACCGCATTGACAACTTGAAAAATCTTTTCTAGGTGTGTTATAGAATCAACCGCAATAAGAAAGGAATTGATTATAATTCTTAAATGTTTTCAGATTTAGTTAAATTATAATCGTCTGAACAAATCACATAATTAATTCAAAAAAAAACTACAATATTTGTAATTGAGACAATATACTTATTATTATATCAAAATATTTATATGGATTGATAAAAACAAAATAGATATTGATTTAAAAATAATATAAAAAATAACATATCCATTCAATAATAATTTATTTTAAATATGAAAAACTTTAAAGTTAACTCAATCCCACACATTAGGCGTGGGTAATCCCCTAATTAAATACTGAAGCCTAATAAAATTTCCACATTTTGCAAGGCCCAGTGCGTCGAGGTTGGACCCAATATTGCCACTTGTCGCCTTTTAAAAAAAAAAACGTCCCGGAGTAAGGATCCGCGTCCTTTACCGAGTGAGAAAAATAATTTAGTTAAATAATTAAAAAATGAGTCCAAAAAACTGTGAGCTTGCCACATCAACAAAAATGTATGGTCTTTAATATATTGTAAGATTTAGAGATAAGAAACTAAAGCTTAATTTATTTATTTTTTCAACTTTTGTTTAGTTACTAGTATGCCCTCTGCACAATCCTTCTATATATTGTGTTGTTATTTCACTCTCGTATCTTATTTTATCTCTCTTTTAGAAGAATCTTGGAAACGCAACAAGATCTAGTCTCACACTTCTACTATTTTCACTTTAATTTGTTCTCACACTTCATAACACAATGCATGTCGACCAACATCTCTCCCAACTTTTTCAAAATTGCTGCTTTCCAAAATTCATGTCCTAATGTTTTTCAAAATCAGGACACGATTTCTCTCGCTGATGTTGGGTTTGAGAGGCCAACCTTACCGGTTGTGGCCGATAACAATAATATCGATGTTCTTAACAATCTAATGCAGTCCCAATTGGAGCCGGAGCTGCTGCATTCACAATATCAGTCACAAACCTTGGAATCTCAGATGTCAGAAGAAGCGGTAATTCAAACTTTGCCATTCATTGAGCAATTGGAGCGAGAGAAGTCGGAGCCTATTGCGAAAGACAACATAGAGGATCCGGAAAATCTGGAACTAAAGCTCTAAAACCTTTAAAATTATTGTCGTAAAAGTTCTTGATAATAATGATTTAGAATCTGCTTTGTGTCAGTTTTATTTTTATTTTCAATATGTGATGTGATTTTCTCTTTGGTTCAAAATCATTAAAATTTGCAAAATGGTTTTATTTTGTTAAATAATTAAGCATAAATTTGGGGTTGAAACGTCATTTCTCGAAAGAACCACAATAGTGTAGTTTAGTGTTAAATAGTATTAATTTCATTTAATTGCATTTATATCTCCTTGGTGGTTTATGTAACTTTTTTTCTTCTAATTATGGATTTCTTTTAACTTTAAAATAGCTGAATATTCAAATGCTATCAATGCAAACATTTTAGGACTTTGCCTTTTTACCAAACTAGTCGTAACATAAAAATATTACCAACTTACATTTTAGGACTTGGATTTTTTACCAAACTTGTCGTAATAAAAAAAATATTACCACAAGTGCATGAAAAATCGGTGTAAGATTTAAGGATCGAATCAACTAGAAAATAAGAACAATTCATTAAGAATGCAAGCAACTTACTACGCTAAACTATAATTGTGTTTGGATTTTGAAGGATTTGGTTAAACAACTTAAGCAAAATAAACTAAGACAATAAGTGAACAACACAAGAAAGCTAAGCAAATCCAAAACAAGATCAATGCTAGCAAAATTGAGCAAAAATTGCAATGAACAAGATTGATTTGGTAAGAGCATCTCCAACCCTATGCTAAATATGACATATATGCTATTTTCAATAGCATTTCCTCCAACCCTATTGCATATGCTATTGCAAAATAGCATTATTTTTGCTTCTATATTTGGCATGAGATTATGCAATATGCTATTTTGCCATTGAACTTTTTTATTTATAAAATAGTCCTTCAATTTGTAAATACTTTAATTTAACAGTTTAATTATTTTGATTATGATTTATTTAAATAAATAAACAATAAATAACTCTTTCAAAATATAAATAATATTTATTTCATAGAAATATAATAACATAACCATAATAAACTTAAAAATTATTGTTAAAAATACTGAAATTCAAAAAACATAAAAATACTATAAATCTTCTTTTTCTATAATTTTTATGTAGTGTGATGTATTTTGTTTTAGTATTATAATAATAAAATAATAAAATATTATAGTTGTGGATGTTTTTGCAAAAAAAACAGATGATTCACTTTGCATTTGAAGAAATCAAGTAGTTTTAGCAATAGATAATAAGTTGAAAAATAAATGATAGCATGGGCCATTGGAGAGAAACTCAATGCTATTGCTATATTTTTGCCATTTGTAATAACATATGGCATGAACCATTGGAAATGGTCTAAGAGGAATTAATCATGGGGCCCTTTGCTTATCCAATAACATAACATGTTACTTGTATAACACAAAAGAATTTTGGGGCTTTTTTGCAATTTAAAACAAAAACTAAAGCCTCCTAATTTTTTTTGGTAATTATTCTCTTGGTGTTGAAAATGGTAACATTCACTAGATTTACAATGACAACTATTAGAAGACAGAACATAATGTTTTGTTCTCATGAGTCATGATATGTACTAATTCATTACATACTCGACCAAATACAAATATAGAAACTGTTAGTCACTAGTCTTCGTTCTTATCTTTGCTGACTCAGAACGGATAAACTTACCTTTTATAATACTTTTGTCAACACATACCATCCACAAAACAGCTTTTATAACTAACCATTTTGGTAAAAAAATTTATAATTCCTTTTAGTTTCCTTTCTAGATTGTAAATTATACATTTTTTCTAACATGTGATATCTCTAAATACCTATTATTGAGAAATTTATAAAACTGGCTTCTGAATATTTAGGTAATCATTAGTATAAATACAAAAGTACTTTCAGGAAAATACTCCCATATATAATTCTTTTTTTTTTAATTTCTTAATTTTTCTAATTTTCTATAAATTACCATTCTGAAATTATGTTAAAATATTTTCAGAAATATGAAATACATTACAGAGATGCATATCGTTTTTTGTTTAAGAGAAACCAACAAAAAAAATTTCATAAGGAAAAGCCATTTAAAAAAAAAAATAATTACTTTTTGGGACATTTTTCTTTCCTAGTAGATAAAAGCCAAAATTGTTTATGAATCACTGTAAGAGTATTCACATTATGAACATATATGTGTGTGCGTGTTTACACGTGTGGATATATATATATATATATATATATATATATATATATGTATAAGTACTGTAGAAATCCAACAACCAAAATAAAAACTGTTCCGGCCAGAAACACTCACCAGTGCGGCAAAATCGTAAGGTACTTGTTTTTGAGTTAGATTGTAGATTATTTTCGTAAATGCAATGGCGGACAGTTCGGTTCTAGTGCTATGTTTGAAAATTGTTTAACCTTGCTTTAAGTTTTTTTTCTCTAGTTTAGATTTTTGTCAGAACTATTCCGACCAGTAGAACCCAACAACCGGGAAAACTTGAGATGGTAATTTTCATATTTAAATTATAGATTATTATTTATCTTAAAGACTATGGCGGATAGTTACGCCTGCACAAGGTGGAGGCTTACCACCTTGTGCATACCACCTAGTTATTGATTATTATCTTAAAAACTATGGCGGATAGTTTCGGTTCGTAGTGCTAGGCTTAGAAATCCTTTTTCTCACATGGTTGACAAAAAAATTGGATCTCAGATTTGATTTTTTTTTTTTTTTTAAGTAAATAAAATTTTGAAATTATAAGCAATATACTGTTTGTTAAAGATTACAAGAATGGTTAATTTTGTTTTAGTATGATTGAAAATGCATTTTAACTTGATCAAGCTTTTGACAGATTATGTCTCGTATGCAAATTTCGGTCTGCACCACTCTCTCTCGGGACATGAGTTTTTTCGGCTTACCAAGCAGGTATCTTCTAAATTGTAGTACCTTTGTTTGTCATTCTCCCTGTTTCTGTTTTAGTACAAACCTTTAGTTGTATGTATTTAGGTCTCAAGTTTACAGTTTCTATCGCTTTTGTTAATCTGGACAAAATCAAATCCTTATAATCCGCAAAACTTCCTTTTTATTAAATCTTTTGTAGTCTTTACCCTCTAAAGTGACCAACCACATTTTACTATAACATTATGGTTAGAAATCATGCTCTAATCAGAGAGAACTTAAGCCATAAACTAGATTCTCTGTTGCTCTATAATTCTAACACAATTTTCTAGGTACTAACATGATGGACCATGTCCATATTGATCACTGTCTTGCAGCCCAAATCAGCAAACGACTGGTCCAGCTAACAAGAGGAATGTTAATCCATTATCTGGGAGTCAGGTTAGTTGGTTTGGATCATGTGGTTTGGTAAAGTATGGCTCTGTAACTTATTTAACGTTTTAAGATTCTAACAAAAAAATTAGGGTCCTGAGCTTGAAAAGGTCACCAGCCTCAGCGATGTCGTGAAACTACCTCTTGGTGAGGACGTTAACGAATGGTTGGCCATTAACAGTTAAGAAACATTCATAATCAACTTTACTTAATCACTCTATCCACACTTGATCATCTCTTTCTTTATATAAACTTTATATAATATCTTCTTGTGTGTTTTGTTTGTTTTAGCTGTAGATTTCTGCAGTCATATCACCGCTTTGTACAATACTGTCGGAGAGTTCTGCACACCAATCACTTGCCCAAACATGGATGCTGGATCCACGTAACTCTCTCTCCTTCATTCTTGACTCTCATCCATCAATCCGAATCTGAGTTAAATCATACAAATTGTTGTTGTTGTTGTTGTTGTTGTTGCAGAGATGAGGATACACTGGCTGATGCATTTACTACATTTCTGCCAAGAACTGTTTCAGCTCCTGAATACGTTGAGCATCTCACGGATTGGATTGATACTCAGATGGGTGACGAAACTATCTTTCCGCGAAAACCAGGTAGCCGCAAAGCTAATGCATAGTTTTAAACATCTTTAATTAAGTTAATTGGTTTAAATTTATCACACTTGTTTCTTTTTTCTTTTTAATTCCCTGGTCAGAAGCACCATTCCCACCAGACTTCAAGGATTTTGTGAAGCGGATTTTGAAGAGGTTGTATCGTGTTTTTGCACACATCTATCGTTCTCACTATCAGAAGATTGTGTGTCTCGAGATGGAACCTCATCTCAACACATGCTTCGAACATTTTGTTCTCTTTGTAACTGTGAGTACTGATGAATCTTCTTTACATCATGTAGAGTTTTTTTTGGAAAATGTTCTCATAGTTGATGTTGTAACACGATTGTGCGTGTGTTTTGTTTGTAACATGCGCGCAGGAGTTCCAGCTGGTTGATAAGATAGAGTTGGATGCTCTCAAAGAGCTCGTGGAGAAGATTCTGGCTCCATAGAAAAGCTCTTATGTTTTCAGAGGGAAAAGAAGATTTTGAGATAATCCACCAATATATAACATCATATCCTAATGGAGTTGATGGATTATGTGTAATTTCTTCGGCTTTTTGAAAATTGAGGATTATTTGACCTTTCTTGTGATACTTTTCAATTAAATAAATAGGGTCATTTTCGAATAATAAAATTGTGTTTTTTAATGATGCCTAAAGGTTGTTTTTATACCAACGGGGCGTGCCCGATTATAACGTACTAAGCAAGTAATCAACACAACCGCTTTTTTTTTACTTCGCTGTTCATAAACACCAGGCTATTTTACCACCTCAGTGAAGAACTACTTGCTGTTTATTTTTATTTTTTTCTTCTAAAAACATCATTTATTACACTCAAACAGCTTATGTTGAACTGTACATCTTCTTTACGAATGAGCAAAAACTGAAGAGAGAGAACCAAAACAGAAGCTAAGTTTACGTAAGCAAAAAAATGAAAATGTACTGGAGAAGCATAAGAATCATAGCCTCGATTAAGAAAGATATCAACAGCCTGCCTGACATGACTCAAGTCATCCCAAGCTGAGCCAGCATACTAGTAGCAAATTAAAACCCAGAAGATGTGAAAACACAAATTGACAGGCCTACTCATATATTTAATAATAAAATTAAAACTTAGCTTCTGTTTTAATATTTTATTACATCTATTTCAGTAGCTCATAAATTTTTTTATTAAATTTACTTATGATTATTCCATCGGTGTTTCATTTTGTTACTAAGGTTCATTCCTAAACTCATATCTTTTTGAACCTTAATTCTTCTTTTTTTTCCCAGGAAAGTGATGGCAACTTTGCAGGTGTAGGAACTGCAGATGCCGCTAGCTCACAGTCGACGCTGGAGAGGTACGATATCCAGAATATCATGATATAAGATGATCTTAGTCGCACACTTGAACTTCTAACTATGATCAATTATTAAGGTGATCTCTTCACACATGGATTTGTGCAGGATGTGACCATGAAGGTATTCACATTCTCTCAACAAGAATCTCCTCCATTATGCATCCTTTCAACATACCATCTCCAAAGTAATACTTGGTCAAACTATAGAGATTCGTCACTACTCACTATGAATGACGGACCTGAATGCGCTATTGTCTTCTCATATATGAATGGTGAAGAATGAGCATCTCACAGGTCGGTTTCTAACACATGGTTTTTGGATTCTTTATAAAATATGATTATAAGGGGGGAACTCAGCCTATAGGTCGTGATAGTAGCAAATGATTCTAATCTTATTAAAACACATATCGACATATCATTTTAATATAATATTTTCTGATGGTCGGGGAGCAGACAGAGCCATTGGCCGTGACATTGTGGATCCACACTACAAGGAATGTCTTTACGCTGGTATTGGCGTCTCTTGTGCAAGTCTACCTGTGGAGAGTATTGGTGTTGGTGATCGAGTATGTGTTGCTTGATGCCTTGTCGAGGTAGATCTACTAAACCAGTTCATTTGTGAATACAAGCTTCAAATTTGCTAATAAACATGTCTTTTTTTACAAAGACTTTCTGAGATCTCTGGTGTGATGGTCATTATTGACCCAAAACCAGTTCCAATCAGTTACTTACTACTCTTTACTACTTCATATGCACTATAACTCAAGTGTTGTTGTAACATATATGAATGGGTAGGGTGACGGAGCTGGAGTTCACTGCAACGACAATACAAAATCGATGAGGAATGATAGGAGGATTACTCCTTGCCAAGGTTGGTAAGCAAAATCTCTTGATAATTCTTTTTTTGACATGGTTCAAGTTTTAGCTTTTTGTAGTGTTGTGTCAAATTCTTTTGAAAGTTTCTTCCTTTTACATCAATTGTTTTTTTGTGTGTGTTTGGTATTATCAATTTTACAGGGGAAGAGATTGGTTTTCGTCACAAACAACTCAACAAAGTCAAAGAAACAATATGGCAAAAAGTTTGAGACTCTTGGCTTGAATGTTATCGAGGTTAGTGACTTGGTTCATAAAAAATCTAGCTAGATTTGCTGTTATGAATTGACCAATTGTTCTTGATTGAAGCAGTAACATTTTTATTTCAGGAAGAGATATTTGCATCTTCTTTTGCCGCAGACGTACTTGCAGTCTATTAATTTCCCAAAAGATAAGAAGGTTAAACCATCTTCGAATCAAAACAAATATGTCTCAATCTCATGTGCTAATCAAATTATTAAGAGTCCCTTTTGCAATAGTTCTAATGCAATATTCATCATCTTCAAACTTATCTATGATCTCATTGATGTTCATCGATCATTTCTCTTTTTATTCTAACCGCCAAAATCAAAGATTCAGAGGTTTGTTACGCATCATATTTCTTACTCATTTGAATTCAGTTTTATGTTTTTCTTATTTACTTACTGTGTCAACATGTCTTAGGTTAATCATGGTCTTGGATTATATTCATGTGTCTCAGTTCAATTCTTCGAAACAAGAATGAAAAAAATAAAGCTTTCATGTCTTAAATTTGGGATTTTCTTATGCTCGTGGATGAAAAGGTAAGAAAGGGTGCTTGATGTTTTATATAAAGATGTTATTTTAAAATACATCTAAACTTTGATTACAATGGTATATGTGACAGCGTCAATTTTAAAATGAAATGTTATGCTTTGTTTCGAGGTTATTAAAGCGCTATTGCTGACGGTTGTGGCCAACCGAACTGTGCTCTCTTAGGTGGAGAGGTATGTTTTACACAGTTATACTCAATTCCTAGCTTTTGAAAATATAGTTTATGCATCGTTCCATAAGTTAGCAAAGAAAGAATCGGTTACAAACGGGAAAAGCATAGCGGCTGGAGATGTTCTTATTGGCCTCCTTTCTAGCGGTGTTCACTCCAATGCCTTCTCTTTAGTATGAAAGTAAGTTATTGATGACATCAGGAAGAATGTAATCCATTGTCACTTTATTACTGACTATATTCAATGTGTAAACCTTAAACACATCACAATTGTTTCAGGGTCGTGGCTGGAAGTGGTCTTTCACTGAAAGATGAGCTTAATTCTAGGTGGAGCTTTAATGGCACCTACCGTCATTTAGGTGAATCAGATTGGTCTGTTTTTTGTTTTCTTTTCAAGAGACAAGTCCATCACATTTTTAAACCAATTGCATGACTTTATCTTTCTCTATCCGCAGGTACTTGACTTAATCAGCAAAGGAGACATTACGGGGGGTGAAAGTTTCACAGACAACATCCCCCGAGTTGTCCCGGATGATTTGGGTGCTGTAGGAACTTCCACCATTGTTCAAATGGATCCAACAGGTTTGATATCAATAATACCGTGAAAAGATACATATGCTTAAATGTTTGATTTGATTTTGGTTATTGTATAGTCTGAGAGTATACAAGACAGTGAAATGCGAAGAAAACCTGGGAATAGGGATGATTATGATGGTTACTCCAGATGCAGTTTCGAGAAGCTGAGAATGGAGACATTGGTGAAGGCAAAACTTATCAATGCGTTTTTTAATAAGGGACTCATGTGTTGTGTTTTTAAGTTTGTGAGAGAGAGAGAGAGAGATTAGGATATCTTTGTTTCCGATTTCTTAAATCCATTTTTGTTACCCTATCTGTGTGCTTGCGCAATTTTGGGGTTTATAGCAAACTATAAAATATTTTAACAATTAACAAAGTAAAAAAATAGTAGTTGTTAGTTAACCAAATATAGAATTTTAACGAATTTACATAAGCGATATAACAATAAAATCTCTCAAACTTTGTGTGTGTGTGTACTCATAACAACACGGTGAGAGATTCGTACTTGGAACGCTCTGAACGCTTGTACTCACGATCATCATAACGGTATTCTTCTTCCTCCCCTCGATCATAACGTTCACCGTACTGATTATAACGGTCTTGGTCACCTCCTTGTTCCTCCTCACGCTCGTAATGGCTTGAACGTCTACGCCCTTCGTAGTAGCCATGACCTTCCTCTGGCTCAACTCGCCTCTGCTTCGACCCACCACGCTCATACTCTGCTTCTCTCTCTCGTGATCTTCCGGCATCCTCTTCATACTCACCGGTCTCGTAGTCCCGTTCCCTTTTCCGACTCCGCTCCCTGTCGTGATCCCGAGTACGGTCCCGACGGTCTCTATCTCCTCGGTCACGCCTGCTCTCTCTTTCTCTATCCCTATCTCTCCCTCGGTCCCGGTCTCTGTGGTGCTTATCCTCTCTATGACTCTCTCTTGGTCTATCACGAGAATGTTCACGAGACCGTTCCCGAGACCGCTCGTGAGACTGCTCGCGTTCCCTTTCTTTGACCCTATCACGAGATTTCTCACTGCCATCCACCACATTATCAGCAACACAACAAAGTAACAACAAGATGAACAAAATAAAAAGCATAAAGAAAGGATAATCTTACCGGTCTTCACGAGCTCTTGGCTCCTCGGAGCGGGACATTCTTCCTTGTTGCTCCTCCTCGCCAACAATCTTCTCACCAGGCACTCGGGCTGTGCCAAGTCCACCACCAAGCCTACGGGGACGCCAGTTCGGGACTGTTCTACCTCTCTCAACATCAACCAACACTCTTCTACCATCAATCTTCTTTCCATCACCTTGTTTATATGCAGCTACAAGAGACCACAAGCTCTATGTCAGCAAGAAATTTATCATCTTTGGAACAGAGAAAAGCGTTACAAGCAAGTATTCCGCACCTTTCATGTCACGGGTGTGCAAGTACTCGATGAAGGCATAGCCTTTGGGTTTATTGGTTTGCTGATCAGTGACCAAATGAACCTGAGAAAATGCAAAAGAAACGACATCAAGACACCACAAACTCTGAAATAGCCTGAACCAGCTTTCAGATTTGGGGGGTTACATGTCAAACAACAAACACAGGCAACCTTTTTTTTCTTAACAGGCTTCCACATCATCACCACATCAAGAATTGGCAGAAAAATGGATTCCATGGCAGCAAGTTTTACCATTTCTGAAGGGTTTAACGACCCCTTACCAGGGTTTTCAAACTTCTATAAAACTTAGATATATACATATGTATACAAATTTACCACATCACCTTCATTGTAGCAGATAATACTTTTGCTAGCCTTTATAGCTAGAAAACAAGAGTTTTAGTAGATTTGTTTAAAATACGGAAAAAAAAAGGAGAGAAAAGGGCCGGTTTACTCCCTACTTTGATTACCAACTTTGTAAAAGGAATATATATCTCATTGACTATGAAACTTGTGAGCGTACACCCTCGATATCATAGTAAAAGGAATATATATCCTCCGAAGAGACCAGAAAAAGGTAAAGTTACCTGATCTATACCTTTTTCTAGAGTTGACTTGCCCCCAAACATCTCAACCAATCACCACGGAGCAGAAAAGTTTATATTATACATATGCACAATATCGACCGGAATATCTTTTACTACTTACTCTATCTTAGCAAGTTATGAGAAAAGGGCCCATTGGCTTTAATCAGACTAAATTCAAGACAAAACGTGGCAATTCAGAAACAGCTAGACTTCTAGTCTCAAAGGAAAAAGTTGTATGTAAAGATTCAGAACCTTAGAGACTTATGGACGTAGAATCACACATATTGCAAAGAGAACTTGAGAGCGAGCAGCCATCTCATTAAATCTTACCGAGCCTGTTAGGGAATGTTCAGAGATACATACCTGCTTAATTGGACCATAAGCCTCAAACTCCCTTTTAATCTTACTCTCAGAGGTCTCGTAGTTCTGCAAGACGTCAAGAGGAACATAAAAATGTCAAGCACCACAAAACACACCTGTCTATGGAAAGTCATTTTAACAAGCAGCGCAACTTACAAGTCTTGCAACAAACAGCGTCTTGTATGGATCTCCAGAAGCGTTGGCATCACTAGTCGGATCATCTGCAGACAAAATACACAAAATGAACTTCAATTCACCAAAACAAAGCCTGGCTATATAAGTCCAAGGCGACTTACATTTCTGTATCTCCTCTGCAATCTTTGCAACCCCTTTCTCCAGTCGTAATTTGTGAATTCTCTCCCTTTTCTGTGCCTGGTACGTGAAACAAACATATAAGTCTATAAGTAAGTCACTGAAATAAACACAATAGAGAGAGAGAGGGGCTAATTGAGGTGAAACATACAGGTGTTTCAACTTCCGGCTTAGGTGGAGCATACTCTGGATCTCCAGGTGCAGCAAAGTGACTCACAAACTGAGCCATGCCTAGAATGAAAACACAAAACAGAATCACCTCCAAAGCTCATTAGGAGTCAAGTTTAAGTTAAATAAACTCAGAAGCTAATTTCAAACCTGTATAAGGAGGGCATTTTCTCTTCTCCGGTGGTGGCTGGAACTCCAACGGCGGTCGTGGCTCAAAGAGCTTCAAAAGATTTGGCGTTAAGCCAGTCGGGTGGCTTTGACCCATCTGCAACAGATTTCAGAGCTTTTCATGATCAATCAATCGGTAACATCAATTCCAAACTCTAATAAACCCCAATTGATAACAAATCAAGCTTCGAAAGAGTTGATTATCCAATCGACAAAAATTTAAGCCGAAACAGAACAACCAATAATGCTAACAAGTATGAGCAAATCAGAGAGAAGAGACGAACCAGCTTTAGCTGAAGAACATTGGTTCGATTCTGAACCTTAGGGCGAGCCTGAACGGCGGCGTTTGGGTTACGCATGAAAGGATCGCTCAAGTCCCCCATGGTGTACAGGTCGATCGGAGCTCAGCTAGGGTTCCGGGAAGAAGGAGATGAGGTTCACTGGCTTATATTAATTCCGTTTTCGATTTAAACGATGTTATTCGTAGTATATTGGAGATTTTATTTGATTATATTTAATTTGGTTGAATTTCAGATTATACATTTGTGAAAGTTGACATATATTAAATCAGAAATTGGATTTGGGTATTGTCTGTGTCTCTTGACAAATTGGGCCGAGGTAAGTGCAAATATAAATTTAACCCAAAAAAACAATTACGTGACCATTCAAAGCATATAATAGACCTTGGACAAGGAACTTCGTCAAAATTTTGTTCTGAGATGATAACAGCGAAACGATTTATGTCCCTAGTGGAAGAAAAAATAACACTAATCATGGACATATTTTTTGATGAGATTGATCTTTCTGGCATGAAGTATACGTATGGTTAAGCCACGCCGGCTGGCGACTAACACTACCTCCGGCGAAGTAAAACTTAAGAAGCTCCGTAGCTATTTCAATCAACGGCTGCTTCGTTTGGATGCTTGGATTGTTCTTCCTCTGTCCGCAAGTTTTAGAGTCTTTGTCAGTTCCCGTACGTTCTGCAAACAAAGTAGCCACCGTTAAAGACAATTTGACACAAAGTAACAGTATTATAAGATTGAGTTGCCACAGTAAACATATAAACTCAAGGCTTCCCCAATAGCCAAATTCTTTCTATATCTACGGGACTCTGTGGATCAATGCTCGTTTCCAAATAGTAAGACCAATGCACTAACAAGAGAATGCTACTATGATTTAACATACTGTATCATCCGGAGGAATGAAACACAACATTCAAGCATCTAAGATCTCAACCTCATGTGGCTTAGTGTGTGATAGTGAAATGCAAATAAAGAAACCATATTCTCTGCCTAATTCAGTTGTAAACGAACACCCTCACTTCACAGATATGAAGATATCTTCATAAAGCGCAAAACCAAGTAAAGAAAAAGTTTTCGTCCCCGAAATAAAAATCACCCACCATCTATAGACTATATTAGTTACCTAGGATTACGGATTAAGATGAATTAACGACAATGAACATTATTCAAAACCTAAACGTTCTTTGGTGGCATGACGAAATAGAAGATGAAGCTGATGTAAGCATTCTCTAGCCATAACATATGACAAAATGGTCGGCACAACACACAAATCAAACTCTAATCTCTCTAATTTTCTCATTCTATTTGTCTCTCAGCTCAATCTTCCTGATTCTATGTATAGCTAAAGCTAATCACAATGAATCTATGACGTATACACACATTCAAAGCATATTAAACCCGTGTAAAAAGAGCAATTAGCAGTGTTAAACGTCGATGGGAGTTAGATTCTCACCGTTGAGTGAACAGGAGACGGATCTATGACGACGGAGCGAATAGACATCCTCGCGATCTCCGTAACGGCAGCCTCTACCACACCAGGTGCATCACTCGTCAGCTCCTCGTAAGCAGCCTCGAATGCCTCTTGCCAAAACCTCGGTAATCTGATACGGCGCCCATTGTTATACACATCCCACATGTGCTTCACCACTTTCTCCCTCTCCTCCATTTCCTAATCTCGCAAACCAAAACCCAATCGAATATACCCAATCAGCCACGAAATGGAAACAGAAGGAGAGATTAAGGAAGGAGGAGACTCACGAGAACATCGAGATCCTCGTGGATCAGGAAGATCAGATCGTCGGTGAAGTGGTTAATGTTTCCGGCTGACCACCGGAGATTCACGGTGCCAGTCAGCATTGACCAGAAAGCGAGTAACAGAATCGCGGCTAAGGCCCAAAACTTGTATCGGCCTTTCGCAAAGAGAGCCGAATAGCCGCTTTCCTTCTTCGCGTTCCCTGACACCGTCGTCGTCGTTGCGAGGGAAGAAGTGCTTAAAGGCAAGGCGTCTCCATCCTTCATCGGCGCGGAGTTGAGCGATCGGAGACGAATAAGTGTTGAATCTGCAAGAGAGCGTCGTTTCTCTTCCGAATCTGAAAAGAATAAGAAGGAGGAAAAGTTAGTTTGATTATAATACAAACTCCCTATAATTAGACATCCATCTAACCGAAAATAACCAAAAAAGTATATGTAATATTTTTGTAAATCCGTTTATTTTATGAAAAGTAATTGTTTTCACCAAGGAAAAAACTTAATTAATCTGATGGGCAGGTTTTAATTTGATATCCTTAGTTTTTTCTTTCTCTTTCTGTCGGTAATTGGTATCCAACTTTAAGATTTAGATCCATGAAAAGGAAGAATTGTAAATATAAGTTCCTGCTCAGAAACATTCCTAAAGATCTTGATTAAATCAGTTTAGCAGGTCCACTAGCCACGAGATTTGATATTTATAAAGAACCTTAAACATACTCCTTTTGTTTGCTAGTATGGATCCAAAACTCATGTTTTAAATTCCAGGTCTACAAAACTGATATTTTTACAAGTTCGACAAAATTGTGGAGTCAAGAGAATTTAAAAGAACCGACGCATTTGATATATTAAAAACTAACAAAAATGAATGAAGTCGGAGAAAATGTATATGACAAATGATGAAAACAAAAATCATTTCCCGATCTGCAAATTGGCCGGAGGAAGAAAATGATCGACCGAGAGACCCCAAACATTGAAATCAACTTCTTCGATCCGCCACTTCTCCGTCATTTGTCTCCGATGATTCGCCGACGCTTCACCGTACCGGAAAACCGTAACCGACGTTTTCCCGCCGTGAGCGATGTTCACATTATCCACGTACCGGTAATCATCCATCACCGATTCGGCGCTGGTCTCCCAGAAAACGTCATCGTCATCCTTCGTCCGCATTCTCAGAAGTCGCGAGTCCTCGAATTGAATCAGCAGCCCCGATCTTTGGCTGAAATAACCCCAAATCGTATGGTGAATGATCTCGAAATTCGGACCGCTCTGAGCCTCTCGAACCGCCGGACTCGTCTCCAGTTTCAAGATAAAGCAATCCTCGCCGTTGATTATCTTCTCTCCAATACACGTCGCGTCAAGGAACAGATTCGCCGTCGATCGAGGATCTAACCCCTAGTAAAAATAGTAAACCAAAGGTTCAACATAACCGGAATTAAATCTACACATCAAAATTTTCGATAACCGAATTCAAATAGTACCTGTAAAAACCGGCGGAGAGGTCTGGGCGTTCCGGTAGACGCCGGCGTTTGCTGGTTCGAGGAATGTCGCCACGAAAGCCGACCGTTGCTTCCGCATATGACTTTACATCCGGAGACGACGAGCTCCAAACACCAAAGATCTGGATCCTTCTGCCACAGAACGAAACCACCCATCTCGTCATTGCTCTTAAGATTCGTTCCGGACTCATCTCCCTGATGAAACTCCGACGCCGTCATCTTCACTTGTCCGGTGACGCACATACTATTCACGGCGTTTAACGCCGCCGGCCCTCCCGTCGCCGCTATGTACTGTTGCACTATATACTTCGCCGTCGAAGCTTGCTGCAACCGATTCATCACCGGAAAAATTAGATCGATCGTATCAATTAGATCAAAACAGAGGATTAATTCATCATTACTTACAATGGAGGAATCTTTGACAGGCTTGTGAACAGAGTGGCCGACTTGAACCTGAAGAGGTATAAGAGGAGAGCCAACGAGATAAAGAAGAAAACGGAGCTCGTTGATGCGAGCGGCGATAATCGGTTGCGACCATTTATCAGAGGTTTGAGCTTTCATCCACGTCATCATGTTCTGCCACCTAAGCGCAACGTTGTTACCCATACCGGAAAACATCTCCTCCGGTATCGGAACTTCCAAAACCGTCTCCAAACCATCGTCTTTGTCAATGTTTGGACACAGCTTCCTCATACACTTGCCGCTCCTTCGATTCCTCCTCTTCTTGTGATTCTCCTTTGTTCTATGGGCGATTGACTGTATGAAATCCACAAATGGTTCGAAGATTGTCAGCACGACTATAATTCATCAACACTCTTGTGTTCTTGTTTGTTTTGGTAAATTTGTGATTCGAAAAACTTGTTAGCTTCCGAGTTTAATTGTTTTTTAAGGTTTTCCAATTGATGTTTTGTGGTTCTCCTTTGCTTTAGGCTGTTTTATTTCGAATGTTGTTTGAGTTCTTCTATAATCTCGTCCTTAATTAGCCTTATGTGTTATTGATAATGAGAAAAAAAAAGGGAAATTGCAATGGATAACAATATTGAGACAAGAATTAAGTGAATGACAATTATTTGGTCATGGCTAGAATATAGCTCATATTTTTTATAATAATACCATTATAGCCTTGTGTGTGTAAAAAAAAAAGTTATGATTCTTCTTCTCTCGATTCTCTCTATCATCAAACTCCAACTTCTCTCTGATCAATTTTCTCTGATTTGATTAAATCTATTTCTTTTTGAAGACTTATGGGTCTAAACAAAATTAAGATAATTATATCACTGAGATCAATCAGCCATTGCAATGATTTTTCTCATGTTCTTCTTTTTCAGTTTTTGGATTGGCAGTGCATCTTAATCGTTAGCACCGACGTGTTCTTTGGAACGACGCAGATGAAGAATCAACCACACAGTATTGGCGGTTGCAAAGGGAGACAAATTCATAAGTGATCCCCATCTTCTTTTGTACCTCCGTCACTTAACCGCCATATTCTTCGTTTCTTATGTTATTTAACTATTTTCTAGATTTCGATTGAAAACTAGTTCCTCATTTTTGTTTATGGGTTTAGTGGAAATGTAACCGTCAAATTCTATACTATTGAATTGTTTACCTAGTATATATTTCAGTTTCTAATTTGTATGAAGGAGAAAATTGTCCAAAAACATTTCTTTTTGTTATTCTCCTAATTTTCCATGATAGCTATATTCTTAATATTTTTTTTTTTCAATGATATATTCTTAATATTGTTATTCAGCAAATTAACCCGAAAAAAATGAAAAAAAAAAAGAATGAGAAAAAAAAATGAATGAAAAAAAAAATGAAAAAAATTGAAAAAAAAAAAAAAAAGAGAATGAGAACAAAAAAAATAAGAAAAAAAAATAAGAAAGATGAAAAAAATGAAAAAAATGTAAAAAAAATGAAAAATGTAAAAAAAATAAAAATAAAAATGAAAAAAAAAAGAATGAGAAAGAAAAAATGAGAAAAAAGAAAAAAAAAGTGAAAAAAAATGAAAAAAAAAGAATGAAAAAAAAATGAAAAAAAAAATGGCCATTTCATATCGAAACCAATACGAAAAATGGTTTTTTTGTAGCTTGTTATGTCTATGTCTCCTATTACATCTTCTCAATGTTAACTAGTTTTTTGGATTACTGGTTAATGGCAGCTAATCAACATGAATCATTTCGTTGATACATTGTTACTCTCCCAAATAAGGTTCTGTATGAGATAACGTATATGCTGAACGAGGTTGATTCATGTTGATCAAGTGCCATTGCTGGGCTACAATATTAAATATGAGATGGGCTTTTGTTGTTTTAGGCCTATGATTTGAAATGAGTATTTGTTAAAAAGAAAGAGAAAAATAAACGAATTTGAAAATTTATGTACGTTCTCTCTCTCTACAGTCTACACCTCTTCACCAATTAGGAAAGAGAGAAGAGGGAGCGTTGCTTTCTCTCACTTACATACATCGAGAAAGTAGCAGCACATCATCGCCGGAAAATGACGAAGCGGAATCTCCGATCGAAGCAGTCACCACCACTCGGAGACGATGCTGAGAAACTCTATCAGAAGAGGATTCGAGATCTGGAATCGGTGAATGAGACTCTCCAGGTTTTTTTTTTCCCTCTTCGCAATTTTTTTGAATTTTGGCTAGGATTTTGAAATTCAGATTTGATTTTCCGCTGGGTTTGCAACATCGATTTTGGTTTTGATTTCTTACTTTCTGGAAATTTTCGTTGCGAAGACTGTGTTACTGAAGTTCTGTGACTGTTCATTGACGAAGCTCTCAACTTCTCTTCCATTTAAAAAAAAATATATATTCTCGGGTTCTCAAATCTAGAATTATTCTCAGCGATTTCATGGATGATGCTCGTCTCTTCAGTTTCCAGTGTGCAGAAAATCTCTTGTAGAAGTGTAAATTACAAACACCGTTTCACTCGTTTCCTTCTTAAGCTGTTTGAATCTTGGTGATAATGGCGTTACATTATCTATTGATATTCCTGGAATTAGTGGAGCTGGGCTTATGCTTAGTCTTGCAATTAACATTTCTGTGTTTTAGTGTGTGAGTCCTAAGAAATGAGGAACACTAGTGTATAGAAATCTCGCAAAGCTGAATGTAATGTTTGATTAGAAACTTTATGGAACTTATTGAATATTGTGTAATCTTGCAAATGATTTGTTTTGGAAACTGACAGCGCAATGTGGAAGAGCTAAGGTCGAAAATGGCTGATGTTTCGATTAGTTCTTCTGTTGGTACCTTACAGTCAAGCAGAGAGTTTTCTCAGAAGTCTATTGCTACAAAACAAGAGGTGAATCATTATTTTCCAGGTTTTAATTGAAAGAAGACATTTTCGTTAGTCCATGTACATTTTGTAAGCTTTAGTATACTTGTGCAGGGTATGAGCTCAAGGAGCAAGTCAAGTTTGCAATCTATGTGCTCAACAAAGAAGCTTAGACCTGAGAGTTCTCTAAAGCAGATCGATGGAGAAGTCCAGAAATTAAAAGCGCAAAAGGTAAGAAAATTTGTTGCAAATAATGGAAAGCTCGATGAAAAATGCAGCAGTTTCTGTTGTGTGTTTTAACTTTTGTGAGTTGTCAATACTGTTCAGGTTAAGTTGCAGTGCAAGATCAAGCTAGACTCTATGCAGTTTAGACTTTCGAAAGCTTCACTAGAAAAAGAAGCCCTTCAGGTAAAGAATATATGATCGAATGTCGAATCAAGTCCTAGTAGATTCCCCATCATAAGACGGTCAGGTCCAGATTTATACTTGATTTACACTTGGATAGGAGATACGTGTTCTTGAAACCCCCCATGTCCTATGTATGCACGACACAGACCGAGATCAGTTTGGATACATTATTTCTTGATAGGGTTAGTCGACAATTGTGCTTGCCTTGTCTAGTGCTCTTTAAGCTAGTTAGACTTAGTGGTATGTCTAATGAAACCTCAGGCACTTCATTTAATACTTCTTCTCTTCTAACAGCTGAAAAAAGAGCTAAGGAAAAGCGAGTTCGAGAAACATATCCTGACAGCTCTCAACAGGCGCCAGAAGCTGGTATCTATCCTGCCTGACAATTATATGCTCTATGTAGTTTGCAGAAACTGTTTTGTACCGAGTCCATGCGTCTTGTTGATTTATATGTTCTTGTAATCAGATTTTGCAGCTGAAGAATACACAGGCTTTGACAGCCCTGAAGCGCCTTAAGTCTCTGCCGGAATCTAAAAAGCCTTGTACGAACAAAAATAAAGGTCACATAACAGCTAAGCTAGTATCTCGGTTACCTTGAATTCTTGTTATTCTTTTGCTAAATTGTTTAAGTGTCTTCTTTGTATTTTCTCAGGCCCACCAAAAGCAACAGACTCCAAGATTCAGGTATGGGGGTACCCTAAGCCTAAGCATCCATGTAACATCATAGTTTTAAGCCGAAATTAAGCAATTTTTTTTTAGTTTTACCGTACGATTTCAATTTTCAACCGTTATCTAGGACCTTACACTTGAACTACAGTATTGTTTTGATATTCCATGATTATACGATATACGGGGTTATGTATTGATTTCCATAATTTGGAACTTGAATTGGTTTCTGATTCAGGTTGTGCAGGATTCTAGCAATGAACTTGGGCTACTAACGAAGTTGAATAAGATTCATTCTAATTACGAACGACAAATGAAAGAGTAAGCTTCCTAAAGGAAAATTTGTGGGATTAATATCCCTTTCTTCTTGCTATTGCATCTCCCTAAATATTTCCATGCTTCTATCCGGAAAACACTCTACGTCAGAGTATGTTGTATAACTTCAGTAGTCTGAATTTGATATTGTGTTCCTTGCTATTTTTCATCAGAATAGCTGAAGAGGTGAAAAGATTCAGCTCAGAGGCGGATGACTTGAAGACAGAATTTGAAGGAGAGCAAAATTCTTGGTAAGTTTGATACTAGTTAAATTTGTAGCACTTAAAAACTTGTATTTCTCTAAGCTGATGGATGATCTTTGCTTCTTCTCTTAATTAAGGTCTGCGTCATGTGACAACCAAATCAACAACACTCCGTTGGACTCAGAACTAAAGGAACTTAAAGAGGAATTTATCAAACTGAGTACTATGGTCAGCCAGATGGAAATGACCAAATCTCAACTCACCGAAACGGATAAAGCTCAGGTTAATGTTTACTTCCATTATAATTAACAAAGGCCAGCTTTGTTTTTGTGTGGTCTGGTTTCTCAAACTTCCAACTGTTTTATCAGGACAAACCAGCTGAAAACTCGGTTTCCAGCAAGATTACTAAAGATGAAACGAACGTAGAGCCATCTAAACCGGTAAATTCTGAGGAAACGCTCTGCGAACCAGCTGAAAACTCTGTTTCAAGCAAGACCACCAACGATCAATCAAACTTGGAGACATCTGAACCAACAATTTCTGAAGAAACGCTCGTTAAACCAGCTGAATCCTCTGTTTCCAGCAAGAATTCCAAGGCAGAGTCATCTCAACCGAAAGCTTCTGAAGAAACGGTCTGTAAAAAAGAGAAGAGCAAAGCTCAAGTGTGTTGCTCTTGCACTAAAAAATCTCTGTGCAAGACCAAAAACTGCAAATGCAGAGCTAACGGAAACGGATGTGGGGACTCTTGTGGCTGCTTAGCTTCCAAATGTAGCAACAGAGAAGAAATTGTGAAACCTGATAAAGCAACGGAACCAGTAGATGGTAAGAAGCCTGCTGGAATAAGCCATGACGACAAAGATGCAAAGAAGCAAGCGTTACGTGATATAGGGAATATGCGAGTAAGCTTCTTCTTCTTCTGCAACCTCTAATATGGGCTAATGATCTTTACTGATTTGGTTATAACTTTTACTTTTGCATTCAACAGGAAGCTGGAAAAGTTGGTACTGTGAAAAAGGTGCAGAAACGAGTTGCTAAGAAGTAACGAAAACGACCAAGTAAACAGAGAACTTCAAGAAGCTTCAACATTTTGCGTCGTTTTATCTGAAAAGTTGTAAAAGAAATGTAAGGGTTTTATTCGGAGAAACTTACTGTTTAAAGCTTAAGCACAGCGAAAACTATTTTGGAATTTGGACAGAAACGTTGAACAGTCGTTTCGTCTTTATTCTAGAGTTCCTACGAGAAAATGCAGATGCTAAAATTGAATTTTGAATGTCTTAATTGTTGTTAATCAGATTACATCAATAATTTTAAAAAAAAAGTTTCACAGCAACTTTTGATCTTGTGCTGCACAAATAGTTTACAATGGAACACAAAAACTTAAAGGCAAAAAAAAGGAACAATGTGTGTATTACTCTTATTAATATGAATCTCTTTGATCTTGTGTTTGTTGTTGTGTATATATACAACAGAAACAATGTCTATTTATAGAAAGAATAAACAAAGCTAAGTAACTCATCTGAACTTATTACAACAAGCATTTTTGAATCTTTATTTGTAACTAATAAAAAATGTACCTTTACGTAAGCTTAAGATTAAGCCGTCTTAACCAAATAGAGTGAAGCATCATATGCATCACATCGTAAGGCTGAGCAGGACGATTCACCACGAAATGCCGCTTCACTTCCAAGACTCTCTTATACATCTTCAAGTATCTAACAAGAGAGACACTCTCTAGAATGGTTTTGATCTCACTTATCCTAGAAACAGGTATTTGTAAAGAGAACGAGTCCCAATTCAGGACATCACTGAATGGTAACGAATAATTATCCGATATGATCACCGGTACACAACCAGCGTATATCGCCTCGACCTCTCTCGGGCTAGCGACTTCCCAACCACTTGGACATAGACAAAACTTACTCATCCCCATTAGTTTGGTGTAGTCTTTCCCTGGAGGCAGACGTTCATAAACTTGCACTTCATTGTCTTTATCTTTCCAGTGTTTAAATAATATTTTCCGGATATCGCCGTGACTTCTTCCGGCGAAAAACCCTAGTATAGATCGAATTCGCGGTGATTGTCCGAGAAAAGATGGACCTAATCTACCTTTAGGAATGTAGATCTCTGGTATGGATACGTCTACGTTTGGCCTGAATCCTTCCGAGGTATTAGCATTGCAAAGTCCTCTTATGAATCTTTCGAATAACTTTGGATTCCCATCGATCACGTCCGGTGCCTACACACACACAATTTTTTGTGGGAGAAATTTCAAAATTACACTTTTCTAGATGCCAATTTTCAAAAATACACCTCTATGGAGACATGAAAAATAATAAATAACATAGTTGCTTGTAGATTAATTATATAAAATATTAAATATCTATACTCTCAATGATTATATGAAATGAAAAAAGGTTCGTACGTACCCAGTCATGGCATGACATCATGAAATGGTCACCTCCTTGGCTTCTGTTCCAATAGGGATACTTGGTAGAAACAACGTCAACATAATCCTCCATAAGGCGGTGTAAGCGGGCTCGGGAAAACCCTTCAACAGAGTTGACTGGCTTGTAGACGAAGTGTATGACCTTGGCGACGCTAAATGGTACGAAGAAAACATGAGCATCATCGGGATGATCTGCGCGAAAAGGGCTTCTAGTCTTAGGTCCGTCCACGCACATTTCGTCCATGAATTGTCCTTCTATACCGTATATGTCATTAACAGGGCCGTCATGGAACAATGGGGGTTCTCCCTCTGTGTATGTCCACACCTTAAAATGATTCATCATTTCCGTGTGACTCCTGATTTTTGTGCATGAACGAGTGTGAGATCAAAGTTTATTTAAACCTAGTACAGATTTATTACCGATAGTTTTGAATTCTTGGCTTTATCATTTGATGACATAATGCACACGACTACAAAAAAAAACGTATAATGTATGCACCATATGGTGAAATCGCCATATCCAGCAGAACTTCTTTGAATCTATATTCAAATAAATTCATAAGTACTAGTATAAGAAAATAGTTTTTTTTTGTCGTCTCCACTTGGCACTTGCAGAGCTGTGTGTAGTACTTTTAATGCTCTAAACCAACTAAAAATACTAGGTTGTTTTCAAATTAAACTATCATAGTATTGGTATTACATCAAACATTTGAGTGGTTGTATTTTTCAAATTAAACTACTATCATTTCATCTAACAACAGCAAATTACACTTCAAACAAAAATTAACGTTAGTAAGATAGCTTAACTAACTTTTTTATTACTTTTAGTGTTTTAATTCTTCTAAAGAAACCATGCACTTCATGTAAATGGTTTTTTGGTTGTACTTAACATTCAATTTATAAAAAGAAGAATAGCTTAAGTAAAACTAAATAGTAAATACTGTGTGTATCATTTTACTCGAGTAATCCAATATGCTATTAATATCCATTTTTTCTGCGCGATACTTGAGATCATACTCAAGTCGTAACATGAAACTTTTCAACCACTTCTTAAAAATAAAAACCTAGTGTTTCCACGAAGAGCGTATGACAAAACATCGATGATTAAACCTTTTTCATGGTAGCTTTTGAACTAATGAGTTTATGTAAAAAGTCATTGGAATATTCCTTTGAAATATAAAAGTAGTTGAAAAATGTAAACTTCTTTTCAGCTCCATTAAGTCCTTATAAAATTCAATTGCAGTATTTTACTATTTTATCAACTCTTGGAATTCACAAAACAAACAAACAAAAATAGATAGCTGTTGCTTAGAAAACGGCATCACACCGGAGCCGTTAAATTGTACTCCATGTGTAAGTAGCGTAATTATTTTTTTGTCTTTATTGTAACCGTAATCTAATGCTGGCTTCTCTGATGATAATTAAATGGATTGTAAAATTGTTGGAAAAAAAAATCCATGTGAAATACGTCAGCGCTATGTCATTTTTGACTAATCTAGTAAGCAGACATTACTAAGTACAGTAAGATATTGTGCTACTAAATTACTAAATCAAGAAAGAAAAGAAAAGTACTCAACTGATGAAAGGCGGCTGGATTTTTGTAGAGAGAGCTGATATAATTTTGTGTTGAAGCTGCCCTCTTAATTGCTGCTCTTGACTTTGCCAATTCTGCTTCTATTTTATCCAACCCAGTTCTTTTCTGTTCATAGCATAATATTTTTTTTTTTTTTGTTTTTTAGAAAATAAAAATGGAAGGTAAAAAGTAAGATTCCTTTTTTATTTTCATTTTTATTTGGCCAAGCATCAAACTAATTTATTAAAGCAAGTGAGGACAAGTGTTTAAGATTCTCTGATTTGTTTGAACAAAGATAATTAATACGTACCTTGAGAACCACACTTTTACTTGCAGGACTTGGAGTCTTCTTTTGGTTCTGTTGATCAGAGATAGAAGAAGAAGAAGAAGAGACAAAAGCTAGAGTAGTGTTTCCTGTGTTGCTTCGTCCAAGAATTAACATAGGAGGAGGAGGGGGAGGAGGTGGTGGAGGAGGGGGAGGAGGAGGAGAAACTAAAGCCGGACTAGTGTTTGATGTGTTGTTATGTCCGAGATGAAACAGATGAGAAGGGGGAGAAGGTACAGAGACAGAAAATTGGTCTCTATAATCGATAAAGGGTTTATTAGAAGGCTTTGTGGAGAAGAAGAAGAAGAGTGAAAGAGAAATCAGAATAATAGAGATGGAAAAAAGAGTTAACAGAGAAAGAGAGCAGAGTTTTGATCTTGGAGCAGCCATGGATATGTTTTCTTTTTCTCTTTTTCCTTTCTGATTCTTTACTCTCAAGAGGAAGACACAAGGGAATTTTGGAAGCGAGGAGGAAGGAGAAAAGTCATAAAGATTCTGTGTTAAGTCTCTATCAAATACTATCATTAGTGGGAGAAATGAGTTTTGGTACACCAAGCAACTTGTTTTGTTTGTTTCTTGGATATTTGGTCATACAAATTATAATCATACAATCAATGCGTTTAGTAGTTTCCTAACTTCCTATACTTATTTTACAGAACAAAGAGCTGAGTCACCTCCGTACGTTACATCCAGTTTATTACTTTGCTATAATTGTGACAACGAAGCCTTGATTAATTTTTAATTTTCTAAAATATCATTGTATATTCCAACCATATTACAATAGTGTTATTATATATATATTCTTGTTTCAAAAAGAACTCCATTTTAGAATTCAAAACAAAATCCATCCGACAAAATTCACTTCCATTCTCTCGAGTTCATTTCTTAATGCGACATTCATAATGCTTTAGGCTAATCGAAACTTTTCTTATCTTTAGAAATTTCGTCCTGAAAGAAATTTCGTCCTTTCAGAACTTCTTTCTCGTTTAGTCACGTATCCGTTCTTATTTGAGCGCCGGAGAATAATCAAGAGGACATTCATTCTCTTGTCGTTTAAATAAGATTTCAACTCTTTAGCTAGAGCTTGAACCTGCTCAGCGGACCACAAAGCTAACACTTAACAGATTAGTCCACATCAACACATCTAATTTACCCTCGAACAGAAACATTTGTGTGTGTGATAAAAGTTTGTAACAACAAATAAGTGAAGTCCAAATATGTATATAACGCTGGGACAGAGAAACTAGCCATGAAATTCTTTACAGGAGTTAAAAAGTTGTTGCTGAATCCATACAATATTTTTCAAAATTATCGTCTCCCTTTGCTGATCTAATAGGTTTAGCGATTTTTGTCCTTATTTATGGTTCAAGTTTTATGATATGATGTAATACTGTACTGTAGATTTTGTCCTTATTCTTTTCCTTGGTTGTCAAATATTGTTTGCTAATATTCGACAGTAAATAGTCAACTGGTTTATACTTAGATAAAATAAGATCGGTAACCTTTTTACGTTTTTATTGTAATTGATATTTTTTTGAATTCATGATATGAAAAATGAATTAATTTGTTTTATTTTTATTTTTATCCAATATAGAAAGACTTATATATGTCTAAATATGATCAACTGATTAATTAATTCAACAAAACTTTATTATTCCATTCAAGAGATTTCAATTGATGAAATCTTTATTTAATAATTTTTTACCTAACAATATTGAAAATTAAACTATTTAAAATTAGAATATCGGTTCATTATATTTTCTTAATAGTAGTTAGTTGCTTGATGATGTCAAAAAAAAAGTTAGTTGCTTGATAATTAATTTGTTAGTTTTCTATTTATATTGTTTCTTTCTCAATTTTGTTTTTGACTCAGACCATTATAAATTTTCATTTTCATTATTAGTTAGTTTTTTTTTAATTATTTTTCTAGTTTTTATATCTGTTTAACATTTTTCCAATTAACATGTCTTCACGGATCAAATACATGTAACGATAATAATTTTGATTTCTATCCAACCGATATAGAGTTAGATACATGTATCGACAATAATTTTGATTTCTATCCAACTAATATAGAGTTAAATATTATTCATTGATACCATGAATTTTAAATACATGATTTTTTATTTATACAAAAGATAGAAGCACATAATTGAATCGCAATAGCTTATTATATATTGTTTTTTTTCCTGTTCATAATGGGAATATAAACACATATCGCAATTTTGTGAGTTATAAAAATCATGCGTATTGCTATCATGTTGTTTGCTTTGATGAGTTTGTGAATGAGAAAAAGACAACTTTAACTCTCTTTTTATAGGGGTTCATGTAACTTATTCCATGCAGTTATAGGAAATTTAGTTTACCTAACCTATTTCATGTACTAATAGGATTTTATTTATTTCATTAATTTGAATCTTATATGTGTTTGGATAATATAAATTTGATGAATGAGAAACCTTTTTCTATTAGGATATGACAAATATTTTTTTTTTCTTTTAACTATAAAAGATTAAAATTTCGTTTTTTTTCCTTTATCTATTTTTTTTAATTATTTTTTTTCCTTTTTTCTAAGACACATGTCACGATCTTAACGGACATAACATTAAAAGTGACACATGTCGCAATCCTAAATTTTATAAAAATCCTACGTGTCGCAACCACGTCGCGCGCATCCAGCTTTATATAATAAGATAATAGTATAGTCGTCTCATACCCGATTTAGTTTTCAAAATATGTGTGTATAAATTATAAACGACAAAAAAATTAGTAATCTTTGATAATTAAAAAAAAATGTTCCTTTGAATACGCTGGTATTTATTAGTACAGTAAAACCTCTATAAAACAATAATGTTGGGACTTTGAAATTTTATTATCTTATAGAGTTATTATTTTATCGATAAAACAATAATTATTATTTTATAGAAATATTCTATCAAAACAAGAAACTTTATAGAAATATATTTTTTCAGATTTTTTTTTTCAAATTTTCCTTATACTTTGTTATTTACATATTTCATGCTCAGAAGTTCAAAGTCTACAAGAAATTATGTCTACTGTTCTTAATGGTGAAGATGAAGTTGAAGATGATGAGGAAGGACATGTGCAAGTAGTTACACATAAGGATGCAATTGTGGCTTCGAGAACTCTTCACAACTTTTGGCTGCATGTTGAGAATACATCTCCAATTTTCAGAAAATACAAACTACATTGGAGTCATATTTTACTAAATTGTCTTAGATATATATGCATTAGTTTTATAATTATTGTCTTAGCTTATTGTTGGGACTATATTTTTACATAGGAGTTTCAAAAATATTATTGTCTTATCATCTTATCGCATTATGCTATTTTTTACACTGGCCCGAGTTGGGACCGGAGAAAAATATTATCTTATAGTGTTTATTGTTTTATCGAGTATTGTTTTATAGAGGTTCTACTATATAAACAATTAAATGTTCATTCGAATACAGAAACTACCTTTGAATCCACACGGGGATATAATAGTATAAACCTGTATTTTCTTTGTCGTATTTATGTTAATATTTGAAAAATTGAAGTTGTTACAAATAGTTTAATATCCCAAAAGTAGCTGCAGATTTTGTATCATGAAAGGTAACAAAACATGTAGCTCTAATAGAAAATCTAACATGCAAATAAATTAGCAGCTGGTACGTAAGAAAAAAAAACAGTATTTGAATAAATACCCGTGTGTAGAATATATTCACCTACTAGTAACATTTTATTGTATATAACAATTTTCTTGCTACAAATCAACAAAAAAAAAAAAAAAAAAAAAAACTAAAAATGTAATACCGACATGACCAAAGAAAATAGTGGGGACCGATAGAAGGATTCACGTGAAAGCTACCATATTTGGAAAAACTAAACCCCACGAGTTGTATTGAAGAAAATTCATTGTACAATAGTGTTACTATACGATAAATCCATAAATTTTGGCAGTCTGGACTCTGGACCGTTTATACTTTATAAGATCCCTATCATTGTAGAATAGACTTTCCACTAGCATTTTCAGAGTAACACTCACTTGGTACAATAAGGTTAACCATTCATTCGTATTTCTTCTATTGATTTTATGGGGAACAAATTTTGTAAGATCTCACCAAGTGAGTGGAAAGTCTCACCGCCTATTGTTATCTTCTTAAAAAAAAATAACTAAAATAAAACTATGTAATGAACGTTAACCTTTAAAAGCCAATCATTCTTTTAATCGTAAACATGAATCCAAACACACATTAACAATTTATCGGATACAACCTTTATACAGCACAAGCCAACAACCTTTATTCAATAGCTAAATTACGATCCACCGATACACATGTGAGAAGAAAAAAAATATAGATTTTAAAATTTATAACCCTTGTAATTATGTTTTGTTGGGCTAAATTTAAGATTAAGATCCCCATTTAGTTTCAAGTCTTCAAGGTACAAGATCTTGAGACAAGGCAGAGAAACAGCCTTCTCTGGATTCTTATACCATACGTTTCCAAGTTTCAAAGATATCAATGTCTCCAAAGGCATGGAACTTGGAAGCCAAGACAAATGGATACATCTCTTTCTCAACTTCTAGATGTTGAATTCCACGATCGACTAGAGTGTGTCTTAACTCTTAACTCAATGTCGTCCACATACTTTATCTTGACTAGAGAAAGGACTAGAAAATATTATATTAAGCCAATACTGGTAGCATGTCCTCATCACCAATAGAAGTCCATACTAAGAATACACATACTACTTTGCATGGTACAATAAGGTCTGAATTTTTTAAAACGTATGATGTTTCTCTAAATGACGAATAGTGACTCTAACTAAGAACACATTGCCCTATATAGAAACATGTATACAAAATAATTACAAATGTGATCATACTCAATCGTGTAATAAACATGTCTTCTAATAGTAAAAACCAGAATTAGGCAACGCAAAGATCATTAAGCTTCCTCCAAGACACTGATATTGAAATCAAAGCAAGAAAAGTTGAATAATCTTTGACCTTAAAACATACAAGATCATCCACATAGTTAAATGATACGAACATAAACCATGTCTACAAACTAGAAAATCTATACACCTTCATGTCAATAAACGGAAACTTCACAGCTTCGAGAAAGCTTTGTGGATGTAATAAGCTTCCTGTACATCTCTGAATCTTGGTTGGTCATCATAGGAGAGTCTGCTAACCTCAGAGTGAGCTTCTTGAGCACTGCTGAGTTCTCGAGCAAATAGTCCACTAGTATAATCCCAGTTTCCTCCTCCATAATCAGTTCTTTAATCTCAACATACTCCAAAGTAGATGTTAAACACCGAGGCACATAGGTAAGCTCAAATAGCTCTGGCTCCTCTGCAACACACTCTTCTGAAACAGAATAGTCCAAGATGAGGTTTTTCAGAACAGGGCAGCTCTCAAGAAAGGTTGGAAACAGCTGTAACTCGGAGCTAGAGAACGCAGCCTGCAAACGATTCAAGTTATGGAATATCGGAATCAACCCCAATCTGAAATGTCGATAGATGACCTGCAAGAAGAAAGAAGAACGTTACATGAACAGAGGAGGATCAAACTACATTTTAGCTGTTATACACATCAAACAGTACCTCCACAGTAGGCTGAGAGATGATCATGTGTCTTACAGTAGAAACACCGGTGAGAAAATCACGGATACTGTCACTCTTGGCTGCATCCTCCCGTTGCAAAAGACGGCTCCCAAACAAACAGACGTTAAAGACGGAATCAAGGTCTATCTTCACCAAGGAGCTCAGATTCTTCACCGTGATCCTCTCAGACTGACCATCTCCAAAACTCAAACACTCGAGCCTCGGAGCATCAATCTCAACAGCGTAATTCGCGTTGACAACACTCCACTGACAAACCAAACGGAACATCTTCAGAGTCCGAGACCTCACACGCAGCAGCGGCAGACTTTTCAGATAGTGAACACAATCTCTCACCACCGTGAGATCTTCAAGAACAGGACACCCTGCGATGAGTTTATCCACAATCAAAGGACCATTGTCACCACCGTCGAAATAAGGATCTTCAAGATGCAAGATCTTGAGACTAGGCAGAGAAACATCCCTCTCCGGATTCCTGTACCACACGTTTGCAAGTTTCAGAGATACCAACGTCTTACTGTTGTAAACGTCCATAGGCAATTTCTTCAGAACGAATGGGTACATCGGTTTCTCGATTTCCAGATGTTGAATTCCGAGATCGATGATTCTGATAACCCAATCCGTGTATCTGTCGACTAGAGTGTGCCTTAGCTCAAGGTCGTCCACGTACTTTATCTTGAATTTTTGAAGGCACGATCTTTGATTCGACTCCAGAAACCTCCCCATGATGCTCGCCAAGACTAGTCTAGAGAAATCAAACGCGTTCAAGTCCAATACAGGAACCTTGAGCCAGAGAAACTCCCATCTCTTCGATAAAACGCTCGTCCTGATCGAATCTCGGATCGGGAGGCGTACGAGTATCTGAGCTATCAAATCATCCGGCAATTCGCTGATTCTATCGCGACGCATCACTAGAGAGCATGAAGATGAACAAGAACAACAACGACGACGAATCAGAATCGAATCCTAGGCGTGGCGGAGTTTCTTAATCCTAGAGTTCGATTGAAATCACGTAAAATCGAGGGAGCTCACCGTTGTTTTGATTTGCCGTCGGAATATCGCCGGCGATCTCGCCGTCAGTTTCTCTGAGCATTCTTCGAATTAGCTCCATCATCTTCTTTAGTTTCTTACTATCAAATTTGGCGAGTCGTTTTTTACCAAAAAAAAAAAATTTGGCGAGTCGTTTTGATTTGTTCTTCGTTGATAAACCAAATAGAGAAATCCCAACTTTATTATATACAATGACCAATCTTGAATCCTTCATCTAGAGAAATCTAACGACTTTGTTCTAAGGTTTGTCACTTAATTTGAATAAAACGAAAAAAAAAAGAACAGATTTTTTTTTTTTTCATTTTTTTTAAAAGGAGAAAAAATAATTTTGATGAACAACATACACTACCACAATTATCGTCCGCAAAGATAACAAAGATTGTGATCATTTTAGACACAGAGGGAGATAAAAAGCAACCTTTTATTATAAAAGTGGATCAAGATCTTGTTTAGGTAATTTCGAAGTGTAAACAATATCTTTCACATACTTTGATAGAAACGGACGAGGCAAACTCAATTGGCAATCAAGTCAGCCACAACACTCTTGATATAATGCTTCTTCTTAAGCTTCCTCCTTCGAATGTTCTTTCCCCTACAACCACATTGTTTTGCAACTTAGCTCTGCAACTAAAGGTTAGTAGTAAAATGAATAAGCAAACTTACCAGTACTGATTGTATAACACAAACTCATCCGTTGCTACTTTCTTCCCATCGTCGTTGCGGTTCCAATGGTATATCGCATGTGTTCTGTTTTTAATATCCAGAGTCGAGTGGCCATAGCTAGCTTCTCTAAATGCTGAATAATCTGGCTGTGGCTCCCTAAACCTGTAACAAACAAACAAACAAAAAGCACACATTATCCACTACACATAAGTCTACTATATCTTACACTATGTTCATAGCTTTGTTCTTATCACATTCTTTTTCATGTAACTCACCTTGCCGCGAGACCTTCTTGATTTCCTCCGTCTCCAACTGTGATGTAAACAGGAGCTGACTTATCTGGAACCGGGTAGCGATCTCCGCTTGAGATATTATACCGCACGTTTGATATTCGGTACTGAGATTGGAATAAAGAGAGTTGAGATGTTACTAAACACAATGAAGAGTATAAAATCTATGGAGAAGTTTATGGTATATAAGAGCAAGTACCGATCTCTCGTAGGCATGAACATGTCCAGCAAAGATGACATCAACTTTGTGTTCCACAAACCACTCCTCAAAAGCTGCTCTCATGCTTTCACCCTCCATGAAGTGTGCTTCGTTGCTGTTGTACATCGGGACGTGCATTAGCACAATTAGCCAAGGAGTTTTCTCCCTATCAACTCTTTTAAGCTCTTCATCAAGCCAATGCCATTGCGCTGTATACTTCACTGCACAAAAACTCGGGAAAGAGCCATGTTTAACAGGGATACACAACAGTAAATATACTTTTGATTTGCAAGTAAAGAAGACAAAATTATTAAGGAACTGAGATGTTACCAAAAGGAGAATAGCTGCAGAGGACAATGATATGAGCCGACGCACGCCTAACAGAATACCAGAGAGGACTGCTACTTTTTGAGGCTAAGTAAGGCGTAGTGTAACGCTCAAGGTAATTCTTGAAAGGTGTCACTTCTCCCTGTAAAATGTTTTACATACTTGAGAATTCAGGAGGAAGAAAACAGAAGCTACAATTGTTATATGTTTAATCATATCAAAATTCATATAACCAATTCATTTCTCTGCTTAAGATTCACCATACTTTCTTAACCACCTTTAAAGATTGATCTATGTCTAAGAAACTATTAGAAAGTAAAAACTTTATCATTGGATCAACTCAACTGTTAATTTATGGCATGTTACATGGTAAGGTAGAAAGTTAAGATGACTCGAGATATTTACCATGTATGGCATGTAATCTACTTCGTGATTTCCTGCAGACCAGAGCCACGGTTGATAAGCGGTACTACGCTCCACGAAACGTGCCCAAGTATCCCATCTAACACCAACATCGTTATATTTATATCTGTCAGCATAAGAGAGATCTCCTAGAAACAAGACAGCTTGAGCTCCACTCTGCATGTAGTGTTCCAGTGTGGACAAAGAGTTGAATGTTTGGCCTAGGTCGCCTACAATTCGTAAGTGAAACTGAGTTTAGCTAGTTACAGAGCTGAAGAAACAAGTCAAGTAATCTTGTTGAAACAATATTTCAAAGTTACTGTAATGAGTCTAGCAATGAGGACAAGTGCATCTGGATCAAAAATACAAACAGATCTATTTGAGACATACCTATAATACCAAACTTGTAAGCAGCATCTGGATGTACAGCTGGTGGTGTAACAAACCAGAACTCCCGAGAAGATTCACCACTTTCGATCTTGTAATAGTATTTTGTATCATGCTGACAGACAAATGTAAAAAGATTAGCATCGTCCCAATAAATAACAGTAAGGAAGCTGCTTCTGAATGTAATCTAACCATCAAATTATAAACCAAGATCACATAAGTCCAAAGACAGAACAACGAACATTAATTCCACATTTCTAAAAGCATAAGTGCAAAAGACAAACAACTATTACATAGTTTCTTTCCCACGAAATGATTTGGTATGGTTCTTGGGGCAAAAAGTGAGACCAGTAAGAAAAATCTTCTTGTATTGTTACCTCATATATATAAAACATAAGCTAAGATCACATATGTCCACTTTTCTAAATACCTCAAATATTGAACATTGATTCCACTTTTATAATTGGATAACTATGTTGCAAAAGACAAACAACTATTAACTAGTTTCTTAGCCCCCAAATGAATACTTATATCAGTTTGGTATGGTTCCTGAGATAAAAAAAAAAGGTGAAACCAGTAAGCAAAATCTTCTTGTATTGTTACCTCAAATATATCAAACATAGACTAAAATCACATAGGTCCTAAGACAAAACATTCAATATTCATCCCCCTTTTTCTATACACCTATGAACAGTGCTATTCGAACAAACAACCATTATATAGTTTAATGTTCACACTTTGCCATGGTTCAACCAATAAACAATATGTTACCTCAAGGCCAGAGAGAAGGCAATGATGAGTATAGCCAGACTTGTACTTGTAAAATGTGTAGTTTGAGTACGTCCCTTTAGCCACAAAGTCGTATTTCCCCTGCACCGAGCCGTAATGTACTTTGCTTGAACCAGGTTCATCTGGTGTCACCCATGAGACTATAACAGCCTTTCCATCATAATCACCTTGAGTAATACGCACCTATTAAAAAACATTGGTGTAACGGTGTTACTAGTTTAAACTGAGATTCTTGTTCTTACAAGTTGTGTCTGTCCTTAAACAATGAAGAAACTATTTCTCTAACTAACTTTTCTTCTAATATGAGCGCAAAGCAAAATTTCCTTTTCTCTTACACAGCTTCTAACATATTTCAACATCTTGAAACAAGATCAGAACAAGATAACTCACTTGTTGTGGAGCATTGTACCCTTTTGGGACATTGAAAACATGATGATCAAGTGGAATATCAACAGCTGGCCATTCGGATCGAACAAAACTACTTGTGATCCCAGCATCTCCGTATAACAATGAGCTCAAGAACACAGAGACTATCAGCAAATGATGCATCTCCATACCTTTTTCTTGCCTTCGTCTCCCAAATCTTGACTCAATTTACCTGTAAGGTTGAATTTGAAGAAGAAAAAAAAACCAGCTTCAAAAATAGGATTCATCAAAATTACAATCAATGAAAAATCTGAGAAACTCGTTGTCTCTATCGAGTCATCAAGATCAATTGAGGAAAGAGAGAGAGAGAGAGATGAGATTTAAAAGAAGTCGAGGGAAGTAATCGATACCTCAAAGACATTCGCTCGGAGATTATCCCGATGAGGAGGAGAAGCATTTGATTATCCGTCAGATATATGAACGATAAACATATACGTGGGCGTTTATGATTCGCCATCATTTATTGGAGCCGAATGAATTGGATCTAGGTTGGATATAAAATAAATAGCTTGACGTAAATCTTTAACCAAAATTATTAAAACCACAACCAAATTGTACAAAAATTATTAAAACCACAACCAAATTGGTTGTTACATAAAGGCCATGAATGTTTGATTGGTTTATAGATTTTGGATTTTTTAGTTTCTGATTTTAGATTGTGTTTGTTTTGTTCATGATTGATCTAAACAAATACAACAAATGTATATCGAATAACAGTTGTTTTTAATGTATTTTGAATTACATTATCAATTACTCAATCCAATAAAAGCAGATTTTAATGTATTTTGACAAATACACTATTCAATAACACTAGTTTTTGAAATAAACCGAAATACATGGCAATACAATATCCAATAACACCACCTTATTTGTTTTCTTAAATAGAAGGTAAAAAGGTTGTGTTTGTGCTTTTATTCATTTTAATTTTCAATTTTACAGTTTTTTAAATAAATATATAATTTACTAGTATTAAAAGAAAACTATTTTTTTCAAAAAATAAAATAGTTGTGTTCGGATATATTTTTGGGATTGTAAAGTGTCTGACGATATATTTGGGGCTGAAAACCCAAAAATGTAATTTTTTTTTTTTTTTTTGTAAACTAACATCTACTTATATATAGTTAACCAACCAATTTGGTGGTGTGACATAAACCTTACATAAATTAACAGAATTGGTGATACAATCTTTTGAAAGGACATCAACTGCTTGATTCTTCTCCCTATTGACATGATCCAACGAGCTTAGAGGCAGCTTCCTATCCAATGAAGAATATCACAAAGTAAATTCCCCAGTTCCACATTCTGCTTTCCCTGATTGATAATATTCGTTAGCATCAGATTATCACCTTCAAATCAAACTTGTCTCCATCCCATAATCCACATTCTTTGTACCAGAAACCAGTTGCTTCAGCCTGTAAAGGAGACCTAACTTGAGGTAAAGTAGCCCATCCTGCTTCCAAATAAGACCCTTGATAATCTCTAATAATCCATCCTACCTTTAGGGCCCAAACTTCTGGCCTTGATTGTTTACAGTTTCTGAGATAGATTTTTGTTAAAATGATTCCCTATTTTGTAGGGAAATTAGTTTTTTCAAAATAACTTCTCATTTGTAAGCAAAAATCTATCTCAGAAACTGTAAACAATAAAGGCCAGAAGTTTGGGCCCTAAAGCAAAAGCCTCATATATTCTGACAAGATAATAGAATTAAGGAAAAATAACCTTTTCTAGACAAAATACATTTTGTCCACGACATTGCTTTAATTTGACTTTTGACACAACGTGCAGACTGCAAAAAAACCTCCACGCATCTTTTGCAATGGCAGTCCAAGTCAGAAGACGAATCGTCTCTTCTCCGTCACTCTTCTCCAAAATCATCATCATCTCCATCACCATCGTCATCATCTCCACCGCTTCTTCCTTCCCTTTCCAATGATCTCTCATTCTCATCTTCTCTCCCACTACTCTTTCTTCTTCCCAAATCTCCTCCCCAAACCTTCTCTCTCCTCCTCTCCTTCCCTCTCCTTCCCCTCTCTCTCCTCCTCTTCCTCCATCACCATGCTCTCCTCTTTCTCTCTCCGCCCACCTAACCCCACCTCCATTTGTCGCCTCTCCGTCTCCGGCGACGACTCTCCCACTCCCGATCCATCTCTCCCAGTCCCCCCTCTCCGAGTCGCAATCATCGGATTCGGCAACTACGGCCAGTTCCTCGCCGAAACCCTAGTCTCCCAAGGCCACATTATCTTCGCACACTCCCGATCCGATCACTCCGCCGCCGCACGTCGTATCGGCGTCTCCTTCTTCACAGATCTCCACGATCTCTGCGAACGACACCCCGACGTCGTCCTGCTCTGCACCTCAATCCTCTCCACAGAGAACGTCCTCAAAACGCTGCCGTTTCAACGACTCCGCCGCAACACGCTCTTCGTCGATGTCCTCTCCGTCAAAGAGTTCGCCAAAACCCTCCTCCTCCAATACCTCCCCGGAGACTTCGACATCCTCTGCACACACCCAATGTTCGGCCCACAGAGCGTGAGTTCGAATCACGGATGGCGAGGTTTGCGATTCGTCTACGATAAAGTCCGAATCGTCGGCGAAGAAGAAGAAAGGTCGAGACTTTCGCGGTGCGAGAACTTCCTCGCGATCTTTGCTCGTGAAGGATGCGAGATGGTGGAGATGAGCTGTGTTGATCATGATCGTCACGCTGCTGGGTCGCAGTTTATCACACATACAGTGGGAAGAGTTTTGGAGACGCTGAAATTGCAATCGACGCCGATTAACACGAAAGGGTACGAGGCGTTGCTTGATTTAGCTGAGAACACTCGTGGAGATAGCTTTGATTTGTACTATGGTTTGTTTGTGTATAACAAGAACTCGCTGGAGATGTTGGAGAGGATGGATTTGGCGTTCGAGGCGTTGCGGAAAGAGCTTTTTGGCCGGCTTCATGGTGTTGTGAGGAAGCAGTTGTTCGAAGGTGAAGCTCAGAGAGTCCCAAATGGTTACCAAAAGGATGCTTCTTTGGATATGGTTAGGTCAAATGAGGTTGCTTTGAGGTATGAATATAACGCTGAGGTCTCTGGGAGTGTGAATGAGAGGTCAAGGCTCAAGATTGGTATTGTGGGGTTTGGCAACTTTGGACAGTTTCTGGCGAAGACGATGGTGAAGCAGGGACATACTGTGTTGGCGTATTCGAGAAGTGACTACACTGATGAAGCTGTAAAGTTAGGTGTTTCGTATATACAGGATCTTGATGATTTGTTTGAAGAGCATCCTGAAGTGATTCTTCTCTGTACGTCGATTCTTTCGACTGAGAAAGTCCTCAAGTCACTTCCGTTTCAGAGACTGAAGAGGAGTACGCTGTTTGTTGATGTGCTCTCTGTTAAAGAGTTCCCGAGGAATTCTTTTCTTCAAGCTTTGCCGCAAGATTTTGATATTTTGTGCACACATCCCATGTTTGGACCAGAGAGTGGTAAAAATGGATGGAAAGGTCTTTCCTTTGTGTTTGATAAGGTTAGGATTGGAACGGATGATGATAGGAGAAGAGCCAGGTGTGATAGTTTTCTCGATGTTTTTGCGCGTGAAGGATGTTCTATGGTGGAGATGTCGTGTGCTGAACATGATTGGCACGCTGCTGGGTCGCAGTTTATCACACATACAGTGGGGAGGGTGTTGGAGAAGTTGAGCTTGGAATCTACTCCTGTTGATACAAAGGGTTACGAGACGTTGCTTAAACTGGTGGAGAATACTTCTGGTGACAGCTTTGATCTTTACTATGGACTGTTTTTGTACAATCCTAATGCGATGGAACAGCTTGAGAGGTTTGGATTGGCTTTTGAATCTTTGAAGAAACAGCTCTTTGGTCGACTTCATCGTCTTCTGCATAAGCAGTTGTTTGGGAATGATAAGGATACTCAAATCATGTTGGAGACCACTGGCTTGTCAACATTCAGATGAGCTAAATTATCTTCACTACACATGACTAAGCTCCTTGACTACTATTTTCTACAAAATTTTCACACAGTACAGATTCGAAACTAGCATTTTCACTGGGGAGAAATTGTTTGGTCTTTGAAATGCTTTGGTCACTATAAGTATTTTTCTTGTAGCTTTGTTTGATCCTCTAGTGGGTCTGTTCACTGTTGTATCTTTTGCTCTTTTACAAATGTTAGACAGAAAATAAAATGCAAACAAATTTTTTGTGTTTCAAAATTTTATTTCGTTCAAACGTTTTTGAAAGAACGGTACAATTTTTTTATATGGTTTTCTAATCAAATAATTGAATGGAACTGTCTTTTAGTTCCATATGCAGCTTCCTAAGCACATGCAGGTACAATAACGCTTGGCATGTGCACAAACACAATGGAGTATGGAGCTATTGTTATCGGCTCTGTTGAGTTTACACGCATCGGCTCCAGAGGAGGTATGTCGCCTGTGGAACTAACCTGCAAAGCATTTCCGTTGAGCAGCATAGTCTGGCTGTGTAGATTTCCATCCTTTGCTGTCAAATGGTACTCTTCTCTTTGGATTTCACCTTTAGAATCCCAAGGAAGCTGAGAAGTTGCTATAGTGTTGTTTATCTCTACTTTCGCCAAAACTGTTGTAGTGTTGTCAAGGTTCATCAGTAAAACATTGATCCCTTTCTGCATGATGAAAAATCAGAGTACATAAGAATCCATTGAGAAATAATGACATTTTAGTTGCTTGGATTGAAACTTTGACTTACCGATTGTCTTGCGCAGTGTGTGTATGAACGTATCATTTTAGTTCCAGAAAAACTTGTGAACAATGCATATCTTCCCATAAGTTTTCTCCAGATCAGAGCACTACAATTTAACAAGTAGCATGAATTGTAGTTAGTGTTACATTCTTCTCATTTCTTCTGGTGACATACCAAAATTCATCTTGAGTCACCTGTAATAGTCTGGATTGGGTGTGAAATTAGTAGTGTTTAGCAGCCCGTAGTTTCCTCCGATCAGAGACTGTCTACAGTATGTTTTTGTATCATACTTCGCTGCCATACCAAGCTGGTCCAGGTACCTACCAACACGCAATTTAAATCAGTATCATATTACATGTGATAAGCTTACTTTAGCTGTTATGATATCTACTTCTTACCAGAAACTATACACAAAAGCGTTAGAGACAAGGTTGCGCCCGCTGTTGTAGGCACCACCAGACTCACCAACCCATTGCACAGCCTTGGTTGCAGAGCTTTTGATTATGCTCTTCAGGCTGCGAAAGTTTGTTGCCTCTTGTTCCAGATATGAAGGGTCTAGAATCCTTTCTATCAGATGTTGGTCCACTCCTAATCGACAAAATAGAATTCTCTTTCCATTTAAATGATTGAAAGGACCTACGAGATGTGAACTTAAATAGTTGAGTGAGTATTCAGTTTACCTGCACCGAGATTGTAGATGTGGCGAGTAGTTGCATTCAGAGAGCTTCCTGCTTTGTTCAAGTACTCTGTGAACCAAGCAGCCTCAAAGAAACCGCCCGGGCCTATCACCAGCGGCATGGGACTCACATTCTTGTAAACCCGGTTCACAATGTTCCGCAGAGCAATGGTGTCGATAGCATACTGGTTAGCTGCAACTCTTGCACCAACACCACTTCCACAAAGCTCATTACCTATTAAACAAAAGAAAAACCAGCTTGAAGATGTGAGGAGATTCGATGATGGCTTGTGAAAACTCTCTGTTGTGTTGTGAGGTGACTTACCGAGCTCCCAACCGTCGACGGTGTGGTTACTTTCTACTATAAACCGAATGAATGATTCAGCATTGGTGTAATCCCAAGCTCCTACGGCTTCACCGTTACGTTTTATGTTCCGACCGGAAAGTGCATTCAGACCGAAGATGATCTTAGCTCTGATTCAAACCACAAGTAGGTAAGAAAGAGAGAGAGGGAGAGATGCAAACAAAGTTGAAAGAAAGAAGAGAATCTTGAAGGTACCCGGTTTTTTGGAAGAAGGCGTTGAGCTCGTTCCATCGGCGCATGGGAAGACATCCTTGTGTATAACCAAAGAGAATGGAAGAGTTCTTGGTGAAAGGAACACAAGGCTGCTTCTGATCTGGTGTCTCATATCTCACCAAGTCTTGTAATGTTCCTCCTATTCTTATTTTCAGTGGAGCAAATGCTGCATTTTTTCGGAATCGGAAATTATCAGAAATCATGACATAACATAGAGCATTATAAGGAATGTGATGTTGTTATTATTATTACCTCGAATTGCATTTTGAAAAATAATGTTGTTCAGGTCCTGCCATAGAAGAACATAACCCAGTTTCAGTAGGCTTCATATGTGGTTGATTATTGGGAAAAATATAAACGGTGACGTGTTGGTAAATAAATGTGTTTTGGTGACAAACCATAAATATTTACGAAAATATCATCAGTAGATTATACAAATAAAAAAACACTAAGCCAAGGTCATTTAATGGTAAAAATCATTAATCAAAGTCAAAACTAGCTAAAATGGAATGAAATGTTATGACAAAGATTGGAAACTTTGACTTGACTTGGCGCATAATGATATTAGACTTCACATTCCATAAAGGGTTTAGAAAAATAAGAAATCAACATTCTAATTTCACTAACCATAAATGGTACAATGTTTTTTTTTTTTTTTTCAAACAAGTTTCTGCAATCAGTGCTAAATGCAGATTGACTAAGAAATGGTTCAATAAATTTTCCCTACCTGTCCCCAACAAGTGCAATGTTTTTTTTTAATACAAACAAATTAATTCGACAAAAAAAACATGAAACTAAAACTAAAATTGTATATGCTAAATGCAGATTGCCTAAGAAATATTTCAGTTCATTGCTGCTACTTGTCGGTAACCCAAAATACAAGTGAAATGTTTTTTTATAATACAAACAAGTTGCATTGTTTTCGACGGAAAAACATGAAAAACAAGAACCAAAAAAAAATTGTAAAAGAGAGAAAAGAAAGACCAGATTGAGAATGGAAGCATGGTCCCAAGCACAAGTTCCATAGTCACATTTCTCAGGCGGCCACCAATCCAAGGTGGCGCAGATGAAGTCGTCGTCTATTGTTCCCACGGCGGCTCTTCCATACACGAACACCGTCCCGTTGTCTTCTACGGCGGAGACTACGGCGGTGTTGTCGGGGAACAAGATCACCCAAAGTAATAAAAATATCACCGAGATTTGACGACAACCCATTTTCTTTTCCTTTTTTTTCTTTATTATAAAAGAAAATGGGATCTGATTTGGTGTCTGTCTCTTCTCTCTATATAGTATATATACGCAAGTGGAAGACAGAGACCAGAGTGAAAAAGTAAAATTGTTTTTTTATTTATTTACTTTTTAATTAAAGTTATTACTTATTTTGTTGTTTGAGTGGCTTGACCTTTAATAAAGTGATAAAAAAAGTAATAAAAATTTGTTGAGCCAAAAAAGAAAGTATACAATCTACGTGAACATCTTTTACATATTGTTGCTTTTAAGTTTTTTTTTTTGGCTAAAAGGTTTTCAAAATGTTGCTTTCAAGTTACATGAGTATTTTGCTTACATGCAAAGAGTTTCACGGAATCAAAATCTTAATAAAGCCAAGACAGCTGAAAAAGGAGTTGGCCAAACCACCTCTGATAACGAATAATTTGAAAGGGATGTTTCATCTAATAACTACTCGTACGTGGCCTAGTGGTGCGAGCTTGGTTCCGTGCATAATTTCGTCCATTGATCGAGTAGTTGCACCGAATCAAAACCAAACCAGCATTGTTTCAAAATAATGGTTTTCTATGTTAGATTATTTCCAAAATCTTAGTACTAGTTTTTGTTGTAGTTCAAATAAAGATATATCTGCAACAATCGTTTAAATTTAGAGATCTTTGCTGCTTTAAATACTTCTTGATTTAAAGATTGCTCTCAGAGTTACTTTATATCACATGAACATGTGGAGTTGTTGGGTGAGCTTGGAATGCTTGATTGTAAACCAAGTTTCATACTATACCAATAGAACCCAATGCAATTATGCAACGCTAGCTTTGAGAAAATTTTGCTTACTCTTTGATTGATGTTCTATTAAAGAATAGTGGATAAACTAATGTATCTTACCATCATTCAGTATGATCTGACATTTGTTGTTCGTTTTATTAGCCAAAAGATCAATTCACTGGTTCTCAAATTACTAAAAAATCATTTGTAAAATTCACTTTGATTACAAAAATGACTACAAAAATAAACTCTTTCTATTACCGAAACAGAAGAAACACACACAAAATCAACTCGCTTTTAGGTTTATGATAATGAAGGGTTTTGGCCTATCTTTCACAACTAGTTTACCAGTGCCGTCTAATGGAAACAATGCTCGCATGAGTATCATCATTCTACAGGCAAGCAATCCAAGTCGATAGAGATACACTAGCTCTTATATATACAGTCGCTGTTTAACTGTTAAATCTTGTGATCGAATCAGGCGGTTTTTCAAGAATCAGCTATCATCTTTGGTGACTCGCCTACTATTTGTTCTTCCTCGTTTCTTGTTGCGACTTCTTCCGCTGGGATCAAATTGCAGTGGATCGTGTGCGACACTGGTTTCTCCAGCTGAAACAGCCTACAATCACCCCCAAGAACAACACGGTGAACAAACCAAGTGATCATAAGCTTACTTAGAAAGCAGTGACTCGTTTCTTAAATGAGATTGCTTACGGATGCTTGCACAAGGTTGGGCACTGAACAGTAAGAGCGTACTTGCAAGTGGAGAGCTCAGTGATCGAAGTGACCATTGCCTTGGTTTCCGCACATACAAACCTCACCTGCATCGAGCAATTTGCAAGATTAACAAATCTAAACTCCATCAGCCCAAATACAACGCAGACACTAGATTATACCTCGACTTCTCGAGGCGTTCCTGTAAGATCACAGATGGTACCATTGGTGTAAATATGAGAATGATACCTGCAACAACACCATAGTAAAATCAACTTAGATACTCAAAGCTTTCAAGTATGAACGATTATATAAAAACCTCAAGCTTTATATACCTCTGTAATGCATCAGCAGATACATTCTGGTTAAAAGCAGCAGTTGCCTCTGGGTCAAAGATACCCAAGTAAAACTCTTGTACAACCTGCAATGGCAAGATACAATAGCATTCATACAGGGGATTGTGTAAAAGACATAGCAGTAGACAGTGAATGTACAATGAAACTAGAAGCAACAAAAGGCACAAAAGAAAAAGCATACCTTCTCACCGTCCACGTGTAGCTGCTTTACCTCCTTCTGATGACAAAACTCGTAAGACCACCAACCTTCTTGCTGCACGCACATCCACGGATTAGTTTAAAGCAGTTTATAAACATCGGTTTAGTCTATTTCCAGTGCTTACCCTGATAAGACATTTCTCATTTAGTAGTTCAAGCAATTCATCTGGAGTCTTTAGCTTCACTTGTTTCTCAGTTTCCATCATCACAGTGCTAATGTTTTGCTGAGTAGAGGTCCATCCCTTCGTAGACTCTTCTTCTTTTGGTAAGTAACACAAAAATTTACGCCCTTGCTTATCAAGCATAACCATAGATTCCAGATTATCACCCTGTAAACAAGTTTTCACAAATGTTACATCAAAATGTTCAGGTTAAGGAGTCAATGTGGATCCATCACACAATATCTCTGTTCACTATCTCTGATTCAAGTTTAAATAAGCTTCAAAATCAATCTAACTTGTGAAGATTTAACAAGTGATGACAAATTTTACATCTAATTATTCAAGTTAAGGAGTCAAATGTGGAGCCATCACAACAAAGATCTCTGATTCAGTGACTGAAATGGTACTAAAACTGCATAAATAAGCTTCAAAAGCAATCTAACTTGTGAAGATTTTAGAGATGGAGATGATTGATTTTACCGGATGAAAAGGTGAATCTTCAGGAAGAAACTCAATATTGTACTTTGGTTCACGATTGTTTCGGCTGAATGTTCCAACTGTTAATAGCGAATCGAATCACAAAAATTGAGAGGCAAAAACTCGAAATTGATTTCATGTAAGGTAAGGACTAAGGAGGAGAGAGAGGAAGTGATATAGACCTAGATGAGCTGGGAAGATCTGATCGGGATACACATAGGAGCTTGAAGAGAATGCTACGATCACAAGGCATAATATGATCTGCGTGATTCTCATCTTCTCACGGCTAAAAGACTCTGAGATTTTGAAGCAAATGGTATCGGAGGTGGGAAGACGACGGTAACAGGCGACGACGATGAAGATTGAAGACGATGAACTTCGTATTAGCTGAACAAAACGTCCACGCGCTTCATCCAATAAGAAGATGACACGTAATACTGTAGGTGTTACTTATCTTATTTGTTTTGGGCCTTGAATATTACATTTGGGCTTAGATAAGTTGAGCCTAATTTACCTTTTGTGTGTTCATTTAGACAACGAACCTAAAACTCACTCACTCTCACTCTCTTCTTCAAGGTTCAAGCTTCCAAATCCTTTGGCTCTTCGTTTCCCTTCAATGTGGTTCAACTTCAAAGCATAGAGAAACCGAAGCATTGTCCATGGAAAAGTACATGCCTTTCTGATTCTGCTTCATGGTTTAGGTTTTGGGTTTTGTTCTCTTCTCCTCGTTCTCATCACCGGGCGGTTGAGCTTCTTAGGGTTTCGCTTGATTGGATGAGCATTTGGTTGTTTGTTTCCTGAGAAATTCCTTGGAGATTTAGGAAGCTGAAAACTTTGGATTTCACATTTCCTCTGGTCTTCTTGTTGGTTTTGGAGTTATCGAATCAGAAAAGGTCTTTGAGTTTGAAAGGGGGTTTAATTAGGTCTTGGATATGGATAGGATCAGTGACCTCTCAGATGATTTGCTGTTGAAGATTGTTTCATCACTTCCTACCAAAAATGTAGTCGCGACGATGCTCTTGTCTAAACGATGGAGGTTTATTTGGACGATGCTTCCAAGTCTTGATTTTGATTACGGTTCGGATTCGGAGATCGAGCCTTCCGAATATGGGAAATTCATCAAGTATGTGGACAGAACAATGGTACTGAACAGAGCTCCGGTTCTAGAAACTCTAAAGTTCAAAGTCGGTCCTTGTTACGGCAGTGAAGATTTGGGAACATGGATCAGAATCGGAATGGTTCGTGGTGTCCTTGAGCTCGAAACTGTCCAAGATTACGAGTTTGATGACTCAATAGAGTTACCAATGACTCTCTACACGTATGAGAAGCTCGAGGTGTTGAAACTCACTCGCGCGATTGTCGTGGATGTCCCTGACGACGTTTGGTTCCCGTCCTTGAAAACACTACACCTTGTATCCGTAAAGTACAAGACCAAGGAAACTCATCGCAAGCTTTTGCCAGGATGTCCTGTTCTTGAGGATTTGGTGCTGGACAAGACTCTAAACGGCTTCGATGTAGGATCTATCTACGTTGATGTGCCTTCCTTGCAAAGATTGTCTATACTTGATACGTATGAAGAAGCAAACCAAGGCGATCCTGCTGTTGGCCTTTGTATGATCGTGATGAATGTCCCGTCTCTGAAGTACCTCAACTTTGTAGATACCTTTGGTGACTTGTGTTTGTGTGAGAATATGCCGGAGGTGGTTGAAGCTAATGTTAGAGTTGTCTACGAAGATCCAAAGAAGCTACTGGAGTCGATTCCATCAGTCAAGCGTCTCTACCTATGTTTATCTGCTTCATTGGAAACTATAAAACAGTTCGTATCTCAGCACCGCGTTGGGTTTCATCATCTTTTACATTTGGAGCTATGTGGAGGTTGTGAAGGGTGGTGGGATCTACTTACTTGGATGCTCGAAAGCTCTCCTAAACTACAAGTTCTCAACATCTGCTAGGTATTATACATTTAACCCAGAGCTGTTTCATGTCTTGTCTTAAGGTCTAACAAACAATAGCATGTATTCTGATAGCGCAACAACGGCTTCTATGAGGGCATAAGTCGCATTAAAGGTCAGTGGAGAGGACCAACTTCAGTTCCTGGGTGTTTGATGTTTCATCTACATACATTCAAGTGGGAAGATTACGAATCAAAAGACCAAGAGAAGAGAATATTGACGTATATCTTGAAGAACGCAAGACAGTTGACGACTGCTGATATCTCTTCGTGGAGATCGTATTCGGGGGACCTCAATGAATTGGTTTCTCTGCCTAGAGCTTCAAGCTCATGTCAGCTTATGGTGAATGGAGAAAAGCTTGTAGCAGCATGTTCCAACAAGATTTAGAAGAAGGATCCTGTCTGAAAGTTAGATGTGTTCGAAGCTCTTTTGGCTTATGTTATTGGTCTTACATGTTAAGATTAAGGAAGGCGTACTAGTGTACTCGTGTTAAGGATTTTGGGTCTTCTATGTAGATTTTCTCTCATTCCAAATCATCATCACTGCTTTTTAATTTTTGGCATTTCTATTTTCTTCTTTATATTGTCTTGGCTAATTATTATCTCTCGTTTTATAAAACGATTTTTTTTTTTGTGTTTATGAAAATTATTATCACACACACTGTTTTCCACAGTTTGGTCCTTAAGAGTATGAAGGGTTTTTTGTAAAATTGTTGAGGACCAATGCCCTAATATTTCTTACACTGTGTTCAACCGTCGGAAGACTCAGCTAATTCGTTCTCGCCCCTCAAATTTCAAAACCTTATGTCACTAAAGCCGATCCCAGAAGCAAGATTAAATCTTGTCTCATAGGTTACGTCAGTAATAATGGCTGGACATGTTTGTCCAGATGCGTTTTGACATTTAAAGATCATTCTTGTTTCAGCTCACAATTGTTTGTCTAATAAGAAAATTAGGCTGTAGCAGACATACTGTTGTCTTCTGCGTCAAAGCTGTTGCAACTATCAATATTAAAAAGATTAAATGAACAAGGTTGAAAGAGAAAGATGGATAGGAAGATTGCTCCCTTTATTCATCCTTTTCCCAAATCTTTGATTTTTGTTTATTAGCAGTCAATGGTCAATACATTTCTATGCAGTCAACAAATTATAATAGGAAATGGAATAGGAACTAGTAGTATTTTTGTTCATTTTTGTTAACCAACAAAAAGGAATTATTCTTTTAGATAGATGTAATTATAAATACAAAATCTGTCGTAGTAACTCCATTGCCATTTTCATATTTTAAGGCACAATAAATAAGCATACGAACAACCATATAGAAATTACATAAAGTGTATCAAAACTTATTTATAAACTCTTACCTACGAAGCTAATCACCTATAACAAAAGATATGGCATCATCAAAAACAACCGTTTCCATCATTGTCGTTCTTTATATCTCATGTTAGCTTTTCTCTATATATTGATCTAATCAGTTTAAATACCAACCCAAAACATGAGATCTATATATATTGATATGTGTATGTAATTTGTAGGCATATTGTTGATGAGCTTCTCTGGAATTCAAGCTGGGTACTTTCACTCATGCCACAAAAATACAGACTGTAAAAGGTTGTGTCAGGGTGGTCCTGGGAAATGTAACATCGATAAGTGCGTTTGTGACCATCTAGAAGCCGATATTGAACAGACCAAGTCGATAAAGTGTAAGACGGTACATGATTGTTCCGATTCTCATGAATGCCCTAAGGACTATTATTATGCTTGTTTTCATGGAGAATGTACTTGTATACCAGTATAACTTAATTTACCATAAATATATATATATATATATATTATAGAAATTTTCTAAATTAATAATGTCCGGACTTTGATATTTTATCAATTTATAAAGTTATTAATTTATGGGTTTTGGCTAAAATATATTTGTATTAAGAAATAAATAAAAAATAATATGTTTTAAAAAATAATAGATCTCATTTCACCATGAGAAATGAAGTGTTTTAGTAGGAGATTCAACCAAACTGGCATCTTTTAATGCCATAAGGAAACCACTGAGCCAGTTGATAACAAGATTCAAACACACACACACACTGTTTTCTACGGTTTGGTCCTTAAAATATGAAGGGTTTTTGTAAAATTGATGTGGACCAATGTCCTAATATTCCTTACACTGTGATAGACCGTCGGAAGACTCAGATGATTCGTTCTCCACTCAAATTTTTATAACTTTATGTCACTAAAGCCGATCCCATAATCAAGTTTACATCTTGTCTCATAGGTTCTGTCAGTAATAATGGCTGGACATGCTTGTCATTGTCAAGATGCACATTTAAAGATCATTCTTGTTTCAGCTCACAATTGTTTGTCTAATAAGAAAATTAGGCTGTAGCGGACATATTGTTATCTTCTGCGTAAAAGCTCAGTTACACCCATATGGCCATATACGATCGATTCAGAGTAAAAACAAAATAAAATAAAAAAACAGTACAAAGATAATATAGTCACACCCTCCTACGTAGCCAAAATGACATATCATCTGCATTGACTTGAAACACTTAGACGTCGATCTGATGCGAATATTATTCCAATAGATCATGGTTTTAATTTAACGAAGGAGAAGCGGACGCTGATGTTCAACAGCGTGAGTCGATAATGTGCTGATCAGTGATAATTTTGGTGACATTGACGATCCATAGAGGATCCGAAGAAGATGTTCTTTTAACTAAGTGGTGGTGTTTTACTGGTGATCCAGTTGATGAAAGAGTTGTTGCCCTCTTGGCCTACGTCAGGAATTGATTCCAACGAAGAATTACTAGATTTATCTCATTTGACTACATCGATATAGACCTTTGTTTTCGGCCTATATGACCCGAAGAAATGGTTTATCTGTGAGCTACACCTCTCTCAGATTAGTCTAAGCATTTCCATAGATCTAAATTTACCATGAGTTATCAAAAATAAATATATATAACAATAAAATCTAAAATTTAATTTTAAAATTGGTTAATAGTTAAACTTAAAATGGGAATATCAATTTTAAAAAGATTAAATGTTTAAACCAAAAAAAGTATTAAATGAACAAGATTGAAAGATGGATAGGAATATTGCATTTTTTCTCCAAATCTTTCATTTTTTTATTAGTAGTCAATACATTTCCATGTAGTCAACAAATTATAATAGAAATGGAACAAGAACTACTATTTTTTGTTAACCAACAAAAATATTATGATTTTTGATAAAAGTAATTTTAAATACAGAATCTGTTGTAATAACTCCAAAAAATTGCCATTTTTATGCTCCAAGGCACAATATATAAGCATCCGAACAACTGTATAGAATTACATAAACTGTATCAAAACTTATTTATAAACTCTTCACTACGAAGTTAATCACCTATCAGTCTATAACAAAATATATGGCACCATCAAAAACAACCAAATCCATCATTCTCGCTTTTTATATCTCATGTTAGCTTTTCTCTATATATTGATTTAATCAATTTAAAAACTGATTCAAAATTATGAAATATATACTGATATATGTTACTAATTTGTAGGTCTATTGTTGGTGAGCTTCTCTGGAGTTCAAGCTGGGTACTTTCACTCATGCCACCAAAATGCAGACTGTAAAAAGTTGTGTCAGGGTGGTCCTGGGACATGTGACATCGATAGGTGCGTCTAGAAGCCGATATTGAACCGACCAAGACGATAAAGTGTATGACGGTACATGATTGTTCCGATTCTCATGAATGCCTTAAAGACAATTATTATGCTTGTCTTCATGGAGAATGTACTTGTATACCAGTATAACTTAATCTACCATAAAAAATATATATATATATATAATATACAAATTTTATAAATAATAATATCCGGATTTTGATATTTTATCAATTTATAGAATTATTAATGTATCGGTTCTGAATAAAATATTTTTGTATTAAGAAATAAATAAAATAATAATATTTATATTTAAATATTACATTATATATCTATGTATAAAAATTGTTAATGGAAATTGTTAATGTGATTATCTAGTTACATAACTTTCTTTGTATAAGATCTTATTATCTTAATAATGGGATTATATTAGTTTGTTATATTTTACACAGCCCTAACTTGGAACCGAATAATTTTTTTAAATATAAAATATTATTTTATTTAATTTTTTTTTTGATAATCGTGAGGATCTGACGACTGAGGTCAACCGACTAACCCCACGAGGCCCACGTATTCTTGCGATTTAACGCTAGCCCTGGTGACCACTAGTATGTAGCAAGGGGGAATGATGTATTGGAATTATCTCCTCAACCTTGAGATCCGTCCTACCACTAGCCCACCTTGTAGTGGTTATTTATTTTATCTAATTTCTCTGTATATAGGGTATTATTCCTCCTACGAAACAGATGCAGCATCTCCGATCATGGAAATTATATATATGTTCATCACGGTACTAACAAACCCTCCAAGACTCTTACCGTAAAAATCTCTCCCACAAGCCACAACACACACGTAAACGAATCTAATATTCAACATGAAACAAAACTGAACCTCATTTTAATTGGAAATTCTAATATGCCATAAATAGTAAATGTTCAACTTCTCCACCGATGATTTGGCTTAACATTTGATTTTTAAGGAAAAGCAAAAAAAAAAAAAAACTATTGAAGATCAGCCAAATATCTCGCGATTACTTATTTTTTTCTTCTTTCATCTGAAACCAACTTTTACATTTTCGATTTAGTTTTTAACGTCTTCCTTCTCATTTGCATTCCTGATTTTCTCTTCTCGTTGATGTCAAAAATTCTAAACATTGGTTTTGTAAGAAATGGGAAGCGAATCAACGAGCCACTTGTCTCTCAGAAAGAAACTCAAATCAACGCTTTGCATCGCCGGCTGTTTCCGTACGACAAATCATCCCCACGACATCTCCGACCGGCCATCATCTCCGACGACTCCCACCGAGACATCTACACAAAGCCCACGTGGCGTAACCAAGACCAAATCTCCCAGAATCACCCGGACGTTGTCCAAGTCGCATGAAAAGTGCAAGAATCTGATCCATCGGATCGGCGGCGGAGGAGGAGTCGGTGGTGGCGTTTCCGGCCACCACGGGAAGCACGTCCGACGTCACACGACGGATTTTCATTACGATCCGTCGAGCTATGCGCTTAACTTTGACAGGGGAGACGAAGACGACAATGTCAACCGCTTCCCGATCCGTAACTTCTCCGCTAGGCTTCCTCGTTCGCCGCCTTCCTCGGCTACGGGAACGGAATCGTCGTTCACGATTCACAACCTTTTGCGGTGATGACTCACTTAATTACATTTTTTTTTTCATACTTGGGTCCTTCCATTTCTTAAACTTTTTTGATTACCCTCTAATATTTGCAAACAATCTGATTATATTAGCAAATTGTATATACTAAAGTTTGTGCAACAAAAAATAATTTTTGGTTTCTTATATTACCTCCGCGTGCCAAATGTACATTGAGAATATGAAGATATGCAGAAACTTCAAAATGAAACAATATTAAAATGGTTTCAATTTGATATTTATAGAGTAAAAGAAGCAGAAGCAGGATTGTAGAAGATGACTATAAACAAGAATTAAACACACACACACATATGTATATATTATATACTTAAGGAAGAGTTGGAGAGAGTGAAGGTTTAGTGACCTTAAGCTCTCCACAATCACTAATGTAAACAGTCTTGAGAGGTCTGTTCCACAGAGATCGTGCGTTTTGAGCTCTTTCGTCTCCGATAAACTCAGCAAAATCGTTAAACTGTCGAATATTCTCCGACGGTTTAAACGTCGGAACTGCAGCTATACTCGTCACCACATCTAATCCTAAAGGTCCCCAGATAGAAAAAAAATTCAGATTTTGAAATAAACTGAAGAATTGGGAAATTTCGAAGGAAGTTTGATTACCTTCAAGCACAGTTCCGAAGACGATGTTGCCGCCGTCGAGCTGCGGACAAGGAGCAGGTCCTGTGGTGATTAAGAATTCGACATTTCTGTAATCAGGATCGAGTCTTGTTTCGTCGTCATCGTCGTTTTCCGATAAGCAAAGAGAGACGAGACCAGGACGAGCGTGCGGGAGGAGGAAAGACTTGGAGTTAACGACGTCGGTGTTTCGAGGCAAATCCTTAAGGAGAGAGCCGATCTCCGTCGTGTCTCGCCGCAATCCTTGTCTTCCGGCGAGGAAAAACTGACCGGGGAAGATTTTGTGGATCGGGGTGTTTTTGTAAGATGTGGAAGAGGAGGAAGAAGTGCACATGCGTTTGAAAGTGGAGACAGTGAGAGGAACGTGACGGCCGTATAATCCGAGAACGACGCGGCCAAGGCGAGCGGAGTCGGAGCAAGGCGTGGTGGTGGAGAGTGTGGCGGAGGGATCGGAGCGGAAGTAGGTGGGGCAGAGGGCGAAATCGAGGAAGACGCGATCGGTGATTGTTAGGTCGGGAGAAGGAGGGAGTTGAGGAGAGGGAGATACGGTGGCGATTGTGGTGGAGAGGAGGAGGTTGCGGCGGGTGATGATGCCGCCGGCGGAGAGAATTGGAGGGAGATGAATGGATGATGATGCCATGGTGGAGGAAATGGTGGATGATAAACAATGTCTCTCTCTCTCTCTGTCTTTCTCTTTCCTTTACTCGCTCTACTTTACGACGCCGTTTCACCCATGGATGATAATTGTTTTTTTTTACCAACTAAATATTCATTTTTATAAAATTTATGAGAAACATGGAGATGAATTGCTCTCGCGCTAAATCTTGGTGAAATCTTTTGATTCCCGCCTAAAATTCCCCAGAACCACCTAAACAAATATTCTCTGTTTCCGTTATAGATTTTGTCGTTCCGCTATTTTTTTTTTCTGGGATCAATCGCCGCCGCGAGGATTTACATAGTTCCGGTGAAGATCCATCCTCATTCCTCGCCACGGTACTCTCTCTAGTATCTCTGTTCGTATGTTTGAAGTTTTTAGATCTATGGTTATGTTTATCGGTTGAATTCTGCGAGATTAGGAACGATTTACTTCCTCCAATTCGATTTACATATAGAAATTGGTTATTTGATTCAGAATTTGCATTTGCAGAGTTTTCATTATTTTGGGGGCATGCCAGATGTTTGATGAATTGCTTGAATTAGATTAGATGTTTGGTTTGACAAAGTGAAGCAACACAAGTGAAGCCAAAGATTAGCCGCCTCCGACGATTTTGAAACATGTATGGGAGAAAAGGGTATCAGCTGGTGAAGGATTTTGCGAGCGGAGAGAAAGGTCAGCTTAAACCTTTCAACGTAAGTCCCTCAAGCTCCTATCTGTGAAATGACTAAATCTGCAATTGAAAGAATCTTAGCGTTTTGGTGAAATTTTTAGTCCTGGGATTGATCGGAGAAGCCCAATTTTATAGTCATTGACTAGGATTGAAGTCTAGAGTTGGAAATTGAGCAGATAAAGAGATGCAAGATTGGAACTTTTTTTGTCATTTTCATCTCCCTCTTGGTCTCAGATTCATGCCTTTAGTAACTAGATCAGTACTTTTTTTTGTCCACAGAGCAAGCTCTTTGACGAGACTGTTGAAGAATGCGACCAAAATCACCATCTTATCCAGTCATTGATACGGTATTTCTCCTTCTTTTGGGGCTGTTGAATTTGCCAATTCACCAGAAAACTTCTGACTATAGAGGATGATGTTTAAACTTGCAGGAAAATGCAACAAGAAGGTTTGGATGTGCAGAACAACAGAAACGCAGACCACTATGGAGCCTTGGTTCACCATCTTTCTTTGATCCGCAACAAGCGCTGCCTCATGGCTTATGTGTAAGAATCATTTTTGCCAAAAAGAAAGAAACAAAAACAGGACACATAGTTTATAAATTGCAATTGGTGTTTGCTATGCAGGTACAACCGCGTAGAGATTGTTCGTGATTTGGCGTGGAGAGTAGGACTTGAACTTCTTGACCTTCCCTCTGAAATCCAAGAGAAGCTTACTACACTAGAGAAGGAGTACTTCAAGAACCATTCAGTAGCTATAAAAACGTACATGGGCAAAGTAGGAATCGAGTTGAATGTTGTAAGTCCTCTTCTCACCACCATTAGCTTCCCAATATCATAACAGTGGTTATCTGGTGGACTAAGTTCTTTTGATTCAATTTTTTTTGAAGGATATGGTGCCTCCAAAAGACCCTTACATAAAGGTCAGAGTTTTGGACGATATCGATGAAGGGATTGTGCTGGGTGACAAAGTCACAAATTTTTCTCGTCACTCTATGCATTTCGTCAAACGAACTGATGCAGAGCCATACATTTCTCGGGTTAGTCTTTTTTATTATCCCTACAACTTGAAAAAGACCTAAGCCAGTAAACTTATTCACCTTGCATAATTGAAAAGCTTTAAAGACGGATTCATAGATATGTAGATAGAACCTTGATTACAGCATGTTAATGGAGAAGAAATTCTGCTAGAGATGAATCATAACTGAAAACATGTACTAAAGATCTCCTGCAAAATCTGAAAGTGATGCAAACTGTTGGGTTTAGAATTGATTTTGAAGTTTATAAGTGATGAGTGAAGAGTAATGTAAGCTTTGACTTTTGTCACTTTGATACCCCTAAGAGTATTGTTTTGTTTTTGGGTCTCCCATTGCTGTTGTTAATCTAAATGCAGTTTTCCTTGCCTAAATTAAAGGTTATTGTGTCCAATACTTTGAATAAATTAGATTTTGATTGTAGAAAAATGTTTCTAAATATTGAATTGTGAATCGGATATTACAGGGCCAAATGGAGGAGCTGACAGGCTGATTGATCTGACAGAAGCTGTAGTGAGCTTATCAGATGAATCACGGTATGGTCTTGTGATCAAAGAATGTAAACTTTACTTTAGCCTTGTATAATTTGTAAGACAGGAACATGAAACCTCATACAGTCATACCCAATTCATGTACAATTATTGTTATTTTCTCTTCCAAAGTTACTTTACTTCTCTCTGTTTGCATAACATCATCACTGATTCACTAGGAACAAGTCATTGCGGACAACACAATTTGTGTTACACAAACCACTTTGTCCAATGAACAAATCCTTCTAGGCTACACAAATTTGAAGCGTCCACAAATTCGGCAACAAAAGGAATAGGTCGTATACAAACCTACCTCAAGATTAGCAAAAGACGAAACTAAATTAGGTTTTTGCATATTTCATGATAGTTTCCTCTTCGGCTTTTCGAGAGGGTTTAGTGTATTGAAGCAAATCAAAATCTAAATTTGACTTGCGTTTAAATGGTTGCTCTATTTTAGTATTTACAACATTTCATTTTTGTTCGACCAAAAGAAAAAGAGCAAAAAAGAAGGTGGGGAATTGGGGAATAGAAATTTAAAATATTTTACTTCATATTAATCAAAAATAATTCTCTCAGCTTTCCTCTTTTACGAACCCTTTTAAATTTTGTGCGGCGAAATCGAATGGCTCTTTCCAAGTGATGAGCTTCGTTAATCTCCATCTCTCTTCTCTTTGAAAACTATCTTCCAAAATTTCCTCCCCATTTCTCCGGATTCTGATGCAATAAAAAAAAAACGTAATGGAGAACAAATGCACTCAGAGACTGCTTTCTCAGTCAAAGTCTGTTTGATTCTGTTCAGGTGAGCGACCCGATCGATTTTAGATAATTTCAAGCTTTTGTTACAGAGAATGTGTTGTATTGTTTCGACCTTGTAAACATTTGTTAGCTAAGGTTTGATTTTTCTGATTCAGCCATTAATTTAGTAATTGCAGGATTGTGCTCTTCTCTTTTCTTAGCGGAACAAATTTATGGAGTCGTTGCGTGGAATTGATCGTACTAGCTTAGAAACCCTAATTCCGGCGGCGATGTGCAGTCGCAGAGTTTGGAAACACTCAGAAATGTCTCTTCCCTCAGTGAGCGTGAATGAATTGGATCTGGTAAAATGCCACAAGTACTATTTTCTTCAGTTTCTTATCTCTTGCAAACAAGTTTTTAAAAAACTCTTTTTTCCCTCTTTGGATGGTGATAGGTGAAAGGTCTGTTACAAGCTTTGCAAGGCCTCTCAAGTCCCTTCATTTTCTGGGACCAAAATGGACAGACTTTCCGTGCTAAAACCGAGATTCGAGTCTCTCATTTGTCTAAGTCAAGCCTCCACGTCCTTCTCGCTGGATTTTTGTATGCCGCGACGTGTTTGAAGCTTGTTGAGTCTATCGTTGCTCGAATCAATTCCTCTCTGAGCTCTCCTCCTACTCTAATGGCGTTTTCTAACTCTGTCTCTGCTTGGCTTGAGGTAACTTTTCTTGTAACTTTTTTTTCTCGGCTCTTCTTGAACATTTGTTTTTGTTGAGAGACTGATTTACAATTGGTATTTGAACAGAAACTTAGAGACATTGCTTTGAATGAGGAAGTGAAGATCAGTGATTCTGATAGTACTGTCACTCCTACACTCTTGGGATTAACTAGCTCTTTATCTAGGTGTGTTGCTTAATTCTTTTTCATATATTGAATGTTATGTTCTCTCGTTGATATTTTAATTGCATTCCTCTTCTTCTTTCCATTTGCTAGTCTATGTTCAGGTGCTGAATATCTTTTACAAGTTGGGCAAGGCTCAATCCCTCATGCGTATTTTCATTCAGATTCAACTATTTCAACAGCTGAAATCGCTGTCCACGTTCTTGATTACCTTTACAAGAGGCTGGATGAAGTATGCCTTGTACAAGGTGGTGAGGTTGTGGCCGTTTTGTTCATGAGTTCTTGTGTTCTTTTTCTTTGTTGTTGTTCACTTCCTAATTGGTATATTGATGATATCTGGACCAGGTGGAAGGATTTCAGATGCTGCTGCAAATCTTTGCTGGAAGTTTATTGCCATATGTAGAGGGTTTGGATTCATGGTTGTTTGATGGAACTCTTGATGATCCTTTTGGAGAGGTAGATGTTCTTGGAATTGTATTTATGTTCTATGTGGTGTTCAACGAAAGTTTGATGATGATGATAAATCTTTGATTGAGGTGATGGTTCACTTTTGTTCTATGCAGTTGTTTTTTAAAGCCAACCAATCAGTCTCCGTCCACGATGCAGAGTTTTGGGAGAAAAGCTATCTGTTGATGAGGATACCAGGCTCAAAATCAAATGTAACTTTGTTAAATGAGAAGAAAGGAATGAGTGGAAATGACTCCAATTCAGTTTCTGACAAAGACAAAGAGCAGAGTAATCGGGTGTTATGCCCATTATTCATGAAAGACATCTGTAAGTCGATTGTTTCTGCCGGAAAGTCACTCCAGCTGATGCAGCATATTCCTTCCACGTCTTCAGAATCATCTGGAAAGATTCAGTACCAAATGCGAAATGGTTCTGGGGATTCTGGCTGTGGTATACAAATGGCTAAAAAGAACAGCTTTAGGAGCACTGCAGACTTATCCTTGTCTGAAATCTTTTGTCTATCACTAGCTGGCCTTATAGGCAATGGTGATCGTGTGTCTAGATATCTGCGGAAAGATGAGGCGGATGAGTGGGAGATTTCTCCAGCTTTAGCATCATGTATAAGTGGAGAGTTGGAGAATGGCATGCTTGATAAAGATCTTCCAGTTCT